TCATTGATCACCCATACAAACATATAAAGCTAATTAGGTTGATCCATGAATTAATGCATGGTGGATATCTAGGTTTTTGCTTTTAATTAATTAATTAATTAAACAAACACCCACACACACACATATATATATATATATATATTCACTGACTGACTGACCACTGTGTTGCCAAACCTGAATGAAAAGACTGTTTGTATGTAAAGTCTTGTTGTTTGTGTGTTGTTTGGGAGCCCAGCATATATATATACTACTATATTGCACTGCACTAGCTACCTAGGGTTTCATTTTATTTGTATTTTTATAATTAAATAATACTGTTAATTTCAATTAAGAGGAAAGATGCTTGCTTGGCTGCTTTTAATTTAATTTAGTGAAGGAGGGGAAGGAGGACAGGGGCTGACAGATGCCCCCAAACAGCCAAATCAAGCCCAGAAATTTCTTAAAAGAATGAACAAACTCATTAGCATTTAGCACCTACCTCTGCTGCTGCTGCTGCTGCTGCTGTGATCATTTGGCTGCACTCATCTGATCATATGTAACAATCTTAGCAGACAAATAAACCAACCCTTTTCAATTGATATTAATACTTTAATCAATTAATTCACCACAACCCCTTTAATAAATTAATCAACTTATTAATTAATTGGTTGTCTGAGTCTCAATATATATAGACATATATTCCAATCATGCATGTCTTATTCATTAATTAGTATTGCTGTTGTTTCATTTTGAACCGTTGGATCCCTTTTGCACAGTGTTTTTTAGTACTTAGAAAAGCGTCTACAATGTTCATTTATCCCAAATTCAGAAACCAATCAATAGGGGCATTCAATTCGTCCATGATGTGATTCTTTCATACAATTTATAACTTTTTATTTTGAATTTTTGAATATATGTATGTGTGTGGCTCCAAAACAAGAAAATAGTGTAGCATACAGAGACATTGAATCCAGTACAGTCCTCCATAACAGTGTCCACACACAAATAATAATATCCTAACTCCAAATCTTTGTATGAAACGACAGACGAATGGAAACAACAAAATACCCATCGGATTAAATCCACCAAATTTACTAATACACAGATATACATAAATATATATATATATATCTATCACACTACTTTTCCCCTCTATCTTTTCATTATATATATAGTTAGTATATTCTGAATAACAGCATGAGTGATACCTCCCATCGAATATTCCTGTCTATACATTCCCTAAAAAAAAAAAATAGTTGTAGCTAGGAAGAGAAGGAATTTAGTTCTATTTAATTTGTTCATGTTTAATTTATTATTGGAGATTAAAAAAAAAAAAGAAAAAGAAGCAGACTTGAGATTCACATTATTTAAGCAACAAAATAATTGTATTACAATTAATAACATACATGCATATATATATACATATATGTTGTTCTGTACTTCACATTAAACAATTAGAAGTGTGTTAGAGGCGTACTGTCTGAAAACTGTAAACTGCACCAGTTGACATAAATTTCATGTTGTGGAAGAAAGCAAACATGTAAACTAAAAAAGGAAATATAATTAATTTCAAGATAGGTGTTTAATCTGTAGCAAATTGTTGCAGTGGTGTTGTCCCACAAATTAATTGGAAAAATAAAAAAGTTATGTCAAGGGACCAATTCTGGATTTGTATATATATTTGTCCTTCTTCCAAAATACCAAAAAACGAAATATATAAATATACATACACATATGAGAGAGGTAAGGTCCACTTTATTTAAAAGACAATATTTATTTTTTTTCAATGGCAGTGAAACTGTACATTATTTTTTTAATATTATTATTATTATTATTAATGTTGTTGTTGTTATTATTCATGTTGAATCTTTTATGTCTCCCATGGAATTGATTGATCAGCTCACATTAAATACCCACCTGTTTCATAGTGCAATTGAATTTTTGTGGGTTGTGACCAAACATGTGCAATTGGCATATATACATATTTATAATTAATTTTGATTCTGTGGGTAGGTAGGGATTAGCAGTTGATGTGTATTGAAGAGCACAATTATCAATTATGATCATATATAAAAAATAAGAACAACATCAATCAAAATAAAATAAATTAAAACCCCCCTCAATTAATTAATTCCCTTTGAATTCAGGACACTTTCTGTAAACCCAATAGAAAAAGGGATACTTTCGAATTTCCTTCTTTCTAAAAAAAAAACTTAATTCAAAATGTTTTACCCAACAGTGGCCTTTTTAAACACACGAGGTTGGATTTCTTGGATGTGATAGTTTTCAATTATGTTTGGGAAGAAGTGACAGCAGACATCTTTTTCAGCAAACTCAATAGGTCTCTTTTTTTCTACTGAATTAAAGACCAATGACATAGGTGAAAATAAATCATATTTGTTTACTCTTCTTTCTTCCATTTACCATTTACCATTCCCATTACCAATAATTTTTTGAATTGCAAGATTGAATTAAACATGTATATATATATATATGTGCAAGGCAATTATACAAAAATGATTAGAAAGAAAAAGTACTTTTGGGTAAGATATGGATCTGGAGGACAATACCAAATGCATGTAAGTAATTAATAGGTGTAGACACATATTACGAAAAATTGAAAGAAAAGACTGAAAATCAAAGCTAGTGGAGTGGGGTTAAATAATTTGCAGCATCATATAGCCAAAGAGGATGATGAGTTGCAGAAAATAAAAGTAAGGACAAAACCCTACATAAATGAGATCAACCATGGAAGAAGATATCTGTCTTCTGCATTCAACTGATAACTACGTTTCAATTCTCTTCTCTCTCCCTCTATCTCTCTCTCTCTCTCTCTCTCTCTCTCTCTCTCTCTCTCTCTCTCTCTCTCTCTCTCTCTCTCTCTCTCTACACATTCATAAAAATACAGAGAGAGAGAGAGAGAGAGAGCTGCGCGAGAGGTCAAATCATATAAGTTTGGTAAAGCCAATTTAATAAATTTATTTTCTTGTAATTATATTTATATATATAAGTATAATATATACTATATGCTAGCTAGTGCATATCATGTTTGTTTTCTTACATTCGGATTTGGCAATCTTTACCCAGATTTTGTTTTTCTGTCTGTAACATTATTATTACCATAGATAAATAAATAAAAGTGGGAATGCATGCATGCATTAGTTGATTAAATAAATAAAATAGTCATGTTTTGTACGTGGTTCTATATATATATATATATCTTTTGCAGTAAATTGGTTAATCATAAACGTAAGTAATCCAAATTTAGGATGTACTAATATCTATGCTCAGATGCAATATTATTTTACTTAGTAATTACTAAAAAATTGAATCCATTTTTATTATATGCTATTTCCATTTATCAATTGAAATAACTTAGGTTAGGGTTAATTAATTAATGAAAATGTAAAGCACGTGAAAGTTCTGAAGTAATATGGGAAGACAAATGTGATATTTCATTCAGTGAATAAATTAATATCTTTAAATAATTATGTATACAAACAAATATGAGAATACATGAAATTTTATGTGCAAGTCCTTTTGTTTGTTGAAAAATAAATAAATGGTTTAGGGACGAAATTGGACCAAAATAAGGCAAACAACTAACTCCAATCAAATAATTATATATATATACATATGTTCGATTTTATTTTCCTTGTGATTTCTGATAACCATTAATTAATTCAACTTGTGAGGAAAATCCAAACAAGTCCATTTTTGTTACACATCATGTTATAGTCATCATTATCACTCACCACGGCACTAAATTAAATGTCCCATGTAATTATTCATTTAATGGAAACAAATATTATGTATATATATATACATATATAAGTATGCAATTACTTACAAGAAGCCAAAATAAATATAAAGAAGAATGTAAAAATTGAGAATCCCTTCATCCAAATGATAATTAGTTACACCATTCCCAATATATATTATATTTTTTGAATAAAAAAATAAAAATTTAGTATAAAATATTATTTTTATGTTATTGATACAAATTTTCATTTTTTATCTGAAAATTCTTTTAAAATGAATGAGCAATGAATTAATAATTATATCGAAGCAATGTATGGATGATAGTGCAATAATAATAATAATAATAATAATGTGATGATTAAATGAAGAATGGAGTTTCTGATATGGAGAAGAGCCTAGAGAGGACCTCAAGATTTATTTCCAACACAAATGTAGTAATAACAATAGTAAGTGCAGAGGATTGTTGCCCGCCATTTAAGGCTTTTATCAACCCCACCCCCACCCCCACACCCACCCCCCTACCCTATCCTCCCCCCTCCCACTACATTTCAGAATGTAAAAGTAAAAAATTGGGACTCGAGAAAAAAACACACACACAAATATATATATATAAACATAAGGGTTTGAGAGAGAGAAAGAGAGAGAAAAGAAACTAAGGAGGAGGAGGGAGCAGGAGAAGCAGCAGCCCTCATAAGTGTGAAAACAACAGGTGAATGAGTGAAAGCTAATCACTCCATGGAAACGTCCTTTTCTCACTCCACCTCTCCCCCACCTCTGCCGCTCTCTCTCTCTCTCTCCCCCTCTGCCCTTCGGGAATGCCAACCATACATTTTTCTTCATTTCCTCTCTCTCCCCACCCTCCCCCCCCCCCCCCCCCCCCCCCAAACCCTTACCCTTCTATCTCTATCTCTATTTCTATCTCCATTATCTATGTCTTGCTCCAGCCTCCATGTACTTGTATCTATGTATGTATACCCACCAAATCAAATCATACGTACACTAGATAACTAGTCTCTATTAATCAGAATTAATTGATATATATGGTGAACAAATTAAGGGTGTATATCTTGGAGATATGATATGATATATGATGCACGATCGATCCATGCCAAATTAAAATAATTATTAATTATAATGTACAGTGTTAGTGGGGTACTCTACCCTACCCTACCCCTACCCCTACCCGACCCTAACCCCCTCAGCTCGGCACACCCTACACTACACTACATACACACATATACATATCTATCCCCACCACTCTTCTCCTTCTTCCTCACCTTCTTGTCTTTGATGCCACTCTCAAAAAGCAAAACATTATTCTGAAGATCAGATCCAAGGTGGTTAATCTGTCACTCAATCCCCACAAAACATACATACGCCCTCAATATATACATACCTCGATCGATCAGTCATTCCATCAATCAATCAAATCAAATCAAATCCAATCCAATCCTATCAAATCAGTCCCCAGGAAGATCATCATCATCATCATCATCATCATCATCATACCAACGAAAAGAAAAAAAAGGATAACAGTAGTTACATCGAATCAGCTTATAAGAAGCAAACAGCCATGTCCTCTTCATCTGCCTTTGCACCGGACCACCACCACCACCACCACCACCTCTCCCCACCCTCCGAGCAGCTTTGTTATGTCCATTGCAACTTCTGCGACACCGTCCTCGCGGTAACTTACTTATACCCTTTGATTTCATCAATTCAACAGTTCCCTTTTCACGATTCCCTTCTCTGCAGGTTACCTAATTCTTTCAAAAGCCTTTCGATTGTACCTTCTGATGTGTTGATTTCAGGTGAGCGTTCCCTGCACGAGCCTGTTCAAGACGGTGACTGTGCGATGCGGCCATTGCACCAACCTCCTTTCTGTGAACATGCGTGGATTGCTCCTCCCTGCAGCCAATCAGCTCCATCTTGGCCACTCATTCTTCTCCCCACAGAATCTTCTGGTATAAATACATAAACTATACGTTTCTGTCTCTCTCTCTCTGTGTTTTCACATTTTCGATCTGAATCCCCAATTAGGGTTTCAAATTAGGGTTCGTAAGTTCTGATTTTGGGCTTTCATTTGAAAAGGAGAATCATTATCGAATTGAATAGGTTCGCAACTAGCTTGCCTTTGATCTTTATGTTCTTGAATAACCAAATTTATCATGTTTGGTTTACAGGAAGAGATAAGGAACTCACCTTCTAACTTGCTGATCAATCAGCCAAATCCAAACGAGACCCTGATGCCTGTTCGTGGGATCGACGAGCTTCCTAAGCCTCCAGTGGCTAACAGACGTGAGAATTTACATAATTAATCTCCATGTTTTTCTGCTTCAGATCGGGCTCATCCCAATTCAACTTTATCCCCATCTTTTTCCGCTGTGAAAAATGCTTTCATTACAGTCAATGCTGAGCTTCCTAATACACTCTTTTATAATTAAGTATCTAACAGTTACTATTGTACTGTATTCTTCACGAACCCTTCTCTCTCTCTCTCTCTCTCTCTCTCTCTCTCTCTCTCTCTCTCTTTCTCTAGACTTCAATTTTACATCTCATTATGCTTTAATTTGCTCCCATTTGCTTTATACAGAGCTTAGGTTTAGCTGTTCTAGAGCAGTAGTAACATTTCCATGGCAAGAATTCAGATCTGTTTCGAGAAAAGATTTTTCAAAAGCCCTAATTCAGCCTGTACTACTGACTGCCCTTTGCCTTAATTTCATTCGACTCAATCTTTAATTTGCCTTTTGCTCATCTTTCTTAAGGAAGCTCTGATGATATGTAACGCCTTTTTTAAGGGTTTCTTTGAATAAAAGTGACTGCTCTGTTAGCAATATTGGATCTTGTAGTATATCTTAAAAAAATTTAAAAAAGGGAAAGTGACATCTCCCCCGGAAATCAGTGAAAAAAAATGTTAGGGAAGAAAAAATCATTTGATAATGATGAAGTAGTGATGAGGAGAGAGGGAGAAGGAGAGAGAGAGAATGGCAGTGAGATAGTGATCTATGTATCTATACAGAAATATTGAAAATACAAATGAAATGGTGAGCTAAGTAGCCAAAGTGATGAAGATAATTAATGTCTGGCCACTAATTTTGTTTTACTGGTTGTCTGTATTTTGTGTTCTCCTTCAGCCCCGGAGAAACGACAGAGAGTCCCCTCTGCTTACAATCGCTTCATCAAGTAAGTAATTATAGCTACAATTATACATACACGTTTATACACACTCACATTCATGTGTATGTATGTATATATGTATGTATGTATAGAGTAGACAGCCTCACCCCGCCCACCCCCCCACCCCCCCCCCCCCCCCCCCACCACCAGGTATATGAATTTATGCAAGCTTTCTTGCAGCTTTATTGCTGCTTTCTTATAAATTCATTAAATGTAAAATCTGAAAGTTAACAGAGCTAGGCAAGCTGCTTGCACTCCCCTCTTATCCATTAAAATATTTCTAATATTTCATCTTTTAATTTGTTTCTTTTTTTTTAATTATTATTATTATTGTTATTGTTGTTGAAAATTATTGCAGGGATGAAATCCAACGTATCAAAGCTGGAAACCCTGATATTACTCACAGGGAGGCCTTCAGTGCTGCTGCAAAAAATGTAAGATCCAAGAAGATATAAATTTCAACAAACCCAAAAAAAAAAAAAGAAAAAAAAAGAACAACAGTCACATTCACGCAGAGTGCACAATTAGGGTTTTCGTTCCATTAAATTCTGTACTGATTGGTATAATTTGGAATACATATATGGCATTGCAGTTTCATGCCTTTCTTCTTTTTTTTTTCTTTTTTTTTTCATTTTGTTTTGTTGCTCTCAGTGGGCCCACTTTCCTCACATTCATTTCGGACTCATGCCTGATCAACCCGTGAAGAAAGCCAATGTGTGCCAACAGGTATATACACATACATATATATGTATGTATGTATTCAAAACCCTAGATATGATCTGAAATTATGAACCACTTCAATCTGCACAGTTTTTCATACACGAAGCATGAATTTCCTTCGCAGTGTTTATTTGTCGATTCTTGGATTCAATTTTGGATTTGTCTCAAATTAAGGAATTAATAAAAACATTTATGTATGTGTAGGAAGGAGAAGATAATAATCATGTTCTGATGAAAGATGGGTTTCTTGCTCCTGCCAACGTTGGTGTCTCTCCCTACTAAGAAAAAGCTAAGGTCGACGGCGTTCCTTGTTGTTTCGTCGAATGCTCGATTGATCCTTGTCATCGTATTCGTCGTTGTTGTCGTCAATTTGTTATGTCCCTTTACTTAATTAGTTTCTGTCATTAGGGTTCTTAAAACTGCTGCTACTCTGCTGTGCTTGAAGAACACTGCTTAAGGGTTTCCCTCCTCCTCATCCTCCTCTTGCTAGCTGCTTAATTTATTAATTAATTAGCTTCATCATATGTTTTATTACATTAATTTGTGGTGGGATCGAAATCCATGATTTTGATGATCTCGTCCACTATATATAATGCTAATTATTAATCTCTCGAACAAATTAACCTCACATTTAATCCCTAACATTTTTCATTAGTGTCATTGAAATCCTTTGTGAAAATTAATAGTGAAGTTTAAAACTTGGTATTGTTTGTTACTGAGGATTTTTATTTTGGGTTGATTCTACATTTATTAATAAATATATTAGTCTAAGTCATTTTTTTATTTGATAATTTTGATGTTTTTATTAATTTTGGAGGATTTACTAAAAAAAAAAAAAGAATTGAAGCACATGACATGAATGTAGAGTAGTGACACCCCATCACTAAATTATGAATAATTTAAAGCCTTTATACATTTAGCTTGCTGCCTTATATATCTATCATTTTAATTTTCTTGGCTGATTCATAGAAAATTAATCAAATTATTCAAATTTCACCACCATGAAAGCATTATACATATGGGGTTTGTTTTCTCAAGATTTTCTTTTCAATATATATTATTCTCTCACAAAAATTAATATTCGACATAAATATTATTTTGTATATTATGGATACTATTTTTTATACTTCACATCAAAACAATTTTTCAAATAAAAAAACTATACAAACAAACTCACAAAGTGGTGAAACCCATTTAAAATTATTTTATAAAGTTTAAAATTTTTAATAAAAATAATAGAAATTAACATTATGATATAACTATTTGTTTCATACAATTAGTTGAATCCATTTTACATAAATTCTAAATTTATAAAAAAAAAAAAAAAAAATGTGCATAGGGATACCACGTTTTAAATTACTTTTAAAATAAGTAAAAATGTTTATATAAAATGTATGTGTGTATATATAAAATGTTTAACATTATTAAATTTATTATTAAAATATATAAGGTATTTATACAAGAAATTCAAAGAAATACATATTATTATAAAATTATTTGTAAAACTAATGAAATCTTTTTAAAAAGAATGTTTAGATTACTATGTTGATCGGTTCCAATTAATATATTATTAATTTGACTCAATTAACATATATTTATAAAAAAAAATGATATATCCGACATCATATGTTAATTAAATATACACCCTTCGTCCTCTAATTTTGATCTTATTTTTTTGTAAATTTACAAAAAAAATGGATTAAATTGACAGACGAAAAAAGTGTAACACATATTTAAGTTGACGGACGGAGAGTAATTGTAATTTTAAAATAATAAATAGATTATATAACATAATACAATATAATTTATACAACACAGTATTTTTATATAATATACTCATTCTGTCTCAATACAATAGTCATATTTATATTTTTGTTCATTCCAAAACAATAATTACATTTTCATAAATAGCCATATCATTATAAAACTACTCTTACTTTTTCATTATTATTATACAATTATCATTACTTTTTATACTAATACACTCGTAAGGGCAAAAAAAAATTTTACCCGTACTTTTTACGTACCAATTACCAATATAATATTAATATTCCTTAAATCTCGTGTCAAGTACAACCCAGAGTATAGTTTTAAGACGGAGAGAGTAGTATATATTGTTTGTCTTGTAATATAATATTGATTTGTTCGAATTAGTATACTTAATTGGTTAAACTAGCATGGTTGACTTGATCCTAACTGTGTGACTTTCTTAATTCGAATACTTACGTCAACCTATTTGGCAGGATGTAAATATTCAAAATATTGAGTAACTACTATGATTATTTTAAATACTCTATTATTAAAAAAATAAAAATAAAAATCACACATACACAAAATAAAATTTGCAACTTTTAATAACCTTGAAATGAAGAAATATGAAACATATTTAGATGGATAAGAATCAATAGCACGGACTATACATACATACAATTATAGTTTATTTTATGAAATAAAAAATAAAGTAAAATAAGCTCTTACAATTATGATATACATAAATGTGGTTATGAAGATGGTCAGTTTGATTGTTATTTAAATAGAATTTTAATATAATATTTTATAAGAAAAAATAATACTCTCTCCCTCCGTGCACAAACTAATGTCCTATTTTTCTATTTGGAACGTTCAACAACTATTATGCTATTTCTTTTTTTTTAAATACAAATTTTACATTTTTACCCTTCATTCATTTATTATTTTTCATCTCTACCATATGATTAAGGACAAATTTGTCAATTTATAACAAAAGGACAATCACCTAAAAAACCGTGCAAATATATTTTAGGACAATAGAAATTGGACTGAGAGAGTATATTTTTACTGGTAAAGATGTGAAATAAAAACCAACATACCCTTTATTTCTTGCTTCAAAAAAACAAACCTAGATGGGCAAAAATTTTCATTAAATTGTATGCGTAACCATATAAATGCAAAATTGATTAAATTGAAAATCATGGCCCTTCAACATTGATAGAATCATATTTCCAAATCAAATTATTTATATAAACGCGATGAGCTATATATAGCCTTAGTGCTTGTGATGTGTATTTTTTATCAGTTGTAGAATCTCTTATAGTAAGTAATTCAATGGATAGTCCTTCAACTGCCATATCAATTGTATTAACACTTTGATAAAAAATAATAATAATAATAATAATAATAATGAATACTTTGAATTAGACTTTTAATATTCTCCAAATCAAGTATAAATTTCACAATTTAAAACTCCAAATGACATACTCAAAGCATGGTCTATATTTACCTATGTTTTCAAAATTATTTGCACACTATTCATCAGAATTTTGCTTTTTTAAAAATATCACATTCAAAAGTTATTTTTTATTTAAAATGTTATATCAAAAATATTTTCTCTATTAAAAAATAACATCAAATATTAGGCTCCCTTTAGATAAGAATTTCACATAAAATAAAAAAATTTATGTAATATTTTTCAAGATCTTGATATTTTCAAACCATAGTTAGCTCTAATAATTTTACGGATCTAGCTTAAATTCTGAATTGATGAAATGAACAATGGGCCGGAGGCGGATCCGTTAGTTAAATGGGCCTACGTGAGTGAAATGAACCGCGTAGAATGATCCATGTATAATATTTGGGCCAACCAAATAGGCCCACTTAATTAAGAAGCAGCATGCCCACAAACAAACCACCTCTTCAATTCGACTCACAACTTTCATCGAAACAACATCAAATCGATCACAAAATTACGACTCTGAGTTAAAGTTCCACAAGAACATCTCCAAACAGCAGCACGAAAACACAATAAAAATCGATTTTGTTCCATCACATTATTGTTATAAGTAGACACAATCTTCTTCATTTTACAAGTATCATTCATTGCAAAAAAAAAAGGAAACAGAGTTTGTAATATGAACACTCATTCAGACACAAAAATAAACCTGCGATTGAATCACAGTTCCCCCAAATTTGAACCCCGGAACCACCGTGAATCCAACACTTGTTCCCTTTCCAACATTCGATTTCGTCGACACATCCTCCGTATACACCGTCGAAAACGACGACCCTTTCGCCACCACAAAGATCTCGACAGCCGGGTCGAAAGAATTGGACAGCTTGTGGAGAACCCACACAGAGCTCGCCATTCGAACAAAGGACTCGAAGAACACGGACAACGATTTCCATGACTCCAGCACCTTATCCTTCCTGTCCAAATTGCTGAAAATTGATGACTCCATTGTTGGATGGATAAGAACCTCGTACTTCCTCTGGCAGAATTGCAAGAACGACTTATTTGGATTGGAATTCGGATCCTTTGAGATATGATCGACTAACTGCTGCCAATAGCTGTCGACGGCCGTTTGGGCGTCGGACAATCCGAAATCTTTCTTGTCGAAATTTTGAAACATTCGCATACAAACGTAAGAGAGATAGGCGTACCGACAATGGCCGTTTTTGGCGTAATTAATATCTGGATGAATGTAATTCGATACGTTTTCCAAATCCCAACCGGCTTTGTGCATCAGATCGATTAGGAGCTTTGTGAAGCAACGGAGCGATTTAACGGCGTCTCCGACCATCGCAGAGAAAACTCCGATTGTAAGGAAACGCTGCTCCACCACTGTCGGAGCGGCGGCGCGTCGGGACAATTCGGTGTAGGAAGCCTTAATTTGATCCAATTCCTTGCGGCGGGCGTTTAATTCTTCGTCTTTGGCGTCGATCTGAGACTGTAAGGAGTTTGCTATCGTCTCCAGAGCTCTGAGCTTGCTTTGATTTTCCTGTACTTGGAATTCGAGGTACGAAGTCGCCGGAAAGTCGGACCGGCGGCGGTTCGAGCCGGGCCGGTTGTAGAAGCTCTTTAACTCGGCGAGTTTCTGGAGAATCGAGACAAGTGACTCGTCGGCCTGTTTGAGGGCATTTTGGTCAATTCGCGGGACGTGCGCTGCTTGGAGTTGCAGATACGACGCTTCGAAGGCGGAGACGGTGGCGAAGAGAGAAGGAACCACCACGCGCCGGAGCAAGTTATCGTCGCCGGAATGGTCAGGTTTGATGACGACGACCTTCTGATCGGGAATAAATTCCTCCGCCGAATCAAGAAGGGCCAAGACATCGCCGTCTCCATCCACCGGAGTATCCTCGGCGAAGAGATCATAGGTTTTGGTCTTAAAAGCCAAAGCGAATCTCTGAAACATATCAGAGATTTGCGGCGGCGGTTTCGACCCTTGGCCGCAGTCGATTTCCACCATCACTCCCAAAAATTAAACTCAATCCAAGATTCAGACAAACAATTCCACTGCAAGAAAACCCTAAATCGAAATCATTCTCTGCTATGAGTACTTTGGATGACTTAGAAGGAAGGAATGTAGCCACACTAACGTCCCTTTCTCCCTTTCTCCCTTTCTCGAGCAACAAAATACCAAAAACGCCAAAATTGATTAGGCATTATTATTATTAATTGTGGGCTTTTGTGCTTTTCACTCAAAAAAATAAAAAAAGTTCCACTTTACTAATCAAGATGTAATTTTTATTTCATATTATTGGGAAATAGAATTACGAGTGCATAAAATATGATTTGGATCGACAAAAAATTTAAGTCCCACAAGAAAAATAATTAGCGGGCACATGAAAATTAGGTAAAGGTAGACGAATCATGGGGGGCTAGAATATCCCGACAGGCAAGAGAGACCCTACGAGGTAGATACGATGATGAGAAGAAGCCGTATGTGTATTAGTACTACAATAAACCAACGAATGATGAATTAGGCAAAAAGATTGCAGAGGGCAAATCGCCATAATTGCTGCTGCATAGACAAAACTCAGAAAGAAAGTAAAAGAACGATGAAGAACAAGGAGATATATCTCTACATTGATTTGCATTGCATTTAAATTAAAAGCTCTGCCTCTGTTCTGTGTCATATAACCTGCCAAGAATCATTAAAGAACGAGAAGATGACAAGTAATGAAACAAGAATATTAATTTCTTGATTTTTGCATCTGCAATCAGACGTGTCGTCTCCCTGCAGCTTCATTACAACAGAGGACGAGAACCACTGTTCTTTTTAATGTGCTATCTCTCTCTCTCTCTCTGATGAGTTAGAACCCAATTCTGGAAATTCTTAAGAAGATACATACATACATAGATGGAGATTATAAGATGAGTTGTCTACAACTGTCGGACTGTTCTCTGGCATTCTTGACAAATGCAAATGCCCGTTTGTCAATTATTTGAACTCTTTTTTGTAAAAGACTGGGAAAAAAACGAAAATGGAAATTAGGTATGTATGGTTTCAAGGTGGGATGTTGAAGCCTGCCTCTCTCTCTCTCTCTCTCTCTCTCTCTCTGCCTGGGGACTGCAAGAGATATGTATATGTATGTATGTATGTATCAGAACAGATTTAATTCAATTAAAGCTGAAAAAAGCTTCCAATCTTTTGCTGCCTTTTCATGCTTCACCCCAACCACTCAAATGATGGAGAATGGATTCAATTTACTTACTACACACTACAGTCATATCTCATCTTCTTCTTCGAGTCAAATACATATAAATATAGAGATGGAGAGAGAGAGAGAGAGAGAGAGAGAGAGAAGGGTAGCGAGCAATTACTACTGCACATATTTATTTAGAGCAGTGGGAGAGAGTAGAGACAGTTCTTGCAACTTACAGAATACAAACAAAACTTTAAATGAGGTTGGACGCGACTCCTCCAATCCTGTCCCTCCCTGTATTTCTTGGTAACAGTAACTGCACACCACAGTCTTCTCTCTCATAAATTAATTTGCAGGCGCCGCTCTCTCTCTCTCTCTCTCTCTCACACATACACTATATCTATATATATACATGTATGTATCTCTATTGATGATATACATGCATATATATATATTTACATTTTTGGCGAGAGAGAGAAAGAGAGATGGGATGATGATGTTACAGGAAGAAATCTTTCTCCCTGATATCCCGATAAAGCTTCTCCACATTTATTCTTTGATGTGAACTATACAACAATATTTATAGAGATTACAAGTGTAGTGCTGTGTTGTGTATTGTATGTGTATGCCCAACAAATTTCAAACCCACAAAGATAAAGAAAAAACAAAAAAAAAGGATACAGCCATGGTGGGGTCTCTTCTTACTCTTCCCTCTTCTGCGTTTTTATTCGATTTCTGCTGATAGCTGGCTGCCTGACATTCGTTCATCCGATTCATGCCCAATTTAATTCTTGCAGGTGGATGCTACGCCGGAGATTCCCCGCTGGCTATCGGCGCTACTGACGGAGAAGTTCTTCAACGCCTGTATCGTCCATGAAGACTCCAGAAAGAATGAGAAGAACGTCTTCTGCTTGGATTGCTCTGAAGGAATCTGCCCTGATTGCTTCGCCAATCACAATTCTCATCGCCTCCTACAGGTAGGTATTTAATTTGATTCTGTTTATTCGTCGACGATCGATTCTGATAATTTTGATCTGGAAATTAGATAAGGAGGTACGTGTACCATGATGTTATTAGGGTTGTCGACGCCGATAAACTCATGGATTGTGCTCAAGTTCAGGTAACTTCTCTACATTGAATGGATTTGATGCTTTTGCTCTCTCCATTTTCATGGCGGAATTTTCAATTTTGGCTCTGTGCAGTCTTACACCACCAACAGTGCGAAGGTGGTGTTTCTGAACCAGAGGCCTCTGACGAGGCCGCCGAGAGCCTCCGGCAACGTCTGCATCACCTGCGACCGGAACCTGCAGGATTCATACCTCTTCTGCTCCATCTCCTGCAAGGTGCGGAAATTAAATTATACCCTAATTCCTTTCTGCTGAGGTTTTCGCTGAATTTCCAATTTGTTTTCAGGTTCACCACATACTCAGAAGTGGCGACAACCTCTCGGCGTACCTTCGCAAGTGTGAGTTCCTTGCCCTGCCGGACGACGGAGCAATTCCGCCGGACTCCGGCGACTCTGGATCCAGCGCCGGCGAGGTCATGGACTGCCCGAATCTTACTTGCACTGCGACCACCGATGTTGTGAAGAAGAAACGGAGCAACTTACCAGCTTGCCGGTCTGGATTCCGGCCGTCGTGCTGGCCGGCTTCCGATATGTCGGAGTCGATTATGAACCGGCGGAAGGGCACGCCGCACCGTTCCCCGATGCACTGACATGAACGGAAATGGTGGCGGGAGGACGAACGGGGATGATTTCCGAGGGTAAATTCGGTATTTCAAGTATCTACACAGGGGCATTCTAGGGTGATCACATTCCCCCAATTTTTGTACACTTGCTGTCATCAGTACCTAGTTGCCCTCTTTTATTGAATTTACAAAATTACAATTATGTTAAATTAAATAGCGTGACATGCCCTGTGTATTTTGTCACAAATATTGGGAGTTATGGATAGGAAAATGTGTAATTTCTGTTATTACTAAATACAATCATTATGACCTAATCATATCATATCATGTTACTATTATTTATTTTAAAACAGACACATACATGCCTACACTTTCTTTTTCCTATTTGGATAGTGCATCTGGGGATTAAGTCATTAAGTTAATTATGTTACTGTTTTGTCAGAGATGGCAAAAATTGATTCGGGCATCAATTAATTCCCTTCATAAATAAGTAACATAATTGAATTCACTTTTTGTACGAATTTATTGTTCTCTAAGTCGACATGCATACAATGAATCTCCCCCATACTGTAGACAAAAAAAAATACCATAGTATAACAAAAACCCCGTCACGTTCCCACCTATTGAATGAGTGGCCATTATTATTATTAGTATTTTTCTTGTACAGGTCAATTTTCTCAACCAAAAGTAAGTAAACACAATTATACAATGAATTAAAATGTTACCAACCTGATGCCTGTACAATGAACACAGCTTTTTTTACTGATAGTGAGATGCAATTATGTAGGAAATTCTAGAAAGGTTTCATTATAGATACTTTTGACTCACCAAACACATGCTCGAAATAAATTTCACATAACCTTGTGTCAATTTAAAGTAGATACATTATTGAATCATTATTGTGAATTTTGCAAGTTGTATGGTAACAGGATGATTCCAACATTGATTAATGATGTAAGATTAGTTACCTTGTTGAAGTTCCCAGTCAGGTCTCCAATTCTTTGCCTTCCAAAGGCCATTCTCTATCACGAAACTGAAATAGCTCTTACAAATGGACTTCACTTCTTCGCCCACTTGTTCTAGCCCCGCTTCAACAGCTATCGAGTCGATGTATTCAAAGAACGTCTAATGGAAAGAATAATACATCGTAGTTGTTTTAGAAAAACATAAATTTGGCAGATGTTTGAGAAGCTGTAGGAAGAATATTGAACCTCTAGGCTGAAGGCATGAGTGTAGTGCTTTGGTATCCCTTTCAACTCCATGAGCTGATAATGCCGTTCGACATCAGCTTGCATTTCCTCTTCTGATGGCAAATTTGTTTTGCTCGATAGAACTCGGGCAATCCAAGTTGCTTGGAAGTGCAACAATTGAACCACCACTGCCTGTCTTTTTTTTGCAACATATGTTTTAAAGTTACTACAGTGACAGATATAAGCTTATAAACAAGGCATAGGATGAACAGACCCGAAAGGCGAGCCCCACAAAGGAAAGGGAAGGAGCGAGTTTTGGAGGGAAGATGTGTTTGTAAAGGGGGCCGACACGATTGTCATCCACGCTTACAATTCCATCAGTTTTCAAGAACGGGAAAGAATAATGATACCTGCACCAATGCATTCAACATTAGGTGCGATGTAGTAACCGAAAGAGGTGAAGATCAGTGAATTATGCCCACCCGGTGCAGTGGAAGATGATGTCGGGGAAGAGACAAGCCCCGTCCTCGAAAGAAACTAGTCCACTTTCATCAAGAAACTCGATCTGCAAGAATCCAAATGCATTAGTAGTAATGATACGAGGATGTTTGAGCATTCAACCGGCAACATATGCACACCTTTGAGTGTTGCCAAATGTTGTCTCCGAAATCCAACTTGGTGGCTGTGGTGTCGGGAGCTCTGGACGAAAGGTGAACTTCTTTGGCTGCCTCTGCAATTTCCGCAGATATGTCGATTGCACTAGGCCCGCTTCCGATCACCACCACAATCTAATTGGAAAAGCATGTAATCGAAACTGACATGTATATAATAATAAAAATAGAGGCATTGGTAAAAGAAAAACCTTGTCCTGGAATGGCTCAGGGCCTCTGTAATTGTGGCTGTGAATCTGCTCCCCGGGCCATTTCTCCATGCCTGAAATCAATCAATATTCCCGAACATCCAAATGTTAGAAAATGACCAAATCTCGATTGAAAGAAGAGTACTGATAACAAACATTACCTGGAATCTGAGCCAGTCTTGGTTGACTATAATGTCCACTGCAAACCACAACGGCATCGAACATCTCCTCAGAGACAGAACCTGAAGAAGTCAATCTCGACTGGACGACCCACTCCGGCCCGGCCTGTTCGACCCGCTCAACTTCAGTATTGAATCGAATCAATTCAACAAGCTGGAAGAAGTCAGCGTATCCCTTGATGAAATCGAGCACCTCTTGATGCCCTGGAAAGATCCTCGAATCGGGATTCTTGGACCTGCTGCCAAATGGGTAGTCGGGAAACCCCATCAGCTGCCTGGGGAGGTTGGTTCGGAGGGATGGGTAGATGCTGCTGTGCACGGTTTCTCGATTCGGGTCCAGGCCTAACGGGTCGGACTCGACGCGTGGATCGTAAATCCAGACGCCCCCGAGTCGGTCGGACTTCTCGTAGACTGTTACGTGGAGACCTTCAGCTCTGATGGCACGGGCGGCGGTCAGCCCCCCCACTCCAGCTCCGATCACCGCCACTTTACAGGGTGGAGCCATGGAGAGAACAATTTGGCAGGATGTTTACTATAGCACAAATAGAGAGACTCGTAGTAGCAAAAAAGGAATCAAATCTTTGACTTAAATCTTACGAGCTCCATGGGCTCCAACACCAGATGGTCAGCACCAACCATGGCGCCCGTACGGACCGGATGTGCTTCGGGTCCACGGACCTCCCAGGAAGATTGATTAGCTATCCATTTCCTTTCGACATTTTTCATCCCCCAAGAAGCAACTAACTTCGACAAGAAAAAACAAAAGTCGTCGCATACCAATGATACCATAAAACATAGTAGAATATAGCAAATCAAGACTAAAAATTTTCAACAAAGTTAAACGCACAATCCATACACATCAAGGAAATCAACTGTGTTGTCTGAACAAGAACAAACTACCTCCTAAGTTGCGGCTAGAATGTATATTTATTCTATGTTGCAATAAATGAGCTAAGGCCTCAACAAGATGATTACACGGTGATGTCCAATTCGTGACTCGCTTATCCGTCCCAGGTGCCGGAGGACCTAAGTATAGAAATTATATATGCATCAAGTTACTCGTAGACAGAAGCACAGAATTTCCATCAAATCATATGCAGCAGCATTGCCTAAACAGATATGATATACAATCTTGCATAAAGCTTTTTTTCGAATGTTAGAAAAACTTCACAAACAGAATGATATCCTGTTTCAAAACTACTAAAACTAGTATTTTCTTAGTATTTTCTAAAGTACCTTGCCTGAAAACATAAGAACAACTAACCGTCAGTAGAGCCTTTCCAGTGTTGTCGAGTTTTAGAGAAGGTCCCTTGATATCTCCTTCTAAGAAGAAGTGTTTTCCTTTCACTCCATCTGATGATGCAATATCCCTTAATTCCTGCGCACGTCAAAGATGGTATGAAATTTTGCATTACATGAAAACTATCTCAACAATAAAAATAAAAAAATAAAAAAGAAGCAAGCAATGAGAATGCTATCACAAATTGAATAAACCTCTCCGGGTGAAACCACTTACCAGAGCCTTGTCCAAGTTATTCTCGGAGAGCTTCACCATTTGAAACCAAAAAAAAAGAGTCAATATAAATGGTTTATATCAAATTTCACAGCAAGTTGAAAGAAAATAACATGAGTGACCTTTTTTCTTGGGGCTGCAATAAGTTGGGCGTTTGCTTCAGCATATGTTGCCATATCACCAATGGCAGCATTCACCTTGTCCAAAGTGAGTCTCTGTTTCATATACCTAATGTGCCAAAGAAGTTATGATCATTGAAATTTTCGAATAGACTCAAAAACTTTTTGGCAGGAAATACTGGCTCTCTTACGCTGGCACAGAATTCAGCTCGTCTTCAGAGACATACCACATTGGAGGGGATGCTCGACCCTTCTTCTCCTGTATTGGGTAAATAATTTAAATACTATATAGCTCAATGATTGCAAGCTAGAATTACATCCTTCTCCAGTGTTCATATCATCCCAGGTGCAAAGGACAAAAGATTTTCTAGTTGGGCAAGCATGAACTTCAGCAACTACCAAACACCAAATTAAACAAAGTGAAATAAAACCAAATAAAAAATAAAAAAACAAAGTGAAATAACCACATTTCAAGGAGATGGCACCGTTATGTGATTCCTAGTAAGTGAGATGCCTTATATAAAGATTGGGTAGAGATTACAGAAGCTGCATATCTTTGAGAATTTCCAAATAATTCAACTACAAATTTATAAACTGCCAGATGCTAGTTAACTTAGCCTGTTATATTCACAAGTGTCATATTCCACATTTAATTTTAGCATCATTTCAGCTTCACTTTTGCTTCATTCTCCCAATTTAATGAACAGTTATAAACAGAGAACAGCATATAGTTTGACATGAACAATTATCATAAGTTGGGCTATTTCACAAATCTCAAGCTAAAAGTAACATGCATTGGCTTCTGCACAACTTAAATTGATCTCTAGGTTGTTAAGAGTAACTTGATGTCAACATAAATGGTTCTATAAGCAAGAAATCGGAAGTGGACTTTCATCATTGATTCAATCAAAGATGTCAACATGAAAGAGGCTTCGGCAGATCATACAAATGGACACAATCATATATATATATATATATAAAGAGAGAGAGAGAGAGATCCCTCACTTTGCGTTGAGGTTCTTCAACTTTTAAAGGCTCAAGTCCAATAATTTGCTTATGTTCTTCTCTTTGCACACTATAAATAGAGGGGAAAAAGAAGATTTAGCTGGAATATTAAGATCACATTCCATGAACATAAAAGAACAAGCAAAACGAGCACATATCATTACCAGTTACCAATGTCTTGATTCAAATTAATAATTCTTTGAGGAACAAATGAAGGAACAGAGGAAGACAGAGTTTCCAATTTCTTTTGCTGCTGCAGCGCTGCTTCAATTAATTTCTGCAAGCAATGGAAAGTGCTACTTACAAAATATTTTGTGGCATGCGCATAGTCAGGTTACTAAAAACTCCATACAGAAGTATTAACCAGAAATATCTGCATTTTGGCAGCTAAATATCTCTCCCACATACTTTTCGTGTTTTAACTAGGTAATGCGATGTGATTTTGATTCACCTGAATAAATGACCCAAGTATAACTCCATTCCATGACTCAATATTAAGACTTTCTGTTTACTTAGTTAAGTTAGTTTGATGTAAATTAAATTTTCTTAACAAAAAAAAAAAAAAAAAAGAAGCTATTCATCAACCATATTGGTATAAACAACTTTCAACCTAAAATGCTTGAAACTAGAATAATTATGTTCATCCATCAAAGTCAAATCATGTTTGGGGTATCAACAGAAAACAATCGGAGCAATCATAAGTAGAAATTAATTTACTTTAGCTTTAGGAATAGCTCGAGTTTCATCACGTAGTCGATTCTTGATATTCTGAACCTGAACCTCCATCCCATTCAAAGCTGCGTCAATGGCCGATAAATCGGTGATACCGCTGGCTGGATACACTGCGCGAAAAACAAACATAGAGTTCTTCTAACAATAATCGATGTAATATGGATGAAAATTTTCACAGGGATAGAAAAAATTGCAAATTGAAGCGATATTGACTGTTCCGCGCAATAACGAACTGCTGCAGCTCAGCGATACGTGTGTTGAAGGACGAAACCAGAGCATCCAGCGAGGCTCCTGCTTCTTTCACATCCATGGAATTCCTCCCCCACTGGATCTATGCTGCCTTTGAGGGTTCTTGAGTTGGAACTTTCGAATTCAACGCACAATTTGAATCAACGTCGCTTTTCTCACGATAGCGACTCTAAGACTCGTTCAAAATCTCAAACGGCGTCTCATTCTCGGCGGGAAGTTTTTGTCGAAAAAATTGTCATTTAAATAAATAAATAACTTATGTAATTGGAGATTCAGTCGATTTCGAACCACCGGTCCAGACCGGGGCAATTAAACCGGAAAGGGTTTCGGTCTTTCGGATCCAGTTTCTTTAGAACCGTAAACCCTATGTTCGAACTGCCGGTTCAGATTTTTTTTTTTTTTTTTTTTTTCAAACCGTGGCTGTGACTGGAAAAACAATGGCAATTGGCTAAATATAAATATAAATATTGTATAAATTAAAGTAGAATAGGAAATATAAATAGAACATTTTGTATAAAAATAATTTATTGTTCATCAAGCCAACAATTCAATTAAACACTAATAAGACTAAAAATGCTTGAAACTAGCTAGAATACATAACCAAATTATTTTCTTAGGTCAATTAAATAAAAATAAAAAATCACTGTAAATTAAAAGTAAAACTCCCAAATAATTACATGCAATAGCGTGTAAAATGTCAACCCCTATATACATTTTGCTTATTATGCAATACATAAATAAATATAAAATAAATTAAATTAAAAATATATTTAGTCGTGTCTTTTCAGCCATCCATCCATCCATCCACCTACGGCGACTTCCTCAATATTCAACTCCAAATAATTAATTTTAATTTATTTAATAACTTATTGAAAGTTTTGACCATTATATGAATAATCATTAACATCATATAAATGTATAGACATGTGCCACACAATTTGTTTAGTGCTTAAATGTACGTAACATAATAGTGTCCTAAAATTCTAAATTAAATTAATGAAGGGCAGTAGTAGTGGTGGGCCACCCCTTTTGAAAGGAAATTTCTTCGAGTGCTTCCCTTAATCATGATGCTTAATAAATTAATTAAAATATAATTTGCTACTAACTAAGAAAAACCCACTAACATACATATTGCATCGACTATTGAAATGATTAAAAATAATTTTGGGACATGCAAAGAATGTGAATTGTTTTGAGGAAAAGGGTTTTCTTGGATTATTAACCATTGTTTTATTAATTTAATTTAATTTAATTTAATTTGTTGGGGTAAATTAAATGTGGGTTTTTCTTGATAAGAGAGCAAAGGACATGATAGGGTTTGCTTCTAATATCATTTAGCTTATTGTTGGGGAAATAAATTCACAAGATAACCAACATGCTGCATAACTTAAGCATGGGGCCTTTACATACAACTTTTAAGTGTTGTTTGGTGATAAATTAGTTTTAATTACAAAATATAAATAAATACGTATATTAAAATAATATTAGTATTTTATATGTGATATGTAATATACAAAATGCATTAATTGTAATATCTTTTAATGTATTGTAAAATAAGATAATCACTACAAAAAAAATTATATATTTGTAACGAAATTTCGTCCATAAAATTCACGTAACTAACGTAATTCTATTCATAATTCCATCTCTAATGTCACTATTAACGGAAAAAGTAGATTTAGAGAAAAAAAAAATTATGTTACAAAAATAATTTTTTCTTATAATAAATATTGTGTTTATAATTTAATTTAGAGAAAATTATAAGAATATTTTACCATTTAGGTGAGAACTGTGATTACTGTGTGTATATATATATATATATATTGATTGTAGACAATTCAAAATGGTAAAATAAATATATTTTGATTTTGTATATAGCAGGAATATAATTATTGTTTTGAGTCTTTCTCCTCTAAAGTTTTAGTGCATGTGCAATTGAAGATAAAAAAAATTTACAAAAAGATAATTTGTTACTCCCTCCGTGCCAATCACCCTACAATATTTTTTTTGGTACGTCTCAAACAATTTGCAATATTTTCAAAATAAAAAATAATTAATTATCTTTACCCTGCACTTTATCCTATCACATCATCCAAATAAAAAAATAAAATATATATTTATCTCTCTATTACATCACTTAATTTCTAAATTATCCTGCTTAATACTACCCACTTAAAAATTCATGCCAAAAGCAAATATTGTGCGTTGTGAAAAAATTTAAGAAGATTGCTTACAGTATTTATAGTGTATATATATATTTCTGAAAACTCGTCGATAATAATTTTTAAATTAATTTTTTTTAATAAAGATGAAGAAATTTCAAGATTGACTAGATATGTGTCGATGGAGTATATAATGAACCACAGGCACAGCCACATGGAGTTCAATTAAAATAATTAGTAGTGCAATAAACTAAATTTTGAAATATTTAATGTAATATGTCGTGAAAAAAATATATTGTATTAATAATTCTAATAATGAATAATACAATTAATTTATATTCAATTTGTTAAAAATGTTACGAATTATTATTATTATTATAAAATTAGTGTAGCTAAGCCGGCTTGCCTTTGATGCAGCCACACAAAACCCACAGTTTTCAATCCTGTCTGGTTTGGACAACAAATTAAATTATAAAACAAACTACAAACCCTTTTATTTTATTTCAAACATTATATTATTATCCACTTGCTGTTGCATTAAATGATTAATTAATCACTGCGGTGCTTGCGAACATACAAGGTAGATTTTATTTACCTTAATTTCCAGTGATGTACTGAAAAATCAATTTGTATGTAAATATATATATATATATATATATGTATTTATGTATGTGTGTGTGTATCGTACGAAAGCAGATGAGAATCGAGGGAGAAACAGCTTTTGTATGAAGATCCAGACAACCTAAAATTTGAAGATTTTTGGCTTTTCAAGACCCACTTTTGGTTCGTCTGCTCCACATATCCTTTTTCTTCACTTTTATCACAATTTTGCAGTTCATCGGGCCTTTCAATGTTTTCTTGTCTCTAAATTCATAACCCTAATTTCAATTCAATCATCCTTCAATTCCCCAAAATCTTGTATAATTATGTTGTAATAATAATCACCATTAATTAGAAGCTAATCTATGTGGTTATAGGATGTGGAATGACTGTTCTGCCCTCTTGTCTGGTGAATTGTCGAAACTGCCCTTACACGCCACGGCCCGACCCAGACGGACGGTCGGTCAATCGACAAAAATCCATTGGTTGATAAACACCCACACCTTATTTAATTTATTAACCTTTTGTTTTATTTTTGTTTTTTCAATAATGGGCGCAACCAAACAAGCCCTAAACCCAATGGATGGATCCTCGCCGTCCATTCTCCTGCAGGCCATCCTGTCCCTTGATCTGGTCTCGATCTTTCCAAACTCCCCTTTCTGCGTTATCTCAGATTCAATTTCGAAAAACAGGACAGCAGGTGATGGAATGACTAAACTGCCCCCGACTTCGGTGGGCTGTATTATGGCGGGGAGAGGGGCAATTTGGGGAACTAAAGGACTCCATTTCTGCCAGTTCATCCCTCCCACTGCATTGTTGGTCCTGTGGAGTACTGCGCCATTGACGCTCCAGTAAAGCGCGTGTCTCTCAACTCCTCGTGATTTTGCAGTATTCATTGAAGTCGCGTGGAGAGACGCGCGTTTGGCGCGGGTGGGTGTGAAGAGGAGGGAAACCCTAGCAAGAAAGATAACTAGACAGGCCACATAAATAAATTAAAATAAAAAAAAGAGTGAAATTGAAAAACAGGAGAAAAAAGAGAGAGAGAGAGAGTAGAGTGAGAGAGAGAGAGAAGAAGGGGATGGATGGATGAAGGGAGGGAGGGCACTTTACTACTTTTTTATGTTGTACGCATCCATGGCAGAAAACAGAAGCCCGGAGAGGGAAACTCTTCATGGGGTAGGGGAAAGTAATTAACGCAGAAGAACAACACTTCAAATCCGCCATTTTCGTCTGCTCCATCTCCGCTCGGCCGTACCGTACCCGGATTTAGCTGCGGGGAGCTCCGATTGGGGTCGAGTTGCTGCAGAAATTCGCGCGATTGGAGTATACTGCTAAGTGCATTTGTGATTGTGTTTTTAGGGTTTACTGCATTTGGTAAATTGTTGTGGTGTTTGTGTGTTCGAGGAAGGTGCAGTTGAGGAATTGGATATTGTGGTTGAGTTTTGGTTCGTTAAATGAAGGGAATGCCCTTGCCCTTGGATTTCGAGGGGAAGGGAGTGTTCGATTTGGAGGTGATTGTGAAGAACAGGAATTTTATTGCAGATAGTGGCGCGGGAATTTCGTCTTATTTCGCCAGGAAGAATTGCTTTTTGGGTAATAATTTTGGAGAGCCTAATTCGGTGTTGGATTCTGCAAAAATTGGCAGCAGGCCGACGTCATCCTCGACCCTGTCTTCATCTCTCGGCGGCGGCGGCGGCGGCGGTGGCGGTGCTGGGGGCGGTGCAGCTTCGACCGACACGGCGGGTGTGGCTGCTGTCTCCGACCCAAACCCTTCGCCCAGATGGCAGCAGGACTCCACCACCGCCACCAGCTCCAATGCCGGCGGAAGAGCTGATTCCCAACTCCTTCCCATTCCTCCATCTCTAGAGATCGGAACCGCCGCCGCCGCCGCCGGGAAGTTCGGCATGGAGGATTGGGAGAGCGTGCTGTCGGAATCTGTTGGGGTGTCTCCCAGCCAAGAGCAGTCCGTCCTCCGCTGGATCATGGGCGATGTCGAAGACCCTTCAATGGCAAGCCTGAACAAGGTCCTCCAAATCGGCACCACCACTGCCGCCGCCGCGTCGGAGTTCGACTACACCGCCGGATTTGGGGTCGTGGATCAGGGTTTGGCCGGAGACCAATTTGGGGCCACCTTCCTCCCATCTCTTCCATCTTTCCCCAACAGATCCACCCCTACCCCTGAAAAAATCCCTTTACCTCCCAATCCCAATCCTCCAAATCCATCCACCAATTTCTTGAACCCTTCGTCCCTATCCAACAATCTTGCATCAATCGGCCTGCATCCATTCGATTCCCCCGCAGAAATGAAACCCCCAATTTTCAATTCCCTAATAAACCCCCATCACCAACAACCTCAGTACCCCCAAAATCCCTCATCCCTCTTCTTCCCCGTGTCATTCCCCCACCTGCCGGAGCAGAATCTCTCCATCCCGCCGCAGGCCAAACGGCACAACCCCGGCGTCGACGCCGGCGGCCAGATCTCAAAAGTGTCTTTGCTGGATACAGGGCAGCAATTGCAGCCACTCCCCCACCAGCTCCAGTTCCTTCCTCAGTACCTCCATCAGAGGGCGGGGGCGGCGCCGCCGCCGCAGAAACCCAAAACAGGCTGTGGGGATGAATTCGGCCATAGCCACCACCAGCAAGCTGTAGTCGACCAGCTATACAAGGCCGCAGAGCTGGTCCAGACCGGTAATCCTGTTCTAGCGCAAGGGATATTGGCGCGGCTCAATCACCAGCTCTCTCCCGTCGGAAAGCCTTTCAACAGGGCTGCTTTCTACTGCAAGGAGGCACTGCAATTGCTCCTCCATGCTAACAACCCCGCCGGAGCTCCTGCGACCCCTCCTTTCGGCGCCATTTTCAAGATTGGTGCTTACAAGTCCTTCTCTGAGATCTCACCCTTGGTGCAATTCGCAAACTTCACTTGCAATCAAGCCCTCCTCGAAGTCCTCGAACGTTTCGACACAATCCACATTGTCGACTTTGACATTGGGTACGGCACCCAATGGGCCTCTCTTTTGCAGGAGCTCGCGATCAGAACCGGCGGCGCACCTTCCCTGAAAATCACTGCAATCGTCACCCCCTCAAACTGCGATCAGATCGAGCTAACTCTCACCCGAGAAAATCTGATTCAATTCGCCTCCGAAATCAACATCGTCTTCGAGTTCGAGGTCACAAGCATTGATTCTTTGAGTTCCGGCTCGTGGGCTTTACCGAGCAACGAAGCGGTCGCTGTGAATCTCCCGATCAGCTCACTTTCCAACTGCCAATTGCCGGTGCCTTTGGTTCTCAACTTCGTCAAACAGCTGTCGCCAAGAATTGTCGTTTCTGTCGACAGAGGATACGACAGAACGGATCTTCCGTTCGCCAGCTACATTATCAATGCCCTTCAGTCGTACTCCAACGTGCTGGAGTCTCTCGACGCTGTAAATGTGAATACGGACGCTCTGCAAAAGATTGAGAAGTATTTACTCCAACCGGGATTCGAAAAACTTGTTCTAGACCGCATCCGTTCTCCGGAAAAGACGCCGCATTGGAGGGCTATGTTCTTGTCATCCGGGTTCACCCCCGTTGGGTTTAGCAATTTCACCGAAGCGCAAGCGGAGTGTGTCGCGAAGAGGACGCCGGTGCGTGGATTTCAGGTCGAGAAACGACAGTCTTCTCTCGCACTTTGCTGGCAAAGGAAAGAGCTGATATCGGCTTCGGCGTGGAGATGCTAAAGGGAAAAAAGTAAGCTCCGAATTCGATGTTTTAATGAACTTTTTATCTATTGTCATGCCTGAATTTATTGCACCAATTATCTAAGTCTCAGGCTGATTATTTTCCTGGTATAAAATGATCCAGAGGAATTTTAATTCTGGATGTTCTATGTGTAGTTAATGGTATTTAAGTTTCCCCTTGATGATCATGAACCCTATCTAGTCTTCGATTAAGAAGGAGAAGAAGATGAAGACAGAACAACGAATTGAAAGTGGGAACAAAAGAATTAACCCTATTTTTTTTCTTTTGTTTTTTTTTTTTTGTTAATGTTGCTGTATGTTTAAACTGCACATTATTATGATCAATGCAATATATGCTTTGACAGCCCCCCTTAGTTTAAGTTCTTGGTTAAGGATTGTGATTGTTTTTGTGTTTGTGTTTGGGTATCATCATTTATTTATCAGTAGTTCTTGATGGGAATTTGAATCAGCTATGTCTCTTACAACAAGTAGCAGTGGCTTTATTTTGTTTTTAGGATTAGTTAATGTTGTCTGGTGGGAAGTGTCCATTTTGTTGGTGTAATAATCTGTGAGATGAGATGAGATGAGATGAGAAGTAGTATTATATTGAACTTGAAGTTGCTGCTGCAAAGGCTGATTAGTTTGTGTTATTTAAAGGGGTGTCCTAATCAAGAGTCACATGGGACTTTTGTACTAATTGGACCCCAACCCCACATGATTAGTTAGTTCAATCAAGCCTTGTTTTCATCTCCATTTAGTCACTTTAATGGGCGTTAGTTATTTTAATTGGCAAATAATGAGGAGGATTAGTTTATTAATTAGTTAGGTATGATTAAATAAATCACCTTAAGCTGACAGATTGTCATGTCTTCTCTTTCCCCCCCTCTCTCTATGCTATTTAAATATTCTGTTTATATTGTAATAAATAAATAAATTATTGTGTTTGGGCAGTTAACTTTTGTGGTGTATAAAATATATAATAAGCCCAGCCCCCCTTTTGTTTTGTTTCTTTCAAAGAGAGATTTATTTGATGGTGCTGACCTAGCAACTCATTTTTATAAATTTTTATTTCGATCATTGTATATGGTTTCAAATGCCAAGTGCAGTGTTCTAATCTATAAATAATCTAAATTATTTTTTAGATCCAAAATCAAAAGTAAAATATTTGGATGTGCCTTAATCGGCCTTTTGTCATTTAACTACTTCAATTTTCTTCTTAATAAAATTAGAGAGATGTTCATGTCGTTTCCTCTGATTTTTCTCGTGACACATAAGTAATGTGTAAATATATATTTACCTTATTTGATTTTACATGATAATAATTGAAGACCTGAAGCATTGAAAATAATATACTCAATTTGGTAACTGATATCTTGTTTCGATTGATGCCCATAAACAAGTAAGTGGTAATAATTTAGTTGACTTGTCATAAATCACGAGTGTTGTGCCATTATTTCTAAAAATAATATTTTAAATTAAAAAAAAAAAAACACATTTTTATGATAGATACATTTAAATCTACAGACGACATTATTTCTTATAGCATAATAATAGCTTTACAGAGAGAAAAATAAGAAAATTCAGCATATAATATACAAACAAAATGGTTGGCATTAATGGATGAATTTTTCTATATATGTGCTCTATTTGACAAACAAGGGTTTATCTAATTTAAGCATTTATTTCCAAACACACATACATACTTACTGTGTAATATCTTGGCAAGAAAAAAGGAAGAACTAGTCATCTATATATGTATATTTTATCCCAAAACTAAAAACAAACCAAACAATAGGGTGCATTTGGTCACCACACAATGGAAGAAAGCAGAAAATATTCCAAAGTGAATTCAGATATTGAACTGCACAAAAGCAAAACATATTTCTCAACATAAAAAGCACACCTTTCACCAAAAGATTAATCATAACCACCTCTAGATTAAAGGAATTTCAATGTTGGATAACTTTTGTCACGGACAAGCTTCTCCTAGGAGTCGCAATTTCCTTTTCTTTTTCTTTTTTCACAATCTTATTTATTTAGCTTCGAACCAACGCATACTCTGTAACATTGTATGACCAAAGGCACAGCTGTTCTAAACACCACACAAATTGGAAACACTTTGGACAATCAACATGGAAATGTATATATGCTAGAGAATAATTTTAGGTCTTTTTCTATCCTAAAAACAGAAGCTGATATCCACTATATTATTTCATCAATTTTTTTGGCGCACCCGGTCAACAAAGAAAGATGCTAATACTGCTATCGAATATGCAAGCTTAGCCTTCTACCGATCATTCATGTGACCCAAAACAGAGCAAAAGCTTTAAAAGAAAGATATTATGAGTAAGGAAGGAAGAACCTGATCGATTTGGAAAGGTTACCTGAATTCCTTTTTTGAATGTTCATCGTGTACCAGTAAATGATCTTGATGATTCCTCAAAAATGTGTAGTAAAGTTCACAGTTTGGTGAGGATGTTGCGCAAATGTTTTCAAACTCCATTGCGTGGTAGTAACAGTTTCACAAAAGTGTACGCCAGTGCTCCTGTAAAGACGTAGCTGTCGACCCTATCTAGTATCCCACCTGCTTAGTAAAAATTGTGATTAGGTCGAAATTTAAATGTTGTAGGATGACAGTATATATGCAACTAGTGATAACAATTAACAATCGATATATCCATCCATGCCTTACCGTGACCAGGTATGAGTGATCCTGAATCTTTGACACCGGCATCACGCTTGATCATGGACTCGGTGAGGTCCCCAAAAAGTGAGCCGAAAAAATTCAGAAACCCGAAAGCTACAGCGCTGAAAATTATTCAATATTGATCAGTGTATGTGTAAATTGAGCGAGGGTTATTGTGGCGTTCGTCTTGTACTATAAAATTATTCACCTTAGGACAGCAGTTGGCCAGTGTAGGATCTTCGCCAATACGACCGAAGTAGTTATACAACCAGCTAATCCAGCCAGAGCTCCTTCCCACGTCTTTTTTGGACTAACGGCTGTAAGTGGTGTCCGTCCAAAAGCCTGATGAAAATCAGAAACATATATCATTCAGTTAATGTATGGTCTCATGCAAATTTTTTTGAATGAAACAACACAAGATCATCTAGTTTATCACTTCCCAATTGACATTCCATAATAATTTCATATTAAAGCACATCAACATCCCAACTTCTATTATCTCACTGTACTTCTTGATTATAAATCTGAATTACAGTGCAATGTACTCAAAACTTTTCCTCAGCTTGACCAAAAATAAACAATAAGAAGAAAAGAACTACCCTTCCGCCGATAAATGCAAATGTATCTGCTGCAATGATGCTGCTTATTGAAATCAATGTGGCGACAAGCCCCACCGGCCACATAGTTTGGCTGCCAAGAGAAACAGGCCAAGACGTCATATAACCTGCCAGAGATTGAGACATTAGCACAACACCACATATATTCGACTGTAATATGTATAAATTAAAACATGCAGCAAAACTACATGGATAATGTCCAGGTAGTCTAATACTATTTAAGGCCGATTTTCTAAAAGTCTATTGCCATTTTCAATATCTAATATACTTCAAATATTCTTCAATAGAAATGAAATATTCTTTCTTACTGGCATTCAGGGATGTGGCTGCCAAACCACACCGTAGCTTGACCCAGAAACAAGGAAGGTAGCCACAATAAAACAATCCAAACAAGGTACTAGTAAGTTGAGCAAAACGAGGATTCCCTCTCTGCAGAAAGAGGGCCATAGCTACAAAAAAGGCCGCGGATGTCACAGATACATCAATATTCCCAAAGTATCTGACATGAAAGCGTAGATAGTCATTAGCATAACAATATATCCCATAGTAAACATAATTGATTCAAAAACTAAAATGTCACGGGAATCAATTAAGAGCTCAATGATGAATCAGTTCATGCAAGGTCAACCATTTTATATGCTAACTGTAAGGCCAAGACTAAAATTATCCAAAAAGGAGACACTAACTGCTCACGTCATTGATTATTATTATTATCATTATTTCCTAAAACATTTGTGTTGAATCTTGCAGTACAGTGGTAGCTATCTATGGTTTTAAAAAAATCATGCAATCCCCCCAAAAAATCAAAGCTTCACACCCATAGTTTGTCCTCCAGTTATACAGTAACCCCTTAAAAGAAGTAAAATAAACTACATATTACTAGAAAACATGCTACAAGCAACCAACCACTGCTCACTTCCAGAATTCAGTTTCACACATAGAAAGCAAGGAATCACATACTATCCTTTACTAAGATGACACTTTTCACCATACCTACAGGAATGGGAAAGCTTAAATCCATGTGATTACCTAAAGAAAAATTTTCGAGACAACAGGAGTTTGAAATGCTTACAATGTGAGCATAGGCATTAAAGGGCAAATAACAGAACATGCTCGTGACACATATCGAGGAGGAGGAGTCATTCCAGAAGCAATCCCCCGACTCCTCACGAGCTCAAAGTACTCTCTGGAAGCAACAAATACTGCTGCAGCAAGGGCAGCAGTAAAAATCCATCCTCCAGCCAACACCACTACCCCAACAGAGATTCCAATACCCAGTCCAAAAGCAACCCTTTTCCTCAACTGGCTTCTCTTTTGCTGCTGTTCTGAATCTAAGTTATTCTCCTCTGGATAATTGAGTGCCTCTTTTACCTTCCTACAACACATCCATGTCAGCATTCTATTTCAAACTAGTAAACGAATCATATTGCTAATGGAGTATATATACATAAAGCAGAAGTGCATATCAGGGTATCATAATTTCTTGGTCAGATTCTCCTTCTAGATTCAATCAAATTCTACAGTTTCACAGGAAATCATAACTAACAACTCGCGTTCATATAGCCCGCTCACCCACTCCTAAAATTACCTCATTCGTGACTATCGCACGGTCAATTGGCTCCGGCTGCTCAGCCCTAGCCACAGCCGAAATCACCCGCCGGCATCGCTGCACCGAAGCACCACCAAGAACACTACAATATCCCATCGATCCATTACAATCAATTCGCAATCTGAACGCAACCGTCCTGAAATCGACTCTGCTCGGAAAATTAGGGCGGAAACAAAATCCAGATCGAGATCCGCAGCTGCAGATGGACGCCGGAGTTTTGGGGACAAGAGTCATTGAACGGAAATCAAGAATTCGCGAAGCCATGGAAAAGCGACCAAAGCCTAAAGGATAGGGTTACAGCTTAATCAGAAGCAATTGCAGGAAGACATGGCGGCCCATGGCTATGGCAGCTTAGGTGCAGAGACCACTCCACTCTACCTTGGAATTTTCTTAGGATGGCACCGCAGAATATAAAAGACAACGGACGAGGCGAGCGTTCTGAGATTCTTCGGTTGGTATCGACGCACGGATATTCACTCCATTCCGCCACGTGTCCCCTGTATGGAAACACAAGAACCATGAATAAATAAATTACCAAATTCAAATAACAAGAGAGAAAAAGAATATTTCACTTCAATGAAGTAATGAAAATGCCCAGTAGAACAAACCCTGAAATGGTCAAACAAGATTCTTGACAGTAGCTGTGAATGTCATGTTCATGACAAATCAGCAGAAACTATACCTGTTACTATGTTGCCTGCAACATAAGAAATTCACTTAACAAGTAATTACACGTTTCAGAAGACAATCAAGGCAAGGCAGAGAATGGTAAAAGAAGTGTGATACTGCATTTTCTTCAGGTGTCACATTACAGGAGGAGACTGCAAAGCAATCCAGTAGTGTGTGTGTGTGGTGTGTTTGTGTAAGCTCTACTATTAAAGTATGTCATCTAAACAGCAAAAAGGGCTAACATAAGGGACCATTGCTATGCGTTCTAATACAGATTTCGTGTCATATCAGCATCATCATCAGGGAATTTGTATGGGAGAAGGAACTTGCAAGGACTGGATGACGTCGAAGTCGGGGAGGTTAAGTGGTGGCAGTGAAAAATGGCTGTAGGTGGAGCTGCCTTGTCTCATCTCGTGCATTCTGAGAAGAGCAGCCACCGTGTTCTGGAAGATCCCTTCGCCGGCTGCCATTCCTAATTCCATCTCTGTGTGCAATCTCTGAGATGGCGGAAACATAGACATAGACTCTATTGTGGCTTCACAATCCTTGATGAGCTTTGAGATGAGATCCGTTGTGAAGAATGGCTGTTCGAGGACTTTTTGGATGAAGGGCAGACGCAATACTCCTCCGGTTCTCTTGTCATACTTCTTTAGGATCTTGGCCAGACCTGTGAGGAAATTCAACCTCATTTATCTCAGATCCAATGATTTATATAGATAGATACATTAGATGGAAACTTGGGATTCAGGTTAAGGTTATGCAATGGACTATACATCGAACGTTTACCTGTGTAGTTGATGTTGCTGTAATTGATCAAGAGAACCATTTCGCCGTGGAAATCCACAATGTCTTTTCTGATTTTGGACATCTCCTTTTTGAATTCCACATCCGATGGGTGTGTTCCATTCGGTCCGTATTTGTCTATCATTTCCTGTATTCTCTGTGGCAATTCCTGCATCAATATCATTCATCGTATAAATACACCTAACCACCACGTGCAAATGAAACGAAGGAGATCAGAGTTGTCCGTCTCGTAGCATACAAGTAATTTGTCGCGATTCACCTTATATCGATCATGAAGGTTTTGAAAACAACAGTTTCTTATTATTTTATTTCTAACTCGTCGAATAAAAACAAATGGCCGCCGCAACGTTCCAGTCGATCTACGACTTGAGGCTACTTCTACTATTTCTCTATCATATAAATCCAGATACTCAGGTAACACTTGCAGTTGCAGCAATGCAGTTGATAAGGAGAGTGATCTCGACTCGACTCACATAAGTCGCAAAAACACAATCAAAGCAGAAACACAAGACAAAATCACAAATACAAATTCTCAACCACTATTTTTTCTGCTAAACCAAACTGCAGTCAAAACACATTAAACCAAAAAAACCACAAACCTTATGGCGAATAACAAAATCCTCCTCCTGCTCCATGAAAAAGCCATTGAACTTATCGATCTCATCATTCAACACGCATATAAACTCCGCCTCCGCCTTGCTACAGTCGAGCGACAGCGATCCATCATCCACCATCGCAGATGATGAAATCAATCGCACCAGCTTCTTCAGCCGCTTGTACGACAAATACTTATCGCGCCATCCAGGCAAACTCTGCTCAATCTGCTGCTTCAACCGCTTGCCAAACTTCATTCCTAGCCAAACCAATCAAACGCACACCAGATCGAGATCAAGACCGATCCGTACTGTATGCAAAATCGCGAGGCAATCGGTGAGGCTACTTATATCGAGCAGAAAACAGAATATTTGGAGAGCATATGCTCGGCGTGACGGAGGGAAGGTACAAAAGGGGGCGGGGAGTCTTCTCAATCCCCAGCATATTCGTCTTGTACTCTATTATATATATATATATACACACACGAGACGACGTCGTTTCTAATCTACGCATTAATTACTTCAACTAATTACAATTAGAGTGTAAGTTGGGGAAAGGATGATTCCAAGGAATCTACCGAGGTGATAATGTTTGACTAATTTTGACCCGTTAAGAAATACGACGTCGTTTTATCAATTGCTTTTCATCCACAAAAATATCTGTAGAAAATTCCCGACAAAAGTTAAACCCCCAGCTAAAACCCTCCTTGTTCGCTCAAATGAATTGAGCGAAAATGGCGGTCTCTGCGAAAACCCTACCCATCTCTCTGCGGAATTCCGATTTCTCGAGACGCCCCAACTTCAGAAGCCATGGATTTAATCGATTTACGTGTAGATGCAGCGGGTTGTCACTTAGAAAGGGCAGCCGGGCGGGTTCCGTTTCGAATTCGACGTCTTCAGTCACTGCCGATCCCAATTTATATCTAACTCAGCTGTGCAATCAGAACGAGCTAAATGAAGCTGTAAGTTTTCTAACATCTATAGAAAAGGAGCAGAACGATGATATAGAGGAAGAAACTTTTGTTTCCTTAGTTAGGCTGTGTGAGTTCAAGAGGGCTTCAAATGAAGGGTCGTTGATTTATTCAATTCTGTTAAATTTCGTTGCACATTTGAGCTTACGTCTCGGGAATGCGCTGCTGAGCATGTTTGTGAGGTTGGGGAATATGAGTGATGCTTGGTATGTGTTTGGTAAAATGGAGGAAAGGGATTTGTTTTCTTGGAATGTCTTGATTGGAGGGTATGCGAAGAACGGATTCCTCGATGAGGCGATCGAATTGTACGGGAGGATGTTGTGGCTCGGGGGGGCCGGTATCCGGCCGGATGTGTATACATTTCCTTGTGTGTTGAGAGCTTGTGGTGGTTTAGGCAATTGGGAATGTGGGAGGGAGATACATTCGCACGTTTTGAGGTTTGGGTTCGGCGCGGATGTGGATGTAGTGAATGCTTTGATCACGATGTACGTAAAATGCAGGGATTTATGGAGCGCGAGGTTGGGATTTGATGGGATGTGTAGACGGGATAGGATCTCGTGGAATGCAATGATTGCCGGGTATTTTAGTTGCGGGGATTGTTTGGAAGGGTTGAGGTTGTTCTTTAGAATGAGGGAGTGTTGTTTCCATCCAGACTTGATGACGATGACTAGTGTGATTTCGGCGTGTGAGGTTTTTGGGGATGAGGGATTAGGGAGGGCTATTCACGGGTACGTTGCGAAGATGGAGTATGGGGCTGATGAGGCTGTGAGCAACTCGTTGATTCAGATGTATACGAGTTTTGGACGGTGGGATGAGGCGGAGAAGGTTTTTGCTAAAGTCGAGTGTAAAGATGTGGTGGCGTGGACATCGATGATTTCGGGTTACAACAATAATGGATTGGCTGAAAAGGCGGTCGAAACATATAAGAGGATGGAGGAGGAATGGGTTGCGCCCGACGAGATCACGATTGCTAGTGTTTTATCGGCGTGTGCGTCGACTTGTTTGTTGGATGTCGGCGTAAGTCTTCATGAATTGGCGATACGGACGGGGCTAGCCGACTGTCTTATGGTCGCCAACGCTTTGATTGATTTCTACTCCAAATGCAAATGCATCGACAAGGCTTTAGAGGTCTTCCATCGAATCCGCGACAAAAATGTAGTGTCTTGGACGTCGATTATTCTTGGCCTGCGGATCAACAACCGGAGCTTCGAGGCGTTGATTTATTTCCGGCAGATGAAACTGAGTCTAGACCCGAACGATGTCACCTTAGTCTCTGTGCTGTCCGCGTGTGCAAGAATCGGGGCGTTGATGTGCGGGAAGGAAATCCACGCCCATGTTTTGAGAACCGGATTAGGTTTCGACGGGTTTCTCCCCAATGCGGTCCTCGATTTGTATGTCCGATGCGGAAGAATGAAGCTTGCCGAGCATCAGTTCGATTTGCAGAAACGAGACATTGCTTCTTGGAACATTCTCCTCACGGGTCATGCCGAAAGGGGCCAAGGCGAACTTGCCATGGAGCTCTTCCACAAAATGTTGGAATCGGAAGTACTTCCCGACGAGGTTACGTTTATAGCTCTATTATGTGCTTGCAGCCGGTCCGGGATGGTCGCAGAAGGTCTGCGGTATTTCGAAAGCATGGAGAACGAGTTTTCGGTCACTCCAAATGTGAAGCATTATGCCTGCATCGTCGATTTGCTGGGGCGCGCGGGGAAGCTGGAGGATGCCTACAGGATTATAGAGACGATGCCCATAAAACCCGACGCAGCGATCTGGGGAGCCTTGTTGAATGCCTGCAGGATTCACCGGCAGGTCGAACTCGGCGAAGTCGCTGCTCGACGTATCTTTGATACGGACAACATAAGTGTTGGTTACTATGTTATGTTGTGTGATCTGTATTCGGACAGCGGCAAGTGGGACGAGGTTGCCAAGCTGAGGAAGACGATGCGAGAGATGGGGCTAGCGATCGATCCCGGGTGCAGCTGGGTCGAGGTTAAGGGGAAAGTTCATGCATTTCTTACCGGCGATACGTCTCATCCGCACGCCGAACAAATTGCAGGTATCCTGGAGGGGTTTTATGACAGAATGAAGGCTGCATGCGGCGAGCTGGACGGAAGTTCTGCGAGCGAAGTCGAGGCTTCGAAAGCCGAGGTTTTCTGTGGCCACAGTGAGAGATCGGCTGTTGTTTTTGGGCTGATGAATACGTCGCCGGGGACACCTATTTGGGTGACGAAGAATCTCTATATGTGTAAAAGCTGTCATAGTACAATCAAGTTCATCTCCAAGGCTGTTAGAAGAGAGATTTGTGTTAGAGATACTGAAAATTTTCACCATTTCAAGGATGGAAGCTGCTCCTGTGGAGATGAGGGTTACTGGGGACTGCAAGATTAGGATCATTAGGACAATTGTGTTATATATATATATATATGTATGAATGTTGTATGTCACTGTAAAATGAGATTTGACAGAAATAGGAAAGTTATGTGAGCCAAAAGATCTTCTTGCAGCAAGAGATTCTGTCAAACAACAAGCTGTTATATATATGGATAGAGATACAAACAAGCAAAAGCAAACAAATGCATGGCACACTATAAAATTCACAATCAAATGAATAATGTGTAATCTAAATCCTTACAGCTCTTTTGATGGTTTTGATGGAGGATTTGAGGAAGCTGTTCCGGCCGGAATAGTCCTCATTGTCGTTGTCGCCAAGAACAGAAGGCTTTTTCCCTATGCAGTCGACTCGCTTCTTCATGCCTCCCAAGAGAAGCGATGGAGAAGATGGGATTCTCCGGAATCCTCTGGCACTCTCCGACCTCAGAAGCTCCTTCTCCTTGGAAGCTTTGCCTGCAGGGCTACTCATTCTTCGTGTTTCTTTAGCCATGGAAGCTGACTCTTTTGCCCCTGTTTTCTCCGGCGCAATCTTGTAAGGAGGATTCTTGTAGGGAGTCTTACAGATTGTTGTCTCAACTTCGATCGAGCTTTCTGTTTTCTCATCATTATTGTCCTCGGATACTTTCTGCTGTTCGACTGTTTTGCGAATCACTGTTGCATTCTCAGTTTGTTGCAGTCCCTGAGCTGCTGAAACTTTGATCTTTGCGTGAGGGTATATGAGATTGAGCTTCTTGACGAAGTCATCATCGGCACGGTTGGTTTCATTTTCATTACTGCATTGCTGTGGATTAAAGTCTGCATCTTCTATTGTATCTTCGAGAAGAAACTGCAGCCACTTTTCTATGTTTCCTTTCCCACGTTGCCTTCGGATCTCTTCATCCTCCTCCTCCTCCGGCTCATGATGAACTGGGAACTGCAGGTTGTAGATTTTATCTCCATCTTGTATCTGCTGCACGATCTCTCCTTCTTCTTCTCCTTCCTCCTCATGTTGTTCCTCATCGATCTGTGGAAAACTTGTAGCCGAAGCTCGTTGCTCCTCCTCCAAGAACCTCCTCAGCTCCTTGTGTGAAGGGGAAGTGGACTTGATTTCTGGCAACCACAGAACAGCCTTCTTCTTGCCATTGTCTGCAATTGATGGATGAGGAGTCTGATCGGTTTCTTGTTCCGGTTCGGGCAAATACAGTGGGGTGTTATCATCCTTTTCATTCAAAGAATCATCTGTTGTTCTTGACCTTTTCCTTTCCTGATCATCCCAGTCCTGTGACATCTGTTTCTCAAGCTCATCTCTTTGTCTATGCTTCATATGTAGATCCCTCTCAGCAGAATCACAAATTGCTTTCTGTGCTTCAAGTCTAGCCATTAGAGCACTTGCTGCAGCCTGATTCAACCTTACTTGCTCCTTGTAGATAACACTTCTGCAATAACACAAAACATGCACAAGAATTGGATCAAACAAGAAGCAATAATGACGCTAATTAGGGCAGTTGTTAAAAGTTCCTCAAGATCTTACTGATGCATTGCATCTCTAATCATCTTCTCCAGCATTGCCCGGTATGAAGACTGTGAGTCTGCTAGCCTCCGACACTTTTCAGCCCGCCGTCTTTTCTTCATCAGCACCATTTCCAGTTCTTGGATAGACAGCTTCTGTTCCTCAGTCTTTTGCTGCAACTCGCCTACTTCGTTGTCTAGTTTGTGTATCTCTGCCTGCATCTTTGCTGTTTCTTCCCTCTGTTTCAAAGAATCTCTAGCCAAGACAATGGCTTGGTACGGGTTGCTCGACATCATTGGATCTTGATTTTCTTTCGGAAATTGTTTTATTTTCTTTGTGGCTGCTGGAGTAAAATGACAATCAAATCAAGGTAAGGCTCTAAAAAAACTTACAAGCTATGGAATTAGCCTCTCAACGGAATTCAACTATATGCAACTAACCTACTATAGGAGTGCTCGGTCTAGGCCTTCTATTAAAATCCAAAACTTTCAAGGGCGCATCGAAAGATTCTCTTCGAGACCGAACAACAGCAGCAGGAGCCAGTCCTACTTTCCCTGTCGAATCCAAGAAATGCTGAGGGAATGAATGGGAATCCACTGTCTGTGAAGCGTTCAGTTCTTCATATTCACCTTCAGAAAACAACCATGAAAATGCCCTGTGCCTGAAATCAAAGACATCGATCAATTACACGTCTATCCTGTTATGAATACTCGAGTAACAACAGAGCAGACACTAACCTGAAATCCGAATTGGACGAAGCAAAGATGGACAAGAACTGGTTAATGGATACGCCCAATTGAAAATCCCACCAAGGTATCAGAAACTCCAGCTTGTCATGCTTCCTTCTGCATACTTGCCACTGCAGTATTCTGAGGTTGCTAAGAACAGTCAATCCTCCTCCTGCAATTTCAACCACAAAAATCAAAGTTCAGGACCTATCCAGATAACAAGTTCTAAACCATCAACAATCTGTAAAGAGGGGCTATTACTTGAGCAAGGAAACCAATGATCAATGTCCCAAGCAAGAGGGGAAGCAGCATCAGCATGATAGTACAGAACATTTCCGAAAGGATCGACACGAATTATTTCAGGATCAAAACCAGCATTCCTGGATAGTTCAAAACTAATTAGACTGCTGTGCTTCTAGATAATTGAAATAGTAATAGAAAGCCATGTCAATTTACCCGAGATGGCTTAGCTGTTTCCACAAGAGATTCAGGAAGATCTTCGGTTTAGTAGTAGGTTTTGCCTTTGGATCAATTATTGGAAACAACGCATCCAATTCATTTGCCCTTGAATCCTGCACCAAAACCAGAAAAGGAAGATCAATGGTGCTGATGAGTTCTAAGTTCTAACAGACACTAAATCTAACTTCCTTCTAAGTTCTATGTAACTCTACATACAAAACATTCCAATTTTAGGTTCATCGCTAAAAGCAGTCTTCACTACCTAAGAAAATTCATTTCTACACTAATTACTCTTCAGAATTGAATTCACAAAACACAGAATTAATCAATCGAAGCAATTTCCTTCCCATAAGATCCTCCTCTAACTACCGCCGGTTGCAGCTAAATCAAATTAACAGAGAACGAACGGAACGTAATCAATCTCCATAGATCCTCCAATTCCATTTCACTAAAACTGCAAATCCAAACCACGGAATCCACAAATCCATACCTCTTCCTGAGCCAGAGCGTAAGGCATAAAAGCAAAAGGCGGTCCATGGCTATACGGTCCGAATCCCTTATCTCGACATAGCTTGGCGTAGGCCTTCGGATACCCAAGGCCTTCATCGATCGCCATATCATCTTCGCCAAACACCTCGGAAATCGCCATTCCTTAGCAAAATTTGGCCAGATTGAAACTGCAGTGTGGAGCGTGAAGAGCGTTTTTGATGAGGACAGAGAGAGAGCTTACTAAGGTCACAACGGTCAGTTGGAAAAGTATTTAATCATTATATTTATTTTTTTTGGTTTATCCTTTTTTCAAATGTCGGGCAGCGTAACGGCTAGATCCACTGACCCACCCCTTCTTATTTATACACATTAAAAATTGCCCGGAAATTCTGAAATGACAAAATTGCCCTTGATAGGAATTTATCTTACCTGAATCGATGGGGTTATAAGAAGAATTTCAGTTCATTTTGATAATATGTTACCTCTTATTTTATTTTTATTTTTTTAAACTAATTTTTAAGAAACAATAAAATATATACAGTAGTTGTTTCTTACCAAATAATATTAAAGAATTGCCATAGTTTGAATGCAGTAGAATAAAGGTGAATAAATTTGTGTAAAGAGGCTTTTAATCTTTTGGCATCAAGTGCATTAATTGGAGACTGGTCCCATTATAAATGTTACCTGAAAAGTGAATTTAAATTATCTTTGTTTTAGAGTAAATGCAAGAATTATTATTTACGGTGCATTTTATTGAAAGTTATATTTGTTAACTAATGTATAAAACTTCCACATATATTTATTTATGTACAAAATCTTAGACAATACATAAATTATGTATATTCATGCATTGGTTGAACAACACCAAATTATAAAGTAAATTTTACATTGAAAAATTAAATTGAATTATACTTCCAAAAAAAAAAAAAAAAAGCATAATCAATCACTAGTAATAAAAATTGTATAATTCTATGAAATTTAACTGTGAAATATGATTGTTTTGTTAGAATAAGATTTATTGACTCATCATAATTTTATAAAATTTTAAAACAATCATTTAACAATGAATCTAGCTATATATATAAATGGAATGATTTACAAGAATTATAGCACCATGAAATTCTTATTTAAATGAGGCTATATATTTGGTTAGTATATTACTATAAGCAATAATTTGTCACAGTTTTATTATAGTTGGTAAATTTTCCCTTATTTAAATTTGTATGCAATTATTTTATTTTTGTAGAAGGCATTTATATGCAATTAATAGTCTTGCTTTAATAATAGTTGGTTACTTATTCCATCTTTTCTTTTCTCAATGAATTATATATATATACTTTATTTAATATAATGTGACAATTATTCTAGAATCAGTTTTATTGTGTGACTATAATTATTCAGCCAAATAAATTTTCATCAATACAACTCATCGCCCAATCAATAACAGTTTCATTATATGTCCGATAAATAAATAAATAAATAAATAACAATTTCATTATATGAATTTACACTAACATATTATTAAATGAAAAGGGACAATGATAAGAATGTGTCAAAAACAATTGTTTGCAAATGTAATAAGTATTTATTCAAATATTTGAACTCAAAATGATATTATTACATTTTTTAATCTTAACGTAAAAAAAAATATGAATCAAATTCAATTTGTAAACGAATAAAACTCGATAATGGAAGATCTTTTTTCTTTAAGATTTGGTTTTGATATAATACTATTACTTAACATTTTTGTTTTTCTTAAAAACATCAAATTAAAAAATATTTTTTTCAAAAAAATTAATATAGAGTAAAAAATCATTTAAAATATCACAACAAATATATTTTTTATATTGTATTAAATAGTATTATACTCCTTCTGTCCCGGAACTAAATATCCATTTGTTTTTTGCACGTAGTTTTAGAAATATTAGTATTATATTGGGATATAGTATGAATAAAATAGAAATGACTAAAATAACATTATTAGTATGTGTGATATAAGGGTAATGACATTTGTGTAATATATTGTAAGTTGTAAGGGTATTTGTAATGTTAGATAGATAATATAGTTACTAAAAAATTAAAATGGATACTTTGTTATAGAACGGATGAAATAATTTATTTACTTATTTCTATAAAGAGAAACACACAAGTTTGATTTAGGAATTTGACTCTTTAATGCTCTGAATGGGCTAAGGCCCAATAAATTAATTATGGGCCACCACTATAATCAAAGCAGGCCCAAATAGCTATTATAATTGTCGCATATAACTCTAATAATTTTATTGTATGTTCTAACTAACTGCATTATTATATACACTAACCAAAAAAAAAAAAAAGAGATTTCAGGGTTATTATATACACTAACCAATAAATATATATGAATGATAATATGAAAAAAAAAAAAAAAAAGATTTCAGGTTTTTTATTTTTGTAGTAATTTAATCTAACCAAACACAAATAAATAAATAATTTTTTTTTTTTTAATTGATATATGCTATGAGTTGTGGTGGCTTAGTAGTTAACCCAACCTTCTTTTGAGGTCTTATTATCTTATCTTCTTATTTTGATTTCTTTTTATAAATAATCAAATCTAATATATATATATATATATATTAGGTAAAATTGCTAGTTATTAGATAACATACAATGCACCACACCCTTTTATTTAATTTCCACATATGTAATGATGATTAGAATATTTCAAAATTACAAGTGAGATTCTCTTAAAGAATATATTGCCATGTTCACTTATACTAATACATATGTTTGTCCTTACAAAATTATATATATTAGACAATCAATAATTGAATGACTAATCTACATGCACTCAGACATGTCTGTGTGTTTTATGTGTAGTTCATAATTTGATGAAGTATAAAGAAACATACAGTATTAAACAATAGCATGTACTAAACAAGGTATTAATTGAAATGATTAAGACAAAGACAATTTGTTGTGAAATTGATAGCCAATAATAAACAAATCTTTAATCCAAAACAATGGGGAAGATTAAAGCTAGAGATATGATTTATGCGATTTGAGATAAATACGACCAAAATCTCCAGGTAGAAGCCGCAAATATTACACTAATCAAAAGATGTTTTAAATACAATATGCGACATATATATATATTGGCCAAATAAATTGATCATTCAATAATTAAGTCAATTATCTTCAATGTGATATATTGTTTCAAATTAATTACCGATGCGATATTTACCGAATAATTGGGAATACCGCAAAGAACAAATAAATCTGAAAAGAATCAAACATATCTTGATATGTGTCAAGTAACAATCAGCCACGCAAATCATATTTAAGCTCGACAAAATTTGGATACAACAACAAAAATAAAATAAAATAAAATAATAGTGCGCCGGATCGATCCAAATTAATGTATAGCTACAAAATGGCTGTTTGCTTGTTTTCCAATATATCACCTACATTTTTAACAAATTATAAATTTTTTACAACCCTTTTGAATACAAACACTTATTTTCGAACATTTTCAATAATCATGATGCGTGATGCCATAATTTCCTTGTGGTGATAGTCATGCAAGAAGTGAATTTGATTATATATAATTTTCTAATTAAAATCTTTAATTTCCAACATAAACTAATAAAGAGAATAAAGAACAAGAAAGGGGTACGGTGTGTGTGAAGATCGCATTAAGACATGGAGTGAGATTATTATTTATTAATGGTTAATTAAGTTTTGACCCATTCTTCTTCGGGAGATTGAAGTCAATATATATGATCAAGCAAACTTTTTTATTTTAGGGTTTTTGTCTTAATTTGTGTGTGTGTTTTTTTGAACTTCAAACAGTCCACAAGAAAACTACTACACGTGATATCCTTTCATGTCCAAGTCATTAGTACTATCATTTTGTAGGAAACTTCACCATACCCACTTAGACAAGGAAAAAAAAAAAAAAAAAAAGAAAAAAATCGATGCACAAAATAGCTAGGGTTATTGGGGATCAACAATAGAAGATAAAAATTAATCCGTTGGTAAAAAGGGTCAACGAATGTGGCAAGTTCTTGAAAATTCCATGCCCCAACAGCATTGACTTTTCTAGAAACCACACAAGCTAAGGTTGACTTGTCATGGTATCAAGATCAAATAACACAACATAGCAAAGGAACAGTGTAGGAAAATTGAGAACAGAATAATGGAGAGTACTTGACGATGAATTCAGAGAAAAAATTCCTAGCTTTGACTACCATGTTATATTAGTCATTTGAAATTTTAATTAATTCAATTCAGACAAATAGCCATTGATCGAACCACTTTCTTGGTAATAAAAATTGGTGGAAAAAGAGAAGCAGTATATTCCCCAAGTTGCTAACTAAAATGAACTGTGTCTGCTTTAGCCACACTTTTCATTATATTATATAGTATGATGTAAAAGATACACAACAAATAATTCCATTTGGGAATTTTGGGGAATTGAATACAAAAAATGTAAAATATTATTTATTTATTTGGTGTAATGAATTATAAATTGGGCATGAAACGAATTGGGGCTACCTGATTTGGCCTAGAAAATATAAATATATTATTTGGGGGTTAGGGCTACTAACTAAATACTAAACCAAGATTACAAATCAATGCATTATAAAGTTAGTGTTCTTGTGGTGGTTGTAATAAATTAAAGTAAGAATAAACTTTAACTATTCGAACATTATTTCATAAATATATATATAGAGCCCTATTTGATAATAGGCAGCACGATTGTCTTCAGAAGTTTGTTAATTGTAATTGCTATATATATATATATATATATAATTAAATTGGGCTAGCTAGCTAAGCCAATTGCCCTCTCCAGGGTCCAATAAGTCTGCCCTCGGCATGCACATATTGATTTATTTATTTTTTTAAATCCTCACTGTATTATGAATTAATTAAGCTGTGTCAACTTAAAATCAAGAAAACCTTTTCATTACACACATACATATATGTGTATAATGTAAGAAACCCAGAAAACAAAAAGTAGCACAGGCAAAATTAAAGCTGCTATTCCATTGGACAAAAAAAAACAAGTACACAGAATCTGGTTTGATATTGTTTACTAACAAGTAAGAAGAATTATATGCATATAATACTATGTGTTTGTATAAAAATTAGTGCAATGTAATAAAAATGGTGGGTTGGGAATTGGCCACTGACAGCCAATGTAATAATAATAATTATTATTATTTATTATAATTATATATCAATTTATAGACCCCCCCCTTTTTTTTTTTTTTCTCTCAGTAGGGCTGCATGAGCAATAGTATTACCCAATTAACTATCCTGGAAATAAAATAAATAAATAGATGGATATAAATAAATAAACAGGATGTGAGGGGAAGGATTTGTTGCAGTTTGGTACTGAACATCCTACTGCCATTTTTCCAAGTTTGGCAAACTGATTTAATTGCAGGAATCAAATCACCTGTGCTTTTTGGTCAGTACAACAAACAAATTAGTCAAGAAATTAGGTATGTGCATTCAATTTTATTTACTCCAAATCTCACACCTAAGTGCCACCAAATCGAATCTTCACCCCCACTCTAGCCATACATACATACATATATTTTTTTAAAAAATTTCAATACCCACAAAAAAAAAAAATATAATAAATAAAATCACATCATCTTACTTCTGCTGTTGCTCTGTACATTGTTTAATTAAAGGAATACAAAAGACTTTGATTGATTTTGTAATAAAATTTTTTTACTAGTGTTGATTTGTTACTTCAAGAAAAGGGGTTTGCAGAAAACAGTTGGGAACATGTAGAAACTATGAGCAATGTTAGTACCATAATCACAACTAACTGCAAAAAACTGTTCAGGATTATTATTATTACTATTTAGTGTTACTACTGTGATTCTTAATTGTAATTCAATTAATTATTTGATTAATTAAAATGAAGCAAATCAAATTCAATCCCAAATTGAACTGCTCGATCTGTTCTTCTCCCAGTATTGATGAAAAATTAAATCTTTAATTAATGGCGGATGAGATCCATGGAGATGACGACGATGATTTGTGTATTGAAGAAAAAAGTTGACTTTAATTTAATTTTACCTCTACCTCTCTCTTTCGGACACTCAGTCCACTGTTAGAAAAGCTTTGTAATCATCGATTAATTGCTTTAATGGACGAATTCTGCCTCGGACACGGCGGAGACGTCAATCTGGCTGTTCTCGTCGTCGTCGGGCGGCGCCGGAAGGTTCAGATCTATGTCAAGGATTTCGCCGATTTTCGGAGTGTTTGATCCGGCGGGAACTGCGCCGCCGGCGAAATGTGATCTTTTGTGGCCGCCGAGGGCCTGGCCGGAGGGGAAAATCCGGTGGCAGAAGGGGCACTGGTGTATCTTCTCCACCGCCGGCGCCGGAGAAGATGAACTGGAGAGCTTCTCCGGCGAGTTGACTTTGACTTTGTTGTGACTTGCCCGGTGGCCGCCGAGCGCCTGGTACGACCGGAAAACCTTTTTGCACGTCTCGCATCTGTACTTCGCTTTAACTTTACTCATCTTTCCGATCACTTCCCCGCCGCCATCGCCGTCGCCATCGTCTTCTCGTCGACGCGTCCATTTGTCTCTGGACAGCATTATCAGACAGTGCGCCACGTGTTCTTCCGGCGTGGTGTCGGAAATCGAACTCACCGGCTCTCCCTCCATTGCCGACTGCTCATCCCCCACTTCTTTCAATTTCTTCTCTCCGCCGGCGGCGAAGTCGGAAATTCTTGATTTCCTAACCCGCTTAGATCTCCGGCGGCCGGAATTTCCCCTGGAAGACTCCGTCTCACTCTCCCTGTCCTGCACCAAATTCCCCCCGCCGGAAAACACCTCTTCCTCCGATGACGACGGCGAATCCAACAAAAACTCATCTTCATCTTCATCTTCTTCGAATTCCGGCCACTTCTCCGGCGAGGCAGAAATCTTCGGCACGTGAGATCTCATGTGCCCTCCCAAAGCTCTGCCACTTCCAAAGCTTCTGCAGCACACTTTGCATCTATGCCTCTCCTCCATTACAATTAAATCAGTTTTCTTACAAGACTGATCGATCGATCGATAAGAATTGTGTGAATTTGCAGAATTGGGTTCACTTCACTTCACCATTTTCGATTCCCACAAAAATACATTACACACTCTGTGCTGAAGCTAAAAGGAGTAGGTGACAAGCATTCCTCCACCCACACAATATACTTATATAACAGAATCTGCTTCCCATTCTTTAGAGCACCAGGGACCACAGCTCCCCGCGCCTAAACACACCCCCATAGGAGCCCCGCTCCCTGGACCTCCGTAAATGCCAACTGATTAAAATTTTTATTTAAATTGTGGATTATTTGTGAAGTAAATTATGTGTATGTATTTCCTTTGTAAAACGGCAAAAAGCAATAAATAATGAAAAAAAACTAATTAAAGCACATTGGTTCATCCAACATGTAACATGCGACCTTTGCATTTATTTCCACCCTCTATATATAAAAAGGAAATTATGTATTTCCATAAACACCCTTCTCTTTTACTTTCAGCCAGCCCCATTTATTTTTATTTTTTATTTTATTACAAGCAGAGAGAATCAGCAGCAGATGGTGTGTAGAGTAATAAAATTAGGTCAATTGTGTTAAATTTTACAGGGGTATTCTTGGAAATTCACTGTGGAGGGGGTTACCAGAACAATGAATCAACCCACCCATCAGATATGCATAGGATTTGCTGTAATTTGTAACCACAGATTAGTCAATTGGACCATAGTAAAATATGGCACTTTGATTGTACTTATTAGAAATATCTTACTATAAAATATTACAATGAAAAGTGAACAAAAAAATGAAGAAATTAATTTCTTGAAATTATAAATCCCACGTATAAAATGCTATTTAAAATTTCAATAAGAAGGTATAATTGCCGTTTTGTTAGGGGCAAAAGGTAGACCCTTAATTCCCACTCTGCTAATTACTAATGCTACCACCTAATTAATTAGTTGAATTAATCTTTAAATTGAATAATTAATTAATAGTACAAAAAGATGATGCCATGGTACAATTTTATTGTTGTGGGAGTTATGGGATTATTTTTAAGTCTTGAACTAAACAGTGTGTGTGTGATTACTGTTCTTAATTGTGTGCCCACTGTTGCATAATTCATTATCTTTTATTATTACATCCTGTCGGGGAAGTGATTTATCGAACAAAACTCGTTCGAATATTTTAAAGGGCCAACTCCCAAAGCGTGGGCGGTTCACAGTTATAACTACGTTTCAACAACGAAAAACAATGCAGAACATAAAACAACAGTAAGACAAGGTATTTGTTGACCCGGTTCGATTATCAACCAATCTACATCCGGGGATACCAATCCAGGAGGAATTCCACTAACCAGTGCTGATTAAGGACACAAACAACCACAACTCATTCAACTCTAATGCTAGTCATGACTAACCCAGGAAAATACCTCCTAAAGTTCTCGTTGCTACAACCTCGTACTAACAACGACCACACAACATAGAATTCCAGAACTTGATCATTCCCTCCGGTTGGAACTCCATTAATTCCGAACACCTTCGACCTCTCCGGCGAATTTTTCTGTCAAAAACTCATTCAAAACTAAAGAGAATCGATATGGATAGATGGATGAGAACTTCACTCAATATTCTTCTCTCTAAAATATGATCTTCAAATCACATATTACCAATCTTCAACCCTATCCGGTAGAGTATATCACTCACATTCCTGGAATAAAAGATTCCACATTAATTTCCCTTTGCACCGTAACGGAAGGAGTGAGTTTCCATATTTTGATCTTTTTTCAAATATGTCTTTTGTCTTTTGGAAAGTCTTTGCTGCAGAAATTTAAGACACCATTAGTTCATATGCCAAAATAACTTAGGGGAATTTCCATTCACACACCCCATTGTGATTTAATAAAAACGTACAAAACATCTTATATTTTATTTATTGCGCGAAACCACCTGTGTTAATGTAAAGTTTGCACGAAACACTCTCTTTGTTCAAATATGATATTTGGTTCTAAATAAAGACCTAAATTACGCAAGCTTTATTTAAATAAAAAACATAAAATATTTTAAATAATATTTTTGAATAAAATAAATAAATATCATATTAATCCTTCATTTTATAGATTTTTTTGAAACAAATTGTTATCTGATTTTACAAAAATTATAAAAATGAACTATTGAACCATTATTTATTTATTTATTTTATTCAAAAAAATTAATTAAAATATTTTATATATATTTTTTTTTATAAAACTTGCGTAATTTGAATTTTTATTTAGAATCAAAAATAAATTTTAAACAATAAGAATATTTAATTAAAAATTTTACGTTTATAATTATTATTATCTGTGAAAATGCTTAGTAACCAGTAAGTGTGGACGGAAGTAAAAGTCAACGTTTATTAAAAAGTCAATGGGACCAGACGGGCCTGATAACATTTAGCGGGCTTTGCAGTTGTAACTGTCAAATTGAAGGAAGACACTTTTGGTCTCTAAGTCAAGTCATTTATGGATCGGTGGATTCATCATTAATTGCAACAGTTGACTCCACGTTGACAAAATCGCCCACCAGTCCACTTGTTATTGGACACCTTCCTCTGCTTACAGCTTACAGTTAGTTGTTTACTTTAATTATTACATTAATAATAATAATAATAAAATGGATATGTTTTTTTAAAGGATTATTATTATAATTATTATTATTTTGTAAAGTTGTAGTATTTTGATTTAAAATAATGATTTAATCTAATATTTTATTAGATGAAAAGAACAAGAAAATTGAATGGTAAATTTTATTTATTTATAAACAACCCATTTCTTTTAACTTAATCCAAATTTTGGGGTTTTGTACTTTTGGGCTGCTGAGATTCGGCTCGTGCCTTAAAGAAATTAAATTTCATAGCCATTCCTAACCCAGCCCAAAAAATAGCTTTTTTTGTAGTAAACAAAAAGAACACAGCCAAAATACATAGGACCAGTTATTATTATTATTGTGTTTTGAATATTTTGATTTCTGTTACTTTTAAATAAAATAATAATTAAATGTAATGTTTTATATATAAATATTGAATATGATATTGGAAAGTAAAAAATAAATAAATAAAAGTATAGTCAAACATTCCAAAATGCTTAAGTTGACTAATTTTTCATTGCATTTTGACCACTTTCAAATGACTTCTCATGACTTGACCTTTATTTAATTATATATATATATTGAGTACATGTATTTGTACTAAAAAAAAAAACTATTAATTATAACTATTTGTGTGAATTTTACAAGAATTCCGAAGTTTAAACCAACTCATATATTACATACAAAATCTTTAATTACAAAATGAATCTTAACATATGTAGTTTCTTTATAATAGATTAACGAAAAGAAAAGAAATTATACTAATTAATCCTATTACTCACTATATATTCAGTCTTGCACCAATTAATTATCAATTACAAATAAAAAGGACATATATGTCCTTTATACAATTCAAATGGTAATGGTATATGAATACAAAAGTTTGTACATTAACTTTCAGGAATCAGTGACGGCAGCAATGGTGGTACCGGCGGCGGGTTCAGAAGTCGCCGGTGAACCTATTCCCACTTGCAACCACTGAGAAGAATTTTCATTGCTACCCATTTCCTTCAGGTCATTTAAATCGCTCAATTTCGCCAGCTTCAGCTTGCTGTCGGCTTCGTCCTCAACGGCGGCGCCGGCGCCGGCGTCGGCGTCGGCGTTAGAGGGGCAACATTTGATCTCATTTATAACGTTGTGGTTTCTGTGATAATTGGTAATGTTGTCTTTGTTCTTCAATTGTAAATGCGACGGAGAATGCCTTTGTGCTGAGGCAGCAGCGGCAGTGGCGGTGGCAGCGCTGTTGCCGATCCACGGCTGCAGATGCATCTCGGTGGAAACCTCAAAGCTCAACGGATTGTGCGGGTCACGGCGGACTCCGATGATGTCGGCCCACGCCGGAATGTTGAGATCAAGTTTCCCGGAGATGTCAGGCGCCTTTGGAGGCGGATGGATGATTCTAGAATCGGCATTAATGGTGTCTTGTAAGAGGAATTTTGGTAGTGACGCCGGCTTCTCCGCTGGCAGGGCGGCGTTAGAGGTGATCCAATGGCATCTCTTGTGGCCGCCGAGGGCCTGTCCCGAAGTGAAGACACGGTGGCAGATTGAGCACTCGTGGACTTTCGATTTCCGTCTGGCAGCGCCAACCAGGGCAGCTGGGCCCTGCTCGAATCGGAAAGAAGTGTTGGGATCGGCATTATTGTCCTGACGGCTATAATCGCCGCCGCCGCCGCTGGAATTGATTGCAACGTTGTCCTGATCCGATTGGTCCTGTTTGGCCGCGTAGCATCCTTTAACCTTCTTATGACTCGCACGATGTCCTCCCAACGCCTGGTGCGAATTAAAAACTTTATTACAAGCCTTGCATTCGAACACCCCTTTCGACGCCGCCTTCCCGGCGGCGGCCCTGAAGTACGATCCGCCGCTAGGGTTCCGCCGCTCCTCCTCCCTGCTAGCGGAGGCGCTGGACTCTTCCATATCCAACACGGGGGGCGACACGGGCGTGTTGGCCAATTGGACTAAGCATCTTGCCAGGAGGAGATCATCTTCGTCACTTGTTGAATAATTAGAGCTGACGCATCCAACTTTTGACCGGAGGGATCTCCGTCGTTTTGACCAACCGCGCCTCCCGCCGGCGCCGTCATCTTCGGCGTCGGAATCTGGCGGGGAGATGAGGGAGTCGGAGGCATCGCCCCAGCTACATTTACCGTGTTCAAGAAACGATTTCCAAGACAAGAATTCTTTTCCGCAATTCTCGCAATTCCGACAGCTCTTGAGCCTGTTAGGATTGGTCCTCAATTGGTACATTCTCTTAGTTCCGGCGGCAGAGGCGGAGGCGGCACCGGCGCCGATCTTGTCCTCCCAATCGCTGCCGGGGTCGTCGTCGCTGAGGCTGCCGTTATCGTCGCCAATGCCGTGGGCGCGCATGTGGCCGCCGAGGGCTCTCCCGCACATAAAACCCTTTTTGCAGACTCTGCAATAGTGCTTGAAATTAGGCTGTTGGTTCTGTTGGTCTTCATCGGTGCAGGCGGCCATGGATGTACGGACGGAAGGTCGAGAAATGGTGGTGTTGGAAGAGAGAGACGAGTAGGGTTGGTTCTTGTAGTGTGAAGTTGTACGGTGTAAAGAATGTGTCCATGTTTTTAGTGGGAGTGAGTGTTGTTGATGGGACGGGGATCAGAGGTGGGGAGAATTTGGGGGGTCCGAGGTTAGGACACGTGTACGGTGGAGGATGTTTCGATCTGTCGATGATGTCCAAACGCCGCCGCTACTCGATCTGATCCACGGTGTGGACGTGGACTTGTACTTTCTAAATATGACTGATTAGGTACTAACTATATTCTATATATATCCTATATTGAATTCGCCAACTTTGCCTATAAAAATCTATGCCTCTCCTTCAATGTAGCTAGCTGCATTACCCCTTCTTTGTTTGGTTACTTGTTTCATTTTCTCTTCTCACACTTATAATCAACATTTAATTTAATTTTACTACCTAATAAACATATAAAATTCCAATATAAAAAGAAATCAAGATAGTAAACTTTAGCTTATTTGAGTTTTATAATTAATACTTCTTTCCTACCAACTCAAAAAATACTCATCCTATTATTTTTCGTCTTCTTTTCCTCACTCAAAACTACTAATTTCCAATTATTGCATAACTAGTAATTTATTTATTTGTTAGGGGTTGTTTTGTTTAGGCTAGGGTTTGAATTTTAGTTTTGTAGTATTATTTTATTGATCTAATTAATATTTTGATATAATATTTTGTGACGAAAAATAATACTATATTTTTATTAGAAAAATAATATGTTGTATGCTTGGATTGTTCAGTTTTATTTTGCATATATATAGTTGTTGATTTTTATTAAATAATATTTATTGAGTAATATTTTTGGGAACAACGTCAATTGATTTTTGTTTGGAAGAAACATAACCAAACTGTCATGCTTCAACATCTGCTGATTACACGAAATATAAAATGCAAGAAGACTTCTTTCAGTTAAGTTTGAAATCAATTATTGAAGGAATAATAAGTGATATCATTACCGTCTAATTAAAAGACACTCCTATTTAATTTGAAGTTTAAACATGTAATTTCATCATCTCGTTGACTTTTCTGTAAATTAGTTATTTAATTTTGATTCAATAAACTCAAGTCAACGATCACGCTCAACACGTTCGTGCTTCAATCAACAACACTTATATATGCAGGCTCAATATCAATAATCCATTCATAAATAATTTAATTAGGTCTCGTGTCAATGATAATATTTTACTTCTCAATATATAACTAGTATTTCAATAATATTCTTTTATTGTCATATTGTAAGTGTTCATTTAAATTTACAATATATTTTTCAAAATCCAGCACAATTATATTATTCCAATTTTATAATGTTCCAATATCATATATTATCCACCATTTAATTTCGCAGCTTTGAAAAATAAAATATAAAAAAATTGCACCCAATCAAACCCGTATAAAAATTTGAAAACCCAAATGATAAACATACATAAATATATTACTTTGCATTAATATTGCAAATTAAAGCAAAAGAGACATTGAGCACAATATCACAAAAGGATTGGCTCATATTCCAACACAACAGACAGTAACTAAAATAACTAACTAACTGCACACAGCGGGCAGAGACAGACCTTTTATAATTATATTACTCCTATTTCACCATGGATTGGCTTAGGTATTAATTAATTAATTAATTAATATTGGAATAATTGCAGGCCTTGATTAAAAATTGACCATGGATCTGTAAGTCTTTCCGGGCACATAATTGGCCGGGATGACGTGGTCCGCCACCACTACCTTCCCGGATTTACTCGTCAGCCTCACCGAGAACGGCGCCGGATAATTCCCCGGCAAATCCACCTTGTGTACAGCACCCCATAATCGACTCATTCTCAGCCACTCCCCGCCGCCGCCGCCCCGCCGGAGCTCCGCCACCTCCAGCCCGTCGCCGTCCTCGTACTCGATGGCGGTGGCGAAGTAGTTTGGATTGCTCCCCTCGTCCACACGGAACGCCACCGTGGTCCCGCCGAAGTTGCACGCCACTCTATCCAAATTCCAATTATATATCATTAATTAATTAATTAATTAATTAAAGAATATTTATATATATATATATAGTTATTGATTAATTATTGTTATTTATTATTACTTCCTATATTGGATATCCTCAATTCCGACATTCCGGAGCTGATTGGCCTCTCCACGATTGGCCATAGTTCCGAAAGAAGTGCCGCTGAGATCGAAGAGGAGGTTCTGTGAGTCACAGCCGGGGCATTCATCGGTTATTACAACCGTCACCGCCGCGCCGGAGCAAACCGCCGCCTTCGTGCATTTCACCTGAAACAACCTCAATTAATTAATTATATATATATTGGCACGTGGAGAAAAAACTTATTACAGCATTAAAGAATGAATTAAATAATAATAGTCGAAACCATATTAATAATATACCTGATAACAAGTTCCACAAGCGTTGCCGGAGTCATAAAGAGAGGACGCCGCCGCCGTAATCAAAGACGAAAACGGCGCCGTATCGACGGCGGTCTTATATCCACAGGCACCACCTTAATTAATTAATAAAATAATCATTAATAACTTCCATCATCATTATTAATTACTGATTAAATTAAATTAAATTAGTACCGTCGCTGCCTGCACCGGAAGGGTTTCCATACCAGCTGGCCCTGGCTGGCGTCCAGCCGCCGCCGCCGCCGGAATACTGAAGTTTGGAGAAATTGAGGAGTTTAGGGCTGAAGGAGTGGCAGGTGGATGCAATAATTAGGGACAGCAGAAATAGGTAATTAAGTTTTAGGACATTTTTATTATAGTTGGAGGAGAGGAATGATAAAGCTGCAGCAACCATTATATTGATGAATCTATCTATCTATTGGGCTGAGAATGTTATATGTGTGAGAATATGATCGACAGCTATTTATAGAGCGAGAAAGAGAGAGAATAAAAAGGAAGAAGAAGAACATGCATGCCATGCCATGTTATTACATGCATGGTGGCCCACCAAACTCACAGATGATATGATTTGATAATTAGATGGCCCTCTGTTTCCATGTGGGGGCTAACAAAGAACACACACACACATTAATATTCTTTGCCTATTTGACTAAATGCACCGCATGTTACGTTAGCGTTCCCCTCTACTTTTTCATTTGATTAGTATTATTTTTTATATATATATAGTAAGAATAATGATAATCTATCTTACCTTCCATTCTTGTGTCTCGAAAAATTCAAATACAAATTATAATTCAATATTAAATGAAATTTATTGCTCCCTTAGTCTAAATCAATGGGGTTATTTGAGTTTTTTTTTTTTTTTTTTTTTTTAAGTAAATTAAAAAATAATACTATTTTATTAGTTAGCGTAGGTGTGTAAGAACTTTTTGACATTTTTATCTTTGAACTTTACATATAAAGTAATTATATATGTAATTTAAATTAAAATTAAGAATATTTTAAAATTAGTGTATAATTATTTTTTTTAAAATATAAAATGAATACTTTGAAATTGAAAAAAAAAATAGTAAAAAATGTGATTTGAATTAGAACATAAGGAGTGTATATTTTATTAATCCCCTCTAAATATATATTCCCTTCGTCCACTACTAAACTTTTCAATTTAGTCTTCCAAATCAAAACCTCTTATTTATTTTTCTAACTTTCAACTAAATACCAAAACATCCCTATTTTTTATTTGTTCACATTACTTTTTAAGGATAAAATAAACATTACATTACTTTTAACACTACATATTTATAAAATACTAATTTTACTTAATCCACGTGTAAAAGTCAAATGAAAAGATTACCGGAGAAAGTATATTTTTTGTTATTTTAATCTGTCTAAATATTATATATATTTTTTTCTCTCTCTCTCTAAATAAATTTAACTATATTTTACAAATAAATAGTTTTAAATTTATATTTATTTATATCAATATGATTATATTAAATTGATATATATAAATAAATATATATATATATATATACAGAAAAATATTCATAAGCTATTGTTTAAGTACAATACTTCTTAAACTCCACATCAAAAGTATATGAATAATATGGAGTTGGCCGAAGGAGTATTATATATGTGTTTGTTACTTTGTTTAGTAAATTAAAGGCATAGTCAACCATATAGTAAGGGTGCGTTTGTTCGGGGTTTGGATTTTGAGTTGGGATTTGAATAGTAAAATTTTTGAATTTGAATAGTTGTATGATGTGATATAAATAGGTGTTGATGTGATGTTTTGAATGTAAAATTGATTTTTACTATAATATAAAAAATGAAAAATAGGTGTTTGATTTGATATTTTTTACGGGAAAAAAATTAGATGAATAGTAAGATTTTTGCAAAAGCTTACAAACGAACACACCCTAAATGTTTTTTTACATAAAATTTTATAATTTTTAATAAAACTAAATTTAAAAAAAAAAATAGTGCATTTAAATTTTTATTTAAATCAAATTCAAATTCAAATTCAAAATTATAATACACAATCAAACCTAAGTGAACACAAACCAACAATTCTACAAGACTCTTAGCATATGCTCGAACGGTAATAAATTTCATTTAATTTTAGTTAGTGTACCATTATTGAAATGTAACTATTAATAATAGCGTAAGGTCAATGTTTCGAATTCTGTCAATACCATCTCGGTTTAATTTGTCACATATAGCTTGCCATAATAGCTTCTTCGGCTGACATTTACTGCATTCGAAAATCACAACTGTATGTGCATGGAGACCAAATTCGACATAAATTTACATGAAATTCAATGAATTTCATTTCATTACATTACATTAGCCTTTGTCTAGGATTGATGTTCAGGCGCAGGCGCAGCCATTCCCATATCCGAAATTTGAGTGCGTGCAGTTAATGGACCGACAAAAATAGCAATAGTTCAACGGCACAGTAACTGACAGAGACTCCCGTAAGAAAACCCGCCGTTAATGCAGGTGAATACTGACCGTTAGCCGTTGATTTGACACGTGACTGACGGTTACACATTTGAATAATTTGCCCCCATGTGACCCCTCGCCCCCCATTCCCTTGATACCAGGCGCTCATTCTGCATATTCGTTTTCATTTTTATTTTTATTTTATATATTATTATTAATAACTTAAATATATATATATGTGTGTATGAAATAATTGCATAATCGCATTGCATGTCCTAGTTAAATAAATTAAATTAATAGTCGAAGAATTGCTTTTATTATTTTAATTAATTGATTAATGTAATAGCGTGCTCATTAATTGTATAATATTAATTGGCAAATCTTGAGAAAATGAGTTGCGAAGATCCTGTCTGATTACGTGTGAGTAATTTAGCAGAATGGACAATATAAAGTAACATGTTCAAGATAATTATATTAGCCTCAGCCTGTAATGTAGTAATTACTACTAATTCTGTCACGTGGGTGTCATTATCCAGTTACAGCCTAGTCCTGATTCCTCAAGATTTGCTGCAAATTATACAAATACCCAAAAAAAAAAAAGTATTTCCTGCAAATACGCTTCTGTGATATCATATACTTATATTGTTGCATGTCAAAAGGTTTTTTCCCAATATTTTAGGGTTAATTTCAAAATATTATAGGAAGCTGTTTTGATGTATTTTTGACATTTTTTTATATTAATATTACATAAAAATACTATAATATATATATATTTACATAAAATTTATGATTTAAGACTGGTCAGCTCAACATTAGTACAATATTATCTGCTTTGCACTGAGTTTGTACGGATTTGTTTTTGCACTTACTTCAAAATATCTCATACTAGTGGAGTTTATTTAGAACTTATTTTCTTAACAACTTTCAATGTGAAACTTGGATTTCCACCCCAACAAAAAAGAAAAACACAACAAATTAAAAATACAAAACACACACACTACGGCTTTGTTTAATATTTTGATTTGAAGAATTTTTTATGTGAAATTCAAATAATCGTATCGATAATATAAAAAATAATATTTTATGTTTAAGGTTAGACTTTGTGGGCGTGTAAAATATATATAAATGTGAATCGTATAGAAAGGAAAGTTTGGACAAGCAAACCCTATATATTTTAAACAACTATGAACAATAATGCTTCATCCATCCCAAATCAATTAGAAAATAATTTTGTGGCACGAGATTGAAAATTTTTCAACGGTATACTCCCTCCGTCCCATAAATATCGTCTGGGTTGAATACGGGATTTAAGAAATATTGATATTATATTGGTAGTTGGTAAAAAGTATAGATAAAATACTTTTTTTGCCCTTGTGAGTGTATTAGTGTAAAAAGTAGTGGCAATTGTGTAATAAAAATAAAAAAGTATAGGTGGTGATATGGTAAATTATGAAAATAAGACTATTGTTTTAGGACGAACAAAAATGGTAAACAAGACTATTGTATTGGGACGGAATGAGTATTAATTATTAATTACAAGTTTTTGCCATTGTGAAAATGCGGTTAATTTAAGTGTAATAAATTAGTGACATTTATATAATAATAATGAAAATGTACCGTTAATTTTTTTTTTATATGGTTAACCCATTATTCATTATTTGGTGAATTTTTGCTGAGGAAAGTCAATAAAGGGACAAGGGTGAAAATAATGCGGTCAAACTTTTTTTTAAGGTAAGTTACAGAGGTTTTGCCTTTTTTAATTTTTTTATTATATAATTATTATAATCTTGTATATAAAAAAAAAATACATTATTTTCATATCAAATAAAAATCTCAAAATAAAATCAAAGTCCAAAAAATTAGAACACACCTCTTTGGGCCTTCCTTACAAGCTATTCTAGTCCGTGGATCGTTCTTCTTCAAGAAATATTGAATATTCCCAAAGATGCTTCAAAAAAATTGCAACCAATATGGTCCATTACATTACAATTTTGTCTTAATTAAAGTTGTTAATTTAAGTATTTTTTTTGTTGAATATTTATGATATCTATTAAACACCGGGAGAAAAACTAATAAATCATTTTGGTTCAACAACAGTGTCGAATATTTCTTGTATGCACCTTTCTATTCAATTTTATTACATAGTTAATACATTCTCTAGAGTAATCTCAACTTAAATTGAGTTAGGTCCAATCATTTTTTTTTTTTTTTTTTTTTAATCTTCTAAAATAAAGTGGCTAAACTCAATTTTATTTATCAGTCGCAAATATAGTGAAATTCTTATTTATAAGCCCAATAAATATAAATTGAAGACATTGAATGCTAAAAGTCTAAATTAAGCCCAACAATTCATTAAATTGCTCAATTGTTCGGTGATATACTTAATATATAAACATTTTAATTAATTCCACGATTTCAACACTCTAATTTACAACAAGGAAATTCGAGGTCCTTTGTTATTATCAAACACCAGTCACTGTACAATTAAATCTTACTGTATTAATATTAATAATTACACACACACATATATATATATATCAATATAAACTATATTTACAGAAGAAGAGAAGCACCACTGCGATGGTAATTAACGGCGGCGGCGCGTGCGGTTGTTGACGAAATCCGGCGGTTGTAGGAAGATGTTGTCTTAATCTCTTCTGCACACCTCAAAGCCCTCTCGATTTGGTAGCCTCCTCCGAAGCTCACCTCCCTCTCCAAATGGCTGCAGTAGCTCTCGTACACGCTCACATTCACGTGCAGTCTGAACTTGATCGAGAACAGAAACTCCATCTCCAGCCTGTTCATGTCCTTCGCCGACAGCCCCCCCACCCGACCAAAGTAGGAATTCGGGTAATTACTGCACATTTGTACATAATTGATATTTACATCGTCGTCGTTGTTAATCAGAAAGCTTAATTTGATTAATAATTAATGGATTTGCACCGACAGAATTAAATTAATTGATTGATCCGACTTACAGGTCTTCGACGTACTTGGAGGCGACCATGATGGTGGTGATCAGGAGGCGGTGGACGTTGCCGCCGGCGATTCGGAATTCCGGGAAGTTCTGCCGGAACCGGTCGATGTACACGTAGGCAACCACATAGACCGACGGTCCGGCTCGGGTGTACCGGAATATTCGCTCCAGATACGACTGGACCGTCATGTCCGGCGTCTCCTTGCAGTCGAAGATGGAAGCCGCCGCCTTCGCCGGCGGACATTTGCGGTGGCGCTTGGCGATCCTCTCGTTTCTCGCCACCGCTCGCTCGATTAGAGAGGCGAGAACGGAGATGACTAACGGCGTCGTCGTTGGAGTTTCCGGCGGCGACCATGAGTGGAGATCGCATCGGAGCTTCGTCGGAGATATCAGCACCCCCATGGTTGTCGATTTGGGGATTAGGGTTTTCAATTTTGACTCAAATTGCGCGAGTTTACGCACATATATATAGGAGGGACTGAGGGAGCTTGAAAGGTCCTGGGACCCCGGAGGCGGAGCCAGATAGATGTACCATTGTACGTGTACGTAACAAATTATTTAATAAGGTAATTTGCTTTATAATAATAATATTTCATTCAGATCTATTTAATGAATAAATTATTATTATTTTCATAATCTATTAAATGAATTGTTATTAAAAAAATAATAATAAAAAATGAAGAAATAGAAATATTATTATTACAGGGCGCCGACGGTACGAGTTAGGTCGAACAGACAATTGCATTTAATATCTGACTGTCTTGAGTCTTGAGTAAATTTATTTCAGTACACGTGCAATGGCTCACCATAATAATTATAATATTAATAATTCTGACACTGTCTAGTTACTTTCGTGAAAATTATTTCCTATAATTTTTCACCTGATAATTTTTTCTTAAAAAAATAATTTTAAAAAATATTAAAATAAAGTAAATATTATAATAATTGACTGTAGAAGATTCATCATCATTATTATTATTATTATTATTATTATTATTATTATACAGATTACAGGCTGTATTATATGTGTATGTGTGTGGCCGCAATTAATAACTTTAATGAACATTGTCGTGCACTTCCTCCGTCGTCACATTTTGTAATTTACTAATTTGGTTCTTACACTAAATTAAATGTATAACATTTGTTATTAATTAATTCTGATCCTGAGATATTAATTAGTTTTTTTTTTTTTTTTTTGGATCGGATGAGATACATGCATGATCGTTATGTAAGAAAATAGTGATTTAATTATATATTTATCAATTAATGAATAATAGAAAACCCTTTATGTACATGCATGAGTGACGTCAATGATGTAATAATAATTTTTGTAATTAGAATAGGACATAGAAAAAAGATTTTATATAGTATCACTATAAAAAAAAATAATATATTTGTAACGGAATTCCGTCCCTAAAAATCACGTAGCTAACGTAATTCCATCGTTAATTCCGTCTCTAATATCATTAATTACGGAAAAAATGAATTTAAAGACGAAAAAATCTCGTTACAAAAATTATATTTTCTTGTAGTATATATATATATATATGAAAATGATTCAGATTCTCTTTGCATATATACTTTTGAAAAATCTGCCATTATTCATCTATAGTAGTTTTTTAAAAGATATTTTATTAAATATATTTTTTTCTTATAAATTATTACATTAAAATTACAAAAATCCAGAAATCTTTGTCAAAACACAGTTTACTAATTAGTCTTATATAGTACATAAAATACTTATATGACTTCAATTAATTAATAGACATATATATATTATGTAAATTGTTACTATAAATCATATTTTCCAAAACATATGAATTAATTAACATACATTTTTTTATTGAAATCAATTATAATATCTAGCCATAAATTAGTAATTCATTTATTAGACCCCAAATTATGGTCAGGAAGTTGCCCACACTAATAAATACTTTTGAACCATAATGCATTATGTTGAAACGCCTTTTTCATCAAATCATCAGCAAGAGTCACAATTTTTTTATTTTTTTTTATTTGTAAATATATATATATATATGTTCAATTATTGACTGTTTAAATATTTTCTATATATTATTATTTTAAGTTTTTATAATTATGAAAACAATCTAAATTAATTCTTCCACAACATAAAACAAATTATATTTTGGATCAGGATGGCCAGTAGGTAGGTGGGATTTGTCTGGGCTAGAATGATGTGTATTAGTTTATTAATCAAAATTTTAATCTCATGTGATAAGACAATAAATTTTTTAATGAACTATATATATGTATTTGATATTTGAATGATGAGAGTATTATATTTGTAATATAAAATAAAATAGTGAATAATACACACATTATTATTGAAACTTAGTTCAAATTAAAAATGGTAATTAGTTGTACTTATCAACACTCAAAACTATCTTACTAAGATGAATTAAATATAGACCATATGTAGCACAATCACATGTTTGTTTGGAAAAAATATCAATAAAGTATTAAAAAAAAATTAAAGTGTAGATATTTTGGCAATAAATATAGGAATATGGGGTTGGCATGCAGGTCTTGGATATTTATATTCCCTTAGATTTTATTCATTTAAAAAATTAAAAAAAAAAAAAAAAAAAGGACAGTAATAGCATTATCAATGTGTGAATATATATATAAAAAGTAAAAATACTTAATTCACTAGGTAGTGTGATATGATATGATTTTAATAATATCGTGTGGGGCAAAGAAATTGAAATAGTTTCAATGAAAATGGAAAAGAGATACTTATAACTACTTAAATATATATGGCCACATTGTTTGGGTAGAAAATTCAATAGTACGATGGTAGGACATAATAAATAAATAAGGGGGAAAAACGATGGAATTGGAATATCTATATTTTATTTTATTTTTTAAAAAAGATAATATATAAATTCTATAAAATAGAAAATAAATTTTTAACCCACAAATTATATGTTCATTTGAATTGAATATAGATTTTAATGAATATAGTACTATACTTGTTGATTGTGATATAAATAATAAGTATTATAAAAATATATATGTATTTTAAAAAAATATATAGGTTTTAGATATATTGAATGTGTAAACAATTTTGATATATTTACAAGAAATTTAATATTAAAAATAAATAAAAATATTATCAAAGATTTTTTAAAAATAAAAAACTACATTTTATATGTAAATATATATATATATGTAACTCATAAATTTGATGGAGGGAGAATATAGGTGTGTTTGTTTGGAAGTTTGGATTTTAAGTTGAAATTTGAATAATAAAAATTTTGAATTTGAATAGTTGTATGATGTGTTATAAATAGATGTTGATGTAATGTTTTTAATGTAAAATTAATTTTTACTATAGTATAAAAAATAAACCATAGGTGTTTAATTTGATATTAAAAAAAAATGAAATAAATAATAAATTTAAAATCTAATCCACCGAACAAACACATTCATAATGGGTCTGCTGTCAAACAAGACAATGATGGCCCGGCCCATGAACATTTCCTTTCCCTTCCCTAGTCTAATTCATTTCGTTTGAGCCTTTTTAAAAGCATACTTCTTATTTCTAGAGTTCACTCTAATAATAACAAAAATAAATCGATGGGTTTAAATGAGGGACAGCCTAGTGGTCTGGAGGTTGAACATGGGGTATTAAGCTCAATTGCAAGTTTAAACTTTCACAAATTTTTAGTCCCTCAGTATATGATTTTTTCTACATGTATATATTTTTAAATTTTGATATTATTAATCAATATTATTTTTTTTTTTATAAACTATTACATCTTTTAGATATTATATCAAAAATATTCAAAAAAATTATATTCTTAAAACCTTACAAAATTTCAAAATATCAAGTATTTCTATTTAAATTAAGGAATCTCTTACATTAGGTGACAAAAATCAATTGGAGGCATTGGTACGAACTAATTTGCAATGATTTTGTCTGGACTTATTTTTGTTAATGAGACAAAACAAGCATTCGTGTACGTGTGAGTGTGACATGACATCCATCTTTTAACTCGGCTTTTTTTTATCTATTTGACTCTATTTTTATTTTTCAAAATTTATTTTTATATTTGATCTTTTTTCTAGTTGTTTGTTTATTTTGTTCTTCTTGTTGGAATTATTTATTACCAAAGGTGTCCTTAACCATATATACATGCTTATTAATTTATATATTTCTTGATGATGAAGAAGTGGTGTTTTTATTTTCTTGCTACATTTAAGAATCAGAAAAAGAACACAACCAATGAATGAACGACGCGTCATCATTCAATGACGTGGCATAATACGATAGGGAGAGTGGGGCTTACCTGTTGATTATTTATTTCTGTGAAATTAATGAGCGAAAGAAATTTCTAAATAAAATTTGGCAAAAGGGATAAAGATAATACCAAACTCAAGTGTCCTGTTCAATTGATTCCTTCTTCTTCGTCAAGCTGACCCACGCAGGGGCAAAATCTATGCGCAGTGGCAGTTATTGATTATTGATTGTTGTGGAAGGCGCGAAACGGCGTCGTTCTAATGCTTGGTTCCCTCTGCTTGTGGCGGCGTCGAAAACCCTAACCCTAATTGCCCGGAAATGTCGGACAGAAGCCCCGGGTGTGATCGGAGGATTTCGAGGCAGCGCCGCCTGAGTTGGTGCGAACCATTTTCCGGCGAATACGATGAGGAGGCGTTGAAGAATGTTATTCGGAAAATGCGCCTTCTCTCGTTTCCCAACTCGGGGTCGATAACTCCTCGTTCCGAATCGGAACCCGAATCCGAGACACCATCGAACCCTAGCCCGTTATCCGCCCTGCCGGATTGCACCGCTTTGCTCTCGGATGAATTGTTGGTTAAAGTCTTCGAAAGAATTTCGGAACGGAAACAGCTTTTATCCAATTCGTTGGTGTGCAAGAGATGGTGCTCCCTGTGCGGGAGGCTGATCGAATCGATTAGGTTGTTGGATTGGGAGTTTTTGGAATCGGGGAGGTTGGCGTATCGTTTCCCTAATTTGGTTGATGTTAACATTTTGCCGGCGAGTATCAGATTCGAGAGGAATTCTGGGATTTTGTTGTCTACTGAGTCGTTTGGGGTTTATCTGAATTCTAGTGTGCTGGAAAACGATGGTTCTTTTGTTCGAAAACTGGATATTTTACCTTCTGAAAGGATCGATGGAGGGGTGAGGATATTGTCGGAGGGGTGTAAGAATTTGAGAAAAATATCTCTAATGAATGTTGGTGAGGAAGGGCTAACCTTCTTGGCCACAGAGTGTGAGATGTTGCAGGAAATGGAGCTGCACAATTGTGGTGATTTTGCATTGAGAGGGATTCACAGGTTTCAGAATTTGCAAATATTGAAATTGGTTGGCAGATTGAGTGGGGTTTATGCCTCCATCGTTTCGGATATTGGGATGACGATTTTAGCACAGGGGTGTAGGCGATTGTTGAAGCTGGAGTTAATGGGGTGTGAAGGAAGTTTTGATGGAATTAAGGCGATTGGAATGTGTTGTGAGATGTTGGCAGAGTTGACAATTTGCAGCCATAGAATGGAGGGTGGGTGGTTGTCGGCTCTGTCTTATTGTAAAAACTTGAAGATCTTGAGGATCAAGCTGTGTAAATATATTGATGATAATCCTGGGTTGGATGAGCATTTAAGGTCTTGTCCGATGCTCGAGGAGTTACATTTGTCACGGTGTCAATTGCGGTTTAAACATGGTGTAAGATCGTTGTTTCTGGTCTGTCGGGCTATTACAGGGCTGGTTGTTGAGGACTGCTGGGGACTGGATAACGGTATATTTGCTGCTGCAATTATTTGTAGGTAGGAAATGAGATGAACTGTGTTTTTAATTGATTCATGCCTTGTGTTTTTATTCACTTTAAAATTCAATCTGCACTGTTCGTCCTTGCATTTTGTGGTAGATTTATGATTAGAATTTAAGTTCTTAAATGGGAAGTCTTGTCTTTCATTTGTTATGATTTGAGCTTTTGTTCATAATCAAATTCGGGCATATCCATGTTTAGAGCTTGCAGTCACATTTAACATTACCATGTAATAAAGCTGCATACATTTAGGTGGATCTTAAAGTCGATTAAACTCGGATCTTTTGTATTACATATGATACCTCAATTGTTGTCATAACATGTTGAGGAGATTCGGAAAGTCACGGATAGTAATTTGTTTGTAGGGGCATGAGGTTTCTCTCACTGGAAGGATGTTCGTTGCTGACAGCACAAGGATTAGAATCCGTAATCCTTTCCTGGGACGAACTCGAAAGGCTCAAAGTAGTTTCGTGCAATAAGGTAAGGGACAGCGAAATAACTCCGGAGCTAGCACAAGTATTTTCTGGGCTCAAAGAATTCAAGTGGCGGCCTGATTCCCGATCGATGTTGTCAGCCGGCCTCGTGGGCACGGGAATCAGACAAAGCGGCGGGAGATCATTCAAGAGGCATTGATACAGCAAAAGGTACTGAGCAACAACACGGACAGCCCACAGAGACACCATTTTTGTATGGATTCCCTTACAGTAAGTGATCCTATGTTGTCGATTCTTTTCATCTATGCCCACTTTCTTGGAACTATTTTGAACTTGTTATCACATCCATTACCATTTCTTACAGGCTGGCATTAAAATCAATCCCCCATTCTGTCATCTATGCCCGTTGAAGCAAATAAGATTGCCTGTGAAATTTGGACAGCATGTTTGGCTACAATAATTGGATGGGTTTGTTGTATGAAGACTGTAAAGATGAAGAATAAATTACCTCACCTCTTATTTTTTACTGCTATCTTATAGATATGTGTAATAATTAATTAATATAAACATGTGAAATGTTTACCCCACTTGTGTGCCCTTTTTTTTAAGGGACAGGGAAAGATCGAAACTTTATCTCCTTTTTAAGGTAATTATTACTATTGGGAATGTTGTAATTACAAGAATTGGTATTTGGTCCAAATAAAGCAGGTTCTACTCATGTCCACGTGGCTGGAAATCATTGGCTGTAACCTAACCCTTGTTTGTTCAGAGCAGAGAATCAGATCGAAGTAGTCTTTTACGAGAAAAGGTACGTCTCGGCTTTCTCCAACTATATATGATTTAGTGATTTTGGATACATGGACGTGTTTTTTATGCTCCTCGATTTGTGGATTTGATGTTTTCTTTTTTGGCAAAGTATGTGTAATGTAATGGTGATTTTGTGTTGGATCTAATCTTTTTCTTGTGTTTTGAGAATCGCGAGATCTGAAGGATATCTGTAGATTTTTTGTTTTAATTATTTTTTAAAATAATGGTGGGCATTAGTTTTGGGATTATAAATATTAAAGAAACTAGAAGCGAGTAGAAATTAATTTAAAGCATTGGTTATAAATCTTTAATGTATTTTCTTGAGGTATATTTTGCATTTCTTGAGTATGTTTGTGCTCCTAGTGCTTTAGTTACATACTATTCGCTGAGCTGTTTGTAACACTCCTATGACTAATTTCTTGGCATGACTAATTTGCACATCAGTATGGAAGTGAACTTCAAATATAATTATACTTCCTCCCTATCAGTATCCTATAATCTTTTCAAAAAGAAAATAATAATGATAAAAAAATTTAAATTATTCTATTTAATATTATCTATCTAAATTTTCGTACTTAATTGGAGGGAAGCATTTGAAAAATTTTAATAGTATTATTAGGAGGGGCAAAATTAAGTACATCCCGAAAGTTCGAGTCAAACACGACACTAAAAGACTCTTGTTTCGGCCTACTTTTGGCCCGAAAATCTTTGGGCTATACTTGGCCCGTATGCTAATAAAATGAACGGCTCATGAAGATCAAGCTGGGCTTGATTCGTGATTGGGCCGAAGAATTCAAGCCCAATTTCCGGTTTGATGGGTCCATTTCAAGCCAGATTCTGGGCCGAAGAATTCAAGCCTAATTACCGGTTTGATGGGTCCAGTTTAAGCCCAATTCTGGGCCAAAGAATTCAAGCCCAATTTTCGGTTTGATGGGTCCAGTTTAAGCCCAATTTCCGGTTTGATTGGTCCATTTCAAGCCCGATTCTGGGCCGAAGAATTCAAGCCCAATTACCGGTTTGATGGGTCCAGTTCAAAGAATTCAAGCCCAATTTCCGGTTTGTTGGGTCCAGCTCAAGCCCAATTTCCGGTTTGATGGGTCCATTTCAAGCCCGATTCTGGGCCGAAGAATTTAAGCCCAATTACCGGTTTGATGGGTCCAGTTCAAGCCCAATTCTGGGCCGAAGAATTCAAGCCCAATTTCCGGTTTGATGGGTCAAAAACTGGACCCGATCCGAATTACCACATCTTATCTTTCTAAATTTCCGTGTGGAGGGAAGCATTTGCAAAATTTCAAATCAAAACAACCACTACCCTGCTGACAAGTCCACAATCTGTTACAGCAACTGACTGCTGTGTGTTCCGATTTTGACTTTCTTTATTCTAATTGAAACCGTTAAATTGGATTTGAAGTTCATATTTTATAAAAATGCAAACCAAAAATTTGAACAACGATTTACCGTTACAACTTAAAACTTGACTATAATAACCATTTTTAATATTTTAGAATAGAAACCAAAACGCCATATTGGGGCCTGCCTTGAAAAACTTTTACCAAAACTAGGGGTGCGTTAAAGGTCGAAGAACCCTAGAAAACGAACGTCCGGACGTTAATCTGACAAAAAAAAAAACATAGGTGAGAGAATCTACAGCAAATCCTACAAGCAACAGAAATCATTGAAATTTAATCCGTCCTTCCTACATTCAATCGTTAATGCATGCCCTCGGGTATGCCGCTACCAGACACTACACTCTCGTCCACAGGCTTCGGTCCCCCACACGACCTCGACACCGATTCAAACAGCTTCTCAATCTCAGGTGCGCATCTTGTGAAACTCCGGCTCCAGAAGTTGTACCTCGGGTTCTGTATTTATGGTGCACACGTTAAATAAAGCGAGAAGGTCGGGTAGGCAAGAATAACACTCCTAAAATCTTTACCTTGATAAGCTCTATGAAAGTAATTAGAAGACCCCATGGATGGGGACGGTTCACAATCAGGCGTTCCAACAGGACTCGGGTGATCTGCTCCTGGATCATTTCCTGCTTCGTGCAAGCATCAAATGGATGGCAAATCAATAATACAGTAAAAGTATTTGTTGCCGTAATCATATGGAATGTGCATACCTGGTTCGATTCGGCAAACAGATAGAGAAGAATGAAAGAGAAGTAGTGCGTGTGGTTGTTGGGATATCGTAATTGGTTGGCAATAGCATTCAGGAACAGATAGCGACCCTCGGTGTCCAGATCCATTATCAGGGCCTGGAAAATGTCCAGAGCGGCACTCACCAGGAATGCATTCATGTTAGCCATTGACTGAGAATGAGAAGGGGATCTTGCTTGGAGTTGCTGAATAGCCTGCACAAATTTTCTTGACATTATGATTCCAAGAATAATGAACCAACACATTCATACAGTCGCCGAGTAAAATGATATATACAAGAAACAGAATAAGAAGAAGCAAAACCCAAGACCCTATATCGATGAGACATACCTGCACCCCAACATACAGTACAAGGGAGTTGAGAAGAGGAACATTGTAACGAGTCCCAGCACGAGCCACTTCAGCTGGAGAGAGTAGTAGTTTCTGCTTCAACTCAGCAACAAAAGGGGACCCTTGTGGTCTCAACTGAAATGAAGATTTCGACACAGACGATTAAAAAGTCATCATTAACACAAAAAAGTAACAAAACCAATGAATGGGAACATTTAAACGATTTCAGTTCTCCATGAAATTATTGTTGTTCTTTGATATTAACCTTGAGATATTCATCCACATCCGCCTTAATCTGCTTTGCTTTAAGAGCTGCATCAACTTCTGAGAGGATCCGCGGAGTCAGACTAATCTCAGCCAACAGATCAATCTACATATTTCCAAATAATGTCAAGAACAGGAACTTCACAAACTAGAAAAAAACATATATAAGAATATAGTGACCTTTAGGTTCGGTGTAGAAGGATCTGGCAGCCTCATATTCCGGGGAAATGCGCTAAGTACAATGTTTCGCATCTGTATGCAGCTTGGAGGAATGACATCGCAAAAACTAAAATGATAATCACAAAGGAACTCTGGAAAATCATGTAGTAGAACCAACAACACCCTCAGTGTCCCTTTGTAAAGAAAATGAACCTACAGAGGAGTTACAAGGACATTAATGTAAGCAGGCAATTTTTGTAAAATAATGGAGATTACGAAGTAATAGACACGAACCGGATCTCCAAGTTCAGCATTCCTCAGGAAAGGCTCCATAAACTGGAATAAGTCTACCAACAATCTTTGCAAATAAGGCCATCCTTTCTGTGCATTTGCTACTAGTAATTTTGGCATGAAACTCCTGTGGCTTATCAGCTCAAGCCATGCAAAGCTGAAACCAAAATAACAAGTGAGTCGAATATATCCATAATGAGGCAATCAAATAAAGGGTACAATATTAAAAAGAGGGTATTTCTCTAAGAACTAATCAATCCTTTCACTGTTTAATATTGAAAAGACGGTATATAATATTGAAAAGACGGTATTTAATAAATCAAATGGGAATACGCTTTGCAGCCAACAGGCTGTTTTATCTAAGAGACGGGGTATATAATATTGAAAAGAGGGTATTACTCTAAGAACTAATCAATCCTTTCACTGTTTATATCACAAGAGATGAAAATGATACAATTAATATATCATCGCTAAACATTAAACACAAGAATATCAAAACACATTTAGTTAGGGGAGAGGAGAAGCCTCTGAGGAAGGAAAAAAATCGCTCAATAGAAAGTACCAAGAGTGAAATCATACAAACATAAACCACAAACCTGAAGCCTGGAACTTTAAGAGGTTGTAGAGCATGGAAAGAATTTGCTAATGCAGTCAGCACCTGATTGGATTATAGTTCAAAAAAAGGTTGATTAGAATATAGAGTTAGTACATTGAAAAGAGCCCATAATTGCAAACAAAAACAAAGAAAATAGTCAGTTCATTAAAAATACAGACACAAACATACTCGTAGAACTCACTGTCTGAAGAATTATACCTGAAAGTTTGCACCATCAAATACTGGTTCCAAAGAGCACAAATCAAGAATCCAATTAATAAACAGCCTAAAGTATGGCCTTGGATTGAAGGATGCCCTCTTCTCTTCAGCATCTTTTTGAATAAACTTCACAGTAACAGCAAGAACCTGAAAGAAACGACAATTGAGTGCATCAAATTATTACTATTATTATTATTATTACTATTACTATTACTAGTTAAGCTTAAGAAACTGTACCTTGGGCAGAAGAGAGAGTTTGCTTGACGCCTGATCAACGGGGGAGAACTGCAAAGTTTAGAAGGAAAAGATTAAATAACAACAACCAACATAATGAAAAGACCAGGTGATATCCAACATATAGCAGAGGTCTGTAAGTTCAGCTTTCCTTTCGGAACAGCCTATATGTGGTGATACGCACCTTCAGAACTGAAAACACTAGCTTTGCAAAGATATCAATAGCAAGGAATGACAATGGCTGTCCTTGATGTGGCTGGGATGAGCCAGAATTCATGACCTCAGAAGATAAACAGTGTGACACAGAAAGTTCCTGAAATTTCATTGATGTTAACATAGAAAAAGTTCTATGTAAAGAGCACGGAGCAAAAAAGAGGATATATACCATGATTCGGCGGAAAAACCGATCTGAGGTGTCGTCCCCTTTAAGCAGGCCTCTCTGCTGTAAGTGTAGGACATAGCGGGCGCAAGCTGCATCATTTGCTCCTGGAAGCTCGCATATTTGATACCATTCAGCAAACAGCGCAGACACCTACATGAAGAGCGCATAGAAACTAGGGAAATAAGAATCTATAGAGGGAAACTTTAGAAACCAAAAATCTGAGTTAACTGTAGTATAGTTAGTACTCCTAAACTTGCATGCAAGACAAGTTCATTTAGAAATCAAGTCGCATCTCAGCAATCCCACATAAAATTAGTCGCTAAAAGGTCCCTCATTCAAGAGCTTTTGAACACCACATTATATAGGTAAACCATCGACACATGTGCCACTGCCAAGTTCTCACGAGTAAATAAACAAAATTTTGCACCTGCTCGTGAAAACCAGCAGGATCTGAATCCACCAACTCTGAAGTAGCATACTCTTCTCGGCTTCCTCCAGAAAACCCAGTGGCCTGTTGCAGCATCATAATTTTAAATACAGATAACAAAACCAGGATACAGACCAAATACACCCCTCAAAAGAGTGAGTGCTCAAAATGTGTGTGGGTGTTGGGGGGGGTGGTTGCATGCATGAAAGACCTTTTTATCCCTAGGAGTTCTCGTACTGTCTTCTTTTCCAATAGCCATCGGAGACAAAACTGCAGCATTGGCAGGGTTCTTGGCAATCTCAACCAGCTGTTGTAACGACTCTGGAGACCCAGGTCTTGCAGCAAGCTGCTAACATAGGAAATAATCAAAATATAAAACAATTACAACAATCATGCATGCAGAATCTGGGACAAATATATGAAGCACGTGCCTTTGCCAAAGCATCAACTAGATTGTGCAGTTCTGATATAACTTTCGAATCGTTGACAACCAATGCTTGAATAAGAGAAATGGCAAAATCTGTTGCCGGCTCTGCAATAGCAGAAATTTTGATTATTTTTTTACTATATTATTTTCTCAGATTCAACAAATCAAATGAAAAATGTGATGCATACTATTTCTTCCTGCATCAAGAAGCTTAGCCATATGAACATTGTACTCAGCCAGGTTCAAAAGTTCACTGCGGATAAGGCCAATTGTGATATCTTTATTGAATTTCCTGTCCTCCTCAGAGTATATTACCTATCAAAACAAAAACAAAATAAACAAAAAAATTTATATAGAGAAGGAAGCAAGACATAAATAAATGCATTTCAAATATTTTTTACAAAGAATCAAATAGAGAAACACATTTTCCCAAAGCAGGAGTGCTACCTAATATTGAAGTCATGTGCTTTCAGAATGGAAAACATTATTATCGCACATTCTTAAACAGCATTTCTAATTTGCATAAATTCACCATACCACTCCAAAATAAAGGAAGAAGCTATATTCAGCATCAAAGAAGCAACAAAGCTTAGTTGATGATACTGGTGATCGTTCATTTTACACAACTACCAATTCACCTACTATACAACAACCTCACCATGCAGATGGAGCTCTTAAGCTTGCCATCAAAGAAGCAGCAAAGCTTAGTGGTGTCAGTGTTCTAATGATAATAGAGCATCCAAAGAAAAATAATTGAGCCTAATCATAACTAAAACTTCCAATTACATTTTTTCCCTTCCTAAATAATAAATTGAAGCAACAATAAGAATATGCATGAAGGTTTGTCAGAGGATGGGAGAAGCTGGATACAAAAAAGTCTAAACAAAATAAATAAATCTGAATTGTAGAATAGCAGGATCTAAAATTTCCATTAGAAAACTAGACATACCCAACTAGTGAGCTCCTTAACTACAAGCTTGCTAACATCACGAATGGCAGACAGTATTGCCAGATGGGCATCAACATGAGCACTGTTAGATGCATTTTCATATACGCCCTTGAAAGCCTACATCATTAACAAAGATATATTACTATAAAAATAAGTATTTATTCAACTAATATCAAGAAAAAAAATAAAAATAATAAAAAATCATCACCTTTTGAGCCACAGCCAAGGCAGCTTCATCTCTACTAATGCACCTGAGGATAACTGCAGGAACCTCCGCAATTACGCCCTGAAAGTGAGCATCATTTAAAGCATTTGTTTAAAAAAAAAAAAAAAAAAAAAAAAGAAAAAAGAAAGAGCCTTGACTTCACTCATTTGAAGTGAATTTATAATGACGCATTAAAGCTGAAGCCATTTACCTGAATTTCAGCATCCTTCGAATCATTAGCCATGAGATTTTCAAGCTGAAAGGTATTATTGTGGTGATATTGTTAATGGACAAAAACAGAAACACCAAATCTCAAGCCAACTAGTGAAGAACAATCACTGATTAATAGACATGAGAAGAAATACGAATGCCGTATATACCTTCTCTGAAATTGTCTGGTACTTATCCAGCGCCTCACCCGTGGTTAACAATGGGTCGGAGACGCTACTTCCAGGACGTTCAGAAGCCAAAGATGCAGTAACAGGTTGCACAGTAGCTCCAGACTCCTAAATTAATAAGAGTCCAATCAATAAGCTTACATCTACACCAACATGACAATTTCACATAATTTACGAACCTTAGCAGGGCTAGCAGTTTCCAGCACTTGCAGATCAGAAGTCGAAGCAGAAGGAAATGAAGGAACAGTATCACTTTCTAGACTTTGTGAAACATCACCCATCATATGTGTTGATGGAACACTGTAACATCACCAGAATGTTTGTTTGTTTATTTATTTATGTATTTTAATAGGAGGAGGAAAGAGAGAAGTATAGGCAAATAAGAAATATGCAAATTTTGAAGAAAAGCAAGAGATAAACCTAGGAATCTGAGAACCAACAGGCTCTGCCTCATCAGAATCAATTTCCAGAGTCTGTGGAACAGCACCAGCTCCAGCATTTACATGGCTAGATGAATAAAGGCTTGAACTTATTTGGCCAGATGGAGCTGCAAATTGATGGGTCACTCCACCACTGGCAGACGATACAGATGGGCCAACAGGTGGAGGATTTGAACCTTGTTGGTTTCCGCTTTTTTGTCCAGGAAGGCGAGCAAAATCCTAACCAAACAAACCAAGAATGTCAAGACAACCAATTATTAAGTAATATTGGAAATTTAATCTTTCCAGAGGGCAATAGGATCCATCAACCTCGTAAACACGTTGTTGGTATTGAGATAGCTGGCCAGGTTTGGGGCGAAGGGACTCTGGAAGCCCCAATTGGCCTGGTGAATATGAGCCTGTATCAACATATCCTGCACCAGCAGCATCTCTAGGCTTTCTCCGACTATTAAGTTGTTGAGCAATATCTCCATCAATGGTTTGTACTGCCTGTAAACACAACCACAAGAAATGAAGAATTAGTCTACTAGATTTAGTTAAAACATTATTAGAAAAAATAATGCAGCTTCAATTTTATCTTAAAAGATATACAACAGCCCGTCCAGTGACAGTATCAACTCATGATATAGTTCGTGTGGTTCAATAACGAATGTCTACCTTCTCTGTAGCAGCTTGCTCAATCAACACACAGCCAAGGTCCAGATTATCATTAGTTACAAGTTGTACTGCTTGTTCAAGAAGTTCAGTTGATATGCCCATTCCCTGGAGTGAGTTCCTAAGCTGAGCAGATATTGAACCTCGCAGAGGTTCCTGAAAAAAGAGGAAAACTTTATCCATATTAGAAGGTGAGTGATATTTTGAGAGAAAGAGAGAGAGGAAATTGAGTATATCATCATCCAAGTAGCAATACTAGACAAAGCAGATATCTTGCCTTGCAGGTTACATGGGCCAGACTGCCCGCCAATCTTGCTACCATCAAATGTGCTGCATTTCTTATTAGAGTCTCATCAGGCTCCATGGAATAGTCCTGCCATTGATTAACCAATACCTGTTCAGTATCATAATAACTACAATATGTGTATCTTGGATGGGTATTTTCCAAAGATGCCTCCAACGACCATCATAACAAATTCTTAATATGTTTTTAACCAGTATATGTTATACGCAACTTCTTAATTTTATTTCTAACTTATAATCTACAGATTGGGGTGTATTTGTATCCATATTACACAGTTCCAAAAACCCTCACCCAAATCGTCCCTTTATATCCAAATGCGTTGGTACAAACTGATCCTAGGTTCTTTATAGAACAAACAAACTATTCTCATTCATCAAGTCAAGAACTGGGATGAGCAGACCTTCATAACAAGTTCCTTGGTTGTCTGAGTCGCTATAGATACACTTCGTTGAACAATACTCGACACTATCTCCTTAACAGCTCTATCCATGGCAATTGGAAGCACGCTGAAGCAAATAAGAGAGGACAAATGTTTTTAACATACCAATCTAATTTGTAACAGAAGGCTTCAGATTAAACTAAAAGAACCAAACCTCTGAAAATGTAAGTGTAGACCATAAGCCTGAAGCTTCTTATTGACAACAACTTGCTGTTCAATATTAGCAGTTGGCAGAGGAAGCTGCAAACATAACAAAATCAGAGAAATAATAATCAGTCCATAAATGCAAAAAAAAACAAAAAAAAAAAAAACAGGTGAGCTTTACAAACCTGACTAACTGAAAACTGTGTCTGTCCTTGTAGAAGGCCTTGTGCAGAAGGAAGCTGGTCAGAAAAACCCAAACTCCCCATCTTCTCATCCTCCGTCAATGGTCCAGGTGGATGTTGGAGAGGGGTGCCATACTGATCCCAAGACCATAAAATCAAGCCAAGAATAAAACTTTATTAAACTAAAATGGCACTGGCTAAAACAAACCGGAGATATTATTCTTGAATGGCCACCAGGATGTTGAGCAGATGTAGCTTCAAGGGGAACATCAATTTGATTCATTGTAGATATTACTCCAGGTTTCGCATCATTTACCACAGTTGGCTGCGAATTTCCAACATCTTTATTGGAGAAATCTGGATTTCCATCAACTTCTCGGTATTTATCCTTTAGCAAAGATGATGGTGCAACCTCTTTAAGATCAACACCAAGATTTTTAAAGAGAACCTGAACGGAAAGGAAAAAAATAAGAAAAGGGCTTTCAGTAATATAAAGCATGCATGTGAAAACATAACTAGATGCAAAATGCAAAAGGTAAAATTACCTCAATCTCAAATTTAAGATTCATTTTCAAATTTGGCATTGCATAAATTTCAGCAAGCAATCCAAGAATACCCATAGTCCAAGGATTGGGAGGTTGATATGCAAGGCTATTGGAGCATGGTTCTAGAATCTGGAAAAAGCACAGAAGGTGAACAAAATGAGGCATCCTAAAAATTGACAGGATGCAGAATTATACCTTGGAGGTAAAAGGGATAACAGCTATCATAAGTCCCTTCTCATAGGCCTGTAGAAACACAGAAATATTGGGAGTACTTCAATTATTATACAAAAAATAGCATTCAAACATACTCAATGGGAATATATGTATGTGGTGATAAAATAAACCTCCAAAATTAGAGACTTGGGATCTATCTCTCGCGCCCTTAGAACTTGGTTTTTGCCAATTGTAATCTTCCCAAGCCAGCTTCCTAAGTTTTTCAGCAATGACCGCTCTTCTACACTTGACTTTATAAGTTCTGATCCTAATAGAACCTGAAAAGCAAGCATGAACCAAATTTGAATACCAAGTGGAAACGCAGTGGGGGAAATCAGCAGTGATGTGTGCTATGCAAACCTTGCAGTTTTCATAAGTGGCTTGAACAATCTCCTTATTCAAAGGCTTAGAATTAACTTTATCAAGGAACCTTAAGTACAAATCATGAAAATTTGTCTCGATGCTTGCCCTGTCAACAAGTTCATGGAAAATAAAGAAAAATTAATTTAATCAATTTAGTCACTACCATGAAAGCTACAGAAAAGAAAGGCAATATGAAAACTCAGTTTCCCAAAATAGTATATAAGGACAGCTGAAATGGAATTTTAGCCATTGGTCATCAGTTAAGGATGAGATGAGGTAAGGTAGAACCTTTTCATAACCATGTATTGAGCAAACCATGGGAAGTATTGCTCATTTAGTATGTCAGCAAACTCCTTAGCTTTGGATTCCACATTTGCAGTAGATAAGTTATTTATAATAAACGATACTTTGTCCTGAATCTCTGATGCAGGAGCCTGTTCAAAACAGAACGGTAGGACAAAAATAATTAAACACAATAAAAGTGGCTTGCATACTGCTAAATTGCTAATTACAAATATTAAAAAGCCATATAATTAAAGATCCACACCATAAAATTTAGGCAAGGAACTTACGCAACAAAATGCAGTATACACCAAGGAAAAGGAAATTTTGAGCACACAACTACTAGGTAAAATTTGGTTATTTTCGTTGATGTTCAAAAGAACACTTCGATTCAAGATAAGTTCTTCAGGTTGTCAGGCTAAGAATGTATAAAACCAAAAGCAAAAGGTACTTTTTCAGAGTACTCTTTAGATCAAGCTGTCTATGTAGAGCATCAAGGTTAGTTGGGTGGTGTTTAGGATCAAGTAAATACCAAAAACTTCAAGTCACCTCATCAGCATTATTAGATTCATTAGCTTAATCAAAACACCCAGCATCACAGCTAAAAGCAAGCATCAGCCATTTTCACAGGGCTGTGACACCATATTGATTTGATTTATTTTCATTATGTATAATTCATTATATACTTTCTCGAACTCATTGAAGTGTCATTCAAGTTTCCATTGAAATAGATGATGGACTATACTACTAGTGCTTTTTTAGCTGTTACTAACTGATAATTTCATAGGTAGGTCTACAAATAGACAATATCAGAAACTCGTGATGGTGCTGCATCCAAAACCTTTATATAATTGCTATCTTTTGAGAACTTAAAACACAATGCAAGAAAACCATGTAACCAACTGAAATACAAGAAAGAACCATTGCTTTGCAATACGTAACTAGCATTAAAGTCAGTTAAGCAGTAGCTGTCAATAAATTGCAACTATAATCCAACAGAAAAGGAATAATAAATAAGTTTGAGAATAAATACCATAACCCTAAATATGGGGCTAGATAAATTATAACAGGAATAATAAAGGTGCAAGAGTTGAAAAGGAAAATTCAGAAGTTCACAAGCGAACATGAAAAGCATAGGACATAATAGATAATGAATAGAGCAGGCAAAGCTAAAATTAAACAGGTATCACAATAGCTTATAAAAAAATGCACCTCTATGGGCGTTGCTCTTCTCTCTGCTGCAGCAACAAGTGTTTCAATGTTCAAGGCAGAACCAAACCCTGTAAATAGTTTAGTTACAGACCACAGAATAATAGGATATTAGAGGTACAGAGGAGCATGTATACAATTTATATACATCATAGGAAAATCAAACAGATAAGGGTATAAGTGGTGGAAATACTTGTTGAGGTGGGTCGAGATGAACGTGGAAAACCAGGCGAAGCAGAATGCAGAGATCCCACACCAATTCCGCTATGTGACTGCATTTTTATTTTTATTTTTATTTGCTTGGAACAAATTAGTTGAAAAGGCCAATAAATGAAATACACAGAAACAGGTACTGTGTAGATGCACATGCAGAAAAATACATAATTAAATACTTGCCTTCTGAATGTTAGTCCCGTCTCCAGAAGGAACCGCAAGCTGACCTAATGTGGTGTACGCAGGCTTCATATAACTGGACAAAGCAGAAGTTTTCCTCTCATCTAGTGAATTTGCCGGTCTTTGTGGAAGTTGGCCAGAAGAAATCTGCAGCCCAGACAGAGTGCTAGCATGGCCAATTAGGGGAAATGATGAGCCAGGAATCTGAACCAAGAAGTGATATTTGAGGGGTTAATAAACCTCCAACAAACAGAAACATGAATGAAGTTGAGAGATCACTACAATGAGTAAACAATTACAATATTCAATAGATTCACAAGTTATAAAAGCACATGATAATTGATAATTATTAATTAGAAATTCACTTAGAAAAAAGTTGTATAATTGTAGTATAAATTCCATGGAGAAATAGAAAGTACATATTCCTCCAACCATACATTTGGGAAGTGCAATGTCAGTTAAAGAATACATATTAGTGCCATCACAGAACATATGTATGGATGAGTTATAAAAGATTTAGAGGGCAGTTGAATCATTTGGCAAAATCAGTACATTAAACATTAGATAATTAGATTACCTCCATGCTCATAGCTGACGATTGAATTGGGCCATGATGTTGATCAGAAGAAAAACTATGAACATCCAGCTCACCATGAGCCGCTGAAATTCTGCTAAGTGCCCTATCAGCGTATGCAACAAGTTCTGGGTTCGCAGTACGCAAGTGTGATATCTGCAATATATGGTTGCAGTACTGTGGCCACTCTATTAGGCGATCTACAAACTGCTCCAATGCCCGGCTCCCAAAGGCATACATCTGCATATTGTAAACTTGAGTCATATTGATGTAAACAAATGCAATTGAATTGGACAATGTGTGTTGTTAGATTACAAACTTTTGAATCAGTCGGTTTCCTCAAAGCATCTAAAACAGCTCGTAAAGCAATTCCAAGGGTTAGATGTGTAACAAGTTGATGCTTGATAAGTAAACCTGTAACCAGAATCATTTATGCAAGTAGAGTCAAGTCCAGTAAATATAGGCACAGAAATAAAATAATATGAAGCAGGAGCATTATTTCTTCTGAAAGCAAAGATTAAAGTATATTTGACTCACAAAAGAGGACAACTGTACATCCTATAAAATCCTTTCAATTGTGAAAATAGTATTTGTGCAATGACATCTTCCCACAATAAAATTCCCACCCAGTGAATTATATAAATGTTTCACCAGTTCTGCAAATTCCACGCTTACTCCACCAAGAATCCCATGCAATCAAATAACACCATCAAAGGTGAACTCAATGAATAAATAAAATAAAATAAAAACCCTAAGCTTCCCTAATCCCCAGATTACAAATTTACCATCATTACAAATCAATCTTCAACAAAATTTCCCGTTTAGCCATTGAACTACACCCACATATGCTGCATGAAGCCAGAAAAACTGGGAGACTCACTAGATTCAAGAAACCAGCCCTTGGAGTACCAAGAATGGTTGCATTTAAAATGAGACGTGGGACTTGCAACCTTGCCAGCATAACATTAAAATGTCCTAGTTAATGTGTATCATGGGAGCAATCTAGACTTGCACATGACTTCATGAATTTTTCAAATAAAGTGAAGAAACAATACCTTGTAACAGCATAGCATAAAAGACTTGATTAGCTTCAAATTATAAATTCATATTCTTCATATCAAAACACATATATAACAGAAATATAAAATGGACATAGCTAAAGCAGTTACTGCAAAAGAAAGGAACATTGTAATTTGATTTAACACTGAATCAAATAGACACTTCGTATGAAGCAGAGAAAGCACGGACTTGTATCTGATAACATGCCAGTCAATGCAGCCAATTTATCAACCATGCACTATGCAATAAAACCCATTCATGCTTCTAAAGTAAACAGCAAAAAGGCAATCACAATATAACAAAATATTACTCGAATGATACATAAAACACACATACATCTATAGAACATACATCAAAACAAGTTCTCACCAAATAGAATTGCGGCAATTCGGAGCTGCCTTTCAGGGTACTTGGGGAAAAACTTGTATTCCTCGAATAGATTGGCAATCATGCACTCAAAAATCAATTGCTCCCTGAAAAAGTCGTAATGTGTCAATGAGTGTTTAAGCCTTAAATGCATCTCTAAGCAGTCTAAATTCAGCATTTTACTAAGAATTGATTACACCGTTAACAAATGACGTAAGTACACATAGATTTAATATTTACCATCAATACTTCATCCAGAAATGGCAACATTTGATATAGAAATGAGTAGCCTATGGCTCACCAGAGAAGGTAACTAACAACTCAGAAAGAGAGGGAATGTATACAGAAAGCGCCACGAGATGTGATAGAATCAGCATGTTCAAATGTTCCCTTGTTCTTCAAGTTAGTACAGGATATCTATCATATCAAGTGTCACAGATATATTGGGATTTTAAGAATTCACCTTTTCTCTGGAGATTCCTTGAAGTGCGTAAGCATTTGAATCATACCATCGACAGCCATCTGACCAGAAAACATTTGATGAAAGAGTACGTTTGCCTCTGCCTCGATATCATCAGCAACATTATCACCTGCAGCTGAATCAGCACTCCTAGCTCTTGAGTTCGCACGCATATGACTAACATCCAGTTTTTCCATTTCCTCGGAGAACTGAGCCGAGGAAATGGCACTAGCCCGAGACTGGAGGACCTGATTAACAATTTTTTGTTAAACAATAAGTAACATTTATTTAAAGTTGTGAAAAAATCAGGATATATAAAAGGCATGCAAAAACCTTTATAACAGCAGGGCAAGAATCCAAATAAATATTCAACAGAGCAACACTGGGATGAATGCGATTAGCAGAAACATCTGGAGCTCCAATCTGAACATCCTTAAGAAATTTTAGGCATTCCTGGCAGCACAAAGTTGTTTTTTTCCAGTTAAGGATAGCAAAAATCATGTATATTCATATAACATTTCTAACAAACAAAATGTACACCTCATAAAAAGCTTCTTTATTATTCAACAAGTGACTGTTCAACCAACTTTCAAAGTCCATGATTTCTTTCTTAGAAGCAACTGCAGCTAACCGGATCCCATAGTAAAAAGGCAACATATCCAGCACTAGAGAGAGAATCTGCAAAAAAGGAAAAAAAAAAAAAAAAAAAAAGACAAGTTGGTGAAGAGATTTGCACAATGACATATGTTATCAAGGAATGGATTTTTCACCGCAAATGGATCTGACATGAGTCCGGTGATTAACACTGGATAAAGTAACTATGCAAAGAACCTCGAAATTAGAAAGAGATCATTACACCTTTCAACAGAAAATACTAATACTCCGTAGGTAGCATTCAAACACGCAAAAAATAAAAAATAAATGGACGTCATGATACCAGTCAGAAGGATGTGAAAGAAATTGCTGATGCAATACACGTTTCATTTATGTGAAAGCAGCATGAAACAAAGGTTCAATAAGAAGTCTATACCTTTAGCTCATGGCAAGCATCCAAAATCCTTGAGATATTTTCAGGATCAAAGCTTATTGAATTTATAAATCCTCGCAATAACAGGGTTGAATTTACATGCCACATTTTATGAACTAAACTGTTTCCAGAAATACTTTTGAGTGCCACAGGGAGAACAGCAGAAGCCACTTCGTTCTGGATGAGATTGTATGGAGTCTGCAAGTCATACCACATGATCACTAAATGTTGGGCAAAAAAATAATTCAACAGTTTCAGGTATTTAGTACACAGTACAGTCACATGGGCGATCCCAAAAAGTAAAGCTTCTGGGCAGTGACTCAGTGGATATTCAAGGATGGATCGCACAGCACTTGCATGGCCTTTCTCAGATAGCTGGCACAACACCTCCAGCAGATCACGACAGGACCAGGCATGATTTGTTTGGCCTGGTTGAAATGTATGTCCATTCACAGCATCATCGTAAGTCTGCACAAGTAGAATAGACCATTGCTGATTAGCATTAATATCAAAAAATTTAAATTTGTCAACAGTGTTAATAACAGCAATTAGATGACAATAAACAACTTACCAACTGCCTCTCAGAGTGAGCAAATGAAAATATTTCAGAAGGCATAGATACTGCAAACTTTAGAAATGATAGCTGACCCTCAGCGTTCTTCCAAACCGAGCCACAAATTGCACGGAGAGGAAATGGATCCTGAACAATAACATGCAGCAAATGGGTTTTAAAGAACAGAGCAATGTATTTTGAGCATTGAGGTATGCAATGTAAACACGAAAAAAGTAAAAGTAACAAGACATGCCTGGCATGCACGCCTGTAAACAGACATAAAAAAGGAAAATGCTGCCTCATTAGGGATATAAAATCCCTCATGATCCAGCTTATCCATGACATTTATCCAGTTAAGCCCAGGTGCCTGTACCAAATAATCAAAGCAAAAATAGTACAATTAATACAGTAGAAAAATTGTGTATAAACTACGTAATTAAATAGTGGAGCATACAAGTTGCTTGATTGAATCCACAAGGACATCAACATTCCAAGCGGTCAAAGGTGGTTGCTCGATTCCACTATTGCCACCAAGGGCAGAATGGAAGGTAGCAAAGGCATTTTGGTTGTCATCAAGACCTGCATAAGTTCGGGCAATTGTACCAAGAATCTTTGCAATAGTGGTTTCAGACAACGGTAGGAAAAGAGATAATAGTTCTTTGCACTGAGAAACATCAGCTGTGCACCCATATCCTAATTCACTCATCACATCAGCCATGGAAATTTCTTTTTCCATTTCTACTAGGATAGCATCAAAATCATCTTCATCACCCTCGCTGTAGAGTTCCAAGTGCCTGCTGAGCCCAAAAACAAGAAAAAAGGAGGTGATTAAAAAAAATTGACTAACCAACACATATTTTAGTCTATTCAATCAGTACGTAGAAAAAAATTTCAAGATACTTTAGCTAGTAATCACCTGAAGAAGTTATCTGAACGTTGATCTTCAGGTAGAAAAGGCACTAGAACAAATTGATCACCCTCCTTCAATTGGACTAGAGATAACATTTGCATGAATGAATCTACATACTTCGCGAGGCCTTCAGATCGACTCAGAAACATGAGGATGTTTTGAACAAGTTCAGTCGATTCGAATGGAACTGGATTAGCAGACAACTCCGCAAGCTGATTCATACAGAATTTTTTTCCTGAAGACAATAAACAGTGGATATACACACCATAAGTAAACAAAAATGAAAGCAGAACAGTCGTACCAGATATGTTAACAGTGTGGCAACTCAAATTTAATCATGTAGAAATAATAAGTCAAGTTGCAACTAACCACAATTCTTAACATCTTGATTTTCTGAATCAGACAGTGCAAGACCAACTCCAATTTTCTCAGGTAATGACAAGCGCAGAGCACCAGCCAGATTTTGCAGAAACTCTTCAGTGATTGCTGTATCTTCTCTCAATGATTTACAGAGCACTGTGCTAAAGTGATGTCTGTCCAGGATATGCTTGAATATTGAAGTGTACAAGGGATGCAGACTCAAATTCTTCAAATCTTCCTCATAGATATTCAGGTGGTTGAAACAAGTTTGCAGCAGCAATATGCAACCCTCCGCTCCAAACAATGAACACTGCCAGGTGAAAACAACATTAAAGTAATCAACATAGATATCAATGAACAACTACCACAGTCAGGAGGCAATTAGGATAACCCTTTGCGTAATTCATTCATACTCTACCAGACAAGAGTATTAGCTTCATTACATATAAATGTAAATCCCAGTAGCAACAACACAGCACTTAAAGGTGGGTTAATACTGAAACGGAAATGCGACCATAGAAGGGCTAAAATTTCATACTATACGGCAAAGGGAACGAGCCACAGATAGACATAATTTAACAAGGGGTCCTCGAGCCCATCAACGTCCAGCCTCAACCAAAACAAAATAAAGTCGAATTCAACCAAGACTCAAACCCAGTAGCCAATATCGAAAGGTCTTGGGTTTACGGTAACCTCGAGATCATCGACTGACTAATTAAGAGAAATGAAAAGTGCGAACAAAAAACCCCCATTCTCAAACTAGAACTCGAGCTATAAACAGATCGGACGAAACATGGGCGACCCGACCCACCTGGGAGAGTTCTTGAAAAATCTGATCGGCGTTGGAGTCATTCAAGCTCTGGAGCAGGAACCGAATCTGACCTGAAATCTTGGAGGACAACGGAATCATCGTCGGAGCAGTGTTCCGATCACTGATTATGCAGAATTTGGAGTAAATGAGAGGGAACGATACGAGGTGAGACGAATCGAATCGCTAGGTTTGCCGAGTGCGAAAAGAAATCAGGAAGATGAGGAAAGGATCGATGGACGGGACCAGGAGGCAGAAGCGTGGAGCCGACCCAGTGATCCTTCAGTCGGTTATTTATAGGACTTTTTTATTCGGGTCGCCCGACCCGAATGTTGCAGGTAAATAAATAATTAGTTAAAAATACTAATCGGTATCATCGTACGATACAGGGGCTTTAGGGTCTGTTTAGGGTGTGTTCGTTTGATGGAATTTTGGATAAATTTTGGATAAATTTTGCATCCAAAATTTTCTCCTAAAAATATCAAATTAAACACTTATTTCTCATTTTTTATATTATATTAAAAATCAATTTTACATTCAAAACATCACATCATCACCTATTTATATCACATCATACAACTATTTAAATTCAAAATTTTTACTATTCAAATCCCAACTCAAAATTCAAACTCCAAGCAAACACACCCTTAGTTTGTAGATAAGAAAAAAATTATAATTATTTGGTTTGGTTCTAGTGTTCTTCAAAGGGAAGAGGAAAGGAGGAAATATAAAATGAAACTTATTTTATTTTTCTTTAAAATTAGAGAAATTTGGAGAAGGAAAAAATATTTATTTTTTTAATTTATAAAATTACTATTATTTTTTTAATAATATATACTATTTTTCTCTCTTAAATTTATTTTAATTTTTCTTTCATTGGTCTAAATTTAACACTTATTTATTTATATTTATTTATAATAAATCCCGCTAATATTTTTTTATTTTTTTATTTATACAATATAAGAATAAGATGGTAAAATTATTATATTTTTTTCTTCTGTTTAACCAAACAAATATATATATATTTATATTATAAGAACTAATAGTTATTATTTAAATCTTTAAATTTTTCGAAAAAAATGCAATGGCAATATTGTATATATAAAAACAATAATATGTTATAATAAAATATATTGTATGTAATAGTAGTATAGTACATTCAAAATTAATTATTTTGTAAAAAACAGATAAATAAATAACAACAATAATAATATGTATTTTTTAAGATTATATTTAATTTAATTTAAAATTTGATTTTAATGCAAATAGCAAAAATGATTCAGCTTAGAGAAAAATAACAATCTCATATACAACATAAAAATATGCAATGTTACGTATGCATCTATTGTCACTAATAAAATAAAGTTCGAACAAAATGTTGGTGTACACCTATCGTCCATGGTCACAAATAAAGTGAATCCGGACAAATTTCCATTAGTTTACCGTTGAATACGCAAGCTTTGTCGGTCTAGTCGATCTTTGTAGGCTATTAATAAAAAAAAAAAAAAAAAAAAAAAAAAAACAAGGTAAATATACTAGAATATGCGGAGAGAATATATCAACAGGCTATCCCGAATCTATTAAACTCCCTCCAACATCATCGTCCATGCGTAGACAGACCTCAATCTTGGTCATTCTGGCTTTCATCTTTCATAAGCTTGATCATGTCATCGATCCGCAGAATTGTAATGGCTGCTTCGGTTGCAAACTGAGAAGAATGTAAAGTATTGAGCATCCAAATCTTTAAAAGATGATTCAAGAGTTGATTTAGAATAACTAACCTGGATTATCTTCACTTTGCTCATTGCTGGTTCAATCACTCCGGCTTCCAAGTTATTGCGAACGGTACCCTTCACCAAATCCAGACCCATGCTGCAGCCATTATAAAGGCGTGTCATTACATACGTCACGCATTTTAAGAAATTTCCATAGTGAACACAATGACTCAAAAGCCAAAGTTTGTAAACTTCACCTAAATCTGGGACATGCCCAAGCTGAAAAAAAGAGAGAGAGAGTATATAAATGCATCTTGTAGTTGGCAGTTTCTGATCTTAATTCGCAATGTTCCATTTTACATAATTAGTTTTGAAACTTTTATGGAGACTAATCATATGCTTGCCTATAAGAGATCGTACCTCATGATTTATATCAAGTAGATCCTAAGTCTATCATTCGGAGTCTTCGAGTTATAATCTTCCTATTAATGATTGTGACAGCTTTTATAGGATATGTACTACCACTACAAGAAAAAATTATTTTTGTAACAAAACTTTTTTGTCCTAAATCTACTTTTTCCGTTACTCGTGACATTAAAGACGGAATTATGAATGAAATTACGTTAGCTACATGAACTTTTGGAACGGAATTCCGTTATAAATATATTATTTTTTTGTAGTGTACCTTGGGGTCATTGGTATCCATCCACTTATAGCGCCCAAAAATCTTTTTATTCTCATAATACATTAATAGAATTTTATTTACTATCATTTGCATTACTATTGATACAATAGAATAAAATTAATCAACACTAACTACCATATAAAAACAATTCTAAATCTAATCAGTGCTTACTATTAGAAATATATAAGAAATGGCACTGAGACACATGAGAGATGATAGCCCAACTTAAAACGTTGTATTGCTTAGATCATCATGTTCCAAGTCGAGAGTTCAGTTGAACCTCGTCTTGTTGCTAAAATTGCATTCAAAAGAAGCATAAATACTTTACTGTTAAATAAAGTGGCATAAGTACCTTGACAAATGTCTTTTATCTGCCTTAGTTTGTGCAGTGTGGTGGTAGGCCCGAAGCTTGGCAACCAACTCAGTTGAATCTTTGGCAGCATTTACAGCAAGCACCTGAAAAAAGTTAATTCAAGTTTAGTTCAGATAGAAAGTAAAATGATGACATTAAGCAGCGTCTCTTGGAGCACCTTGGGTATGATCGATAAAGATTCAGCAAACTCTGCAATAGCCAACTGCTCTCTGGATCCTAATGTAGTGGCCAGATTCTCCAGATAAACAGACAACGCAACCTCAACAGCACCCCCACCAGCAACAACCTATAGTGCCATACCATAGGAACGACATGACAAAGACATCTCTGAGTAAGCCTATCGTTCTCTTCACGTTTATTGGCTACCAAAGCACAACATATTCCTTTAATAAAAGAAAGAGCTACTGAACAGCAACATAAGAATGATTTGACATGCAAAAGCAAAGAAGACATCACCGAGAAAGTCAGGCAGAATGTAGGCAGAATGTAATTTTCGGAAAGATGGAAGGGTCTGAAATAAAGAAACATACTTTATTGGACTCCAGTGTTCTTTTGACAATGGAGAGAGCATCGTGCAAACTCCTGTCTATTTCATCAAGCATGAAATCATTGGCACCTCTGAGTACCAGGGAAACCTGGAGAGAGAGTACATTTACAAGTAAATTTTTAAAAAGCCAGTAGAGAGCAACACATGCAGTTACATTTCATCACTCTAAACAAATGACACAGTTCCAAAGGAAAATATTGCTCCAACAGATTAAGGATGGTGTGTGCTACAAAATCATTAGGAAAAGAGGTATTGAAACAAGGAAAAAGAAAACAAATAAGTGTTACAGAAGCAAGATTCATACGGCACTTGTTGTTTTGGTCCCCTTTATCATAATCACATCATCATCTGCAATGCGCTCCTCAACCACTTCCTCAGCACACCCTAGAAGTGATGGATCAAATGTCTCTTTCCCTTCCAAATCAGCAAAAGTTGAGATCTGCATGGGAGAGATTTTGGAAAGAAATCATCCCACCAATGATCATATCCAGCAAGTCCCATATAACTCCATTTTAAATTTTAAAAATTACCACAGAAGCCCCTGTTGCCTTGGCAACATGGCGCATGTCTTCCTTTCGAACACGTCTTACAGCTATAGCACCAGCCTCAACAAAGTACTGAAACAATAACAAAAGAATTTAACATAGATTACTAAAGCCATAAGGTAAAAGATTTGAGAATTTTTCTACAATAGTTGAGCATGAGGCTTGCCTTAAGTGCCATGTCATCAATTCCCTTAGTTGTTAAAACTACACTTGCTCCTGCCTTAAGAATCTTCTGTATATGTTCTTTTGTCATGTCCGCTTCCCTGCATGACAGAGCATGCATTTATTACAACCATCTCTTATGTGAAATTCCAGGGCACTCTCAACCTCAACTCAAGTAGGATTGTGTACCTCCAAACAATGAGTATACAACAACATTCATAAGTGAAAACAGAAAGCAATAAAACAAGGACAATCCAAGAATTCATTTGCTGTATAGATTCCAAAACCTATCTTAGCTGCAAAACTAATTTTGTTTAATTTAAAACCATTCGCGTGCCAAAAAAAAAAAACTGAAATGCAGCATATTATCCAGAAATGGAAATACTAAATTTGCTGATATATGATAGAAGTATATAACGACAAATACAATTACCACTGGCGGATCTTTTCCAACTCTTTGGGATCAGTTACTAGGACTTGGATGCCCATTTGCATCTTTGTCTTTTGAAGATTGAAGTCTAGGCATGCAATTTTAGCAGGTGAAACCCTCAACGGCATCCCTTGTGCTGCCCGACCAGTATTCAGTGCATAGCCTTTCAGTAAGTAGCTATCTCTTGCACTCTTCCCGTGGGCTTTAACAATACTGATTTCCTAAGCACCAAGGAATATGCAAATGAATTCCCTTGGGTTTTTGGCGAATATGACTGAGGACAAAAGATCACAACACTTTCATAACAAAAGATACAAAACACTCTATGAAGCATGTATCCTAAATAAATCCCTGAGAATACAGATATCTACTAATTTAATACACTTTGTAGTTTGTAGATGACAGGAAGAGTCAGGAACAGCGGACAAATGGAAGCTTTTTATACCTTGATTGGGTATTTCACTTCACCTCTCGCATTTGTCATCTTTACTGCTTGTACAGCTTCTACAACCTAGATGTTAAAAATTTGGAAATGCATTGCCACAACTTTAATATTACAAGAAAATCACAAATAGCAGTGTGAAAATGAAGAAAATCAGTATTTATGATAGATATAGATAATAAAAAGAAGCATATTGGCATTGATACATTGAGTTCCCAGAGCCAGCATTAATTAAAGCATGCCTTTGGCTGAGAAATTTAGTTCAAGAAAAGAAACAAATGGCATGCATGGAAATTGTAGAAATTGTGAAAAAAAATCAAGGTATAAAATCAGAATTTTCACACAATACTTTTCAGAAAATTAAGGACTGAACTTTCCTTAGAGTAGAAAGGCAAAATATAATAAAACTCCCCTGTGATTTTCTGAATGTCCCTAAAACCCCCTACGGTCCTAAAATTCCATCAAACCTACTTGTGGTTAAAAAATATTGCAAAAAAATCCCTTTTCCGTTAAGAGTTAACATGAGTGCATCTCATGCGCCCGACTGCGATTTTTGGTAGAAAATTGATATATTGATATGTGAAATTACAAAAGTACCATTCCTAACGCATTTCAAAATATATTAATTAAAAGAGGACATTTTAGTTATTTTACTTATATTTTAAAAAATTCTAATTAAATAATAATAATAAAAAATCTAATTTCCTGATACTTCTTCGTTCTTCTTCGCATCGCTCCTCCGTTGTCGTCTGCAGCCGCTGATGGCCGAGTTTGTCCATGCCGCGTACCGCTCCTCCACTGACGACCGTCGCACACCACTAGTCACCCATCTTCTTATTATTTTTTTTTAAAAAAAAATTCAGGTATATTATATATTATTCAGAAAAAATGGTTGGTTCAAACTCCTAATCATTCTTTGAACAAAATAAAATCAAATTCAAACACAATCGAATCTGAGTGAAATTGCTCAAATTAGGCATATTTTTCTCAAAATTTAGGTTAAACTTCAAAATCCCCAAATTCAATTTGGTAAGAGTTTCAATCAATTTGAATGAGTACAAAAAATAATTAAATTCAAGAAACATAGGTGAAAAAAGAAAAAGAATGAAAAAAAGAAGAAGAAGAAAATGAGACAAGCGGTGGAAGAATAGATAGAAAAGAAAGAAGAATATGTATGTATATGTGAATATGTATGTATATGTGTATATATGAGTTAAAAAAAAGAAGAAATAACATAGGTGAAAAAAATATAAGAAAGGAGAAGAAGGAAGAAGAAAAAAGACATGGTGGTGGCTCTGTAGGTTTTGATGTAACTTTGGATGTCTGTGTTGGAGAAGAAGAAATAAGAAAAAAAAAGAAAGACTTCGGCGGCAGCACTGTAAGTTTTGATGTATGTGTGTATATTTGTACTATATGTGTGTAAATGTGTGTATGTTTTGATGTCTGTGTGTAAATGTGTGTGTATGTGTAAGCTTGTCTGTGTGTTTTACCTGCAAATGTCTGTATGTGTGTATGGCTTAAAAAAAAAACTGGTCAAAGTCAGAAAGTCAGAGCGGTCAAATTTCTGCTAAGGGGTATAACGGTCCAGATAAATAAAATATTAACACTGTTAGTTTAATTTTGAAGAAAGGGGAGAGTGTGCAACATTTTGGAAACCACGGGTAGATTTTATAGAATTTTAAAACCAGAGGGATTTTCAACACATTCGGAAAACCACAGGGGATTTTATGCTATTTTGCCGAGTAGAAATTCTGATTAAAAAGTATATATATATATATTCTGTTCAAATACCATACAACAGAGCCAAACAGAAGCTGAAAACTTACCAGATTTGCAAAGAAGTCACTATCGCTGCCTATCAACTTTGAGGACATGCAGGTTTTCGCACAGTTTAGCAGAGATGCTTTACCAAGTTTTTCAACCTAAGCAAGCATCTTAGAATGTGAGTTCAGAACACCAATATTAATGTCTTCTCATATACTAATGCAAAAACTAATAATGTTAAAGAAATTTCAGAAACCAACATTACATGCACTTTAAATATGTCAAACTTAGACGTGCCACTGGTTCATAATAAAATAAAACAATTTCATTTTCAGAATAATCTACACTTCTATAAGAAAATGCTTCTATTTGCGAATAAACTAGGTGCGCAGAATAAATAACTCAAAGGAAAGAGTACAGGAATAGTTTTCAACAGTCCCATGTAAAATGAAAAAAAAAAAAAGCTTCTTCCCACCACAACTCTAGGTGTTCAGCATTTTCCATGTAATTTACTTCACAAAACACAAGCTGAATGGCTACTTCAAGTTTATGTAAAGATCCTTTGGCAAAATTAAAATACATGTAAATCCTAAAACAAAAAATGCAGAGACCTCAAATTTCTAAGGAATCAACAAACAAGACAGTGTCACCTTCATTGCCAACTTCTCATCAACATATTTGCATGCTTCTCTCATAGCAAGCTGACAACAAAAGCAGCAAACAAATACAGCATTAACCACACTACAGGCTGGACATGGTTGACAAAGAAGCTAGAATCTGAAAATTCCCAGAAAGAAAAGAAAGCATGTAATAGAATAACGTAGAAACACACTCTGAATCCACTGATTATAGATGTTGGATGTATCTTATCTCGCACTAAATCATTAGCTCTCTGCAGAAAAAGAAAGGTCCCAACTTGTCAGATAATAATCATACACAAAACTTGAAAAGGAATGCATTCAGAAAACTGGATCCAAAATACACCTTAAGAAATTCTGCAGCTATGATAACCACAGATGTTGTCCCATCTCCAACTTCTCGATCCTGTAGTTCTGCCAATTCAACAAGAACCTGTGTTCAAAATATGAAGAAAGTAACATTTAGCAAACATAGTTTTCAAAATAATAATATATTAAAATTTGATAAAAGAATGACCTGTTCACCTTGGCAGCAGCATGCTCAACTTCAAGCAACTTCAGTATTGTAGCACCATCATTTGTGATTGTTACATCACCTATATCATCCACAAGCATCTGGAAGTACCAAGAAAGATAAACCCAGGTAATTGTTATTAGATATCAACAAAAGGAATTAAACTGGACAATAAGGTCCAGATAACTCACCGGCTTTGGACTAGCAAACTGATAAGTAAAAGTAAAACCATCAACTAAGCTTTTCATTGCCATGAATCAAGACAAAATGTCACATGACCAGCTAAAGATTTAATGACCAGAATATAACGACACTTATTCTTACATAATACCTTCCTAAAATGCATCTATTACACAGTAACCAACAAAGATGAATATTTAGTAGCAAGTAGAAACAGGTTCTCACCACAAACTCTAGATAAGTGGTTGCATCTGCTGTAAAGAAATCTAGCATATAGTGGTCCATGTATTACTTCCACTCAAGAAACTGTTGAGCTCACAGCTTACAAAACCATGCTTAATTAAAATAGCCTAAAGGCTTTTCCATTTCAAGTGAGGTCCAATTATGAGTATTTGAAGAATGACACTACCATGAATAATTAGGAGATTTGAAACTAAAATTCATCTCAATGATCCCATCTAGCATGCTATCCCAATTAAAACGCAGTCGTATGAAACATCGAGATCGAATTATACTTCAACAACAAATTACTTAGTGAAGAAGAGAATAACGTAGAGAATACCTTAAAGTGTCCAACAGGACCAAGCGAAGACTTGACAATGTTCGCTACAGCTTGGCATGCCACCACTGCACAATTCCAAGGTAGAGAACAAGAACAAATAGAACTTAAGAATACATGCTGGCAAGCTAAAAAGTACAAGGAACTGAAAAAGCAAGCATGACAGATTCGCACATGCATTCATAATTCCAGTAGGCAGATATACCATTTTGTGTGCGAACATCCTGTCCAGATTCCCGCTCTCGGGATATATCAGGAGCCGAAACCGCCATTAACAAATAATCAACAAAACGAACCGGAGAAGCAGAAAACAATACAAAATCCTAAATCGGATTTTCACGAAGCTCCAGTAGAAGCAATCTCTGTTCGAGCGAGCTTTGCCAACGATCAAACGAGAGCAGCAGAGCAGATGATCTTCCAGAGGCTTCAGTACCGAACTAAACAAAACACAGTCCACGTCGGAGAGGCTTTGAACTTTGAACTTCTACAAACGACGTCGTATGAGCTCTTGCACTTGGGCCGAAATATGGGCTTAAAGGCCCAATCCAAAAGAGGGATACGCCCGTCGTATTCCAGAATTCACGTTGAAGAGGGCTTGAACTTTGAACTGAGTGGAACTTATAAATACGACGTCTTATTGAGCTCTTGCACCTTGGCTGAAAGATGGGCTTTTAGGCCCAATCCAAAAAGGTGACGACGTCGTATTAGGCCCTCAAATAGTTATATGCCAAAGGAAAAATAAAGGGATGAGACGTACACAGAGGGAGGCCGAATCATATCACAAATGGCTGCTAACTGCCTGTCACTTCCCGCCACTACCAACATCCGCTTTCGGCCAAGGAGAACAGCTACGGTCACCTGCTCTTCCCTCACGGATCAATCTCAGTCGCCGTCGCCGTCTCTAGCAGCCAAGCGCCATCTCCTCCAGCTAATTGCAGACGAGCATCGCGGCGTCAAGACCCAATCGAACCCCCAAAAGCTGTCCCAAATAGTCGACGCCATTGATTCATTGGCCGCCACCGGTCGCGGTTCCGTCACTACAGGCGAGTCTTTGTCGGCGACGTGGCGGATGCTCTGGACCACTGAGAAGGAGCAGCTCTTCATCGTAAAGAACGCGCCGGTTTTTGGTACCAAGGCTGGTGATGTTTTGCAGGTCATTGATGTGGAGAAATTGACTCTCAATAACGTCATCACTTTTCCTCCCGATGGAGTGTTCTTTGTCCGGTCGGATATTCAAGTTGCTTCTGCTCAAAGAGTGAATTTCAAGTGAGTTGCAGTTAAATTTTTTAGCTTGTGGTCAAGATTCTTTCTTTTTTTTTTTTTTTTTTTATCAATACAAAGTAAACAAACACAAAACTATATTTTTTCACTTTAGCCTTAGAAACCACTAACTCGAACAGTGAGTCTGTCAATTACAATTTCAACAGAGCAAGGGCAACAAAAAATCAGATGATGCACTCTCTTAAGCGTGATCACACCTGACCTGTTCAAACGGTCCACTAAAACTTTTCACTCCAACCTCTTATTCTTTCTAACAAAATACGATAATGATAGCCACTTATAAACAACGAAAGTAACAATGAGACACCAAAATTTTTAAGACTAAAAACTCCTTCAAAGTGAAAGATAAAAACCACACCACCAGACCCAGGGCAAAATCCACTATAACAAAAGGTGTTAGTACAATAAAAAATAATGACAACCAAAAGGCTATCAAACTCCAACACCTAATTACAATATCGAACCCCAGATCTCCCAACTACAAACAACTCATTCCAATCACCAACCAACAAGATTCAAAATCGAATCCAAATAAGTAAATGGTGAGAAATCAATGATACCATGAAGGAACATCCAAGGATGATGATGAGACCGTTGATCGGGATTGAGTTGAAGAAATTCTCCCTTGTTTGTCCATTCTTTGGCGTGTGGATAATGATTGTCTGTACCCAAAATTGACCCGGGTTGAGAGTTAGGTCAACAATCAGCAAAAATGGGCTCTCAATTCTTTTGGCCTAACATGAATTGTTGGGTCTCTTAAGCATAGGAAGAACCCAAACCTATAATGTTTGTTTTCTTGTCTAAGTTCTGGAAATCATTCTTACGATTAGTACTATATTTAGTTTTTTTATGCAACGAAGTTTAAGTTCATGATATTCAAGAATCGTAGTAGGCTAGCAGCAACTAAAAGCTCTAGTGTTCATATTAAGATTAGAAATGTATTCTTGTAGCGCACTATTGTCTATTGGCATTGGTTATTACTATGTGTCTTATCTGCTCTGACTAGCTTCGTTCGGAAGCCCACAATTTGTCTAGAAACCAATTGAAAAACCATCAGTTGACTGCCAGACTTAAAATCCAGATGCATCTAATATGCTCAAAGAATGCAGTAAACAGTAGAACCATGGATAGAAAAATTTGAGGTTACACATTAATATGATTTTTCTTTTTTCTTTTCTTTGAGCTGTGTATGTGCTATGAAAATATAGCTGCTGAATATTGTCCCGTATTGAAAAAAAATTTGGGAACTTCCTTGGCTTATAAGGGTGAAGATCACTCCATCTACTACCAATTGGTTTTAGATTGGAAGTCCGGATCCCTTCTTAACATGATATTAGTGTCCGTATTTGGTATTGATCCTGTATGGATTTTCGAGATTATCATCACGAGGGAGAAGTGTTCAATATTGTCCCACATTGAATTGCAATTTATAAGAAATGCATAGAATTATTTTGCTTGAGCAATTTATAAATGCTCTCCTCATGTGGTAATTTTTTATGTTGTAATTTATGAATCATGGTTGATGATTTGAACTTTTTGGACAATTTCTGTGAGTTGAGCTGTCAAAAGCTATTCAATGTGAAAAGGGATAAGTTAGACACATGGGATTTGGACAATCTTCTGGCTTTGTTATTACATGGATAATTGTGTGATTGTTCCATGAGCTGTTCCATTCTTTTCTCATGTTACTAGTTTTGCAGATTTACCAGTGCTGTTCTACGGGGAAAAGGATGGGAATTTCCGCTGCCTCCATTTGGTCAGGGGTGGTAAGTGAGTCTTATTCTTTTGCTATACATTTATTACTGCTACTTAGTAAGGTGTAGTTTTTCCGTTTCATGAATTCAATGCAATGGATTTGATCCAGAAATTTTATGATTTTCTTCGTTGCTCTGCTATGTTCATGAAGTCAACAAGTGATGAGTTCCATGTCCATATCAAATGTTTGTATTTTATTTTATGTTAACTCACTTGAATGCAAATATTTCTTAACGTCCCAATCAAATGTGAAAATATGTTACTATGTTTTGTAGGTTTGAGTCAGTATACATTGATGATGAAATTCGGGTGGTGAAAGATATTAGAAAGGATTATCTAATTGTTGAGCGTGCCCCTTATTCTTGGAAAGAATGAGATCATGTACTACCTAGTGTTGCCTATCCAATTCAACACTGTGGTGAGTTCTATCTGTATAGTAACAATATTTTATGAAGTAATCGAAACATTTTTTCTGCTTTAGATTTAAAGAAGAATTGTATGTTACTAGTCTGTCTCCATCTTTTACTCTTGCAATGCCTTTTTCTGGAGAATTTCCTTCAGAATATCTTATTATATTCACCACAGACTACAGCACAAGGCAGGTTAGCTGCTTTCATTACAATTTCTTCACAAATGCTATCTGAATTACAGTTTAGGTTGATAAAGTGTAATTCCATGTGCAAGTTACACATGGAGCACATTTGGTTTCGGTTGCTTCCGGTGTTAATGTAATGACTTGCCTGTTAATTTAGTATTGCTTTCTTGTGCTGGAAACTCTCTTTCTTGTGACTGTACATAGATTTAAAAGAGGTTTGGTCCTTTCTCTTTTCATGGATGTTTCTTTATCAAAACGGCTATAAACTAAAATGATTCTTTAAGTCCTCCATTGCAGAAAGGTATTTTTTATGTAAATATAATAACAATAATAATATAAAATAATGTTTTCATTGTCTTCATACAGATTTATATAATCATTCAGTAAGAAAACAATGATCAAGTTTGGTGCAGCAAGCAAGATTCGACCGGCGACCTATAGATAATGATCTCTAAAATAGTGGGATGTTACGGTTGGTGTGGTTAGCTTGGTGTACATATGATAACATCATATCATGCTCCATTTGAATATTTTTGAGTGAACTTTCTCTAAGTTTTATAGTTGGAAGCAAGAATAAATATAATTCAACTATACATTCACCGGCCTGGCTATGTGCATCCATATATCCATCACAGCAACCTATTATGCATGGAACTTCTCATTTCAAAATCGTTCATGACCACATTCAGCCTCCCTGTTCTAGGATTGTATCCTTTGGCAGTTTCTGGGAAGCTCCCGCTGGCTATGAAGTGTTGTATCTCACAGAAACAGGTTATGTGATTATAATGAAATAATTTGAGCTGCAAACATTGTTTGGGGTGCCTTCCATCTCTGTCTGTCTTATTTGGCACCATTGTTTAGTATATTTATCTTCTTTTATCTTTAACAATGAACATTTTGTACGGGGCCTCTTTTACCATCTCCTTTAAATAATTAACTGAGAAAATATTACATGCCCATTTCATTCTATGTACATTTAAAATTTTGTTTTCAGCTACACTAATTAACCACTTGATCCACACAGCAATTGAAGGAAAATTGTGAATCATAGTAAAACCACAACAATTCCTTCCAGAGGTTGCATATTCAGAAGAACAAGAAAGTCTTATTTTTTGTGTGACAGAACTGTGGCTGCTAGGGACTCAACGACAATAGCACTGATCTGTGGATTGGGTAAATGTGTCCCACACATTTGAAAAGGTACTTTCCTCATACTTCAAAAGAATTTGTTGTTTTCCAAATGCACTGCTTTGTCAAGAACTCCCTATAATTGCAACTATGACTGCAGTCATCTTCTTGAATTAAAGTAACTAAAGCCATAGCTTATAATCGTGTGGTGTCAGAAGACAGTAAGAAATGTGCAGTCGATTGTCTTACATGGTCCTTTAATTTGGCATATGGGTTTAAATTGTTTCCCTTCTTATTGAAGGCACTGGTTAGATAGTTATCAAATCCAGGCATGATGGCTTTCAGTTCTATTAACTTAAGCATGTTAATTGTCCTAACGTGATGTGTACTATTGTTACTCGCAATCCATTGTGGTAGGCCACCAGTGAGTCCCCATCCCAAAGTGAGTGTATATTTCACATGCATTTGCTGGTGATAGACCTGGACCTATCGATCAACTTTCAAACTATCAAATTTTGGTGGGTGCAAATCTAGATTCATTCTAGCAAGTTTTGAGGATCATTGTAGCCCTCCATCTTGTTTTTTCTCTGGATTTTATCTTATCCCTTTTTTTGTAGCTCATCCCAGGTGATCTTCAAATCAAGAATCAGAGCAAGTTGATTTCTTGAATCTTAATCCGGCTGAGGTGATCCACCTTACTTAACTGTGGGAGACATATCATGTTGCAATATTTTACCATCACTGCAATGATAGGACATGTGTTTGTTCTGATTTATTTTCCTTACATTCCCTATGTACGAAAGAGGAAAAAACAAATATAAAAATCTTGCACAGTACATTTCTGGTGCAGAATAAAAAAAAAATGAGGAGGAAGGTAGATTGAAAATTGTGTTAGTAATGGCAGGCAAGTGTGGGTTGAGAGATGTCTTTAGTGGTGTGGTCCCATTCTGCCTTAAAGTACAATCACCCTTCATTTGTGTGGGAAAAAAAAAAAGATGATGAAACTCCAAAGGCACAGGATGAGTGTGGGGAGTGATGTTCTTTAAAGAAACATCCCCCTCCCCCCCCCCCCCCCCCCCTAAAGCTCTTTTGTCTGGATATGAATACAATCAACACATTTGTTGAATAAGAATTTAGAATGGTATTAGATTCCTGAGTTTGTTGTATTTAACTGATGATTTGATATTGTCGATGATGAATTGGATTTTAGTATATATCATAATCATATGTGGTGAATGATCAAATCAACTTTATATACACAAAGCATGTACCATCTTATAGTTTCACTACTCCAGCTATGCATACTAATCTTCAGTTCAGACATGTAGGGAGATAGCATTAAATGCAGGAAATCACTGTCACAAGCAACTACTGCCTCCATCCCCAGAAAGAATTCAAGTCAGTCTCTGCTGTTGTAAATATCTTGAAGTTCTTGTCTTCTTTTGATTTTTTTTTTTTTTTTTTTTAAAAAATATTACTGTAAACTATATGCACCAACTCATCCTTGATTTAATTCCAAGAATCATGGGCTATTAACAAAGATGTTTAGAGTGTGTTACCTGTGCTTGGGAATGTTTTATTACTATGTTTTGGTTAAACAAAGAAAAAACTAATGAGAGCAGAGTCTTAGTATAGTGCATGTAGTACATCATCATTAAATATCTTTTTTTTTTTTAAAAAAAATATATATTTAATAATAATAATATAAATTGAATAGCTGGTTCAAACTTATCTTATTTATGCTGCTTGCTAGGAAAGAAAAAGAAAACAAAACAAAAGAGATGGAAGTATATTTGACTGTCCTTGTGTCCTTAATTTGCATTGTGTGTTAGGTTAGGTGAAGTACTAAAAAGTACCGTAAAATAGAATATAGTACGGTACATTTGATTTTGTTAATAAAAATAATTATTGTGTCCTCAAAATCCTCTGTTTAATGAAAAGTCACTTCCAGGCAAAGGATAATAGTAATATTATTACTAATGCAATTTAATATTAAGGTTAACTCAAAAGTTTGTCTGCATTAGTTCTTAAAGAAACCACCAGCTTTGTTTACTAGATTGTATTTTACTAGTAATTTTAAGATAGAATAATAATTTTTAAATACAATACTTTTAATTAAAAATAAAAAAAGTGAGAATAAAAAGTAACCAATCTCTGAAACACCCTTTTTCTTCAACAAAATAAAATTTTAGTATTTGTGTATCATGCTGTTTTTAGTCTCTACTTTTATCTATTGACTTCAAGCCCAAGAGATTCTTGTCACTTCTTTTTTCTTTTTATTTAAAAAAAAAATACCAAATATATACCATATATATTACTCCCTCCGTAATATAAATAATTATAAATTAACATTAAGATAATTAGTTTAATTAAAATTAAAAAAATAAAATTTAAAAATTTAAAATGATATTAAAGTGTGTAATCATTTTCCAAAAAAACATGGCATGTGAGACGAACAGAAACGACAACGTGGACATGGTATTTGGGACGGATGGAGTAATAATTGTAATCCAAGGCCTATTCGTAAGAACACGTAGCAGCTCTGTGGCCCCATTTTCATACTTATCACTTACTAGCTGCTTATTACTCACTCATTACTGGTAGTATTATTTTAATAATTAATTAATAATAATAATAATAATAATAATAATAATAATATTTAATTTATTATTGTTGTTGTTAATGAGTTTTGTTGTTCTTAAATTAATTAAAATATTTTCAGATTATAAATTTTGGATTAATATTTCACATCCATTTAAAAAAATATATATTTACTACAGTAAAGTGGGAGTAGTTTATAAATAACAATTTTTATGCAATTCATGCTATATTTTACCATGCAACTCCTACCACAAAAATAATTGTTGCTCCTTTAAGATTTACGATTATTCTTATTATTATAGTTTTATAAGTATTAGAAATTTTAGGGAAAAATAATGAGATTGTGTTATTATCATAAAAATAAAGAGTCTATGCAATACAAAATAGACTCGATAGACTAAAATCTAAGTAATCTAATCTATGAATAAGATCAAATATAAATCTCTAAATCTAAAACTGAATATCTAAAATGTCTCAACAATAAGGATAATCGTAGTGTGTCAATTTTCTATGATCTCGACCTCTTGACATTAAATTTCGCTTTAAAATTTCACATGTAAATCATGGAAATTATTTGATCCTTTAATAATCGACAATAATATACACATTAACTTCACACGTATAAATCTTAGTGTGTGTTTCTTTATGATATTTCAGCCTTTTTTTCTTTTCTTTTTTTTTTTCTTAATATATATATATATATATATTGGGTTCAAATTAAACCATGATTCAAAGAAAAATTGAATCATATAAAATTACATAATGTTTTGTGTTGGTTGATCGGTTAAAAGGGCAATAGCAATAATTGATTCTACTTTTTATAATAATTGGGACCATCTAATCGTCACCACCTTAGCATTTTTGCCGAGAGATCAATTCTCCTGTTTTGTTTTGTTTTGTTTTCTTTTGTTTTTATTTATTTTTTTCTCTCCGTCGTATAAATTCCTAACATTTTTTCTATAGTTTTTACAATATTTTAACACGCATGTGTTGTTTGGTTGTATTTTAATGTTTTAGTATTATTAAATTAGGAAAAAATTCAAATTTTAATAATTATTTGATTTGATGTAAATAAATATTTGAAATAATGTTTTGAATATAAATTATTTTATGTATAATACTATATGAAATAATAGATGTATAATGTCAATTTAGGGATAAAAAAATTAAATCATTATAGATAAACAATGAAAAGTAGTGTTTGTATTTAAACACAGCCAAACAAAGTCCATAAAATAGTATTTGTAATTAAACTTATGATATTTTCAAATAACATGTACATTCATATTAATTTTTTATCAGCGATTGGTAAAGTAGGTGAGGAAAACATTAAAAGACTACGTTTACAGCTATTTTTGGCATCATTCTTCAATAAGTATTTTTTCTAAACAAATATCTAATGATTATTTTTTATTTCATAAAAATATTTACAAAATATCACAACCAACATCACATTATATATGTATATATATATATATATATTCAATATTTCACTATTTTTAAAATTCTACTTTCAAAATAAAAATTTGAACACAACTTAAAAATAAAGGCAAATAACAAAAATATTGGGTGTGTTTGTTTGAGGGTTTGATCGTGAGATTTGAATAATAAATTTTTGAATTAAAAATAATTATTTAATACGATAATAAATAGTATATATGAATGTGATTGTTTAAATGCAAAATTTATTTTAAGTGTAATATAATAAATTAAAATTGAGTGTTTTATTTGATATTTATAAGGAAAAAAATTTAGAATAGTAAAATCAAAATCAATTTCTCACAAACAAACATACCCACATATTTATTTTTTATTTCAAATAAAAAATAACACTATTATTTCATCCAAATTTACAAAAAAATAAGTATATTATTTTCTTTCATAAAGTATTAAATCAAAATATTATTTAAATAAACATTTAAATTAACATTCAATTTTAAACTACAACAAAAACAAATTCAAATAAGTCATATGTATTGTTGGAGAGAAAAATATGTTAGTGAAAGATTATGTTTAGTTATTTGTGCTATTTTTGTGTAATTAAATTAAAATTAAAATACATATTGCATGCCACAAGGTGGGTTTAAAGGGATGATGATTTTAAGATTATAAATTCAATTTTATATTATCAGATTATTTCTTATGGAATAACAATAAACTATTTTAGTCCAGTTATAAAGTAAATATTTATTTTTGACATGATATTTAAAAAATAAAATTATTTTAATTGCAATGAATATTTAAAGGTAGTATAAAAATATTTTTGTCTTTTTTTTTATATATATATAAAAGTAATTATGTTGTGATAAAGTAGAGAAAATTGTGAAAATAGTAGGCAAGATGCTAAAAACTCCACATGGTTCTAATTTTTTTTTTTTTTAAAAAAAAAAACCTACTTGTCATTTATAAAATGTTGTAAAGTGACATATTTCTGTATAAAACTACTAAAATACTATATTAGCTTTGTTAAATATATATTCTTTCATCCACTTTATTCTTCTGCTAAGTTCTTTGAAATTAATCTTTTCAGATCAAATTTTTCTTCATTTTAAGTCCGTTAACCCTCAATCCGGAAACTGTGCTCTTAAAGCTACTAAAAATTGGAGGAAATCAAATTTGAAATCGATCCTCAAAGTTGAAATACAATAATCCAATGGGAATGAGAGAATGTCGTAAATAATTGCTCACTGGCGTTTTTAGGAAGTCGAAATAATAGATTGTTCCAAATATTCTTGAATTGATACAATAGACGGAAAGGACAAAATCATTGTTGCGTTTTTATATTACAATAATGAAGAAGAATACGAGAAAAACAAGAAATAAATGAAGATTGATGAAAAGCTTGTGCTACCGGTTACCACCCATGTTTCTCATCATCCTTCCTCACTTCACCACACAGTTTTCCCCAAAATCTCATCTATTTCTTGTTTCATTTCAACTAACTCACAAAATAATTTTACATCAAATACAAAATTTAAATTTGCTCATCCAGTTCCAAATCATCGGTTCAAACCGTCGGTTCACCGGTTTTTTAACCAACAATTATAGTTCAAACCGAAATCGGATTCAAACAGAATTGAGCAACTGAAATCGGATTCAAACAGAACTGAGCGCATGGGAGCTGCCGAGTTGCGGAGCGTGGTATAGGAAAAAGGAGGAAGAAAAAAGAAGGAAAAAAAAAGGGAAAAATGACAGAAGGGAAAAATGAAAGGAAAAAAAAATAAGGAAAGAAAAAGATACATGAAGAAAGAAAAAATTGGAGAAAACAAGATACAAGAATGAGAAGGAAAGAATGAATAAAGAAAAAATGGAAAAAAAATTAGAAAAAAAAAAAGATATATGAAGAAGCGGAAAAAAGAAAAAAAGAAAAATCGAGCAAGAAGAAGACATAGGACATAGGAGAAAATAAGGGATAAAAAAAAATGGAAGAAAAAAAATTAGAGAAAAAAAAGATACATGAAGGAAAAAAAAAGAACGAAAAAATCGAAGAAAAAAAAGATACAGTAATGAATAGGAAAGGAAAAAAAAATTGAGAAAAAAAAATAAAAAAATAAATTGAAAAAGAAAAAATTATACAAAAATGAACCTGATGCATCTGCAAATAAATTGGAGCTAAAATTGTATATTTTATAATAATAATAATATATTTATAAATTAAATTATTATAGATTATTAATTATTATAGAAATAAAAATAAAACTAAAAGAGAAAAAAAAATGAAGCAAGAGCCTAGAGAAAGGAGTTTGAAAAGAGGGAAAAAAAACAGAATAAATAGAAGAGGGAGAAAATGGAAATAGAAAGAGAAAAATAAATTAAAAAATATATATATTTTTTTAATTCAACGTATCATTTTTATTATTTTGTCGGTTTTACTTAAAAGTATATATTTTTTATTTTAGTAAAAGTAATAATATATTATTATAAAAAATTATTAATATAATATCAATATTTTTTAAATTTTGTTTCCAACTCAATTAAGATTATATTTATGGAACGGAGGGAATATTATTTCTTAATCTATTACAAAATACTAAAGGGTTCATTTGGACTGGGACAGAAGGAGTATATAAATAAGAGCATAATAAAATTTAGAGGAGATTCGAGTATGCAATATCTTAGAAACTACGAATAGATTTTTATGGAATTTTCGAAACTATAAAGAGTTTTCAGTAAATTTGTGAAATTGCATGAAAATTTATTTTTTATTTTATTTAATATTTAATAAAATAATTATTTTATAATTAAATAAATCAAAATAAAAATATATATACTTTTTAATTGCACTGAGTTGAAATTTAAATAAAACATATATATATATATAAATCTTTAAAATAAAAATAAATAAATAAATATATATATATATGTATAACGTAATTATAATACTGAGTAAAGTTAGCAATAAAGTGATTAAACGACAAGCATTATGGTATGGCATGGTATGGTATGTTACGACCACTTATTTATTAAAATTAAAAGGTACGAAGTTGACTGGTTTTCCTCTTCAGGACAATTAACTTTTTAGGTTTTTACCCACCGTCATTTCTACCCTCTCACCCACGCGCCCGCTATCCACGCGCTCTCCACGCTCCCGCTAATGGATAAAATTCCACCCCAGCCAGCCGCAGAGATAAGGCTCGTCGACCGGCTCGGCTCCCGATCCCAATCCCAATGCGCCTTTTCTTGAAAAGCAAACAAAGTGCACTCCACGCGCCACTTAATTTTCTTCCAGTCGTTAATTAATTAAATGAATACTCCTAAAATATTTGGAAAATACGTCAGGGACAAATCTGTCATTTCGCCCACATTCGCTTAACTGAAAACGACTGCAAGCAACCTGTGGTCTACCTGTATTCCCCACCCTACGTATGTATTTATTTATTTATATTTATATATACCATAATAAATATAATATTTTATTTATTAAAAAATGTGGAATTTATTTATTTTCGTTTTTGTACGTGTATATATATATATATATGATAATGAGAGATGCGTCGTACACCGACTTTGAATTGAGCCATCGCTTTGATTTCCTCTCTCTTTGTGCTGTTGTTTTTCCTCTTCCAGTTTTGGTTTGTGTTGCTGCTGCTTGCTGTCGTCGGAAATGGTGGATCACCAGACGGTTTGCTGTATGTGCGGCGACGTAGGCTTTCCGGAGAAGCTCTTCCGGTGCTCCAAGTGCCGCAGCCGCTTTCAGCACTCGTATGTGTACCTAATTCCTCGCACTTTTATATATCTAGAATCTTCTTTTGTTTGTTTGAAGCTGTACGGTTATTGTGATGATGATTGATGTCTGTTGGTTGGATCGGTGTTCACGATTTGTGGCGTGTGAAAACTGAAACGTCAAGTGTTAACTGCTCCTTCTTCAGGCGGTTATCGCGTCATTTAGTTCGTGTTTGTTACGAATTTGATCGATTCGAATTATTTGGGGAAGTAATTGGACTGTGAATGAATCGATAGGTACTGCAGCAACTACTACAGCGAAAGCGCGGAGCCGATCGAAGTCTGCGAGTGGTGCCAATGCGAGGGAAGAAACTCGTCTTCTTCCAAGCATACGAATTCGAGTTCTTCTTCTAGGAATATCAGCAAATCAGTCCATGCAAATGAAGTGAGATCGGTCTACTCCGGCGACAAAATCAAGCAGCTCCACCGCGAAGAAGGCGGTTCTTCCGCCGAGAAAGCCACAGCCAAAACTCCATCGCCTCGCGCTACTCCTCGCAGGTACAAGCTTCTCAAGGATGTCATGTGCTGATAATCATATAATTAATCTACCTATCTATATAATATGAGAGTACTTGTATCTATCAATAAAATTAGCATCAAACAAAAACTCATCAAGTATGTCCATGTCCATATATATATATATACTAATAAAATCTGTGTTTCTCTACCAATATTTGCCCTCATCATTTTGCAAGTTGATTTCCAGTTTTCTTCCACATCAAATCAAATTTGTCTTCTCCTAACCAAGTCCAAATTCTTGCTGCACACTCACATACACACACATATGTAGGTAAATATATTACACCTTAATTTGCATTGGCTTAATTAATTACTTAATTACTGCACATGACTTTCATTCCTTTTCATGCATGATCTCCGGTCTGCTTTTCTTATAGTATATTTTTTCATTACTTGCTGCGGCTTGCCACCCTTATCAAAAGACTATTATTATTATTCGTGTTCTTGTACTCGTCTCTCTCTCTCTCTCTCTCTCTCTCTCTCTATATATAGATATAGATATATTATATAGTTATAATAAGCAATTAGTCCTAAATAGTTGTAGTGGGATGTTTTCCAATTAAAATAATAGGTTAGGGTTGTGTGTGTCCCAAGGGAGGGGTTGTACATATCCCATATCTAAGCTGGACATACCCATTTGCTCTGTTGAGTCACTTGTGGAGAGAATTCATTGCATCCTTTTTTTCCCCTAAAGATAAAATTCATAGTACCTAAAGCTGTTCACTTTGTCAGAATTCAGATCCATTCAGTATGTGTGTGTGGCTTTGCTTTTTAGATATTTATGACCACTACTACTCTTTGTGGATGATATTTTAATTATACAATTAATACTATGAATGATGGGATGAAAAAGTAAGCATAGTATTTAATTTGTATACAGATCTGCAAAAGGCTGTTGCCTATCTTTGTACATTATTAATTCTCACTTTCTCATTGTGTAGAGGATTTGAATATATATATATATATATATGCTCATTTGTGTTATAATTAGGAATGTTGAAATAAACAATACTTCATAAGAACCTTAGCTTCTCATGACAATGTCATCATGTGTGTGATTTGGAGATGAAGTTCCCATATTTTATTTATTTATTGTTATTAGAATAAAGAATAATAGGAATTATGTTTCTTTGATGCTAATCAATTTAATTATATAGTTTCCTTGCAAGAAATGAAAAGTGGTGGTTGGCTTTAGGCTTTAGGTTCACAAACTTGCTCAAGATTTATTTACTTTTCCATCTTCAAAGCAAACACATAAATGCCAAGCCCTTTATGCACACTATTAATTAGTTATGATCCCTCAACCACTATGTATGTATAATTTAATTTTGTATAAGTTGACATGCATGAAGTAGATGTATTATTATTATTATTATTACAAAACATATAAGTGGAATTTATTATGTGATGCACGCCTCCAAAATCATGTCATGCCGCACTGTCTGTATGTACATCTGTCTGCCTTTAACCAGGCCAATTCGTACACTTTGCATATCTCTTTCATTTCTACCCTTTTCATTATGATTATTATTAATACTAATAATTAACTAATAATAATAATATTCGAGATCATGACAGTTGGTATGTGATTCATTTCATTCTACTACTGTCAGCAACCAATGATAAACACTACTCCAGTCCACTTTTTGTGTGTGTTCTACTTCTAGAGAGAAAACTCAGCAAATTGATGGTAAATAAATAATAATCCAACGAAGTTTTTAAATTGGGCTTTGTTAAGCAGGACTCAGCCCAATCACAAACATCAAAACCATATATATATATGTGTATATATATTGCCGCAGCAATGTGGGAAAATGGTCCCCCTTTCTACTAAAGTTTGGAAGGAAAATTAAAGTCGAAACACAACCAAAAAAAAAAAAATAAATGTAGATTTTATTCTCAACAAATAAAATAAATAAATAAGAAAATAAAATGGTCCCAAACGTCTTTGTAGCGCAGCACAATACAATCGTGGTGTGGATCGCAATTCCATTACATTATGATGATGATGATGTGTTTCATTAAAAGAAACAGTGTGTCGTAGTTGTGGTTTCCGATGAACTAACTCACTGCCTCCACGCCTCCACTTTTTCATCCATTTTAATACTAATACTATATTATATGTATCTACATAGATGTTCTTAGAGCACATATACACTGGTTTACCGTAAATAAATAAAAAAATTAATTAATAAATAAAAATTATATATATATATATATATATTGAAAAATAACTTCTTGAGAAGATTTGGAGAAGGATTAGCCATATACGAGGCAAATGTCAGAATAATTTTATTTTCTTGTCTTCAAAACTAGGTTAATGTGTCATTTTTTCTTTTTTTGTTTGTCTATTTTCATATATTAACTAAAATTAGCAACTCCTAATGAGCACTATAATCACTCATATTTTCTTTTCCATATCTCAATAGAATATTATTATTTTTTATTACTTAACAAATAATAGTATTTATTAATTAGTAAAAATATGTAAAATAATTTTGATATTTTAATCTTTGTAATTACAAAGTAAATGAGTATTTTTGTATAATTTAAGAGTATTTTTTTATTTGAATATAAATAATTTTTATTATAATTAAAAAATAATTACTTTGAGTGGGATAAATGTTATACATTTATAAAATATATATTTTATAATAGTTAAAAATATCATAACAAATATATTTTTTTTTCTCAAAAAAATCACATTAAGTAACTTTTTATTATTTTTTTTTTAAAAATTAAATTTTCAAAAAAAATCTCTTAATATAACACTCAAATTTCACTTTTCTATTATTCAGAGTTGTATTTTTAATTTTTTTTTCACTAAATATTTTGTCTTATATTATTTTAATATAAAATAAAATCTAATAAATTTCAAATCAAATAATTTAAAAAAAAAAAAAAAAAAAAACACCCTCATTTCTCTCTCTAAATTTATTAGGATTGACTGAGTGAGTGATTGATGAGGTGGATTATGACAGATGGAAAGTGAGGTGGCGCTATGTGTACCACTTGTATTATTACATGATATCGTCCCTAAATTTAGGATGTGCTTTTTTTTTTTTTATATAAAAAAATTGTGTTTATATTATATACATAATTTTATTTTATGTATTTTACATATTCCACTTTCACACCACCTATCATTATTTATGAACTTCTTCTTGTTGTGATTATAAATAATATTAGTTGTAATGTACTAATTAATTATTTCAATTCTAATGTGGGCCGGGCCCTGCAATTTGGGCCCCCGAGGAAGTGGGTTATTTCTGTTCTTGCTTTTTCTCTCTCCCAACTTTCTCATTTTTGTCAATTCTCACCCTTCTTCCAAATTAAAATATTTCTTGTTAGGAATTTAACACTCAAAAAAAATAATAATAATACAATTATTCTTGTTTTTTTGACACGTGTAGTTTTTTAAGTGAGCTTTCTTGATATTGATTATCTGACTATATAGTGGCACATGAAAATTGAACAGCCTGTGAGTCCACGTGAGCTGCACGTGAAGGGGGGATTGTAGGAAGTAGGAACATCAAAAGATGTCTGGATGACATTCTCTCGTACTACTATTACCAACTGTCTGTGCTTTATTCTTCAAGAAATATAATACACATATATTATTGCAACTTTGGTCCAGTTTCAATATATATATATATATATATATTTTTTTTTTTATTAAAAAACAAATTATTCATACAAATTTTGATCTGATATATTGTCATACTAATTGTCAATATCTGAATTTCACATAAAAACATAGAAATATAATATAATTCATCAAATTCAAATAGAACTACAAAATTACAAAACAGAAGTAATTTATCTACTTCTAGTTTTTGTGCTGTTTATGTTCTTTCTTATTTTATTTATTTATTTATTTATTTTTATTATTTTCCGACTTGCTTTTGATTTAGACAAATTGATCTGAAATGTCTTTACTTTGCAAGATCGATTAAAGAATAATTCTCCTTTTGGTATAAATATGTCAAGATTCAAATGCACAAAGATGGTAAGTGTCTCATCTAATATATAGAACATTAATAAGATTTTTCTTTATTTTTTTTTTTAAAAAGAGAGAATATTTTAACATTTTTATATAAAATAATATTATATTTTATCGATACAATGCTACATTGACCCCAAAAAAAAAAAAAAAGGTGCCAATTTATAACTTGTAGGCAATAAATTAATTGCAAGCAATTTGAAATTAAAATTGTTAGGTATATATAATTTTGTAATAATGTATTCGGTAGAAATCACTGAATTGTTTATTGTTATTATTATTGTTTTGGGTGGGACTAGCAAATTTAATTTAAATTTCGAATTCCATTAAATGCATTTCTTCCAAAGAAAAAGGCTATATATATTCTATTTATTTATTTTATTGTATATTTACTATACATTATTACGATTCTTTTATAAATATATAATATTGTATTCAAGTATCATTTAAATTAAAAATATGAACTTAAAAGACAAAAAGAATAAATGTAAAATATATTTATATATATAAACAATCGTATGATATGGCCCTAATTTTTAATTGACAATTTAATGGATATGATGCCATTAAACATTCCTTTTGTCTATTTCAATTGTACGGTTGATTTTATTCTTCTATATTATTGTAACACTTTATTAAGCATTTTGGATGGAAATATAAAATATTATACTATATTTATATTTTATGACCCTATGATAAAAGCAATATTATATTTCACAAATGTTTATGACTTTCGTTCAAAACATTAAATCACAAATACATTTTTTGATTGATAGCACACCCCTAAATTCTATATACATTTTTTGAATTATTGAAAAATTGATTTAGAATTGACTCTCTAACATTGGACCAACATTATTGATCTATTTTTTTATTCCTTCTTTTCCTATCCAAAAGGATCATTAGGAGATTATATAATAAATTTAAAAATAATAATATTTAATTGATCAATGAAAATATATAAAATAATTTGAATATATTTGTGGCTTATAATTTTTAATAACTAAAAATAAATATCAATTTCCAATTTCCAATTTCACACTTCATCTTTTTTACTAATTACTGCTTTTAATTTAATTTACACCATCAATTTTATTAATTAAAATAAATAAAATAGAGTATTTAGTGCAGCACCGTAACCGTACGTACCCACAAAATATCAGAAAGCAAGACAAAATAAAATAATGTAACAGCAGCAGCAGCAGCAGCTGTAAATGGCAATTCCCTGCACTACTCTTCCCTGCCAAAACCAACTCTTGTATCTAAATGGTACTCCTACTACTATTATTTATTTATTTATTTATTAAATTCATCGATATATATACGAAAATGTAATATTCCTTCTTTCATTTTAATTTTTTAGTATTGGGTCTATTGAAATTAATAATTGCAGAAAGATGAATTTGAATTCAATTTGAAATTGATTTCTGGGAATTTCCATCACTAGAGCAGAAAATGCTGATTAATTAATTAAGTTCATACACTCCAACATGCATACAATTTACAGGTAATAAAGAAATTAATATTAAATTATATTATATATATGATGATGACGATGATGATGATGATGATGATGTTTGATCCAAAATGACCAAGGTAAAATTAATTAAGAACAAATTAAACTAGCTAGAAGTGGGTGTTAAATTAATTAAGGAGTCGGGTACGTACGGTAATTAACCAGTCGAATTCACTATGTTATTAATTAATTAATTAATCAAGCTTGCTTACTTACTGCCTGCCTGCCTGCCTGCCTTGTCGGAAACTGATCAATCTGTTCTTCTTCGTCGTCGTCGTCAGTGTTTAGACAGCGATTATGAAGTTAATTAGCCGTTGGAATAGAAGAGCGAGCTTATTGACGCAGTGGACGAGGTTGTCCCGTAACTGGATCTGTGACCTCCGAAACAATCCAGTGACATTCGCGGCGGCGATATCGCGATCGTCACCGACGACGAATGCGCCCCCGAATCCGGCGGAGATCCTGACCGTCCACATCATCAAAATCAACGATGACCGCCGGATTGATTGATTAAGCAATTAATGATTGAAAAGTAGGAGATTATTACTTGGTAGGTTTTCCGACGAAGAATTGGGGCCATTGTTGCTGCTGCTATTGTTGTTGTTGTCGAGATGATGATGATGAGCTGAAGACGACGACGACGAGGACTTGTTAGGGTTGTCTTGATTAGAGTGGTGAGATTTCCTTCTTCTCCGGTTGTGGTCGGCGAGCCTTTTCCGGCAGCTGCGCTTGCCGTTGTCGAATTCCGACAGAAGGTGGAATCTGCAAGTACGTACTTATTAATTTGTTATTCCATTACCGATGGTACCAAGTACATTGTTATCATTATCCAGAAATTGGGATTGGGAATGCCGTCGGGCGGGGGCGGGGAGGGCAATCTCGTCTTTTCAGGGTGCATGGGGGAGGGTGTTTTGGTAATTTTACGTCACCTGCTGCATTGCTGGCAGAATCGCTGGGTGAGGCCGGCGGCGATGACGGTGGCGGCTTTGGAGTGGAACTCGCAGACTTTGTGGCGGCGGTGGTAGTGCTTCGCGTGGGTGAGGTCGGCGTTGCAGCCCTCCGCCTGGCACCGCGGCGAGTTAACCGAACCGGGGTCGAGGATCCTGGACCGGCGGTAGAGCCGGTTCACGAAGTCGTCCTCGGAGGAGGCGAAGTAAGTCCGGCCGCCGAGGTTCAGCCCTATTCTGCTGTTGAACTCCGCGTTGAAGTCGATCCCCCCGCCGCCGCCGCCGCCGGGCTCGGTTTTCGGCACCACCATGTACCCGGCAGGGGCGGTGGGTTCGAGGCTGAGCAATGAGGCCGGCGGTGGGAACGCCGACGGGGCGCCGTAACCACGTGCGTCGTAGATGCCGGAAAAATGGGGGTTGGAATTAGGGTTTTGGGGGTGGTGAAAAGGGAGGTGGTGGTGGTGGTGCGGATGTCCGGCGACGGCGGCGAAATTGGGGTCAGGGGAAATGAAATTGGCGGTGTCGGAGAAGTTGTGGGCGGCGTAAGGGTCGTAAACCCCTCGATTCCCGTCGGAATCTTGGGCATTATCGTCGGCGGAAAGCATGATCGACGGTGGGTTTCCCCAGCCATACTCCAACATGATATATTTGCTTCTGTTGTGTTGTGTGAGTGTTTCTCACTCTAGGTTTTCTCGCTCAACCTGGTGTTTCAAATTCAACAGACAGCTGAAACCAATTTATCCAAGACCATTATTATTAACCCAAAGCAAAGCCAAGACAGTGGAAATTAAATGGAAATTCAAAGTGCAGAGAGAGAGAGAGAGAGAGAGAGAATGGAAGAAATCTGTCAGCTTTAAAGGGGGAAGATCATGGAGAGTACTGCGAAAGGCTGTAAAGATTTTATCTTTTTTTTTTTTCTTTCTCACTCATTCATATTCATCATCTACAGGCTAGAGAGCTTAGAGAGAGAGAGAGTATCAGCAGTAGCAGCTGTATGTATGTATGTATGTATATATATATATTGTATTGTTGAATTGTGATGATTGATAATAGCACCTTACAATAAAAATGAGCATTAATTAATGAATGAATTACTTAAGAGAAGCCTCTACTCTACTTATCTTATAAAGGCAATAATAGTAATTCTATTTCAGTCTTGAGTTTAAAAAAAAAGATGTTGGGTCGATCCCATATATATGTATATATATGCATTATTGACTGTGTGTGTGTGCGTGTGTATATATATTTATAGAGAGAGAGAGAGATTGGGCAATAATAATAATTAGTTCTTGTTTTCGCCATTAATAATCGATCATCTCTCTACGACCAAGAAACAAAAAATACATACATACATATATAACCTTGCAAGGAGGGTTCAGAAATCAGTACACTGTACTCTCTCTCTCTCTCTCTCTCTCTCTCTCTCTCTCTCATCGAATTCCATACATATATACATACATAAATACATACATGTACCAATAATTGTCTTTTTCCCTTGCCACTCTCTCTATCTCTGTCTAGATGGTATGTATAGGTGTGATGACTCGTGCGAGGCGGCTTTGTTCAGAAAATAGCCACATTTTAGCCGCACCATGGACCTCTGATCCTGAAACAATCCACACCACAGCCTTCATGTTCAAACCCCTCATCGCTCATGCTCCATGGACTTCCTAACCACGTAACATATACTCTACTTTCGTCTTCGAAATTTATATCTATTTTGGCCGAATACGAATTTGAAAAAAAATATGTAAAAATATAAAAAAAATACATATATATATATATAATAAAAAAGTATTTTTTATTTCAAAAATTAATAATATTTTTAATGATAACTAAAACAATAATAATGGTTGACATATTTTAGATATTCAGTTTAGTAGATTTATATCTAGATTTGATCTTATTTATAGATTAGATTTTGTATGGCCAATACATAGGCTTTTTATTTTGATGATAATAAGATAATCTCATTATTTTACCCCAAAATTTCTATTATGGTATTAGAATAGTCTACCAATGCGTGCTTCTCCGGATACATTCAACCTGGATTGTACTGGGAGGTCTTGTGATTTTGAGATCATGCATTTGCAAGTTGTCTTTTTGCAAATCTATCTCGTCTCGTCTCCGATCTGTCATCTATCCGTTGCTTGTCTGTTGCATGTGTGCAATATGAAATCTTCGCTGTTTGTCTATTGCCCGCGAGCGATTTGAAATGATCTGTCATATGTCAATTGTTTGTTTGTTGTTGCGTGCGATCTGCGATCTGTCGTTGCCTGTTTGTTGTTGCGTGCGATCTGCGATCTGTCGTTGCCTGTACGTTGCCTGCATGCGATCTGCCATCTTTCGTTGCTTATTTGTTGCCAAAAATCTCTCTATGATATGCCATCTATCCGTTGTTTGTCTGGGGCCTGCGTGCGATCTGATCTGTCCGATGTTTGCGATTTGTCTGTTTTTTGCTCCGGTGGAGTCATGTCGTTTTAGGCTCCGGTGGAGTCATCTCGTTTTTCGGCTCCGGTAGAGTCATGTCGTTTTCGGCTCCGGTGGAGTCATCTCGTTTTAGGCTCCGGTGGAGTCCTGTCGTTTTCGGCTCCGGTGGAGTAATCTCGTTTTAAGCTCCGGTGGAGTCATCTCGTTTTAGGCTCCGATGGAGTCCCGTCGTTTTCGCCTCCGGTGGAGTTATGTGGTTTTTGACTCCGGTGGAGTCATGTGATTTTCGACTCAAGTAGAGTCATCTCGTTTTCGACTCCGGTGGAGTCATCTCGTTTTTTGCTCCAGTGGAGAGTCATCTTGTTTTCGACTCCGGTAGAGAGTCATCTCGTTTTTTGCTCCGGTGGGTGGAGAGTCAACTGCTAATTTTATTTATGTTTTCTTTTTATGTTTATATTCAAATTTCTCATCAAACTCGAGTTGGTTTTTGTTATACCACTTGAGTTTGAGGGGATGTTGAGATATTTTAGATATTTAGATTTAGTAGATTTGTATCTAGATTTGATCTTATATTAGATTACTTAAATTTGAGTTTATCGAGTCTATTTTATATGACTTATATATAGGTTCCTTATTTTGACGATAATAAGACAATCTCATTATTTTCCCCCAAATTTATTACAATCATAGATTTAAATAATAGATCAAATATATATTTCATTTGATTTATTTTTCAATTTGTTAATAGTTAAAAGAAAAAATGACAATGAATATGAATATACTCGATATCCAACTCATTTATTTGTAGTAAGTCTAGTTATTCGAATATCACTTTGGGTATATGAAAAATATACATACACTAATTGGATTCAAACCGGGTACGGTGGATTCAACCCGGATTTGAATTCTAAGTTCAATTAATATATTAATCATGTATCAATTATATTTATAAAAAATAATTTCTAATAATATATTTATAATAGAAAAATACTTTTATTTTGATTTATTTATTAATTATGAAACTATTTTTTAAATATTTTTAAATAAAAATACATAAATTTTAATATATATCGAATCTATATTTAATTTTAAATCAACTTGTTAAAATTTATAAAGGTATTTCATATCCATTGAGTCTCATCGAATGTAGTAGAATATGAGTATTATCCTATCCAATTTGATTTTTTGAATTTAACTATATATATATATATATATTTGGCTAAATTGCACGAATTTACCGTGGTTTCATGAAATTGCGCAAAATTCTCTATATTTCTAAAACTACGTCAAACTCTCTCGTGGTTTCATAAACTCTGCGTCTAACCCCATTGGCGGTATTTATTTAACGGTATTTGACGTAAATGCGCTATAATTGCAAATAAATTTTAAAATCTCAATTTCTAAACCCCTAAAATTATAAATAATATTAATTTTTCTGGTATTTAGTTTCAAAAAATTAATAAGTATACTAAAGAATAATTATTTTTATCCGATTTTAAGAGTTTATTTTTACTATTTTTTAGGCTAAATATAAGAAAAATATATATTTTGTAATTTCAGAAGTTTAGAAATTAAGATTCTAAAATTTATTTACATTTTGGATTCATTTAGGTCAAATACGGTTATATAAGGACCGCCGAAGGGTTAGACGCAGAGTTTATAAAACCATAACGAAGTTTGAAGCAATTTTAAAACTACAAGAATTTGACACAATTTCGTCGAATCAGGTTTGAATTTTGTAAAATTTAGCTTATATATTGGGATTTGATCTTAAATTCAGATGGACCATAACCATTGACATCTATCTAATTTGGACGTGTTTGTTTGTGAATTTAACATTTTTAATTAAAAAAAAAATTGAATTTAAATAATTGATAATTTAAAGTTTTTAAAATTTGCACTATACGCCTATCTTCGCCCCAAGTGATCTTTTACAACTAATTAATGTTCTAAATCTGTATTTTATTCTATTACTATTATTATACAGTGATTCCTGCGGATCAATTATTATTTTATTTTTTAAAACAAAATATTGCGGAAAAATCATCTGCATGAATTAATTAATTAATTAATGGGTTTTAAAATAAAAAATAAAAGGGTATTTTAAAAGCATTAAAGAAGGCAGACAGGGCCCTGTCCCGTGCCTGTTTGGTCTCTGCGCCTGTACTTGAATGTTGACCCGGTCAACATACTAACAAATTACAGAAATTATGAGATTTTTTGTAGATTTTTTTATTTATTTATTTTATTAAGTTTGTATTTTGAAAAACAATTTATATACTTCCTTTCCTCTTGTGTAAATGTTCATATTTTTATATTGATCCATCTAAATATAATTTTTAATATATTTTAAAAATTTTAAGTTAAATTCTTTAATTTTAATTTTAACCTATAGTTATATTTATTATATTTTCTAATTATATTTTATCAAAATTATCGTATCTACGGCAATACAGATATTTTATACAAAACGGAGGAAATAATATGTATAGTTTTACTATTTTCATTTGTCACACTTCAAAGTATTTATTTTGTATTTAAAAAAAAATACATTAATATTAAAATACTTTAATATTTATCTAAATTGTAAATATAACATTGCAAATACCATTTTTTTAAAAAAAATACATTAATATTAAAATACTTTAATATTTATCTAAATTGTAAATATAACATTGCAAATACCATTTTTTATTTATAAAAGTTATTAACTAATAAAATACTATTACTTTAAAATCAATTTAAAAGACCCATTTAAAATGGAGCGGAGAGAGTAATATATTATTTATTATTAAATTTCATAACTTTAAACATCATATAATAATATAGGTTCTGTTCTTTTAATAAAAAAATATATACATATATTTTTAAAAAAAAATTAATATATTACATCATTATTATTTTAAATTTTTTTCATACAATTAATTATATATCATATAAAAAAAATACTTATTCAAATTATATTAAACACGCCCAAATGGGTATTAATTTAGAAGTATAAAGAGATATATATTGATTTGACGACAGGGCCTCTATTTATTGCTACTTCTATCAAAATAGCACTTCATCCGTTTAAAAGTATAATCTTATTATATTAAATATAAGATTTAAAATATATTGATATTATATTAATAATTGATAAAAAGTAAAGATAAATAAATTTTTTATTTTTATGAATATATTGATGTAAAAAATAATGATAATTATGTAATAATAATAAAAAAATATAAATAATTTTATAATAATATAATTATTTATAAAAATGAAACTATTGTTTTGAGACGACAAAAATGATAAGCCAGACTTTCTATTGTATTGGAGCGGAGGAGCAGTACTTATCTATTGCTGCATTAAATTACAGGCGTGAGAGTGCGCGCCATTTTTTGCGCAATAGAGTATAGACCGTAGTAGCTTTGCCATTAATTGGTCACGCGCCAATTTCCAGCGTGATTTCTACTCTCTATCCGCAACCAGCCAGCCGACATCAATCATCAATCCTTCTGTTTTATATATCCTTCCAACAGGGCTCATTTATTTTTTTTTTCAGGAATTTTAATATAATGTGTGTTAAACATTTTCGAAATTATTATAACTTTTTGATTAACAAAAACAAAAAAAAAACACTTCATTCGAAAAAAATATCTTCATACAAAAAGTTCTTATTGGAATGCACATTTATTCTCTTCCTTATTTAATAGTGATATATTGAAAAATAAAATTGAAAAGCATCTAAAATATTCAGTACACAATCAAACATACTACCATTATATTTTATTTAATTGTTACCCCCTTGTATGATGTACGCTACTTCGTACGTACGATTGTTATACTTATATACGGATGTTGTCCGACGTCGTTTCTTCGGACGACGGTGCTGATTGATCCGACGGTGGTCAGTGCCGACACGTGGATGAAGAAGATGGGCGGGCAGGCGGGTGTGTTGGAAGCCAAACAGAGTGGGGAAAAGGCTGACACAGACGTTGACTATTTGGTGTACGGAATGTCTACCAAGTCAGACATCACACCACCCGTAAGTGTTTTTAGCATTTTATTTGTACCTATTATCCATCAATTTTACATCAAGGATGTGTTTGTATGGAGATTTGATTTTAAATATATTATCCATGTCATTTTTTTTTTAAATATTAAATTAAACACTACTTTTTATTTTTTATATTATACTATAAATCAAATTATATTTAAAACGTCACATAACGTCTATTTATATCAAATCCTAATTCAAAATCCAAATCCCAAACAAACAAGTCCTATTTGTTTCAAGATTCGTAAGAATTTTAATTATTCATCTAATTTTTTCTCCAAAAATATCAAATTATAACGTCAATACCTATTTATATAGCATCATACAATTATTTCAATTCAATTTTTTTACTATTCAAATTTCAATTCAAAATCCAACCCCCAAACAAACACACCCTAAATTCATCGTTGTCTTGACGACATCCAAAATATAAATCAGCAACAAATTTAGTACAAACCAGCACTTAGGGCAATTATATTTCTACAGAAGACATGTTGTATTAATTCAACTCATATATGACTAATCAAATATAACTATTTCCTTGAAAACATGAGTTAACACTAAACATACACTAAAATTTTTCTATCTGTAGTAATTAAATGCGTAGGAGAATGAAACTTTGAATATTTTACCATATCATATAAATTCCTATCAGCCCTTTAAAGTTCAAATCATCTCTAAAGTGATTAATTATTTTGCCTAATTCAAAGGTAGAAATATGATCCATAATATTAAATTGAACTTTCACCAGATGAACCAAACCAATCAAATAAATTATCACATATCACATTCACAAGATAAATCAATTTAATATGCATAAATATATCCACATTGACGTACAATTTTATTTTCTTTAGTTACTCCATTTTTTAACATCAACCGAGACAAGCAATGGTCAAATCAGCTAATGTTCAAGCAAAATCAATTAGTGCATATATATATATATATGCAGTAATAATAATAATGACAATAATAAGCGTGGCATTTTGTCGGTGACAGAATTGTAAATCAATGTCATGCATGAGTCATGAAATTAATTATCACATTTTGGAAATTCAATCTAAAAAATAAAGGCCCATAAAAGATTTTTTAGTTGGCCAATCAGAGAGAGAACTGGTAAGGGAAGGGAGGGGGGGTGGGGGTTGGTTCTGTCTGCTGGTATGCAGAATGAATGGAAAAGGCAGCAAACAAACTTTTGTGGTATATAATGTGACACACTTACCCTCCCTCTCCCCCCCCCCCCCCCCCCCTCTTTTTTTTTTTTTTTTAAATAAAATAAAAAAAAGAAGTAAATAATAATAATCTGCTAATAATGCATGCAAGATTTGAAAAATGAATATGACCCTTGCAATTTTTCTTACCTAACTGGGGTGTGCCTCCACCCTCACATGAATAATTAATACAGAGATGGACCCACTCCATTCATGATACTTTTTCACCACAGCCATACATATATGTATATACACATATCTGCAAAAGGCACCCCATAAATTTGAGTCAATAATATAATTAAATTAAAGTGAAATAATAAGAATAATAATGCAATGCGTGTAAGGTATTATGCTATGGTGTCTCTCATACATTATCAACAACAATATCATGGCATGATTAATGGTACATTGTATTTTCTGTGGGGAGTCACATCAAAACAAAATATATATATATATATATATACTAATTTTAATTATTTATTTTCCTCAAACTCATTCAAAGACAAAAACATGTTAGAAAATGAAACCTAAATTGAAGAAATGTCACTCTCACCCTGCCACATTCCAAGCAAAACAATTTGATTCATGGATTGACAAGTCTCCACAATAGCAACAATAGTGAAGAAATGAATTGAAGCCAAACCAAGAATCCACCATTCTATGGCAAGCAGCCCTCAAAACACAAGAAGAGAAAGCGTTACTATTTCTTGAAAATGAACATTCAGCAATACATACAAAAGACACTAACAAACTATTCATACCTGATAGCAACTTGGGGCATGCAATGCATGCACATGTAAATTACATTACATACTTGGAGCACAATCATGGTCATGAGGAACCTTCTTCCATCAATATGCTTCTGCTGCTGCAATTTACCCTTTTCACACCACAGAATGCAAGGAAACTTGGCCACATGCAATCCCTCTGAAAAGTCCTACTCATCTTACTGCAACATATAAATTTGGGTAAGATCATTTTACACATTTTTGGGAAGAAATATTAATACCAAGGGGGGCCAGGTGGGCAGTGGTGGGCACACAACAGTTCATTGTTTTCTTTACAAAGGAATCAAGTCTTTTTCCAAACTAAAATACTTGTCAAGTTATTATTGAACCTATTCCAAGAGAATGAAACAAATGTGGGGAACAATTCATCCCCAAATAACCAACAGTAAAACGGAAATTATCCTAGCTTTGTAAACATCAGTATATACAGAGGACACATCATACTTGGCATATGCAAGAATTCTGATCCTAATGGGAATAACCATTTACTGCAAACTATGCATGATTTTGCTACAAAGAAACATAAGAGGATTCCAACACAGCATGTGGCCTAAGTTAGTGATGAATTAATCGTGTTCAAATTGAAAACTTCAACACCCTGATGGACTAATTATTAGGGCAGCTCCATGGTATATAATTTGAGATAATTTACAGCAAGTTCCATAATTGCACGGCAATAAGGTTCCTGAATAGCAATAATTAACAAAAGACAACCTTGTTAAGAAACAGCTGTGCTTTATTTGCCCCGTTGGCGTCGCATAAACCCTAATCATGAAAATAACAATAACTGATAACATGTACAACATGCATGTTAATTGTAGAACGTGAATCAAGCAGACTCCTGTCTCCCTAATAAATTCAGTTCAATCATATCTAAACATGTCTCCAAATAAGATTCATGCCAGATTTTGTTCCTAAATGGTCTAAACATTCAATCTTTATCACATAGAAGTGATAGCTATCTACCATCTATTCAATGCATTGAAACAAGCAAGAGTAATTCTTGACAACCAAAATGTAAATAGCACAATGCATGTTCAACCTAACACTACCTTAGCTTCCAAGGTGGTTGGCGTCCAGAGTATTGACAATGGCTGTAAGTAGTAGAGTATATACCCTTAGGAGATCACATGGGGTGGGAATATCTCAAAAGAAATGCTGGCGAAACTTCATTGGGACCCAGAAGTTTCTTTTTCCTTCAATTTTAGATCATTGTGCATGGATTCTTGTAGCATGATAACTTTCAAGCTGATTCGTCCATTCAAAGAGTTTTGATGTGTGAATGCATCAAGCTACCACAAAACATAAAACAAATTGACTGCTACTATCCAGCAGAAGCTGGTGGTATCCTAAAGCATTGAGGATAAAAAACTGCATTTGATAGTTTTTGGTAAGCTACAAGAAACATCCATGAAAGATAAGAGAATTTTAAGATGTTATAAGTGCATCATTTCTAGACATATCAAGGTCACAACAAAAGAAGGCAATACCACAGGCAAGCATAGACAGTCTTTGATTCAGTGCTATAGGCTTCTCGCCACAATCATGGATCTTTCTCATGATAAGATCTAGCTAAAGTTTCTTCATTAACCCCAACAAGTTTGTGCTTCTTTGATTGAAGCGATACTCATCCACATCTCTGTTTAATGTTGGTTATCTTTATCAGCAAATGTCATCTATGTACCATCACATGTTTGGTCAGCATCGTGCAGCTTACAGTAACCCTGCTGTCATTGACAACAATAAACCAGTTACATGTGTTCTAGAATCTAGAGGACTAAATGTAAGGAGGGTTACAAAGCTACTGAAAACAGATACACACTCACTTAAAAGGACACTTGTCCACGATAACAATTAGCAAATTATGTAAGGCCGCATTTCTGCTCGACCCCATACAGAATAAAACCCATAGCCTGTGTATCAGAAACACTAGAATGCAGGGGAATAGGACACACTTCGAAAGCTAAAAAAGAATTTTGCATGTAGTTGGCTAGCAAAAAAGACTAGGCACAAGAGAGCTATGGAAAGTAACATTTATTGTTAGCTAAATACCTCTATTTCTCTACTAAAATTTTCCTATGGCAACCAAACAGCTATATAGGATTCACCTATCTATTTACATACATCTGCCTACAGATCTTATCATGGGTGTGGAGATTTTTGCACTGATTTCTACCAGATATATACATGATTGTACTGCTTAATACATACCAATAAATAACTAATTTTATTTTTTTTTAAAAAAAAAAAAAAAAGATATCTCGAAAGGAATTTGAAGGTGCAACAAGATAGAATACTGCATTGAAAAGAAGTCAAAGAACTTAATAATCTAAGGCAGTCACTGAGTCAATTTTTTGGGTGGCATAATTCTCTATAAATATTATAACATAGTACAATATGAACACATTAACATAAATATATAATATATACACTTTATCCACTAAAAAATAGTCCAATTTAACATAAAATATTATTTTTTATGTTACCACCACAATTCTCCATATCTAACATAAAATACACATCTATCCAAAAACACAAAGTGCACAAACCAGTAATCAATGATGTTTAAGAAATAATCTAATCAAAATTAATCCTTACATGATCGAACTCATTAAGCCTTTGAATCGGCATTTTAAAGTCAAGTAGTTTGAGCTTGATTGGGTCTATGGAAGTATGGTGAAATCTATAAATACTAATTACTATTGGAAGAATGAATAAATTGAACAAAATTGAACAGTGGAATATTCTGTTCCATTCTCTTTTAAAACAAACTACTCTCCCTCTCTTCACTTAGTTTTGTGACAATCAAGTAAGACCATTAATAAAATCATAACGCTTCAAAAAATCCTATAATTTGCATCAATAAATAATAGTGGTAACATACCAAAGCAGTGATACTTTAGATCCCCATGACAAGTGCAACGGATCAATCTTCCTCCTCAACCCTGAAGAAGACAAGCAACCATTGAAAGGATGCAAACAGATTCCTTAGAAGACATATAAACACGTGACTAATATCCTAAAAGTTTCCCACAGGAGATAAGAACGTACTTTGGTTTGTCAGTCAACGTCACCAGAGACCTCAGTACACCAGGATTGATCTTGTCATCAAGAATGCCTTTATCAGATATCCAGAGAGATTTTTCTTTCACATAGCTCTGAAGTTTCTTAGAATCAAAATCAAGGCGCGCTTGATCTGCATTTTATAAACACCGTTGGAAAGCTGTTCAAAATTATCCAATCAAGATGTAGACATATCTGCGGCACCTATTGTAACCATAGAAAAAAACACAACAGTAAAAAACACTCTTTCAAAAAGAAGGCAAAACTACCTTCCTCTAAAATGGTATGGGCAGCATGAAATGGCACAGTTGCAAACATATCAGTTCCTGGGAACATCAATAATGCCTCCTCCCTCGAATCATGATCACCACAGGTTGTGCATACCTCTCTCAACAGAGGCCTTGAGTCAATGTTCCTCATTAATGATTCAAAAGGGGAAGGGACACTGGTTTTTGTTGTTCTAGCCCTCTTTCTTAATGCTGTTAAAGCTTCCCTGTTCCCATTCCGCACTCTATCAACCTCAATCAACTGCAATATCAATTTAATCAGAAATCAAGATTTCCATAGGCTAAAAAAGATCTAGAATCCAGTGCATGTTAAGATCACCTCATGGCGTGCCAGTAGAAGTTTTTCGGCTTCTACTTCAACCTCAACAAGCTCTTCCTGGAATTGCTTCATAGTTTCATCCATTTTAAAGTAACTAATTCTCTGTGAGGGAATGGATTAACTGCATACATACACAGCAATTAAAACTATAACAAAACCTCTTGCATGCTTTAAACTCAAGCACATTGTTTAATTCTATGCTTGGTGAAAACAACAGGCTATCTAATACATACACAGCAGAATAAACAACTGCTCATACGATCTCCCCCAGCCGGTTATTGCTGAATGTTAAGAAAATCGAAATTTTCCAATCAAATCCCTTTTTTTTACCGGTCCACAAATCACCTACCAAAAGTAACCACTACACCTTCTTTCCCATTCTACAATATGCATAAATTACATCCAGTATTCCCAACTATAGTTTGCAGAATCGGGGAGGTTGCTATGCATACCATACTATACAGTATACTTGCCGAGTATATACATATATATAAATATATCTACGCCTAATCCCTACTTCAATCGAAATTCGGTCCCCAGCATAGCAATCAAAGGCAACAAAAGTATTAAATAGGTCAATAACAGTTTTCCAACGGCGCACCTGGTCCAGACGATCGGAGTATAGTACCAATATGGATGCACAATCTCTATTTAGCTGCGTCGCAAGGAGGACTGGAAGAAGCAGACAAAGACGAGCCCCCGACTGCCGACGGAAAATTGGTTTAGGGCCGAATTTTATTTGGAATAAGTTAGTGGGCTTTAACATGTACTTATTTATATAGTTTTATTGTTTATAATTTTCAATTTTGTTAAAATTTTTAATTTTATTTAAATAAATATGTGTTGTACATCTATATAATTAATTACTACATATTTAATTATTCTAATTTGTCTTTGGTTAAAATTTAAATCTTTGAATAATTATTCAATGTAATATTTAAATATAAAAATAATTCTTAATATAATATAATAAATAAATATTTTGATTTAATATTTTAAGGAGAAAAATTAGTATGTGAAAATCTTTAGAAAATCAAACCAAGTACAAAAATCTTTAATACAAGTTTAATATCTGCTGCAGCTGCTTGTGCAAATTAATGCAAAGTAAATAGACTGCAATATCATCTCATCTCCATGCCTAAAATATGATGGAAAACAATAACTCCTCTAATGAGTCATTCTTACCAAAGTTCCATCTTCAACTCCTCAGCAGGAAGACAACAACAGTAAATAATGTCCCCTACAAACATCATTCCAATACTACATAACTATTACACTGTCTGTCCAAACTTGGCAGGCCTTCGAGACCGCGAGACTCAGCTCAACCAAGGTCTTGGCCGAATCAGTTCACGGTCTGCATCCGGTCCTTGGCTGGCTAGCTTGTGAATACGTGAAGAGAATTCCTCGGCCTAAGAGAAACGCGAGTATTACTAACGAGGACAAATAATGACAACATCTAAAGAGTAGGAAGACAATCACACAAAAGGACAGGAATGACAATGTCATAAATTGTAAATGCAAAGCGAAAAATAAAAAGGGGTACTAATGCATTTCTATATTTTGGTTAAGAACATGGAACCTGCCCGCAAGGCTATCTTTCAAATTCTTCACATAAAATACAAGAATTTAGTGTCGAACCTAACCTTTTCATCAATCCACATCAATGAGGTTAATTGGTTGTTCAATATTTTGACGACGACATCCATTGGAGTCATTCCATCAGTGGCTTCAAGCTCTCCACCCTAATTCAATAAGAATTATTTAGCATTGAAACCGCGACGAGAAAAGCAAACAGAGGTAAGGTTTTTACCTGAGCAGCATTCAGGGTGTTGATGATTGATTTGACTTGTTCGGTCATGTGCTCCAACTCGCGTTCCATCACTTCAGCTTGCTCGTACCTGAAATCAGCAATAACTACTTTTAAACCAGTACACAATCCATCAATGTCTACCATAAGAAGTAATGCACCGGAGAATAACTAAATGAAGATTCTAGTAAAATGTGAACCAAGAAGTAATGGAGCAATATGAAAGTACATTGCATCTCTTGTGGACGCAGCATCATCATCCAGAAGCAGTCCGTGCTCCTCTCTGTACATTCGCTCAACTTCATGTTCCATACTCTGCAAGGCCTTGTCAACCTAACAAACAAATGATCAAAAGGAAAAGGGAGCCCATTCAAGTCAGATAACAAATATAAACATATACGCACAAATATGAAATTTGACTTGGCGATAAATTTCCATAAGAGTGAAAATAAAATTAACCTAGCAAACTTTGTTAAAAGCTGAAAACCCTCCAAACCAAAGTATTCAATAACACTCAACAGTTTATATCCATCACGTGAATAATATTATTGAGATGAAATATAGACCTGAAGAATAATATCAATTACTTCCTCCGTCACGCCAAAATTATATAACTATTTTTTTTTATTGTCATCCCCCAAACTTATATACATATGCACTTATAGTAAATAATTCTATCCATCCACAATTTTATTACTCTTACTTTAACAAATAATAACCAATTTGGCACTACTTTTTTTACTTATCAGACTATTTTTTATCAATTCTTTAATAAATTTCCTATAATACCCTCACTTTACTTTTTACTTATATCCCACTTTAATATAAAAATAAAATATTATTATTTTTAAATTTTGTACCCAACAAAATCTACATAAAAGAATGTATTATCTTCTAATAATAACAGCTAGCAGTATAAAGATTCAATACCAAATATGTCTCCCAATTTCCCAATAAGAATAAGAAATATTATTAAGAAAGTAGGACTAATTCTTGGAGGTTAAATGAAACACACAACATGATGCTAAGCTGATCCATGCAACACATACATTATAAGACCAAATCTTGCGACTCAATGTTTAAAGCACATCCCATGGAAGTTCAAAGTGTAATCCCAATTATTAGTGCACAAGAGAAGTTCATCTAGAATACCTCATCTTGATGGGTTTCAATCAGTTCGAGCTGTCGCTCCAATCTACCTTGTGTCTCCACCACAGTTGCAACTTCACTCTGAAGGAATTTTATGAGCATTCAATATGGCAACCAATAAGAAAACACAATAAAAAAGGCAAGGGCCTCACATAGATCACATTTACTACATCAAGTCATGCAGTGGCTATATGAAAATTTAATACCAAATTTGTATAGTTTAATAAATGTCATGCTTTCTTCCTTGGTGAAGAAAAACAACCTCAAGCTTGAGAAGAATATCACGATTCTGAAGAATCTTACGATCCCATTCAGCTATAGCATTAGCTTGTTTCCGAAACTTTCCTGTGCGTTCCTGTAGTTCAGCATTCCATTCCTTGATAATCTATTTTGTATCATCATCATAAAAGGGAGTTTCAGAACAAAGTTAGAAGTATAATGAAACAGAAGAAAAAAAAAATATATATATATATATATATATATTAAATTTTAGGCGAATGGATTTATGTCAAAGTAGAATTGGGGGAAATATTACTGTTTACTCAATTTACAGCGAAGTTGCATAAATTTTAAGCAAGAAGTAAGGGATTAAGACCAAGACAAACAACGTAAATGACAAAAAGTTTGGTTACCTCCTCAACTGTTCTCCCAGTGATCTCAGATGGTAACTTTGGAGTTGCTAAAGCAGCACTGGTTGAGGATGTGGACCTACAGGGCAAGCATAAAACCCAATAAGTCGATTGAACCGTTTAAAAATAAAGATGCAGTTTGTAGTATTAAATAGCAAGGTTTGCATGTTTTTTGCTTTCATGTTGTGTAAACTCCACCTTTCTACTACACTCATAAAACCAAAACTCAACACAGTGAATTCATTGATACATTTCCTAACAAGATGAAAAAATTCATCAATTGCCCATAGATCAAAACTAAAACACCCCTTGTTTTAAATTAAAGAAAAATAAAATTAAAGTGACAGTGAAGAAGCCGCTCAGACATTTTCAGGTTCAGAAAGATATATTATCAAGTCACTGTTACATACTTTTGTCCTAAATCTTTTGCTCTTATTTTTAATTTGGGATATTTCAAACAAATTTAGATTTTACTTCATTTATACACAGTTTTTTCTCTATCACCCTTCTAAATACTATGTATAAAATCATTTCAAACAAAAAGGGAAAAATAGGAAAACTTTCAAAATTATACCATCTAAAACAACTGTGCTAACAGTAAACATACCAAAAATAATGGAATGAAGGGAGTACTATAGTATTCCACAGAAAGGCTTTGGCATTTCACACGTAGGGTACATGCATCATGTATGGCCAAGGAATAGCAGAGTATTGCCACAGGGAGCAAAGCAAAAAACATGTAATATATTCAAAGGAACCATAATAGCTAATTCATGCTTCATAGTTTGACAGAAGCAGATTGCCACAAAATTTTCCAAGTCAGATCAAATGGATCTAAATTCTTTTTGCCTTAATGAAAGGACAAGTTCGATTAAGTAAAAAGAAGAGAAACACACCCACTAGTTGAAGCTACAACCGAGGATGATGTTTGAGCAGCAGAGCTGGTGCTTGAACCGGCTGAAACTGTTGCACCAACAGTTGGGGGGACACCTATAAATTAACAGCATGATTTTACACAAGCAAAAAAACAACAAGCAAAGAAATTGTGTGCATTGTATCTCAAGATTAAAGTCTTCCCACACAATATTATTGAAGCACGCAGAAATTAAGTTACCAACATAAAAAAGAATATAAGGAAAACACTTCATATTCTTATTAACCTAAAATATAAAGGATATTAAGTGTTCTGTGATACCAAAACTGCTCTACAATATTCATGTTAAGTTTTAGGAGATGCACTGCTTGAACAAGTAGAGTCCACCATTATCACATCTGACAGCACCCTGGGCCAGCCAAAATGGCTTCTTATTCAATGATTTAAGGGCATATTTTAATCTAATTCGTTGTCTTTGTAGTCTATAGGAAACAAGAATAAATTAACTCTAAACCTCTATGATTGGATGCTTCACAATCACATATAGATCATGTTCATGAGACAACAAAATCAGCAAATTGTGATATACCCTCAAGTTGAAACATATCGGATAACATCCAATCAAGGTACATTACGCTCTATAGCCTATCATAATCATTGAAGGTATCAATGGAGGACCGATATTGCAAATCTCATTTGTACTGTATCTAGCCATTCAACAGCTTTGAGAATCTCAACGGTGCTTTAAAATATTCTGGACGGACTACCTTGTCTAATTTATTCACTCCTGCCGTCTAAATCACATGTATTATGTAAGAGATGCTGAAAATAAAATGTGAGAAGCATGTAAAAGGAGGGTTTTACCGAAAGAAGGTAGAGCAGCAGTTGATTGTGCTTCTGAAGAAGCAGGTGCAGTTGAGAATGCTTTTAAGGATAGAGAGAAAGAACTTGTACTTCCAGACGATGCAGCAGATGTACCAAAACCAGTAAAACTAGAAGATGGAGCAGGTGCACTGGTAGCTGAGGCTGCAGGCGCGACAGAAGATCCACCAGTAGATGCTGGAAATGTCAAACCAGAAATTGTACTTGCAGCAGAAGGGGCACTCGCCACAGATGGAGTTGTAGCACTAGTACTCGAAGCAGTAATAGTTGAAAACAGAAAAGAAGTAGATGCACCACCAAATGCCGCCCGTTTTGAGATTTGTGTAGTTGCCGTTGCAGCAGATGATTGGAATCCAGTAGTTCCTAACGAAAATCCAGTTGATGGTGATGATGATGATGAGGCTGTAGCTGGTGTTGAAACAGCAGGTGCAGCAGTGCTGTTCAGAAATGATAAGCCAGATGTTGTCGAATTAGAAGATGTCGAAAAAGAAAATGCTGGAGTCGAGGACGCGGATGGCATGGAAAAAGAGAACCCAGGCGGGCCAGAAGAGGATGAGGTTGAAGCAGGCAACGAAAACCCAGCGGCAGAAGAAGCTGAACCCGAGGCATTAGTAGAAAAGGGTGACACTGAAGAGGAAGATGATCCAAACTGAGGGGATGAAGAGCCAAAAATACTAGAAGTTGGTCCTACATTCGCCCCAAATAAGGATGGTGATTGTATTGTGCCAGAAGTAGCAGGGATCGATGAAGATGCAGAGGATGAAAACAGACTTGCAGACCCAGATACAGGAGCGCTAGCAGTCGCTGCTGTAGTGGAAGATCCGAAAAAACCTGCAGTAGGTGCCGGACTCGATCCAAATGCTGGTGCAGTGGTGGCTGGAGTAGAACTAGTTGCTGATGATCCAAAAGAACCGGAAGATGCAGCCGAGCCAAATCCAAACAAAGGAGAGGCAGTGCTGCTCGTAGAACCAGTCGAAGAAGACGCGAACAGAACGGAAGTTGGAGCATCTGATCCAAACAAATTTTTCGAACTTGGAGCAGGGGATCCTGTCGAATTTTCAAATGCAGAAGCAAATGCGCTAGACGAGGATCCCAAAGTACTCCCTGTGCCAGTCGACGCCCCAAAACTGGGAACTGACGCAGATCCGAAGACGTTCGAAGCTGCGGCTGTGCCTGAAGAGAACGATGGGAACAAATTTGACGTGGTACTCGCAGCAGAAAGAGCTCCGAATGCACTCGAACTCACCGCCCCACCAGAAGACAACGAACCAAACAAATTCAGAGTGGAAGCAGCACCAGAAGACGATCCGAATAAGTTCGAGCTTGTCCCCAAACTCGAAGATTGTGAACCGAACAAAGGAGAAGAGGCAGCGGTTGATGAGGACGCCGCCGGAACTGATGAAGATCCAAAAAATGAGGACGCCCCGAACGGCGAGGAACTGGCCGACGGCGTCGCTCCGGAACCGAATGACGGTGTGGATGACGAGGACGCACCGGAGAATGAGAAGTCCGTTCCGGCCATCACGGCGGCGGTCGCAGAGGTGAGCGTTGAAGCTTCGCAGATCGGTGGTGGAAAAGAAGGGTTTCTATTAATGGAGGGAATAAGGTTACAATTTTCACAATTGTTATGCAATTTTGAAATTAGGGAAGAATTAATTGGGTTTGGGCCTTGGGAAAAATATAGACGCTGGGTTAAAGTTAAAAGGATATTGAACTTGGGCCTATGGGAGAAAAAATATATAGATGGATATAACCCGGATCCATCTCATCCAACCCGACCCTAACGAGTCCGGTCCCGCCTTTATCTACAACCTTTATGAGAAATTTAAAAAAAAAATATTTATTCCGTCCCAAAACTATAGTGTTGAATTCAAAGAATATTAATATTATATTGATAATTGATAAAAAATATGTATAAAAAACTTTTTTGTTTTGTGAGTGTATTAGTGTAAAAACAGTGGCAATTATGTAATAAAAATAAAAAAAAGTAGGGATTGTTTTATGGTGATATAGTTATTTATGAAAATAAAATTATTGTTTTGTAACGAACATAAATGTAAACAAATTATTATATTGGGATAGAGGGAGTATCATTTAATCTTTCAAATCAAAATCAATATTATTTATTATGTACAATTTTCAATAAAAATACTATATTACGCATCAAAATATTGTTTAAATAAAAATTCAAATCAAATTCGAATAATATTTATGATTTTGTCTTTATTTACTTTTTATCTTAAATACTTTATTAATCAATAAAATATCATTATTTTTGAAGTAATATATTTGTTATGATAAATATATATATATATATATATATCTTAAATATTCCAAATAGAAATACAAAGTATTTATTACTACATACTCCTTCCGTTCCACATAATTTATTCCTATTTTCTATTTTCGTCACTCCCACATAATTTGTCCTTTTTTAAAAAAAATTAATTATACACTTTAATTATATTTTAAATTTTAAATTTTAATTTTTTTAATATTAATTAAACCATTTAGTTATCTTAATCTTAATTTATAATTATTTTTACTAAATAATACTCCCTCCGTCCCGCATAATTTGTTCCTATTTTCTATTTTCGTCCGTCCCACATAACTTGTCATTTCTATTTTTGGAAATATAATTATGCACTTTAATTGCATTTTGAATTTTAAATTTTATAATTTTCTTAATTTTAATATAACTATTTACTTATCTTAATCTTAATCTATAATTATTTTTACTGAATAATAATTATTTTTACTAATACACTTACTTATTAATTATACTTTACCTAAATTCTCGTGTCTACAGTAATACACTCATATTACATGGGACGGAGGGAGTAATTATTTTTACTAATATATTTCTTTATTACTTACTAATTATACTTTATTTAAATTCTCGTGTCTATAATAATACATCCATATTACATAGGACGGAGGGAGTATTTATGTGCAAATGATAAAAATTTTGTAATATATTATTATTAAGAATTTAAAAAAACGATAGGGATAATTGTAATTTCTAGTTTAGGATAAATTAATTTTTATTATTTTAAAAATATTTTAGAAAAAGATAATATATATATACAAGTTTATTAAAAAATACATAAAATAATTTCTTTATTAAAACAAAACAAAAAAAAGCTCGTAATATTTTGTCAGTGTACTGAAGTAATATTTAATAAAAATACAATATAATCAAATATATTTACACAACTTATGTATACACGTCACTAAACATTATTTGGCGGCGGCGGTGGCGGCCGTCGTTAATCAAATATATTTACAGACTTATATATACACACAAAATCTACAGAATGCATGGCTCTCTTACACGAGTTACAGCAGCAGCAGGTGTCGGAAGCAGCTCTTTTCTAGGAGTCCTCGAAAAATCCACATGATCAATATTATTAATATTATAATTATAATTATCTGGAGCCCAAAATCCATGAAACCCAAGTGGAAAATTCAAGTGTCTAGGGACTTCAAATCTTGCCACCACACCATTCTTCTCACCAATCAATTTTGCATCCAATACCACCAGGTAACACCTCTGTATTGCCACGGCATACTGCACATATTACAGTGGTTTAATTAATTATAAAAAATAAAATTAATATAAATTTATTTTTTTAAAAAAAAATATGCAATTAATTATATATTTTACGTACTTCTACTACAAGAAGATATCCATCGTCTTCTTCTCGGCTATGGTGTCCGCATTTGGGGATGAATATAGGTTCTCCGATGAATCTCCGTCGACCCGTTGACCAAGTGGTCGTTGACTTGCTTGCCGTGTTTGTCTTCGCCACCGTGTCAAAGGGGAAATGCGGCAACGCCCGCCGTGTGCCGGAGGATGTGGCGGCGTATATGTATGTGTTTTTCGTGCCTGAATAGTTTTGGTTTATGACGGGGAAATCCGAGGGTTTGTTCCATTCTCTTAGATCGTCTATGCTGCATTTTTCGCAATCTCCGTCCCCATTTAGGTTTATATTTACCTATATAATGAGCATATAAGTTAAAAATATATGTTACTATAATTTATATAAAAAAAAATAAATAATACTTCATCTATCTTTCAAATTTATTCTCACTTTTTCTTTTTAGTGTGTCTGCTAAATTTATCACATAATTAATTTTGATAAAGTCAACGAATCAACATTTAATTATTACCTTTCATTCAACATTTATTTTTAACAAATAATACTGACTTTATTATATTCTCTTTTTATTTATTTTTATTTCTGACTAACTTCCCAAGATACCCTCAAACTACCTACTGTTTTCTTAATAAACTATTCATTTTTCTTAAATTTGGTGTCAGACCCAAATGACTAATTTCAGTGGACGGAGAGAGTATAATTTTATTGAGAACTTACTCAGTATCTATACTTATAAGGTCATGTTTTATTTGGTCTTCGTATAATAATTAAATTGTAATAAAAATAAATAAATAATCAAAGAGACCTGGACTAAGTGAGGCAGAAGCTTTTCTTGGCCAAGCTCCCGGTTCATCATAGAAGGGTCTAATTTGCCACTTTGCCAATCATATCCTGCATTGGAAAGTACAAAATAATAATTAAAAAAAAAATAACTATAATAATTTCAAGAAACAATTTTTTATATATATAAGTATCCATAAGTATAATATTGTAATTGATAGATGTATTCATTATTGAGTTAATTTATTACCAAACATTTTCTGGAAATTAAACCACTGGTAGGAGCAGCCACTGGCCTGGATTTGGACATGAAGACCGCCACTGACCGGGTCCCGGATCTCAAAAGCGTTGGCGACATGCAGTAGCCAAATCTGGGAGGGTGCTTGTATGGGGACTCGCCAGTCCCGGGAGCTGCTGCCGGGGAAGCGCGGGAGAAGGTAGATGGGGGAAGTAGGCTTGCTAGGGTTTAGAGTTAGGGCAGATATCATGGGAGATAAGCCGCATACCGCCGTCATCGAACCTGTCCGAATTTAGTTAAGATTTCAATCATAATAATCAATTAATTATTTATTAAAGTAAATAATTACCTGCGACGTCGAGCTTGATCCTGTTTCCAAAAAGGATGTAGTGAGAATCAGTGAAGGCCCAGTCATGGATCATCAGGTGGTCTGGAATGCTGAATTCTTGGCTTTCCAGAAGCTTCATGTTGCTGTCGAATTCTGAGATATTAAGATAATCCAATGGAAGATTAATAATAATAATAATAATAATAATTAAACCCATTAAATTAAATCAACAGTATATGTAGGTAATGATTTAATTTAATTTGTCGGATGTGGGTATATTCCTTGTAATGTTCACTTATGCACAGACAAATCCTAACGACTGTGATGGCTGATCAAAACCCCACCAACATTTTAAAATAATAATAACAAGTATTATTATATATACATATAAAAGCGACCTGCGATTAATTATGAGTATTTTAATTTAATATATTCCAAAATTAAGTATTAAATTAAAAAATAAAATTACCATAGAAAGTAAAAGTGCTGCGAGGGAGCAACATGTCCTCTGCATTGCAAGACATGATCAGCAGTCTCTTCCTTCTTACATCAATCTTGTAATGAGACAGCAGTCTCTTCGCCGGCATTTTGAACACGCCTGATTATTAATTGCATGCATTAATTAACAAACGGATAATTAATATATATATGTATGTATGCATATGTAATTAATGAATTACCGTATAGGATTGGCTTCAAGATTTGGGCTGCGACGTCCCAGAAATGGTCTGCAATTCGATTGGCGGCGCCGCCGGCGCTGTTTTGGTTGGCGCCGGCGGCGACAACCTCGTACTTTCCGACGGTGGCGAGCGAGTGCGGGTCAATCTCGTACGGATCGCCGCCTTCCCAGAGACAGAAAAGACGACCTCCCCACTGCAAGACGCTCGTATTGGCCACGTTTTTCATTACCTTAGTGTTTCCGACCATTTTCCCGCCTTTTAGGACCGAGAACGGCCCCCGGTGGGTGAACCGCCACTCCCCCGTCTCGCCGTCGCGCTCCTCCGCCTGCGCCTCCGTCTCTATGTACCTGCAGTAAAATCCAAATATTATTCTATCATATAATTGAATGAAACGACGTCGTTTGTATGTGTATATATTATTGAAAAAATAAAAAGATAATTTGAAGCTATTTTGAAATTTTAATTTTTCATTTGTGTTCATCAGGCAGATTAAAAATATATATTTTTTATTAAAAGAATATAAAAAATAAAAAATAGTTTCAGATATTTTTAAAAATTTAATTAAGAATTTAAAAAAATTTAAAAAAAAGAATGTAATAGAATATGTGATATTTATTATAAAGAAGTGTTAATAAATATTAATAATTAAGTATTAATTTTTTTACTTTAGTAATAAAAAAAATAGAATAAATTTGGCTATATTATTATATTTATTAATATTATGCCTTGCAGTGAAGTGGACTTTGCGGCGGCGGGCGTCGATGCGGAAGGCGCGGAGGTAGCCGTGGCCGTCGAGAGGGTGGACGGTGGAGCCGTGGTCGTCGGAGAACATTCCGGGGCCGGTGAGGTAGTACGTGCCGGAGGGGAAGTCGAGGGGCAGAGCGCCGTCGACCAGGCGGAGGGCGACGGGCTCCGCCGTCTCGGCACGTTGGGAGACGAAGAGGAATTGGTAGTCCCAGAAGGCCGCCACGACGTCGTTTGATGCATTGCTTTTTTCCGGTACGGTCGCCGTCGACAGTCCGCCGGGGGCGGCGATGGATACGGCGCGGGGGAGGTTGCCGGGCTTGGAGTTTTTGTGCGTCGCCGGCGGCAATAGATTCGGCGGAGCGGCGGCGGCGCCGGGGAGTTTCAGCGGCGGGATGTGGGAGGCTTTGGCCGGCATTTTAATTTGAAGTTACGCTTTTTTCTTTTTATGTTTGCAATGGAGAAGGATTTGTAGTGTTTATATATAGAGGGGTTTATTACTATAATAATAATAATAATAATAATAATAATTATTATTATTATTATTATTATTATTAATTTTCTGTTAGTACGTGCACGAAGGTGGTTTTTGATTTATTTAAGATTTCGATGGTGGCGTAGGCATGTGGGATCGTGTTTGTTTGTTTTGTAGAACATGATTTGAATTTGGGTATAATAAACTTTTTGAATTAATCAATAATTATTTAATATGATATAAATATATATGACTATCCACAAAAAGTTTATGAGATGTGAAAAAATTTTAAAAATTTGATATAAATATTTAATGTAATAATTATTTATAAAAATACTCATCAATAATATCAAATGTTATAAAAAATATTAATATAAATATAAACTAGGTATTTTTCCAAATATTGGGTATGTTTGTTTAGTGTCTTAATTTAAAGTATTTTTTTTTATATATTGTAGTATATGATAATTCGTATCAATAAAAATAATAACAAAAAATTAACAAATTAAAGCTCTGTATACACAACACATTATTTTAAAAAAAAATATCAAATCAAATATATTTTTTTTCTTACAAAATATCAAATTAAATATTAATTTTTTATTTTTTTCAAAATTACAAATTTTCAAAACCTAAAAAAAACCCTTATCTAAACAAACCCAAAAATTTGAAAGAATAAAATTAATCAATAATTGAAGGCCGTATAAAAATCCGCAACCAAACACCAGCCATTGTGGTTTGTAATTTCGTTGGGCACTTTGAAAATGCACGGTGGGTCCCACTCACTAATTTCGGTTTATTTTATAAAAATTAATAAATGAGTGGCCCATTTTTGCCTCTTATTATGGCCTTAAATTTAATGGAGGACAAGTTATTGTTCGAATGTTTATTATCAATTTGTATCTGTGTTAATAAATAATTTTTTTTATTAATTATTTAATTTAACTAATTATTGAAATTGCACGTAATGCTGTTTCGTTTTATATGCTAATAAATTGATTTAATTTTTTTTTACAATAATTGGATAAAAGGGCAATGCTCTCATTTGTGCGTATTTTCTAAATTTTTTACGCTATTTATTATTTTTTCTCAAAATAAATAAAAATCAAATTAAATATTTTTTTATCTCACAAAATATTACATAAATTAATTAAATTTTTATTATTTTTAAAATTTTTAATCTCTAAAACTTCCACTTAAGTCTTATATAAGCTTCAAAATAAACCATTGATATAATTAATAAACATTCTTACCAACTAATGGACAGAAATATTTATTTAATTATACATGAAATTTTTAATCATGTTAGAAATTTATTAAATATTAATATATCGAATTTCCATCTGTCTTAGTTAAAGAATTATACATATTTATAATTTTATGTAGATTTTGATATAACATACTCCCTTTGTCATCCAATTATATGTGTTCATTAGATTAGACACGAATTTTTAAAAAAAATAGGTAAAAATATAAATTTTTATTTTTTTTGTTAAATAAAAAAATAGTACTATTTTGTTACTAAAAAGAATGAAAATAAAAATATGGATGATAATAAAAAAAAAATTAAAATAAATTTGAACGACGAAGGAAATACTTAATAAATAAATAAAATTAATATTTTCGAACTAGCTAGACAAAATAAAAAACTTTTGTTAACATAGATACACCCCTAAGTGTAGATATATACAGCTTAATAAGTATTTATTTAAATATATTCGACTAATTGAAATTTTATTTCATTTTTTAGAATGACTAGTTACTATTATTGTTGGTTTATTTTCGTTTGTAAATAAATAAATAAATGACATGTACTCCTCGTAGTTTAATTTTAATTTTTTAGATGAGATGATCATGTATATAATCTAATATGGTATTATGTTGTTTATATATAAATCTCTTGCCTGTTTGTTTTGGTTTTTTTTTTTTTTATATCAATAATAATGCAAATTTCAATTGTTTTGTCCAAATTTCAAAATTGCTGTTGTATTTACTTTTTATCATTGGGAAATTAAAATTCAAAGAGGGGCATGATTGTATTGTGGAGTCAACACCCAACAAATTAAAGTTATTGAATTCAAACCAACTAAGTTATATTTATTTTTATAATCATTACTATTACTATTATTTATGTAGTTAATTTGAGATCTTCAAAACTGTTAAATTTTGCCCCCACTTTATTGTCACTTTCTTGGTTAGCAATGATTATGATGGACAATACCAATACAAAATAAATTAAAATAATAGTACTAAATTATTATTTTCCATGCATGATTGATTTGGGGTAACACCTGACATCAACCCAATTGTACTAGTATTTTTTTATTCATATAAAAAAAAAAAAAAAGAAAAAAAAAAAAGATGATTGTCTTGTCGTGTAACATTATATATATAGACAAAAATAGTGACGGAATGAGCTATGTTATAAACTATTAAATAAATTTATATAGAAGTTGTAAAAGTTAGATAGTACTTATAAAAAAAATAATAATAATAAATTGTTACATGAATACTTAGCAATAATAAATGAGCATAAAAACTTTTCAATTTTATATCATTTACATAAAATTAAATACTTATATATGTGTGTGACAAAAAAAATGCAATTAAATGAAATGAAACGGCATATATCACAATGACCGTGTAATGAGGGAATCATCAATCAATCCGATGATTTCATACTCAACTATGGGTGTCCAATAATGTTCAAATTAATTATTAAATTAATTTCAATGCAATAATAATTTTATAGAAGTATTTTAATTTTAATTTACACGGGAGTTTCTATATTTAGGTGGGGTGGGGTGGGGTGGGGGCATATTACATGGTATAATTGAATATAGAGAATGATGTAACAAAATAAATTAAATCAAGATATATGTATATATATATATATATATGTATAGGCCATGAACGGGGACAAAAGGGAACATTGGTTAGTGACAAAGTGGGATTCCCCAACCACCTCTTCATTTAGATTCCCATCCAAATTATTTACTCTAATAAATAAATTCATCCTACATTTATGCTTTGTTTGGACGTGGTTTTTGAGTTTCCTTTGATGGTTTTATAAATGGCCAAAATAAATAATAATAATAATAATAATAATAAAATTGTTAATAAATAAATGAATAAAATTATTACTCATCCGCCGTCCAAATCTATTTTTACTTTATGTCATCAAAATTTATTTTTGTTTTCTTTTTAATAAAAAAAAAATACTATTTTTCTACTTTTTTCTTTACTCGTAAAAGTAAAAATATTTTTACAAATTATGTTGGGCAGGTGACATGAAGCGTCGGGATATGAACATATGATCTCACGGTCACAAATCCAACCCCAAGTCACCGGGTCCACGTACAACAAATATTTATTTATTATAAATATATGTTTTTATTTAAAACTGTAAATATAAGTAAAATTAAATATTGAAAATTATATATAAAAAAATAATGTACAGCAAATACAATTCATATCAAACATTTTTTTTTCATCCAGCAAAACTTTTTTTTACAGATTTTCGATTAATATTACTAAATACTCCCAGCTTCCGGCTACAAAGTATACATATTTTTATCTTGGGACATTCAATTACAAAGTAACCATTTTATTAAATACCTCATTTTTTTTCCACAAATACCCTTAGTAAGGATAAAAATGTCATTACACTACTTATACATACCAACTATAATTAAAATACTATTATTTTTTAAACTCTGCGCCAAAAAATAAATGTATACTTATTGTTTGGACGGAGGGAGTATATATTTGTTGATGTATTATTATTATTATTATTATTAAGTGCATGTGTATTTTATTTTATTTTTGTAAAAATACATTAATATTGAAATAATACCTTGAAATTTTTTTAATAGATAAAATAGAAAAAATGAATATATATATATATTTATATATAAGAGAAAATAAATATTTACTTTGTAAATTATTTTTATCTTTTACTATGTAATTTATTGCACAACTATGCTTACTATATGTCTCATTGAAATTCTTCTTTGAACAAGCTTCAGATTGGATCAATCGAACTTTTGGACGAGTTTAGAAAAAATTGTTACAAGTTTATTATTAAAATAATATCTAGTAAAATATACGTGAAAATAATTTTTTTTTTTCCTTTTTTCAATAAATACAAAATTTAAAAAGTAAATTATTTTTTTAAAAAAAAAAATCTGACAAAAGAGACATACCTCTCAGCCTACTCTTCAAAAATATATATATCCGAAATTGAATGTTAATTTTCTTGCGTACGGCGGTTAAAAAAATGTTAACAGTGTTGTTTTGTCTATGACGATTAAAAAAATAGTGGAGTTTATTTATGTTTACCCAAGACAAAATATTGTGGAAATTCATTGTTGCCATTATTTTATACAATAATGGTTTTGATGGGAGTTTAGGATTCGAAATTTTCGATTTCATTGTGATTTTGACATAAAGCATAATTTAAATATTTAAATAATTAAAATACATAGCATACATATTTTAATAAAATTTTAATTTTGAAATTATTTTGAATATTAAGTTTGTCTTTCTTATTTATATTTTTTAGATGTAAAAAAAAATAAAAAAATCATAATATTTAAATAATTATATTTGACCAATGAATTTAAGTATTTATAATTATTCATTAATACTAAATTATTTTTAATTTTAAAATAAATTATAAATATACAATTACACGTCCAATTAATGTATATATAAATACAAAAAAATAAAAATGTCAAAAGTATTTTAAAAAAATATTTGTTATATTAAAATATTATTTCATTCGTCCAAATAGCCTGCAATAATTCATTTGTTAATCCATATATATATATATGTGGATCACTCAAATAAATATATATTTATCTTCAATTGTATTATTTAATTATCAAATTATATTATTTAATATTATACACTTAAATTAATGTTACACCCGAAACGAGAAAGTATTATTTTTAAACTTTGTTATAAAAATAAAAGGATACTTTAACGCGGGATAGTAAAATATTAATTCATCGTTACACTTTAATATATATAATAATATATTTATAATTTAAATAAAAAATATTTTAACTAATTATTTTTTAAACATTGTATCAAAAATAAATATATATTTTTTATATTGACTTAAAAATAAAAATAATATATTATAAATTGTAAGCATATTTACAGTATTAATAAATAGTACAATTTGAAAAAATAATTTGTTATGGACAGAAAGAGAGGTAGTACGAAAATAGTAACTCAATTAGAACAATAGTGAACATGTCAGAACATATTGACTGAGAAAATGTCTAAACTACCCTCAAATTTGTGTGCTTGAAGTTACTGCTGCCAGGTCGCATCCACGTAGGGGGTTTCCCGGCGACGGTGGCACACGGCCCGACGACGAGGATAGTAGTATAACCTTCTCACCACTGTTCCACTTCGACCGCCTGAAAATGGACTACAAGCAGAGGCTATTTGCGGCGGCGAAGTGCGTCTACGCCGCAGACTCGCGCGTTTCTGACGAAGTGTGTGTTAGCTCCTCCGCCGACCTGGAGATCACAGCGGTGCTCAAACCTCATCAAGTCGAAGGCGTCTCGTGGCTTGTTCGGCGGTACCATCTCGGAGTCAACGTTATACTAGGTATAATCATGGTTTAATCACGCTACAATGTACCGAGCAATTTGCAAGGAGACAAAAACTGTTCTGTTATTAGAAGCAATTTATTCCCCCGGAAGTTGGTTTTACTATTTTCTTCTTTGCCTCGTTTTGGTTCTATTGTTTTACCTAAAAGGTTCGTTGCTTGGAGTTTCGATTGTTTCTTCTTGTGATTGTAATTTCTGCTGCTATTCTTTTGCAGGGGACGAGGTGAGGTTTTGGTCCTGCAAACTAGGTCAACGAGTATATTCTATGCGGCACTGATTTACTCGTTTTCTTTTTGGCAGAAACTCTTATTAAAGATCTTAATACTATTTGCGATTGTGAATGAATCTAATGTTCAGGATATATGGTGGTTATATAGGCCTCTTATTTGATGAGTAATAATATGCAATTTTTGAGTTTCCGTAGAATAATTTTCACATTTTCTCCGTATAGCCTACTAACCACATTTCTTCGGTACATTCAACCTACCTGGAATGACTTCAAGTAGCTAGAGATCTCCCAAATTTGAGATTATTTTATTTTTGTTTTTGTTTTATGGTGTCAACGAAGGTCTTTTGATTTTGTGATCTATCCAATTGATGGTTGGCCAAGTTTATTTTTCAATTTTGCATCTGAGTTCAACCTTTGATCATGGTTCAGTATAAAGTGCTTTTTCGATTGCATTGAGAGTCCCATTGTTTTTTCGACTCCGGCGTTTCGTCTTTTCAAGCACCGGTGAGAGTTCCGTACTACCGTTGTTTTCGGCTCCAGCAAGAATCCTATCTTGTACTCCTTGAGAGTCAATTTTTGACTCTATTTCAGTTGAGGGCACTGCTTTTGATTATGACAGCGATTGTGGCTTCTTTTGATCTCTCTTTACAAACTCAAATATGTTATACCATTTGAGTTTGAGGGGATATTAACAAACTCAAATTTGTTATACTACTTAAATTTGAGAGGATATTAAGATATTTTAGATACTTAGTTTTAGATTTAGTATACCTAGATGTAAATTTGGTTTTATCTATAAATTAGATTATTTAGATTTGAGTCTATCATGCCTATTTATACGCCTTTATCTTCATTATGAATTATAATGCAATTTTTCAGTTTTCGGAAATTAATTTTGACACTCTCAACAGAGTAGACTCCGTATTGAGAACTTACGACACACTATGAACAATGAATTGTTGAAGGGTCCATTAAACATTTACGAGATATTCATGTTCATTTGCATTTATTTTACAAATTCTTCAGCTTGAAAAACGCTATTTACCTCTGAATACGGATTTTGCAATAGCTGTTCTAAAGTCTGACGGCATGTTTATGTGCTTTCCAAAGTTATGGAGTCACCCTTTTAGTTCTCTATTAGATATATGTCAGGAATAGAAACCGATTTAAATATGCCATTTTAGAAATACCTGTAACTTGTGTAGCAAGGACTACGAGGGTTGTTGGGAAATGGACTATCCAAATGCCTTGAACTTATGGAACTTTAAACGTGGTAAAGGCTAACTAGCGTGTCCACTCTTCCGAGTATCTTTTTTGTTGCATTTTGGAGTACATAAGAATACACTCTCTGCAATAAGTATGATGGGGAGCAATTGAGCTTTGTTGTTCAACCATTGATTTTTCCTCTCTTTAATTATTATGGATTTTTTCTCAGGAAAATAACCCATAGTTAAGGGGCTAAATTAGAAATGTAATCTTTTATAATGATTTATATCTGTCATGATATTTTGTTTATGCAAATGATTTGTTATAGATGGGGCTGGGAAAGACTTTACAGGCAGTCTCCCTGTTGAGTTACCTGAAAGTATGCCAAAAGTCTCCTGGGCAGTTCTGTAAGTATATAAATTTTCCTTGAGGTCGTTGTTTGTTCTGGAATTGCACATGAAATATGTGATTGTATGCACTCTCTCTCTCTCTATTTATCTTCCTTTGCAATCTGCAGTGGTGCTATGTCCTCTCAGTGTGATTGATGGTTGGGTGTCTGAAGTGGCTAATTTTGCTCCAAAATTGAGAGTTCTTAGTTATGTAGGAGAAAAAGAACATAGAAGGAAATTGCGTAGGGAAATGCATGAGTATGTAAAAGAGCAGCCATTGTCATCTCATGTAAGTGAGCAGTACTTTAGTTTTTGCTTTGGCATACAATTGCTACATTTGAAAGATACTTGACCTCAAACAGTATCCCATAGTTTTGTTCTGATTTGTGTTGTATCTTACAGGTCCCAGCATTGCCATTTGATGTTCTCTTGACAACTTATGACATAGCTCTGATTGATCAGGATTTTCTCTCTCAGTTCGTCTGGGATTATGCTATAATTGATGAAGCGCAGAGGCTTAAAAACCCTTCCAGTGTATGTTTGATATTTCTAAAATCCTATGAAGTTTTGATGTCGTCATAAATTGGCCTTTATATTTGGTTAATATGCTATAAGCTTAGGCTTTCAATTGACAGTCCTTGCATTATGGTCGGTTTTACATTTTATCATGAAACACATGCTATTTTTGTCTGATTTGAGGCTATGAGCACAATATTTTGACATTAATGAGCTTTAAAATTTTTCATGTTATCAAATTGTTTCGCAACTTATTATATTGTGCAAGCCATTCCTTTATCATTCACATTCTTGATGTTTCTTAAATGAGAAAGATGTGAATATTATCTCTTTGTAAACGTGGATGCCTGGCAAGTATAAAATCACATGCATAATAGGTTATGTATTAAAATATGATGAGAGTAATGGTTTCTGTAGCTGCAATCCCACAAGACTCTTGAAATCATCGATTTTTTCTGTTTTGATCTCAAATCTGCATTGACATAGGATGTGGTGACATAGTTTGGTAGTTATTATGCCATCAATTATTTGTATAGTTTCTTCTTTGTTATTATAGCCCCCCTTGTTTTCAAACTTTTTACAGGTCTTATATGAGGTGTTAGAAAAGCGGTTTGTCATTCCAAGAAAATTGCTGATGACAGGAACACCTGTACAAAACAATCTGACGGAACTCTGGGCACTCATGCATTTCTGTATGCCTAAGATCTTTGGAACAATAGAACAGTTTCTTTTTGCATTCAAGGAAGCTGGAGATACTTCATGTAAATTTTGTCATTTGTGTATGCTTATATATTGTGCTTTTGCTTTTATAAAATTTGAGGTTCTCTATCTTTATTGTTGACTCTTTGAATGATTAACTGTCGCTATTACATTCTTTGAGTTCATTGAAAAATTGCTAGGATTGACGACCTAACTCATAAGCTTGCTTTAGAGACAAATATGATATAATGAAGTGGTTTCAATCTGAAGATCCCTTCTGACATCTTTTAGTATATTCTTTGTGCAGGTCGTGATTCACAGAAAGTGATAGAGCAATATAAGATTTTGAAATATGTGCTAGGAGCGTTCATGCTTCGGAGGACCAAATCTAAACTTACTGAATCTGGAATTCTGTCACTTCCCCCTGTTACCGAAATAACTGTGTTAGTTTCCACTATAGCTGTTGCCTCTTTTAAATAGATGAAAATCCAGATAATAGCTGAGGATCCATAGGATTTGATTTATAACCAATTTGAAACTAATTTGCTCAATGTTTTGTAATGGTGTTGTTTCTGAATTATGATTGCTAGAGTTTTGGTTAAGTGTTAACTGTTAATAACCTTGATGATTCTGAAATTATTCTGTCAGAGTGGCATCTCTGTCTTCACTTCAAAAGAAGGTGTATATGTCAATATTGAGGAAGGAACTTTCAAAGCTGCTTGCACTTGCTTCTGGAACTTCCAATGCTCAGTCGTTGCATAATATTGTAAGTAGCTTTTCTTTTTATACACAATAGACTTAGACCATGTTTACTATCCAACATAAACAACCCTAGTAAACATGGCCTTATGGGATTCTCTTCTGCACAATATTGTGTATGTTAATGTCATCATCCTAACCTTGTATTATAATGTCTGCTATGTCAGGTAATTCAGCTTCGGAAAGCATGTAGTCACCCATATCTTTTTCCAGGTATTGAGCCTGAGCCATATGAGGAGGGGGAGCACCTAATTCAGGTAGTTGAACTTACCCAATTTTAATATCAAATGTGAATATCATGTGCCCACTGAGAATATGTTAGTTTCATAATAGGAAGAGCAATTAATGGTTGATCTCAAACCAAACAAAGCTGCATCTCTGTTTGCATTTTTACCTCTTTTTCTTTCCTTCTCAACTCATGTTTCTTCACTGTAGTGGTGAACTTCTGATCTAAGATCAACTCATTCAGAAGCTGCACAACTTTGGGCATATCACTTAATCATTCTTATTTTCCTGGTTAAGCATGTGCGATGCTACTATATTTTTACTTGAACTTATTTTTCTTCAGTGCAGTGGTAAACTTTTGATCTTAGATCAACTACTTCAGAAGCTGCACAATTCCGGGCATCGAATTCTGTTGTTTGCTCAGATGACTCATACACTCGATATATTGCAGGTGAATATTGATCTACTTTTTACTTAGCATGTTCTGTACCATCTGGAGCCTTATGCTATGTGTTTATATGATACAGGACTTCTTGGAGCTGAGAAAATATACGTACGAGCGCCTTGATGGTTCAATTCGAGCAGAGGAACGTTTTGCTGCTATTAGAAGTTTCGGCCTGAAAACTGTCCCAAATAATGCGCATGCAGATGCTTTTCAGAATAGTCCATTTGTTTTTTTGATTTCCACCCGTGCTGGTGGTGTGGGGTTAAATCTTGTGGCTGCTGATACAGTGAGTTTTTTATATTTAATTCCTTTTTTTAAACAAAATATCCCCTGCTTTCTTGCTCAGCTATCCTCATAATACAATTGTTGAATTTTGGGTGATGCATTGCTGTATATATTTTGATATTGACAAGGGAACTTGCTATCTCTGGATAGTTGTCATTGTTGTTGATATGTTTAAATGAGATGGAAATAATGCATGGACTAACTAGTTGTTCAATTAAGTGGTTGAATTTTGCACAATAATGAGAATTTCATTTTGGGTATTCTACTTCTGTAATTGATTGACACTTTACATGTTTGATATCGGTAATGATTATCAGCATATTATGCGTTATAGTTGGAGTATATGCCATTATGTAAGCACATTAAACAAAAATATATGTTTGTGATGATCCTTCCAGGAACTGCTGCAAAGCTTGACTTGGGTTTTATGACATGCACCTATAATTTGTTTGGTCATGTAAATGTTATGTACATAGCCGTATAACTCAGGGATTCATTGCTACATTATAGTAGTATCCTGATAAATTTGATGGTGAATGGTTTTAAAAAAAGAGACGAAATGCTAAAGTGTGATGTGACTGTATTTACTTTAGGTTTCCAGTTAGCCATGCTTGATTTTTTTTTTGGCTGATTATTGGTTCTGTTGTTGTGGAGTGGTTGATATTGATGAGTATTATTGTTCTTTGTAACAAATTGTGAGCATTCGACACTATGCAGGTCATATTTTATGAGCAAGATTGGAATCCCCAAGTGGATAAACAGGCTCTTCAACGTGCACACAGGATTGGTCAAGCTAAACATGTTTTGTCAATAAATTTGGTTACAGGACGCACAGTTGAGGAGGTAAGATAGAAAGAAGATTTTATATAATCTTAAATTTCCTATTCTGATATGGAGCTGATGTAGGTTATTATGCGTAGAGCTGAAAGGAAGTTACGGCTGAGCCGTAATGTTATAGGAGATGATGTCTTGGATAATATCGGAAGTGATATTGAAAGAGCTGATTCTGGTGATTTGAAATCGGTTATGTATGGGCTACATTGTTTTGATCCTTCTGATATGAATATAGAAAAATCAGATGATCAATTGGATGAAGATGGAGTGGTTGGTTTGGCTGAGAAGGTTGTTGCATCCCGCCATAGGTTGCAAACTGATGTGGGTGACAGGAAGTTTGAGATCAATCCAATGGATCGAGTTAATAGTCATGATATATTCATGCAAAAGGATTCTGAGTATATCGACTTAAACCCTGACCTTGATGAGGCTTCATACAGGTCATGGGTTGATATGTTTAAGCAATCCTCACCAGCAAATGACAGTGATATACTGAAAATTGGAAATGGAAGACGCACACTGGATGAGAAACATCTTAAAGCTGATGCTGCCCGTAAGAAAGCGGAGGAAAATAAGCTCTCTAAATGGGAAGCTCTAGGATATCATTCTTTGGCTGTCCGCACTCTTGCCAACCCAACCAATCAGGATGTGATGTCAGATTCAGGCTCAGTTGCTTTTGTTTATGGGGATTGCACAGACACTTCAGCCGTCTGTCCTTCTGAACCTACTATTATATTCAGGTCATATTCTGTCACGATCTCTTCGTTATGTTTGCTGCTGCTCAATATCTCTCAAGTGTTTGTGTTTTTTTTTTTTTTTTTTTTTTTTTCTTGTGGTTATATCTAAGTACTTTTGATGCCGTACTCTCATGTAATTACTAAATTTAAGCCGCTTTATTTACCTTGAGTCCTAGCATTTTCTAGTTAACTTCCAGTTTTTCACCATATGCATGTTGTTTGAAGTTGTTTACCTAATAATTTTTAAAGGAAAGAGCTATGCTCTCTCTCTCTCTATATATATATATATTTACCTATATGTTATTTAGTTGTGATCTTTTAATTGGATGGAATGGAAAATATGCCTATCACTTACCGACATTAGGCTGAGAATCTAGTTTTGTGTACCATCTGAAGCTTTTATTATGGTTATTGGCTATTGTTTTGTGTTAGAGCTCTCTGATATGTGTGATAGATATTGATTTGTTAAAAACTCTTTATGCAGCTGTGTAGATGATTCTGGAAATTGGGGTCATGGAGGCATGTTTGATGCATTGGGTAGGGTTTCAGCTGCTGTTCCGGCTGCGTACGAGCGAGCTTCAGAATTTGGGGATCTACATATGGGTGACTTGCATCTAATAGATATTAGTGGTTAGTTCCAACTTGTTTTAATTCAAGATTCACAGACAACCAAATGTCTGCTAAAGCAGAAAATTTCACAATGCATGGATTATTGTATAGTATGTTGTTCTCAAGTTGAAGACGAATTCCATTGTGTTCTAATACCATGGTTGTGTCGAACGGACACCTTTTAGCACTAGTGCAACCTTCTGAGCCTTATTTATTTATTTTATCACTTTGAAGTAATTTATTTTGTTTCTTGAATAGTTTCATAGACAATTCGATCATTGGTATCTTCCGAGTGGCAACCTTAGCTAATTGCCATTCTTCAGTTGCTTATTTTATTTTATCTTAATCTTATTACTTTATTCTTACTCAGCTTCATGACTAATTATGCAGAACAACAGGGGAACCTGAGAAATACATCCCAGTGGGTGGCTTTGGCAGTTGTACAATCATATAATCCCCGACGGAAAGTACCTCGCAGCAGTATCTCAATTGATGATTTGGAAGTTTGCCTTGAAAAAGCATCATCTTGTGGTGCTCAAAATTCTGGTACCAACTCCTTGCCCAATAGTTTATCCTTAGCAATCATAGGTTATGTACAATCATACTGGTCTTGTGTTCTCTGATTCCAACCATTTGAGGATGAACAAATTGGATTTTCCATGTTCTTGTCCAACAAATTGTATAGTTCAAAGCTTTTTATCAAATAGCCAATTTCAATCTAAAGTAGTTGGTTTAGTTATTTGGGCTTAAAAGTTTTGAAAGGCCTGCTTTTTATTGAATTGGAAACATTAACACCTGAGTTACAGAAATGATTTTAAAGCAAATTATTTTTCAAAATATTGTAGTCAGCTAATAATCTAAATTTGGCTGATGAAATCTGCCTCTCTTTTTCATAGCTTCGATCCACATGCCGCGAATTAATTACCAGGATAGTTCAGACCGGTCCGAATGGTATACTGTGGAACGACTTCTACGGAAATATGCAGCCTTGTATGGCATAAAAATTTATGTGTACGGCTCTCTCTCTATCTCTCTCTTTGTTTGGAAGTGTTGTAAATATCTAAAATGGCATCATAGATGGATTCCAAAAGTTGAAGAAATGAGTGATATGTTGTTGATGCTCACTCATGCTTGTAACATTTTTTCTGCAGATATTACTTCCGACGTGGTGCATCAAGCTAAACATCTGAAGGTGTTGTATTGTTATGCACTTTGGGTTTATTTGCAGTTGCAAGTGTTTTTATTATTATTACTATTTTTCATTTTTTTTGATTTTTTTGTTGTGTAGGTATAAAATAAACAATATTATATTCCTTTTGCCCAGTTTTGTACAGTTGTGATTGACTAGATTTGAGATTTGTTTGTTCAACTTTTAGATATTTTATATATATATATATATCTATAATTTAGATAAACAACATATAATACATTCGTTTGTTTATAATTAATTTTTTTTTTTTTATATGTAACATTATATTATATGCTGTATTTATATAATATTAATATAAATGATGTGTATTGTGAAAAAATACAAAGAAAATAAAAACACAAAAATACGCCATAATAGAAAGCTTACTTTCAAGAAAATGTAGCGTGTTTGATTATTTTTTTTTTCAAATAATTTTTTTCATTATTTACTATAAAAAAAATGTTACTATATCAAAATATTATTTACACAAAATATTAAAATCAATAATCAAAACTCAAATTTAAACCTCGCAACAGTAGTTTTAACCATCCCATAATTAGGTATCCTATTAGTATTAGTATCATATTGAGATATTGAGATAGTAGGAATAAAGTAGAAATAACTAAAATAAAATAAAGTATCGTGTGATAGTACATTAAAAAGAAAAAATGAATACGTTACAGATTAAAATAAAAAAATAAATAATTTGTTATGAAACGAAAAAAGTATAAAAATAAAAATATAATTTGATATTTAAAAAAATTATAAGAGTAAAGGTTTGTTAGGTTATAGTTTGAAATTAACTTGAAATTGAGTAATAATTGAAATTTCTATCTAAATAACATTCCAATGTGATATTTTATATAAAAAATAATATATTTTTTTAGTAAAATTACATCCTATATAAATAGAAAATAATTCTGTTTTATCGTCACATTATTATTTTTATAAAAAAAATAAAAGTAAAATTGTCTTTGTATATATCATTTGTATACATTTTAATAAAATAATAATATACCTAAATTCACATTAGAAAAAAAAATGAGAAAATCACCGGAGGTAGAATTTTATCAACAATTATCCTACATGAATAATGGTATTTTTTATTTGAAATAAAAACAGCACACCTTAACAAAAGTTTAAATCAAACACAACCTTACAAACGCATCTAAATTAATAACTTGGACCATTCCTGGGCCCAATAAGCTCTGAATTGGGCCAAAGACCTATTCATTAAATACAGTATTTATTGCTCCTGGCGCCATGCCAGCAACTAACCAAATAAACTCTGGAGGGTCTTTTAGTCATATCCGTTCCTAAGCAGACACGTCGGCGGGACCATTGGCAGCATGACGTTGTGATGAGGCATATCGCGAAATGTCCATTTTGCCCCGACGCATTTACTAAAATCCCTATCTGCTCTCGACTCATAAAAGCAATTTCCCCGCGCGCGCTCTCTCTCTCCTCCCCTTCTCACTCTACAAAATACAAATTCATGTTGTCGTCTTTCGAAGTTGCGTTTCAGTGTGCTGTGCGCTTCTCGTTTTTCGAGCTGTCAGGTTGGTTGCCGCTTTATTTAAAGCACTGGAGGGGGTGGAAACTGGAGGCGCAGTAGGTTCTGTGAATTTTGACGTTGCCCTTGCCCCGACCAGTTGAGGTTGCTTGCAGGCATTGATTTCATTCGCCGCTGGGAAATCCATGATCCATTTATAAGTCTCAGTTGTTTCTTGATTTAGGGCTTGTAATTCTGTATAGGTTAGTCTGATTTCTTTTTCCTGCTTGTTGAAATGTTCTGGGAAATGTGGAATTTGATCTTGTAAATTTTTTTGTTGATAGGTTGATTGGAAAGTGAAGATTCTACGGTTTTGAGGTGCGGCTTTCCGATGGGTAGCAGAGGTAAATCTAGTAGGAAACGACGTCACTTTAGTTCCAACTCGCCGGCTGCAGGCAAGAACCAGTCTTCGGCTCCGTTGTCTGAGGAGAAAAAGGTGAGGCTTGTTTTTGGCTTTGTTCTTTCAAAATTTGCGAGATTACGATTTTATTGAGCTAGGGTATATGAATTGAGTGCAATGAGGATGTCTTTGGGACTTTGGGTAGTTACTGGAAGGACCTGTTTACTCCCTAGCAGGGAATGTTAATCAGTTGTGAGAATCACTGAACTCATCAGCGATCTGGGATGAACTTTTGTGCTGTCTCTGAACGTATATTGGTAGTGGCCCTGATGCAATGTGGGTATCCATTTAACCCTAGCCTGAAGTATCTAGATTGAGCAAGACGTAATATATGTATTCCATGTGTAATTGTGTTGTGTATTGTGTAATGCTTTGAGAGTTTTGGTTTCAGATTTTGGGATTCTTGTTTCTAATGCATTAGAAAATTGTCTTATGGAAAATTGTGGTCTCTGCATGTTCCAACGATTTTGCGTGTCAGCACTCTTCATTTTCCGCAGATCGAATGTTTCGAAACATGACGTCATATCTATCTTACTTTTTTCAATTTGTGATTTTCATAGTGGCCTTTTTGGTCGACTTAGTTTGTTACCGTTGATGAATATTTAATGCTACTGGGAAGATATTTTGGCATTTTCGAAGAGAACTAGGTGAAAGCATATTATTCCGTAGATAATTCTGAGCTTTTAAGTAGCTGAGTATCCTATTCTGGAAAATAAGATATTTGGGTCCTACATCATAATGAAGGGTGAACATATCAAATGCTTGCTCTGTGGAACATTACTTGCAGTCTGTTCGGGTGTTGATTGCATGAGAAAATTGTGAGTTGTCTGATGAAGGTTTTGATCTCTTTGGCTTATCTGCCATTATGCTTCTACTTGGTTTTATATGACATCATTGAAACATTTTACAACATAATGATAAAAAATTTAATGCACGTGGATCTTGAATAACTTGTCCTTGCTTCTATTCTTATTTTCGGAAAACTAATTCTTATTGTGCACGTGGCGTGAAGGAGTAAAGGTTTATACTTGGAATGATGACTTTATGCTTGAATCTGAGTGGTTATAGAAGTCATGGAGTAATTGGTTGGGTGATCTTTATGGTCGTACCTTTTGATTCGTTAAATGTTACACGTGTGCATGTGACACTGTTGCCAGGCAGCCACCTTCTTTGTCCAAAAAAGAAAACAAACTCTGTTGCCATTAATTATTTTTTGGTAATCCTATGATGCAATATTCCTTAGTCTTCCGAGACTTTTGACGTATTATTATTATTTTTTTTCAACTTATCAATTATGGCCTAGATGCGATACAGATACAATATATCTTGCTACATTTGAGCCCTTAAACAGACATGATAATTCAAAAGCATTCATGATGCAGCTAGATGCAGCCGTACTTCAATTCCAGAATGAAAAACTCACTCAGAAATTAGAAACTCAGAAGGTTGAGTTTCGGGCTCTTGAAGAAAAGCTGCATCAGTTGGACTATAAACAGCAGTTGCATGAGCAAACCTTAGCTGCTGTCAATAACTCATGGGAAGAGGTACGTGGTTTTGGTTTTGGTTCGGGTAATTTATTTTTTTACTATGCAACTGCTCCATTGCATTGGAGCTTGGCTGCTCCTACTTGGCCTCTTTGTTATTGGCTGTCATTACTCAGCCTCCATCTTCATGCCCCGACCAGTTTTTCTTGCTTTGATATAAGACGAAGTCATTTTAATTGCTTTGTTGCACTTGTTTAGGGCTGCTATCCATTCAATTAATTTGATGATGGGCATGTTTTTGGATTCCTGTAGTTTCCTTTTTCTCATGTGCATTCACAACGTTTCTACAAATAGATTTATAGATCATCCTCTCCAGGTAGGAAAAGTGTAGAATGTGTATTTGAGAAGCAGGCGATCCTATAAATTTAGAATGTTTTCAGCTTTATGCTTTCCCTTTGATTGTGATCTATTCACTCCTATTTATACCAGGTGGCTGGTGACTTGGAAACTCAGTCAAGTCGCATATTGGAATCTACGAAACATGTGAGAGATTTTGAATGCCACCAACTCAAAGATGGTAAGTATTATACTAATGTATATCCAAATGGATTATTATTAGTGACACTTGCTTTGCATGCCTGATTTAATTGTACTTATCCCAAACTTATTATAGAAATAATATTATTATTTTCTTTCACCCTGTATAATCATTTTGCAATTTTCTTTTCCTGGAAATCATTTATTGTTTTGATGTTTAGCAATTTCAATTTGCTCAGTGACTAGTGCTATATGCATGGGCTACAAGATTCTAATTAGCATACTCACTATCTAATGCTCTACATAATAACACCTAAATTGAATGTTGTTCCTCTTAGAAAGCAGAGGAAAAGCCACACATACCTTAATCACCAGCATAGCGATTAATCATGAGGCTATGCTGTAAAGTAGAACAGAAAGTCTTTGCACTTAACCTGTAGCAGTTGTAATCCGTTGGCTTATTTCTGCAGGAAATTGAAATACACCTAAGTTCCTGCACAGCCTTCTTGGCATCTAACTGTCACTGAAGTTTTATTGGTCTATACATTTCTATTTTTCTATTATTTTATTTTCAAAGGAATTTGATGATTTTGTTAGGTGGCAATTCACCTCAAGAAGATGCTTTGTTAAGCCGCGTCTTAGAAACTGGTGCAACTGAAAGTAGCTCGCCCAGCACATCAGTAAACACAATTGAAGAAGATAGAAAGATAGAATGGCCAAACAAGACACTCCATAATATTGTTTCTTCTTTTGATGAGCTGAATGGTCTGAAGCATAGACTGCACAATGCATCTTTGAAAGCGATCTCACCTAATTGTAAGTTCATGTAAATGAGCTAGAGCTATATTTTGTGAACTAGTTCTAATTCCTTGTAATCTTTGAAAATTTTATCTTTATTACTGTATATACTCACCTGGCTGTAACTTCCATGTTTTCAAAGTTAACCATGGATTTATTTCTTACTTTTATTATGTGCTGCAACTCATTGTAGTCCCGAGTGAGAGGGAGGTTTCTTCAGATCTGCAAACTGAGGTTAAAAAACTTCGGATGATGGTTCTCAAGCTTCACTTGGAACATAGATCCCTGGCCAAAGAAGTACAGAGCCACAGAGATATTGATGCAAGGAACAAAGCTTCTTTAAAGCATTTGGAAGGTAGTTCATAGGGATAGGTCTCAACCTTTTTCTCTACTGCATATTAGTTCAGTTTTTATTTTCCTTATTTTACTGCAAATCTCTGGAACTACTTCCACTGGTCATCATTTCCAATGGTATTTATTCTCCATCTAGTTTGTTTGCTGAAAATGGTTCTAGCCTCTTTGCTTCTCTTTCTCTATTTTGTATATATATTTTTTTTCAACTTTTGAACCCTGTTTCCTATCACATGTCTTCACAAGGTGTGAGTGATTATTATTTTTCCAACTGTCCTGCAATACGGCTCTTCATTCATGCTTCAATTACAACTTATTATATAGTAATTAGCATGAAAACATATTGAATCATTTTCAGTTGAGAAGTAGGATTTGACAATATATCTTAAAAGATATTACTGGATCTTACTTCCTGCCTGCTTTAAATATAGTTTGTGCAACAAAAGTTCTCGCTCATCTTGTGGCCCAAGAAGAATATTTGTGTTAAAAGCTACCTTACATTGGAGTTTCTGTTACTGTTTTAGAGAAGTTTAACTATCTTCCAGTGGTTTACACATTGCTTCCTCTGGCTCTATAGTGGGTATTGCTTCAGTCTATTTCCATACAATTTACTTTTTAGTAGGTACATCCAAAATGTGAGCCTACACGCCCTTTCAATAATGATATTGCATTATGCCTTTTATTTTATAAAAGCAGGCTCGTGTTAGTTATTTTATGATTCTTGAATATGTTTTGACAATTTTCTAATGTTCCATTTAAAGGAGAATTAGAAAGTACACTTGCTGAATTGCAAGAAAGTAACAATAACTTGGAAATTCTAAAGGCTGAACAAGTTTCGGAGAAGGCACTTGTCCTTTATCAGAATCAGGGAACTGAACAGGTAACTAGTGAATTTGAAAATACACTTTCTTTTCATGTTAGTTATTGTGATAAATCCATGAATTAGAAAATACACTTGCTGAATTGCAAGAAAGTAACAATAACTTGGCAAATCTAAAGGTTGAACGAGATCATGAAAAGGGTGCGCTTGTCCTTTATCAGAATGAAGGAAATAAGCAGGTAATTAATGAACCAGAAAGTACACTTTCTTTTCATGTTGTGATAAATATGTGAATCAGAAAAATACACTTTCTGAATTGAAAAAGTAATAATAACTTGGCAATTTTAAAGGGTGAACGAGATTTGGGGAAAGCACTTGTCGTTTATCAGAATCGAGGAAATAAGCAGGTAACTAATGAATTAGAAAGGACGCTTTCTTTTTCATGTTGGTTATTGTGATAAATGCATGAATTAGAAAGTACACATGCTGAATTGCAAGAAAGTAACGATAAGTTGGCAACTCTAAAGGTTGAACAAGATCAGGAAAAGGGTGCTCTTATCCTTTATCGGAATCAAGGGAATAAGCAGTTAACTATTCACAAATCAAAGGATAAAGAGAGGGATTTGCAAGACATGGAATCCTCACTGAAGGAGCTATTGGTATTACATGAGTTTCTTTTCATGTTGGTTATTGTGATAACTACAAATAAAATGGATAATATAGCTTTGTGTTTCTATGCAGCACCAATCTGCATGTCGACTGCACCAGCTCAACCAGCTTCATGTGGAAAGGTTAGACATGTTACGCCGCGTAGCAGATCTGCAGGTTAGATGGCTTTACTTCAGTTGCTTTCAATTCAAGTTTCTTTTTCACCTTTTCGTAATTGTCTTCCGTTATTTATTTATATTTTTCATTAAAGCTTGGGAAAATTGTGCTTTACAGAACCATGCAAAGAATGTTAAACATATTAATTCTACTCAAGCATTTCGCTCGATGAAAGATCAAGCGGAAAAGGCTAAATCTGATGCAGTCAAGTATCATGCTTTTACTGTTAAATCACAGGTATTTGGTTATTAATTCCAATTCTTTCACAATATGTTTGGAGTCATTATTGGCTTTGTTAACCTCCAGATTGAGAGAGAGAGTATTTACTGGTGGGACAAAGAGAGGCATTTGCACAAGGAATTACTTGAAGCTCTTCATCGGATCTCAGCACTTTCTCATTCCAAAATTAGTGACTTGGAAATAGAGATACGTAGATACGTTAAAGAGAAAGACCTCATTGTGGCTAAATTGAAAAATGCATCTAAAGAACCTGGTATAAACCTTCTTTTTAAAAGAAAGAATGATTCCTTTATCTCCCCTGTTTGACTGTAAGAATCTGTCATTGACACAGGGAGAAAAGATATTCCGGGGCTCAAAGCTTTAGCTTCATCATTTCCTGAGAAAATGCGCAGCATGCAAGATCAGTTAGCTAAACACAAGGAGACTGCTGCAGGACTTCATTGTTTGCAAGCTGAGGTTGAATCCCTCACTAATATCCTTAATCGGAAGGTGCAGTTATTTTGCATTGATTGGCCAGTGTTTCTGCCATTTCCTTTCCATGTGTATCGTTTGTCTGAAGTTATATGAATTTACTTACTTGCGCATGTGTGCAGGCTAACGAATGGGATATTCTGACTTCAGGATCGGCTCAGCAAAATGCTGAAGTGAAAAACCTGAAATTAAGGGTATGTGCTGTCAATCTAATTGCACAGGGACTAGGATACGAATCTTATTGCATTATGCTAAGTTGATACTACCAGTCTGGCCTTACCACTTTTACCATATAACAGTAGGTTGTAGCCTGAATTTTAATGCCAATAGATTTAGATCAGGAAGGGGTACCAGAAAACAGAGGAACATCTGCAGGCTTGTTTTGGAAAGTGGATAGAATTGATTAGAAAGTTCAATCTTTTGGTGTGTGGATGCAGATCACTTGCCTAGAGAGCACAGCAGCAGACCTGAAGCGTTTTCAGGAAATGTATGCACATGCATCGGCAGACTCAAGGTTAGTATTCCTCAGTTTAATGACCTTTTTGTTGGATCATGTTTTGTTTTTCATTAATCTACTCTCAGTACTTTGACTTAGTTATTAGGATTATATTTTATGCCTCTGTTCTAAATTAGTTAAGTTATGCTTAGTGTTGTTTTGGGGACCTTATTTAGGCTGTCATTTTACTTCCAACGAGATTCAGCTGTGCTAAATACTTATTTTTTAAGTATTTGTACATATTTTTTCATGTCCATTACAACAAGTTCCTATCTAATGCATCTCAATATTGTTTTTTGTTTTCAACCATGTAGGGAAGTTGAAGAAGCGCGAGACTCTGAGCTGAAGGCATGGGCTCATGTTCAGGGCCTTACATCTTCTCTTGATGAGCGTAATTTGGAGTTGCGAGTTAAAGTTGCAATTGAAGCAGAAGCAAAGTCCCAGCAGAGATTAGCCACTGCGGAGGCTGAGATTGCTGAATTGAGACAGAAACTAGAGGCCTCTAAAAGGTTGGTTTCTTTCTTTTGCCTTGAGGTGAAAGTTGTGCAGTCTGAAAGACTACTTTACTTTATGATCATCTTGTGCTGTTGCTGCTTCATCTGTTTATTTAGTAGGGTATATTGAAAATATTGGAAAACATTAAAATGGCAGTAGACTTAAATGCAAAAGTATAAATATTACATCTGCACAAAGACCCGCAATGATATTTATTGCTATCATAATGTGAGTTTCCTTGATGATATTAATGTGAAAGAAAAATGTACCTGGAAAAGGAATCATAATATAACTTATAAGATTGTATTGTATATCAATATAATTGCTTGTTGGTTAGAGTGGTCATAGCATATAGGTATCGCTTTAAAGATTATCAATGTCTGAATTGAATTGGGGCATAAGAAAATCTAATGTTTGTAAACATTATATCAAGTAGAATTTGAAAATATTTCTCATTTCAGGGAAAAAGCAAAACTTTCCAATGTCCTAAAATCCAAAACGGAAGAAACTGAGGCGTATATTGCAGAGATAGAGGTAAGCTTATATTTGATTTGTCATAATCTATGAATCCTCTATAACGCATCTTCAAGGTAATTTCCCTTTATTTTCGACAGACTATTGGGCAGGCATATGATGACATGCACAATCATAACCAGGAGCTTCTACGGCAAATCACTGAGAAAGATGACTATAATGAAAAGGTTAATCCCGTAATCCCTCAAATTGCATCTAATAAAATGCATTTAGTGATTTTCAGCCTCGCTTGAATCAAATTCCATGAAAGTTTCTAATATAGGATGACCTTATCTACCTTGTAACTTAGTTTTTTGACAGCACAACTTCCCAGTTCAATTCTTTGTTTTTAAGGCAATTTCTATATGATGGTCCTCCAGAGTCCTAACTTTTGATCATCTCATGCTTATTGTGTATATTTGATAACCATTTGTGGATGAATACTTGAGTATGGTTAGAAAAAATGTGTTAAATCCTTTGATCAATTATTTTGTCTTAAGTCAGTACAATCATTTTGGAATGTATGAAAACATTACACTCCAAACAGATTTTCTTGTATTGTTCAAGAGAATGCGGGATGCTCCTTTATGTTTTTGCTGTGCTTCGGTTTTTGTATCAGCCTTGGTCATGTAATATTTCCTCATATACTTACTCTTATCAGTGGTGAATGCAATGGGTTAAAGAGTTGGGGAGCCTTCTATTAAAAACTAACAGTTCTCTTGAATAGCTTGTGCACTAACTAAAATTATATCCCCTTACTTAGAAGTCATTGAGGACAACTTTGTTAGCATCTTCAAGCTCATCTACCATCTGCATGTCTTCATCCTCGGATGATATACTATTGGAATGGAGGTATTGCTTCTTGTTAGTGTTGCTTTTCAAGAGGGTTTCGTGAAGTGCCTTTCACAAACACGCTTTCCTTCAGTTTGAACCAAACCAAGTAGGAGAGTGAGATTGAAAGTTTAGCAAGAAAGCTGAGACAGACAGGAAAATCATTATTTTCTTTTGCATTTTTAGTTCCATTTTCTTTTTGCTATTGTATCAGCAACATTTGATTCTTCCAAAATTCAATCCTAAGTCAAGAAAACTCCATTCTTATAATCTCCCAGAAAATCATGACCTTAACTGTTAGATACAGGGCTACATAGAATTGGATTTGCTTCCCTCCTTCCCGTTGAAGAGTTTGTTTAGTTACTAGTTAAAGCTGAAAATCTGCAATAAGGTTTGGGTGCATCACGATACAATTTGTTAGATCCATAATGAGATCATGTTTATATTCGGTGTATTATTGTTCATAATGTCAAATCATTCATTTTGTTTCATTTTTTCAGCTTGTTATAGAGGGTGCACGTGCAAGACAGTTGGAAGATGCTCTGCTTGTGGAGAAGAATATGTTGGAGAAAGCTGTACAGCCGACTAGAAAAGTAGTTACTTCTGGCGACTTTAAAGTTGGTAGAGTTGGGAATCAGGTAATATGATGTACTAATGCAGTGTAGATTACTATCATTTGTCATGCTAATGATACTTTGCCTGCAGTTGAAAGCCTTGAGAGATCACCTGAAGAGAGTTGCTGAAGATGACATCTACAAAGCTGATACTATGGAACTTGTTCAAACAAGATTGTTAGATACAAAGAAATCCTCTCAGCAACTTACGAGCACACTTGATGAAACACAATCCCAGGTAGAAAGAAGCCGGGGATCTCTCACTGATGTGCAAATACAGAGAGAGAAGAATAGGTGAACAGAATTATTTTTTATGCTCATTTCCAGTTGATTTAAAGCTCATATACTTATATGAGGCATATCTCTCCAATTAGGTTTAGGAACAAAAGGGTAGAAGAGGATCTAGATGATCTGAGGAGTAAGGTTCAACAACTAGAATCACAAGCTCAGAGTTCATCCGTTAATGAAAAGCTTCAACAAGAACTCAAGGGATACAAAGAAATTCTGATATGCAGTGTCTGCAATGATAGGCGCAAAGAGGTATTTTCCTGGTTTCATTGAAAGTATATTTATGGGCTTTTATTTGTGTTGGATATTTGCGTGTTAGATATTTCCCTTCCTTTTATTGGAGTGTAAAAATAAATTTATATCAAATAATACGAATATGGCATACCTCATATTATAAATGGTAGGGATCTTATGTTCAAATTCCTACCATTTCCAATTTATGAAGTAAGTGTTTTACTTTACATTGGCAATTATATGAAAAGAAACCTTCTATTTGTATATAGAGTTAACTCGGTTTGTACGACACATTCTTCAACCTCAGGAAGATGAGCAACTGACTCTTTGAAAAGTTGTTTTGAGTTACTTTAGTCCTGAAAATGGATTCCTTATGTTTATTCTGTTTTAACGTTGTAACATCAGTATTCATTCTAGTTGATGAGTTTCTTCGGCTAACTTGTATATTCTGCTACAAGATTACTGTCAGAGAACATAACAAGTTTTCTTCGCAGGTGGTTATCACGAAATGCTACCATTTATTTTGCAATGCTTGCGTGCAAAGAATTTTGAACACACGACATCGCAAGTGCCCTGCTTGTTCTGCTAGCTTTGGCGCCAATGATGTCAAGCCCGTGTACATCTGATCTGGATTCTAGAAGCTTCTTTGCATTGATTCATGCACCTTCACATCTCCAAGAGATCAGCCTCTCAGTCAATGCTTGTGTGGATGAGATGCTTCTATATATTGCACAAACGTCAATATACACCCATTGTCCTCATGAGATCCATTGGAGTCATAAACATCAGAATTAGTTAAGGTCCAAATGCAAATTTGCATATTATTATGGATCTGACGATTCTGGATTGTTGCTGATCAATTATTTTATTTATTCTCTAGTATTTATAGATTAGATCCCGCTCCAGGGAACCTTCAGATTGTAAGTATTTAAGGCGTTTTGTGAGCATATATGTAGTAGGAAGAACCACAGTTTACAAATTAATCTGAACTATGGGTATATCCTTATATGTAGAAATTTATATTTTGTCTCAGTCCTCCAGCTTCTGTCAAATATGAGCTGATTTTTAGAGACAGGAAATGTAGGACACTTAAGCAGAAGCCTGTCAATGCAATTACAAGTAAGTATATGCTTTCTTGAGTTTAACTGAATTTCTCGACATTTTATTGAGAATGCTGCTTAGCTCGATGGTTATTTACTATTGTCGAAGCATATCACATATATTTGTTTCTTTCTTGTAGCATAGTTGCAAAAGTATGCGTAGTAATACTTGATGTTCTATCAATATAATGACAATGGTATGTGTGAAATGTCTACACTAAGAATGCTGAGATATGAATTTGAAGTACATTTTGTGGGGTGAAATGTGCAATAATAGCTTAGGGCCAACCTTAACCATGCTTTTCCTCGCGAATCGATCTTTTATTTTTCATTTGCAATAAATCATGCAATTTCATGCAATAACTCCAAAATGAAAAAGGTTGCAATAATTTCTTGAACATCATAGTTTATGTTGTGCAGGATGGATGGATCTCCTTCTTGGATTTTAACGGCGTAAAGGGGAAAAGGAAAAGGAAAAGGAAATGTCATGGCACGGTATGTGTTATTAATCATTCATGTTTGTACAATCTAAATGGTCCCCAAGCTTCCCATTAGGGTTCAACAAGTCTTGAGGAAAGCTTTTCAATGATTATTCTTATTTATTTATATGATCCTTTGGCAGTTGATAATTAATTGCTTTTAGCAACCAATGAATTAATTTGTGATTGTGATTGATCATTGCTTGTACCATCTATCAACTATGGACTGGTCTATGTTTCTCCAGCCTTGCATTCACACTTCTTAATTGTGGCTTCTATAATGTGGTGGTGTGAGTATTATATACATATATGTTTGTATGTATATATGTATATGCATTTATATAAGTTTTATAGCATGTTTGTATGAAATAAGGTTTGTAATGTTGTTCTTAAATTTGAGTGGTTATATGATTGTGTAGTAGTGGCCCTTTTTGTCTTGAGTATTTTAGTTAGCAGCATTGAGCTTTGGTTTTTGCAGCATTTGAAAATGTACTATTCACTATATTTGGACACTTCACAGGTTTGGATTTGATTTTGGGGTTTGATGTAATAATTTGAATTTTAAAATATATATATATTTATAATATATTAAATAAAAATTTAGTACTTTGGTTTGATGGTTTTTAGTGAAAAAAAAAAATAATTATAATAAAATTAGATGGACAGTATAAGATTAAAATGAAACATTAAAAAACAGCCTTTGCTGCAAAATTGTTGGTGGAATGAAATGAAGCCACAAAGAGTTACATGTGTATATGTTTGTCATAAATGAGGAGGGTGGGCTTCTAGTGTCTTCCACCAACCCCTCACCAAATCAATAGATTAGTGGAGAAAATAGCATTTGTTTTAGTTTAAAATTGTATTGTTAAATAATATTAAGATTTTGTTGAATATTTACTGAAAAATATGTTGAAGGGTGTACATAATAGTACATTAAATCATATAAAGTATAATGTTGTAAATATTATGAATCATATCATAAATTATACTCTCCCCATGCCCGACCAAAATATACATTTGAATTTTTGCAATATATTAAAAAATAATAGTATTTTATTCATCGGTGGTAGAAATATTAAGATACTTTTGATATATATTTTTTACTTCATTTATATATATAATATTATAATTTATGGCAAAATTAAGGGTATTATTTTTACTATAATAAAGATATATTTTTGAGATAATTGTTAGATTATAAAATATCACTTCTTTTTTTTTTTTTTTTATTTTCTACAATTTTCACTTTTGGATATTACAATTTTTATTATTTATATATAATTCTTTTACCCTTTTATGCCCTTTTATAAGAAATTGAGGGCAAAAACCTTATTCGAAGTAACTAGCAAAAAAAAAAAAGGGACAGAAGGGGGATTATTTAGCACTGATAAGTATTGTTCAATGTTGAGACTGAACTAATTAATTGATTAATTATCATGTGTTGTATTAAGTCATAATTCATTAAATGGCAGGTTACATATAGAAAGTAAGTAATTTTGAGAATTGGCCAGTGTTGTCTTGAATTGATTGTAATTGATGTGTCTCAACGTTTGAACGATCATAAACAACTACAATAATAATAATAATAAAGAATCATAAAATACATCAATAAAAATAATTTAGAACATTTTTTTTTTTTTTTTCAAACAAAATGAACCTTAAACATCGTTCTTGATAAGACATATATATAATCACCAGAAGTAAAATATTTGAAAATGAACTTGTTGATAAAGTGTGTCATAAATAGTAACCAAAGTACATTAATAGTGTCATCTAATACTAAAACAGGAGGAGATCGGGATAACTGAACGTTGAAAAAAAAAAAAAGGGTGGTCATGTTTATAGTTTCATCTTATTCTAAAATTAGAAACCTTACTATTATAATATTTTTGCTGCACACACACACACAAGGTTTCCACTAGCAGCCAAACTACTGTTTCTATACGTATGTATATGATTATGATATACTATATTCTTCCTGCTCCAGGCAGGCAAAGGCAAAGGCAAAGGCAAAGGCAAAGCTGCATAAAGCATTGGACACCATGTAATAGATTCACTGTGAATTATATATATTTTATTATTGTAATAAAAAAGAAAAGAAGAGAGTGAGTTTATTTCATTTCGTTGAAAACTGAAGAAAGAAGTACAAGACAAGACATAGGATTCTGTAGAATGAAGCAAGCTTCCACGTGGACTATACATATACATACATATCATATCATATATATATATATATATAACAACGATCCATCATTGGCTGGTTGTCTGATTCTGATTCTGATTCTGATTCTTAATCCACCGTGGCATATATGTCATGGCCTCGCTGTAATAACATATATCGTTATCTCATTCTAACCATTTCTAGAAATATATATTAATTATTATTATTAATATTATTATTATTATTATTGTTATTAAAGCAAACTTCGATGTGATTCTTTACAACTTGAAAAAGTAAAAGAAATTGGCTTTTCTTCTTTCTTCTTTTTCTTTCTCTTGCAATTTTAATTTATTTATTATTATTATTTTTTTAATTTTTATATATAGTCGATTGTTTAATTAATTAATTAATTACTTTGTTCCGAATCTGGGAAACATCGGCAGGTAGAGGTAGAGTGAAATTAAAAATTTTGAAGTATATATCGATTAGTTCGCCGGTAGTTAATTAAGACGTCAATTAATTAATGTGTGTAATTTATTTATTGAGGTGTTTTCTAACATTAATTACCGTGCAACGTCACGACGACACGTGGCATTAGAGATTCGTAGCTGTCACCGACCACCCTTGTCCCTCCCCGATGCTTCCCTCGTACGTACGTCAATTCTCTTCGTATTAATTACTTCATCTGTACCACGTATCATGTCATGTTGTCGTTTCTGTCCGTCCTATGTACTAGGTCACCTTTTTTTTTTTTTGGAAAATAATTACATATTTTAATTTCATTTTAAATTTTTTAATTTTTTTAAAATTTTTTATTAAACTAATTAATTATCTTAATTAATATAAACTAATTAATTATCTTAAAATAAAAATTACCATACCATCAACATCAGATCTGCCTAAAATATAAACTATAATTTATATAAATTTTATCTGATGTTGATGGTATGGTAATTTTTATTTTATTTTTTTGTATATATTTTTTTTTAAAAAAAAAAAGAATAATTATATTATTCGAAGTTAAAACGTCTAAAATACAACAAGAATGCACTTTATTTTATTAGTGTGGCATTGTTGATTTTAGATTACTATGAGTGTATTTATTAGAGTAGAGTACTATTGTTACTTTTAATTAAAATTTGAAATATATTAATAAATTTTTAACCTTTGTATGTATAAGATTATATTGATTGTGGTTTGACAATATATTGGATATTTTTATATCTATAATATAAGATAGTGTTAAATAATTATTATTCAATAGTGAAATTATACATACATTGTTTTGTATTATCAAATACAATGATATATATATATATAGTATTTTTCTTATGATAATAATAATAGAATATTAAATAAATTCATTTATATTTAGAAAACATAATATTATTTCATTTCCATATTAGTATATACAATGTACTATTAAATATATGTATACAAAATGCTAGCATTGTACTGATTTTCTTATTATATATATCTATGAAGTTAATTAATTAATGAATGCTATGTACAAAACTGATGAACATTAATAGTTTTGTGGCGACAGAATTAAATTTAATTGGTTCATTTATAAATGGTGGGCATTGCTATGCTACCAATATTTATTCACCATTTTCAAAGTTAATATATATATATATATATATATAGTGAATATTTTAAGTGAATCATGCCTTGTAACTTTGAATGCTATAAAAAAATTTATTGTACAGCATTAAAACTCTGGTATATAAAATTGAATAAAATTTAATTAATATTGGATCTACCTGATGTTTATATATGTAAATATTAAAGAACAATTAAATAATTGTGTGAGATCTAATGATGGATCAATCAATCAGTAATTGTTCTTGCAATAAGCTAGTGGGTTTTAAATAATATTCAAGATCCTGCAAATGTGTGTGTATGTCTATATATATATATATATATATTTATATAATTAATTAATTAATTATTGGGTGATGGGTCCTAATTAAATTAACGTATATAATAATAATTTTTATAATAATTGCGAAATTCAATATGTGGAAGATTGATTGGGGCCAATTAAGATTGTGTTTGTCTCTCAATTTGCCACTTTGCTCAATAATAAAAATAATTAAATTGTGCGTAAATGATTGAGCCATAGACTATAGTATATAAATTTAGTGATGGTGAGATCATTCGTCACTACCAAACAGTCCTCACACATTTAAATTTAAATAAATAAATAATAAAGATCTTACCCCTTGCTTGCAACAACAAACTGTATTTTCTTTATGGGAAAAAATAAAATAAAATTAAATCACGATGAAGTGACTGGTGACATTAATTACGATGGTGTGACATTTCTTGCATGTGTCTTTTCTCAATTAATTTAATTGAGTTTGCTCTATTATTGGTTGAAACAGTATTTTTGTTGGGATACAGTTGGTAATTTTTATATATATATATATATATAAATATTTATACAATCATCATGCAAAAAGGTTTTAACGCATCAAAGGTCACATCATTATTAGTTAATTAACCTTCATTAACTATATATTAACCTGAATTTTAACTTTCTAAATTTTTTTATGATACCGAACATATAATACTGAACAAATCATATTCATAAATATCCAAATATTTATATATATTTTTTTTAAAAAAAAAAAAAGTGGTCGAATTTGACGACAGCACTAATTAACAACTTCAAGAAAGCATCCAACAACAGTATACATAAAAATATATCTATCGAGTCAAAAATCTGTGTGCTTTTTGGAGCTCCCGGGAGCAGAGATCCAACACCCTTCTATCCACAGGTGGACCCGCGCTGGGAGCAGATTCCCATGGACCTCCCTAAAAAGAGAAGGTGACAACACATCAAAATGAAATAAATTTAAGACACTGATTATAGTAATTATTGTTATAAGATTCTTCCCTAAGATAATATTCCTACATATAGACAAAACTGAGTACGGAATAATAAATTTATTTAATTCCGGATATTATACGACCATAAATTGTCACACATTTTATTATTTACATATATATATATATAGACTCCGTTTTGACAGAGAATATTGAAATTTTAAAAAATATTAGAAATTAGTATTTAATATAAAATAACTAAAGATAAATAGTATAAAAATTTTCAGAACTTTACGGCATGTTAAAATTTATGGGTGCATTTACTTAACTATTGAAATTAATAATTAAAACTAATAAAATTGAATCGTAAAAACACTTTAAAAACATTTGAAATTAATAATTAAAACTAATAAAATTGAATCGTAAAAACACTTTAAAAACAAACTCAATTATATAGTAGTATAATTTTAATGCACGACATACAAGAAGCGTTATTGCGGTCAGCGACTTCAGTTTCCGGAAAATGCGACTTTAAAGAAACGACGCTTCAGTCAATGAGGTGCAGTCCGGCGACATGAACGGATCCTCGAGCCGGAGTCCGACGTCGGCGATCTGCCACGACGGCGCGTGGTAAAAATACTCGTAGCTATGATCGGCGCCGCTGACGGACAGATCCGGCAAGTCGAAGAATGTGTCGTCCTCGTGAGCCGCCGAATTGGAAGATAAAGAAGATTCCGGCAAGCCGCCGGGGAACGTGGCGGCGGCGGCTTTAGCGGCGGCGGCTTGAATGTCCTTGGGGGCGGTGGAAGCCGGTCGGGGGAGGTCGTGAACCAAGTGAGGGAAATTGAGGTAAGCCGACTCGCCCTTGATGGCTAGCGCCGCCACGTCGTGGGCACGCGCCGCCATCTCGGCGGTGGGATACGTCCCCAGCCATATTCTCGACTTCTTCCTCGGCTCCCGAATTTCGCATACCCATTTTCCCCAATTCCGCCGCCGCACGCCGCGAAACATCGGATGCTTGTCGCCGGCGGCGCCGCCGCCGCACCTCCGCCGCTTGTTGGCATCTTCGTTGCCGGACTTCTGCCCTTGAATTTTCTGCGCCGAGCAGCAGTCCTGCCGGCGTTTATTGCTGCTGCTGCTTTGTGAACTCTCCTGCGACGTTGATCCGCCGGAGTTCGCGGCGGCGGAGGCGGCGGAGAAAAGTGGGTCTTGTGCAACAATTTCGAAGATGATTTTGGGTTCCATTGAAGGGTAGCTAAGAATAACATAGACTGTGATTATGCTGCTGTGCTGTATATTTCTGTATCTATGTGTGTGTAAAGTCGTAATTGTGGGGTTATAAGATTCTTGCAAAATACTATATATATATATATATATTTATTTATTTATAATCATTTATTTAATTGCATAAAGGAAAAACAAAATTAATTAATAGTAGTAATAATAAAGGATAACCGAAAAATCAAAAGAAAAAGAAAAAGAAGACTAGGCTTCAGTGGATCATTTATTTTATTGAATAATTAATTAATACCGCATTTTAATATATATGTATGTATACTGTCACAATTGCATTTTATTCCGTGACCGTGAAATATATATATAGTCATGGCCACATGAGTATATTTTCGTTAATTATTAGATTCTGGCTTTAAGGCAGCGCCCATGAAATACCAAACATACCCCTCGTAAAAATGAATACTAATGTGCAAACGTCTATGTTTCTTTAAGGGTTCTTTTGGGTATTTAGGGCAGTGTTGTAGTTTTCTGTTCTAAATGGAGATTTTAAAATTGCTTTCTTTTAAATACAAACTATTATTCTTAGTGAAAGCAAACATTGGTAGCAAAAGGAAACATAAATTTTAATTGTTAGTGCATAGACTTTTATTTTTCAATTTATTAAGGTTTATTTATTATTATTATTTTTTTTTAAGTTTTATTAAAAGAATAGTTGAATATAAATATGATATTTTAAATACAAATAAATATTTAATATGGTTTTTTTAGAAAAGAAAAGTGAATATAATATTAATTAGTAAAAAAACAACTCAATAATTTTTGTCACTTTATATAAATTAAATAGAAAATGTATGGGAGAAGTATTTTCAAAAAAGGATATAAAATTTGTATTTAATAACGACCTTATCTAACTTATATTTCGTACACATATTTTGTTGACTAAATTTTAACTCCCAATTCGGCATTTGTCACTGGTACATATAATTTACTGTATCGTCATTTAAATCTATTTTCATTTAACGGTAGTAATTAATTTGTGTGTTGAATTTCATCCATAACTATATCAAAATTTAGATTTATTTTTTTTTAAAAAAAAATAATTATTGTTATGACTCGAAATTTGATCGTTATAAAAGTTTTTATTTTGATTATATCCCAATTCTCAATTCATTCGGTATTGAATTTGTTTCGATTTTTTCGGGTCGGGATCGGGACATGTCTACCCTAATGCCTAGTGTTCTTGTCCGATTGTGAGGGTACCACCGGTACAGCAGATATGTACAAGTAAAAGATCTTACCATAACACTCTCAATTCACTTTCTCAATATTTTTGAAGCCCTAATTTAGTCCCATTTGTAATAATATCAAGCAACAATATGAACAACTGAAATTAAATAATCTTCCCTTAATTTGAAATTGGTCGAACAAGTTTATTTATTACAGCAGGCCAACTAGGTACAAAGTACTTATAATGTAATGGATATGTCAATTGTCACACAATAAATTGGAACCTCAAAAATGGTTGATCAAAAGAGACAATTATTTCGCAATTTGTTTTCTCCATTAACTTATTATTATTGTGATGCTATTTTTAATTTGGTGTGTAAACACAAATTTTTTTAATATAAATGAATAAATTAATTATTTTGTGTGGTGTATAATAAATTAAATTAATTAATAAGCCTGCATTGAATGGGGCCTGCGGTAGTTAGAATCGACACTTGAGGAAGAAAGGCAGTATACCAAGATTTGTCTCATGTACAAAAATGGAATTAATTAATTTAATTTAATTTGGAGGAATGTCACACTTAATTAACTAATTAAATTTAAATTTTCTATTATAATAATCAAACCCTTTCTTTAATCCACTTCACTAATGTGCCCACCAATATTCTTTAATTTAATTAATTTATAATAATTACATGAATGTGAAAAGAATAAAATAGATAAAAATAAATAAAGATATTATATATAGACACATACTTGTCAAATCTTTTTTCATGTCATTTACTTTATGGAGACAGGCATTGGATGAACTCAGGAATTCTATGGTTGTAACATATGATTTAGGCATGGAATAATTTCATTTAAGATTTTGGCAAATACATTTAATTAATTTAAATTTAATTTAGGCAGTTTATTTGAGATATTATATTGAATTATGATATAAAAATGTCCCATCATTACTTAGGCATGTGTTGTGACCTTTTTAACAAATTCTTTGTTCACTGACTAATATACTCCCTCCGTCCCGTAACTAAGTATCAATTTGTTTTTTGCACGTAGTTTTAGAAATATTAGTATTATATTGGGATATAGTAGGAATAAAGTAGAAATGACTAAAATAACCTTATTAGTATGTATGATATAAAGGTAATGACATTTGTGTATATATTGTAAGTTGTAAGGGTATTTGTAATGTTAGGTAGATAGCACAGTTACTAAAAAAAGAAATTGATACTTTGTTATGAGACGGACTAAAATAGTTTATTTATTTTTATTTTATTTATGAATATTTGTGTGAAATAATTGTAGTCTGTCAGCATAATTTGGACATAAATTTTTATTGATTTGTGTATGAATAATTAAATATGCATGCTTTGTATTATATAAAAGTGTGATATAAATTTACAAAAGTGATTAATTAATTTTATTTTTATTTTTTGGAAATATATTATAATTAGTGGAGTTGTTGAACTGCTTAATAGTGGTTGTGTAATTGATTGATTATATTAAATTCAATCATTTTCTTAAAAATATTTTTCTTGGAATGTAATGGATGTCTTTGCTCTAATTTATTTTCCTGATGAGGATTTCGACCTATGTATATTAGTTTTGCTACACATAGATGTACTTTGAATATTTGAGGTCACATTATTTAATCTTTCTAATTAAGTACAAATTAAACTATTTTTTTTTATAATCTCTTCAACAATATATATTCATTAGGCATGATTATTATTATATACTAGTCTTTAATAAAATATACTACATTATATTATTTTCATTTTCTTATATATACATTTTTTAAAATATCATATTCAATTTTTATTATTATTTTTTATATATATATAAAATATCGTATCAAAATATCCATTCATTTCAAAGAATTTGAAACAAAGAAATTACTGTTAAATGATCGAAATGATTCTGGAGTTCGAATCTCACCGTCCCATCCAACATATATTTATGTGCAAGTCTCGTGTACATCTGTTTACACCTGAGGTCCTGTATGTAATAATTAATGACACTTATAAATTATTATGCGAGACGGTCGTTTCAATCATATAATTTAATATTGATATCAAGAATAAAGAAATCCTAAATAAATTAATTTAAATTGTGCATGTGTGAGAGGTGTGTTGGGCACTAAGAAAAGTGAGTAATGAGTAGAAGAAATGAATGGAAGGGTTAGGAAAGTTGACTTATGACAACAGTGGAAGACATAATATACTTATGTATCAACATATCTCTCACAATTCCTGCTACTGCTAGCTAGCTAGGTTTATCCAGTCCTCTCTTGTCTTCTCTTTAAGAACCAATTTTTTATTAATTAAATCAATTAAAAATATACATCTATCTCTCTCTTACACTAAAATTAAAAGTTACATTATAGTAATAAATTATGAATAATAATAATCATTATTTGTATTGTATTCTATTGTTGTAGTAGGTAACATAGCCCCATGACCTATTATTATACTTCTGCCCTACCTCTGGAATCCACTCTCTATGCTTCTGCTACTGTATTTCTTGTATTTGGATTATTTTTTGAAGGGTTGGTAATTGGATTGTAATTTTAATTTAAAATTAATACTATTTATTTAAAATAATTTTTAATAAAAAATATATATTTTTATAAAATATCAAATTAAAATACTATTTAAAATCAATGAATAAATCAAACTTTTTGTTCTAAATCAATTTCAAACTACAATCAAACCAAACGCACCGTTAGATTTTTAGTTATCTGAAACTAAAAGTTTTTCCATAAAAAATATAGGGGATTTATTATTATTATTATTATTATTATTATAAATTGAAGAATGAGAAAATCAAAATAAAAATTCAGGATAACGCAATAAAAGGTAACCCAATTTATGTTATTGCAAGTATATGTATGTCTAATGGATTGAACTGAGGGCTCAAAGATACTAAGCCCATTTATCACTAAAAGCCCATTAAAGTATAAATGAAGGTGTCTGTACATTTATTTGGGCTGTATTTCTTCATTCATTATTTTTGGAGTAAAATAATAACAATAATACTAATAGCTAAACAAGACAAAAAGAACAAAAACCACAAATACAATTAGGGCAACTCTCTATTTCCAATTACTTGGATTTGAATAGGATTACAGATGAATTGCTGTTGCATGTTACTGTAAGAACGAACTAAGAAGAATTAACAAAGCAACCTAAAACAGATAGAAGAATATAATAACGGAGCTCCAACAATGGCGGCTGTCATGATCATGAATAACGTCGTCGTTTTGCAGATACCTTGTATGAATTCGGAGTTATAGAGTGAAGCTTCCCTCCGGGAAGGAGACGCTGGGATTCATACAAATTAAAACAACGAAATAATTACTTAATCGATATATAATGTTAATTTGTTTCGAAATAACACATAATTAATTATTAATGCCTATATAAATAATATTATTCTTACTTACATCGAAGTAGTTCCGTACATCATGGCTTCGTTTCTTGCGCTTAATCTTTGGAGGCTTTTTATTGGTGATTTTAATGAAGTCTTCTTCGATTTCTTCTTCAGTTAGGGAGATGGATATTTTCGGGAGTGCCTGTTCTTTCTTCTCCGCCGTTGGATTCGAATTCATCAACGGTGTAGATTTAACATGATTCTTCCCCGTTCTTGATCGTAAATTCCACGTCTTGGTTTCTTTTATTTCAGCGCCGCGGTGGGTGTCGTTGGAGGGGACGGCAGAAGGATTTTTGGCGGCTCGAATTAAGATTTCCGGTTTATCGGATTTTGCGGCGCCGACCGGGTTTATAGACGGTTCGGGATGATTATCGTGGACCGGCGGTGGAGGAGTGACGGAGGAGGTGCGGCGGCGGCGGCGGTGATTGGTTGAGTATCGCCGGTTCCGTCGCGACGGCGGTTTGATAGTGTGGAGCGATTTGAGTGCAGCCGGAGATGCCATTGGACCGGCCGGGAAAGAAATCGACGCAGAATTATAATGGGACGACGGAATTATTGCGGCGCCGGAATCGGGAGGTGATTGAAGGAAGGAGAGATTGAATTGCAGAATGTCGTAAACAGCGATCACAGCCACGGAATGAATTACACTACAATTCGTTTAAATACTTTAGGGTAAATTAATAGTAAAATATTATCTAATATTTTATTATAGATAAATAAATTTCGCATTATGTTATATGAAAAAACAAAAAAAACATCATTTTCGTTGAAAAAAAAAAAAGATTAATTCTTCATTCTTCAGTTTATAAATAATAAGTCATCGGTCATTTTATTTTTATTAAGAAATTTAAATCTGCCACTGCGATTTTTGGGTTTAGGGTCACTATTCCTTATAGACAAGTTACCGGTCATATTTATTTTACAAACAGTAAAATAAACGGTTCATGAATTTATATTTATTTCTTTTATTCAATAATACTTTATCCATCCCGTTGAAATTATATCAATATATATATTCTTTATAATGTATTTATTCATAATTTCGTTATTTATATTTTAACAAATAATAAATTTTTTATCTGTTTATAGTCCAATGTAATTATAGATCCATAAGTCCAACTTACGGTTTATTTGGGCCAAAGGGAAAAAAAACTAAGCCCAAAATAATTCCAGGCTTATAATTTTATAGAAAACCCAACCAACAATCAATATGGGGCCATCTTATAAAGCCCATTTGTTAAATTACCTTATTACCATATGTGTCCACTGGCCACATGCTTTGTGTTATTTTATTCTTTTTAATCAAACAATACAAATCAAATATATTATTAAGCTTAAAAAATCCCACAAATTTACATGCCCACTCGTGCAATTAATTGATTAATTAATAATGTATGAATCTTGACCACTTTGTTTATTTATTTTGTAAAAAAAAAAAAAAAAAAAATTAAAATAAAAGAATCAAAGCAGGTGGAGATGAAAAGATCTCCCTAATTCTTGTTTATTACACGACTGTCCCACGTGCAAAGCCCATAAATCAAAGGGTTTGCAAGGCTGGATCACACGTGCTCACCGTACGGACATGATTTCTTTCTTCATTAGTTGCAAGCAATCATTCAGATACATTGACAGTGTGTGCTTAATTTATTAATATATTTATATATATATATATATATGTATATAGTGTATACACTATTATGTGTGTGTGCATTGTTTGACCTTCGCACGTGCGAACCTTGCTGTCATCCCATGCATGCATGCAACTTGGCTAGGGCTTTCCCCATCGCACGATTCAATAAAATATAGGGTATGAAATTTTGTATATAGATAAAATAATAATAATAATAATAAATATAAAAAAAAAAAATGTATAAATGTATTTATATAATTATCTTGTTTATACATTTATTTCTGGCTATCAATGTTGTCACAATAATTGTTTACAATCATATACGTTATTATTATTATTATTATTATTATTATTATTATTATTATTATTATAAGTTGTAATTATAACTTAATGTAATTAATCATTATAATTCTATATTTTGTATACAATTACTTTATAATAAAAATGATAATTTGACTTTAGATAAAAAAATATATATAAATATATATATGTACGTTTCATATATAAATATATTAAACTTAATTTTTATTATAAATTATACTCCATCCCGGTGTTTTTTACATGTTTTATTTTCTACATAGTAATATAGTTTTTACAAAAGAAATATTATCATTTACTTTTATTTTCTGTTTGATGTAATTTTATAGATTATTTGAGAAAAAATTGTTTAATTTTTTTTTAAAAAATGCTACAAAATTTTAATATACCAAATTAAAAATAAATGAAAATAACGATGCATAATATTCTTAAAACTACAAGTAAACACATTAAAATTTAATTTATTTGATTGTAATTTAAAATTGATTTAAAATATAATATTAATTTAAAATTTTATTTAAATAGCATTTGATGTTGTGTTTTACAATAATAAATAATTTTTTAAAATATATATGTGATAAATAGTATTGATTTCATAGTAAAATAATAAAACAATAAATTCTAATTAAATTGAGCATTACCCATTAGCAGTAGATATATGCACAGGCTGTCCATTTCACCACTTTTAAGGATGCCAACTTTGGGTTTATTTATTTTGGTTTTAAATTAAATTTACTAGTTAATATTATATATATATATATATATATTGAAATGTTATTTAAAATATAGTAATTGTCTAAGAAAACAACAATTGTTCAAAGAGAAAAGACCCTGAATATACCATTATGTATATTTTTAAGATAAAACTATTAATATAACGTTTAGTTAATAAGTATTACAGAAGATGTTTGTTGTGTAAAATAGTTTGAAAAAATACTTTTTATATAATATATATAAATTGTTTAGATAATATAATTAAATATATATATATTACATAATTTTTTTTGTTAAATATATATATTATTTATTTTGAAAAAAGAAAAACACATCCTCAATATTTACAAAACAAACCTTCCTATCTCTCTATCATATTTCATCCATTTCATTACCATCAAACATCACTTCGACCCTTTTTCTCACAACCAAGATTCCACACCCTCAATTATTCCATGCTTTAGTGTTTTTTTTTTTTTTTTTTTTTTAAAGATGGGCAGAGAAAGTTGCTTTATCGAATTCTTTATTTTTTTTTTTTGTTAAATATATATATATATATTGCAAAATATGACGATAAATTAGAGTATTTTTTTGTAATTTTTATAAGATTTTTTGTTATTTAAAGTTTTTGCTTTGATAGTATTACCTTAATAATAGTCCTTTCCCCGTCTACAAAAATTAGCTTAATTGGAGTCTCCGCACAAACATTAAAAAAAAATAAGATTGTATTCTTTTGTGAATTTTACATAGGTTTTTATTATTTATATTATTTTTTTTAAGAATATCATATCAAATAATTATTTTTTAATATTATATTACAAATTTATTTTACATTGAATATCATATCAACATATATTTATATCACATCAAATAACTATTCAAAAATTAAAACCCAAAAATTAAACCCACAAACAAATACACCCTAAAAAAATGTTTAAAAAATAATTAAATATATTTTTAAAGATTTTGATTATTAATTAAATATAATGAAAACATAGATTGTAATAAAAGCAATTACAATTATGGTACACAAATATTGAATTAGAAAAAAAAAGTAAGATAGGTAAAAAAACATAATTGGGGATACTTTTAAAAAAAAAAAAATTAATAATTAAAGATAATAAAAAAATAATAAATACAGTGATAATTATAAAAAAATAAATATTGAATTAAAAATAATAATTACATATTGATTATTTAATTTTATTAAAATTTATAATAAGATAAATTTAGGGTGTGTTTGTTTGGGGGTTTGGATTTTGATTTAGGATTTGAATAATAAAAATTTTGAATTTGAATAGTTGTATGATGTGATATAAATAGGTGTTGATGTGATGTTTTGAATGTAAATTGATTTTTAGTATAGTATAAAAAATAAAAAATAGGTGTTTGATTTGATATTTTTGAGGAAAAAAAATCAGATAAATAGTGTAAATTCAATCAAATCCCTGAAACAAACACACCCTTAACGTACAATTGAAATAATTTATTTATTTAAATATTAAAATAAAACAATATTTAATATATATATATATATATATATAACATACTATGTTTTTGTATTTAGGTATTTTTAAATAGCTCATGTCACCATATGTGGGGGCAAGATCACGTGACGACAGCGCAAGGCACGGTATTAAGGTAGGACAGTGGGGTCCACTAGTCACTTGGTCCTTTCATTTATCAATTATCACTATTGCTACTAGTACTACATGTTATGTGGTTTTAGGAATTATGATTATATTAATGTTACATTTTCCTTGAGTAAATTTTTTTATTTTAATTTGATATATATATATATTAAAATTCTTTTGTGTGTATTCTATTAAGGTATGAATTAATACTATACTACAAAATCAAAATAAAATATTATCAAAATATATTCAAAATGGTTTAAATATTGCAGCATTTAAGGAAAAATTAAATGAAGAGTTCACGGGAAATGGCACACCAACAACAAAACAATTAATGCTAGTTGCCCGTTTTTTAAAAACTTTATTGACAGTGACTACAAGAAATGCAAGAAATAAAAGTAATAAATATAAATACAAATAAATATATACTCTCTCCATTTTAATATAATAGTTTTGTTTACTATTTTTATTTGTCTCAAAATAATAGTCTTATTTTCATAAATAACCATATCATCATAAAATTATCTCTATTTTTTTATTATTATTACATAATTGCCATTACTTTTTAGACTAATATACTCACAAGAGCAAAAAAGTTATTTATTCATACTTTTTATCAACCACAAATATAATATCAATATTTTTTAAATGTTCAATAAAATAAGACTATAATTTTGAGACGAAAGAAATATGTAATATAAATACTCTCTCCGTTCCATTGAAAGATTGTCATTTTTTATTTTTATCCGTCGTAAAATAAGATTATCATTTCGTAATTTAATAATTATAATAGTCTCACGGAGTAGAATATAAAGTGGGGAAATCTTGGAATTGACCATGGAATTTTAGAGTGGGCTCTACAAATTGTAAGAGTAATGATTGCTTGCTAGTGTACTTACTTTGTATAAAGTGTATATATATATATATATTTTTTATATGTATCATTGTGTATATATATATATGATGATTGCATTATTGAGGTTAAATTATTTGTGTCCCATGATTTCTCAATGACTTGTTTGCTTCTTTTTTTGGGCCTTATCTATATATGTAATTATTATTATTATTATAATATCGTGGTCCAAAAAATTTAAATTTAAGGAATATATCACACAATTTCAATTTTAGTAAAAAGGAAAAGAGGGATAAACCATATCCCAAACTAGTGAATGTCATTGCAATATACGGTGTGGAGATATCTTTTTCGAAATAGGTTGAATAATCAAATAATGGAATTTGAAATATAAAAGAAGATCATCCTAAATTAATCCATATACAATTTGGAAATAACACACATTTACTTTTGAAATTCAAAATCAAGACCGTCTCGAAAACTGAGTTTGTTTGATTTTGATTTAAATTTTATTATAAATAATATTTTAATGTGATATATTATATTAAAAAAACTAATATATATTTATTGTAAACGATATATTGAATAATATTAATTTTGCTTTTAAATTCTAATAGACCACACCCAAAGGGCTTATTTAGTAAAAGTTTTATATAGTATTTTAGTTTGAACAATAATTTGGAGTAATATATTTTATTCCCTCCGTCCCATGTATTATGAACCTATTACTGTAGATACGGAAATTTAGGTAAAATATGATTAGTAAGTAATTAAGAAGTGTATTAGTAAAAATAATTATCTTATAATAAAAATAATTATGGATTAAGATTAAGATAACTAAATAGTTTAATAAAGATTAAAAAAATTATAAAATTTAAAATTTAAAATTTAAAATGAGATTAAAGTGTATAATTATATTTTCAAAAAAGGAATGGACAAATTATGTGGGGCGGACGAAAATAGAAAATAGGGACAAATTATGTGAGACGGAGGGAGTATAATAATTCAATGTATTTATTAGAAATTAAATAATTATATAGTAACCCGTTCCACCTACCATGTTCACATTTTCGTTTATTTCTGTCTACGGCACTCTCCTTTTTTAAAAATGATTACACAACTTAATTTCATTTTAAAATTTCTATTTTTGTTTTATTTTAATTAAACTAATTATTTATTTTAATTTTAATATATAATGATTTATATTATAGAATAATTTTTTTTACTAATATATTTTTAATTATCGACTAATTATACTTTATTTTAAATTTTTATATTTACAGTAACCCGGACATGTAACGTGGGACAAATGCGGCAAGTAAATTGAAATTAAAGTTTGAACAAACATAGCCAAACTCTCCCTATATATATATATATATATATATAAGGAATGAGATTTAAATGTATTTAGAAGGGTGTGTTTGTTTGAATATTTTGATAAAATTTTATTATTCATCTAAAATTTTTTCCCCAAAAATATCAAATCAAATAATTGATATACATAAGAAAAGGGTGGGTGTGGGTGCATTTTTTTATTGGAAAATAATTAAAATAATTATATATAATTTTATTTATTTTTACAGAACTAAAAATAAGAGGAAGGATATTATCCAATGATTGGATGTGTGGGCATGGAGGGAGACAATAACTACAAATAATTTGGGACCATATCTTTTTTTATTTAAATGTTATATTATTAATTTATTATTAACAGATAATATATGCCCGAATTCTATATATAATAATTAAATAAAAGTCACATCTTCTGAAAGGTATAGAAAGAAAGGGCATTCATGGCACGTGACCCCTCCTGACTGAAAATTACCTATCTTCTTTATTCGGTTGAATCCCACGTGATCGCCACTCCCCCTTCGGTCCCCACTCCTATTTTTAATTTTTTATTGCAACTCTATCAAATTATTCTTACATTAAATATACTTGTAATAAGATGTAACGATACAATAATTAGATTTAATTTATATACGTATGTTTATGGGTTATGGTACGTGATATAATTTTACTACAATATATAACAATATTATCACTTATGACAAAATAATATAACTAAATATCAATTTTAAAATAAGCAGTCCTTATTAGTTTTTCTTGTGAACATTGGATCTTAAATAATCATCATCATGCATGCATGAAAAAATAAAATAAAATCCCTAATTATCTTTGCATATATATCTTCCCACCTTAATAAACAATCTATATTAGTACATAGTTAACTTTAACAACCTTGTAGCCAAAACATAAGGTGGAACCCATTACTATATTATGCTTTCAATATTTATTTAATTGCAACCTACTTGTTATCTCATATTTTTGTATTTATCCTCATTAAATTAATTATTTTATATAAGTATTTTTCTATGGTATATAATTTTAGTATTTACAAAAATAACATTTATATTAAATATACTCATTCTCACTCAACTATAAAATTGAATTTCTAACTACAAATCTCATTTTGCAACTTCATCCGTAATTTTTGTCACATAGTGTACCTTTAAAATTAAAATCTATTTTAAACATATACTATATTCTTTTGGTGTGAATAATAATATTTTTTTATTAAAATAAAATTTGATATAATATTTTAAATAAAAAATATTAACATTTTCTTGCAATCTATCAATTCGAAAAGAAATATTTAATTTGATTTTTTTTTTCAAAAAAAAATAAAATAAAATAGACGAATAATGCAACATCAGATCTAGACCTTAATAAAGAGAATGTTAATTAGTTCTTAACATATTTTCGTTTATTTAACATATTTTTATGTTTTCTTGAAGGAGATTTAATTTTTTTTATGCTATATATAAAAAAATATTTATATTTATATATTTAACATTTAGAATCACACAAATCGATAACCATTATATAAATAGTACAGTACTTGAATAGTATTTATAATTCTACATTCCAAGTGGGGTTTAGACCCCACGAGTGGTGTCCTTAAAGTTTTATTACATTAGTAATGAGAGTATTAAGGAATTGATTCTGTGCACTAATTTTAAAGCAAAAACACATGGGACAACTTGTGCCCACACGTGGGGATGGATTTGGGGCTTCACTTAAATAAATTTTTTTTCCCAATCTTTGGACATCCTAATTAGGGATTCTAATGAAATTGTCCCCTCCACATAAACAACACACCCAATTTCATAAATTATTTTTTTCCCATTTGGTCCCCTCATTTAATTTTAAATTAAATAATTTCAAGAATAATATACTTACCAGGCATGCATGATGATGGGGTAAGAGAGTATCCAATGATTGTAGGCAAGTGCGTGTCGGACAAACGTGCCACGCACGAGGGTTTGGGTCACCTGGCCCCACCTGCCGCCACGTGTCCGGGCACCTACACGTGAACCCACGCTGCTCTCCCACGTGACACTCCAACATTGCCGCCAAATCTTTTCGGCTCGGGGTCGGCTCGGCTCGGCTGGGTTGGTTTTGGCTGCATTCTTTACAAACTCATGCCGTAATAATTAGCGTTGTCTGGTTCAGATCTGACTGAAGTGTCTCGAGAGAGTAGTGAATTTACCTTCTTGCCCTTCCAGGATGGACGGGACGTGACGTGACCAAACTAATTAAGGCTGGTCTGGACACTATTTATTTTTTTTTCAATTTTTATTTTTCTTAGTTTGCAATAAATTTGTTCATAAGTGACGGTAATAATTCACCAACAAATGTAAATCAGTTAAGAGTCACATCGAATAAATTTTTACACAATATATATATATTTTTTAATTTTATTTTTTACCAATTTAAAAGACGTAAGTCATAACTGCCGTTTTTAATGCGAGGTCAATTAGTATTGAATTTGAGATTAAATGCAGGCATTAAATCGGTTACTTAGCTGCTTCCTGATAGGGCTAATCTGCCTCATTTAAATTTACAATAAATAAATATTACTATATGCATCAACTCCCGATAAGGAGAGAAAATTTATTGACATTCCTGTTCACAATTTTTTTAACATGTCATTTAATACGATGCATATATTAAAATAACAGTTACCTACTCTACTCTAATCTAAAATGCAAACAATAAAAAATAAAAAACAATGATAATCCTTTAAATTGACCAAAAATAGCTTCAGGCCAAGCGCTGTAGTAAAAGTCGATCCCACGTGCGCTGCACGCGTGTTCCGTGAAGTGGGCCCCACACGGCGCGTGGGAATTGCAGAAGTCGTTCGTAGCTCTCACGAGGTAAAGCCCCGTCTTGGTCAACGGTCAACGCTGAAGAAAAAGCCCTTTTAATTGAGGAGTGCAGTGAGGGGATGGAGGAAAAAAAAGCAGGATTTGACTTAACCATGGTTGACAAACAACAACCCTATTCCCCGTATAGGGTTTGGACCATGTTCGGCTCAAACCCAAAAACGCCCAAACCCAAAAATCGAAAAACTTCCCATACAGGTCACAAACCACAGTTAAAATTACTTCAAACCATGGGTTGGCTGGTCAATCCATAATCCCCAAGCCACTCCGGGATCCCCACTCCCGATTAATCCACTCCATCAATAAACAAGCCCCACCACAATCGACGGCGACGATCATTTCAGGCTGCGGAGTCCAGAGTGCACTAAAATACCCGTTGCGAAGTCCCATGCAACTCAAAAATCAAAGGCAAATCCCATCATTATGATTGAGCCAATAGCTGCCTCTGACACAAGTCATCATTGAACATCTGCATTGTATGTATCTGAATCCATATATATAATGTATGTATATACGATATGTATCTATATCTATCTCTATCTCTATCTCTCTATATATATAGACACAGCACAGCACAACACAACACAACACACAGTACTAGCATTGCAGCACATGTAGGTCCTGACCAGACCTGTCCTGCCCAGACCTCCTCCTTCCTCTCTACCATCTTTCTTGCATCAATAGGTCTAAGGAAAAAGGCTGTAACTCCTCTGCCAAAGAAAAAGACCGCCCCATTTCTCCTCATTCTGTCCCCTCTTCTTTCCGCTTGCTGCAATCAATCTCTTTATAAATCTCCCCCAACTCCAAATCTGAACCTCGCTTTTGGTTCAATTCCATTTCCGAGAAAATATGGCGGACAGAGATGTCGAATTAGGGCTTAGTTTGAGCCTCAGAATGCCGGAGAACAACAAGACGCAGAATCCTCCGCCGTCGGCGTCCGCGCCGGCGGTGGCGACGGCGGCTTCGCAGTTTCCTTTGAACTTTTTCAGGTCGCCTATGCCGTATCTGCAGCAGCTGAATAGTAAATCTTCAACCGCCGATGCTTTCAAGGCTACTGCTGGTAATTTTCTTTTTTAGTTATACCTTTTAATTTTATCTTTTAGATTTATTTATTAAATCTGGAGAATTGGAAAGGTGTGGAGCCTTTTGTATTTTCGTGTTTTTGCTTTTGAGATCTGAAAATTTTGATTGAGATGCCATTGTTGAGCGAAGAAGAAGAATACATACGCGTGGTGAAAGTGTATTGAATCAATTCCGACAAACGAGGTTTAATCCGATGATGTCGTGATTTCTTCAGATCGGAATGCGGAGACTAGATCGGTGTTCCGAGGAATCGACGTGAACCGTGCGATTCCGTTGATCGATGTCGACGAGGAAGCAATGGTTTCGTCGCCGAACAGCACGGTGTCGAGTCTGAGCGGGAAGAGGAGCGAGAGGGAAGAGAACGACGGCGAGAGAGCCTCGAGTTCTCTGGAGATCGACGACGACGGCGACGCGGCGGCGCGTAAGAAGCTCCGCCTCTCCAAGGAGCAGGCGGCGGTGCTCGAAGAGACCTTCAAGGAGCAGAACACGCTGAATCCGGTGAGTGGCATTTTCGTAAATATCCTTTAAGGGTGTTTCCGTAAATTCACATGACAGAATTTGTACCCTTGCATTTTACAGAAGCAAAAAATGGCGCTGGCGAGACAACTGAATCTGAGGCCCAGGCAGGTGGAGGTCTGGTTCCAAAACAGAAGGGCTAGGTCAGTAATTTCACCTTGACCCTCCATGGGTAGTTTCGTCAATGTAATAGCTCCGTCCTCCGAAGTCCGGGACTTCGTTACTCCTACGGGCACTATTTGATCCAACGGCTGTAAATGATGCAGGACAAAGCTGAAGCAAACGGAGGTCGACTGCGAGTATCTCCGGCGGTGCTGCGAGAATCTGACGGAGGAGAATCGGCGTCTGCAGAAGGAGGTGTCGGAGCTCCGGGCCTTGAAGATGTCGCCGCAGTTTTACATGAACATGAGCCCTCCGACAACCTTAACCATGTGTCCCCAGTGCGAGCGTGTGGCGGTCTCCTCGTCTTCCACGGCGACCGCCGCCGCCGTTAACGGCGGTCGCCAGTCATCGTCTCACCTCCACCTCCACCACCACCAGCAGCGGCCGGCGGGAGTTCCCGCCAATTCGTGGGCGGCGGTGGACCCCCTCCGGCCGGCCAGGTCCTGAAGGGAGGTGGTTGGTGAGGGTATTTTGTGTAATTCACAGTGGTGTCTTATATGGTTTTGTTGATGATGAAAAAAACAACTAAAGGAGGGCTTGTAAAGTGGTGTGTAGGTGTTTCTTAATTTCTTGTATTGTTTGTGTTGATAGAGAATCATCTCATCTCTCTCATCTCATCACTAGGGACTGACTGACTGATCAATCCATCATGAATATATGATGATATATATATCTATATATAATCTGACATGTCTTGGATCATTTTCTGCTCTGATTAATTTGTGAATTATAAGATCCAATGGAGATATATATCATTTTTTTTATTATTATTATTATTATGGTCCATATTGATTTGAAGTGTTGATTTGTTTCCTATATTTTTATATGTATATATGTGTAAGAGTGGGAAATAAAATTATATGGCGGCTAACAGAGAGAGACACATATATGTAAATAAATTTATAATGAAGTCATGATGCACAAATAAAGGAATCGAATCATTATACAAAAAATTTGATATCTTAAGTCTTTATAGAAAATATCAAAAAACAAATTCGTGCATCCAAAATGAATATATCATATTTGTGTTGAGTTGACCTAGTCCCATCAATACTTTCTAAAATATGTAATTATACCGCTTCAAATTATTGTTATTTTTATTAGTTAAATATTATTATTATTTTAAATTGTTTTCTGTCCTAAAAGGACCTTTTCAATTTGCACAAACATGAGTCGAGATTATATTTGTTAAAAAATGTAAATCAACAAATATGTAGATGAAATTCATTTTTGATTGAAGGAGGGATACCTACAATTAGATAAACTTTATTAAAACAAAGACCAATGTACAAGAAAACTTTATAGAAAAAGTATGCCTCAGACCACAAATGATTGAAGTCATCAATGATCCCGTTAAATCAAACACTTATTTTTTATTTTTTATATTATACTAAAAATTAATTTAACATTCAAAACATCACATCAACACCTATTTATATCACATCATACAACTATTCAAATTCAAAATTTATACTATTCAAATTCCAACTCAAAATCCAAACTCCCAAACAAACACACCTTAAGTAAATCGAATCATGTTTCTCAAATACAATAGATAATAACAAAGGTTGAAATAATACAACCATACATAGGACTGACTAGTCTAGTGAAATGAAACTCTAAATGAAGTTTTATTTATTTATAGATGAACGTAGCCCATCTTACAATATACGTCGGCCCGAGCCCATACCACAAACTACCCAACGGCCCACACACAATAGGGCCCAAAAATGATCTATTCCTCAAGTAATTTTAACAATATTGATATGAATAATAAGTATGCTACAAGAATGATGCATATGGGTTCTGTTTTCTTTTTTCTTTTTTAATATTCTTTACTATACAATTTTTTATAATATATTATTTTTTTTTCCAATAAAATATCAAATTTCAACAATAAATTAGAAAATAAAACAAACACCTTTTCAATCACTTGTCCTTTTCAAATTCAAAACAATACCTTTACATTTTAATTTCCATTAGATATTGTAAAAACACCAGTGAAATATTGTACGCATCTTAGCTATTAATTTATTATTTATTATTCTTTTTAGTCCAAATAATTTTATAAATATCTTGTTAGACTATATAAAATAAAATTGAACTACATAACTCATCATTCAATCCATAATCCGAGGTAACATTTTGAACCCCATTCATTGTATTTATTTTATTATTATATAATCCATAGTTGAATCATTACGTTTATTTTCATTCAAAAATTAAATAATATTTTTAAAAATTATAATTAAATCGAAAATAATATAAAACGCTGGGACCTTTCTCAGCAGCCCATGATACATGCTTTTTCTCGTGTGTAGAGATATATATGCATTATGGGCTTTGTTTCGGCAGCAATAATGTACCACTAAAACGATCTAACGGCAGAGAATGCATGAGCTGGATAAAATTAACGGCTGCTGTTCGTCGAGAGAAAGCAACGGTCAAAAAAGTAGCTAATTAAAAGACGACCCAGATGAGATCAGAATAAAAGGTAACGGTCGGAAATATATAAAAAAAGAATGAAGTCGACCGTTTTGAAGGTCCGTGCGGGGCCGGGTGGGTTTTCGGGTAAGTGCTGAACCCGTTTTCAGAATTCGGATCGCCTTTAATTAACCAAGGATATGTTGCATAGCAAATACCACGTATTCCTATTTTTATTATAAATACATAAAATATCAAATATTTTATTTATTTTTAAAATCTCTTTGTGTTGTGCTAGCAAATAATATAAATAAAACATTATTTTCATTCAAAACTAATACTAATTGCAAATATACTTCTAATTATAAGTATTATAAAAATAAATAAGTGAAATATATTTTAAAAATTTTGAATAAAATAAATAAATAAAAATGATCAATTCTTCATTTTATGATTTATAAAAATTAAATCACGAAATGAAGATTTAAATTATAAAATGATTATTTTAAGTATTTTATTTGAAAATAATATTTAATACATTTTCACACATTTTCTTTGCATAATTATGCGAGTATTTCTAATTAGTGTTAGTTTTGAATGAAGATGGTATTTTATATATTTATAATAAAAAAATAAATAAATATTATGTAATTAACCTTATTATGAATTAAAATAATACTATTGTGAAATTTACTAAGTTATAGATGTTTATTACCTGAGGTTTAAATGAAAAGTCATGTTTATACTCTATAAAGCAATTATTTACCAGTATTGATATATTTTTCTCCATGGAACTTGAGGGGAAATAATTGAGGGAGTCTTGTTTGTAAGTGCTTGTGAATTTTTATTTATTTATTTATTTTTAAAAGGATTTTAAATAGAAATAGTCTTTGAAACCATATACAAATATATTTAATATGATATTTTAAATTTAAAATTAATTTTTAATATAATATAATAAATAAAAATAAATATTTAATTTGATATTTTATAGAAAACAAAATAAAAATAGAAAAATCAAAATCAAAATCAAAATCTTATCAAAAAAAAAAAAAAAAGTACATTGTATCAAATTATTTAATTTGACCGATTTATATAAACTTTGTAGTGAATAATATGCTTTTTTTTTTTTTTTTTTTGCCTTTTATTGTCCAAATTTAAATATCCTGTCATTAAAATGTCAATCATAATTGTATTTCCCTAAAATTCATGCTTAAATTTCACTTTAATACAATAATAATAATAAGAATAATAATAATAATAAAATTAATTAATTAATTAGGGTGTGTTTGTTTGAAGGATTTTGGAGGATTTCCACTATTCATCCAATTTTTTTCCCCCAAAAACATCAAATCAAACACCTATTTTTCATTTTTTATATTATACTAAAAATCAATTTTACATTCAAAACATCACATCAAACCCTATTTATATCACATCATACAACTATTCAAATTCAAAATTTTTACTATTCAAATCCCAATCCAAAATCCAAACCCCCAAACAAACACACCCTAATAGTACGGTTGATTTGCCCAAAATAAGTGAACGTGTTTGTTTACTCAACGGGCAATACCCATGACCCGGTAGACCCGATTACAGATCCGAACCCGTACCAAATAACCGCGCTTTGTAATAAAACGCATGAGGAAATGAAGCTAATTGATTGGCGCACGCTTTTTGCAAGAGAAGTATTTAGTTATATAAAATCCCAAACAACAACAATCAATCGAAACACACTCTCAAATTCCCGATTTTGCCTTTTCTTCAGGGGCCTCGACCACATCGCCGTGGTTTTCCCAATCGGAGACCGGGCCGGGCCGGGCCGGGCTGTTGACGCGAATCGGAACCACCATCGAGAATGTCCGAGCTAGCTTCGGGTTCGCACATCATTTCTCGGAAGTGTCGAATTCGGTGCGAAATTAGAGGGATTTGTAGGAATAGTTGCTTTTGGTTGAGCTGTTAATTTTTGTTTTCAAATGTTGTCGAATTAGGTTTCGGCGTATTTCTTATTTCTCGAAAGTTTTGGTTTGGGGATTGCTCTGAAATTCACGTTTTTGGGGGAGAGAAATCTGGTCTTTGATGCCGACAATTCTAGGGTTTCAATTTCTGGTCTACCCAATTTGTTTGTCCTAAAATTTATCCCCAATTTTTTTCTAGCCTTTTAAATTGTTCTGATTATACACCGAGTTCGATTTTGGTTCTTTCTTAGAACAGACAAAAACGATGCACATCGAAGAACTGAAAGAGATTAGTGATTCAGGGAGTGGTAAAGATGATCTATGTAAGGGTGAATTGGTTGTCTGGGATCCGAAAAGGGTTTTAGTCGGAGCAGGAGCACGTGCCCTGTTCTATCCTACGTTGCTGTACAATGTTGTCCGAAACAAGATCCAGCCTGAGTTCCGCTGGTGGGATAGGGTTGATGAGGTATCTCTTCTTATCAGTTCTGATCATTTCAATTTGCTTAATTCATGAATGTCTCCTATTGCTCGATTACCTTTATCTGCTGTTGTTAATTTGCTTCGAATTATTATTTGGTTGTATTGTCTGTGTTTAAGGTTGTAGTGCTGATGAATCTGATGTTTTGTTATGATCATGAATGTCTTGTTAAGGCAAAAAAATTGTTTGTCGATATAGGAAAAGGGAAACTTTTTGAGTGCTGAAATTGATATGTTTTTTGTTTAGCTTGAATATGTTTCTATGTAAATTTTCTTACCACTCGCCGTTCAGATCATGCAGCGGACATCAGTCGTTGACGTGATTATACCTATTAATATACATTTTTGTTGTCAATCTATTCATTGCATATATGCCGCGACAAATACACATGATTGTAATGCTCTTTTTGGACAAGTGACGATGTCGGCGTAAAAAATACAGTTTCGGACAAAACTCGCTTCGATTGAATTTTTTTCTATGTAATCGATTAATTGCTGCTACTACACCGTCGACGAGTTTAGACATGATTTCAATGCTTAATTTATCTTCATTTTGTTTGTGTCCTCTTAACGGCTATTATTAGGATTTAGGACATTGTACATGTGTCGTCTTGAAATACGACTTTCTATAATTGTTTAATTACATGAAAACCCGTTGCTCTTTTCTATTGTCTAGCATGTCTTGCTTGGAGCTGTTCCGTTTCCCGCCGATATTCCGCGCCTAAAGGCTCTTGATGTAGGCGGCGTGGTTACCTTGAACGAATCGTACGAGACATTGGTTCCGACTTCACTATATCATGTAAGCTCATTTCGTCATTTCTATTTTGTTAAATTACTTTGTGTTGACAATAAATTTATTGTTTTAAAAACCACGTAATTGATCGCAATTATATGCGGTCGAAATAGGCAATTACCAATATTTGCTTTTTTGGTCACAGAATTACGGCATCGAGCACTTGGTGATTCCCACCAGAGACTATCTTTTTGCTCCTTCTTACGTCGATATCTGCCAAGCCGTCGAATTTATCCACGGTAAGTTTAGTTTTGTTCTCTCCTGGAGCAACATTTAGGGTGCGTTTGTTCGTGTTTTGAAAAATTTGAAATTGAAATTGTTTTAAATGGAGAATCTTTGAATAGAAATTAAATGATATATGTGATTTCTTTAAGAGAGAAAAAAAATTTATATCTAATAGTGCGAAAATATAATCGAAATACAAGCATATGTATGAATAGTTATATGTTCTTTTCTCAGGTAATGCGCTCTGTGGCAAAACGACGTACGTGCACTGCAAGGCTGGCCGTGGACGTAGCACCACAATTGTTCTCTGTTATTTGGTATAGCTCGATTTTTCTTGTAATATTCTCGCCGCTAATGTAATGAAATATTTGTTAAATTTTTAAATTTTTTTACTTCAATAACAGGTTAAGTACAAGGAAATGGTGCCCGAAGATGCGTACGAGTACGTGAGGTCCATTAGGCCGCGGGTTCTATTGGCCGCCTCTCAGCGGCAGGTTCGATCGATTCTTTCCATAACCATCTCTTAAATATTTGTACAAATAAATCGCAGTCAATAATACTTAAATATTGCATAAACACAGGCCGTTCGGGATTATTATTATCTTCATATGGTGAAGAAGCCGGAAACTAAGATTCGCATGATCGATTACACTCCCGAAAGCGCTCCAAGATCTGGTTTCGATTTTGAGGGATGTGACGACGATAATTCATTGGTGTTGATTAATGATCCCGAAACGGAGATTCTCGACTATTCCCCCGAAATCGCTCCAAGTTCTGGTTTTGATCTCGAGGACGGTGACGACGATGATTCATTGGTGTTGGTTAATGATCCCGGATCGGAGATTCGTTTGCTCGATTATTCCTCTAACAATGCTCCAAGCTCTTATTTGGATCTTGAGGACTGCGACGATAATTCTTTGGTGTTGGTTACCGACTCAGACCTTGATGGGTATGAGGAGAATTCGATGCGGGAAATGAATGTGGCGAGCCGGGTTGTGCAATTTGCCGGCCAGGCGGCTGTCTCCCGGATTTCTTGTCTGTGGCTTCGTTGCCACACGGGACAGAAAGTGTTGGGAAAGAAAGTAGAAAGGTCGGATAGAGAAATCCGTGTTTATTGAGACGGGATGATGACGATGCGAATCGGGCATTTTTTTTCGTCGTTGTCGGGGTTTGGATTTTTGTGCGTTGTGGTTTTGGTTTTGGTTCCTTTGAGGTAAAGAGGAGGGGAGAGAATGTCATCTTGTTACAGTTTTCAAAGCGTCGGATCTGGTAATTGTAGAATTGGCAGAGTTGAGGTTTGTTTATTATCTTGTTTGTTTGTGTCAGGATTAAGGATTTGAACATATACATACATACATGAACATGAGATGAGTTGTTTAGGTTATTTATGTATGTAAGAAGCAATCTTTGTTGAATGAATTTAAAGGAAATAATGATCATGTACCGAGTGGATGTAACAAAATAAATTTCCTTAGGCAAAATCACATTAATCTTAACTAACTCTTAAGCAGTGTCACTAGTTGCATAGGCCATACATTGCCCATAATATATATATATATATATGTATGTATGTATGTATATTGGGTAAATAAATTTAATTTGCTCACCCACAAACAACATCAGAATAAAATCCAATTGTCCTCCTCGTGCAATTCTGAATGCTAAGCAATTCTACATCAAATACTTCGAATTGTTTTGAGCTGAAAAATGTGGATGGCCCAACCTGTTAAGAAATGAGATACAATGCATAATGTATGTATGCATGGATATAATATGAATAAACAGTCAAGAAACAAACTAACTATCCAATTCCGATTCGATTATGTCTCCTGATTAAGTATTTTAGTACAAAAACAAGAGAAAGGAAAAATCACAGTAATTAAAATCAAATTCCTAACCCCATTTAAGATTTTGTCAAGGCTATACCTAGTTCTTAATTGTGCTTGCTAGTTCAAGATTTTTCGCTACTTATGATTAGTGTATCTGTAGCTTCGATAATATGTTAGTCGGCTGTTATTTTTTCATTTATTTTTCTGTTAAAGTGATCTACATTTTGTCTACCTCTGCAGGCATCCTGATGGATTAGAGGGTTTAAGATTACTTGAAATAAAAATGATCATCATAACATATGCTAGCAACGAAAGCAATGTATTTTATTTTATTGTTATTATTTATTCCTAAAAATGGGAGGGTAAATATATAAATAAAACTCACTGGTGGTCCTAACTCGGGAGGGATAACCATCCTCCGTTTTCCTCCAGGCTTCATGTCTCTGATTCCTTCCTCAAATCCTGTATCGAATGTTCTACATACTTTAGTTGATTTTAGACAGGGCTGCTTGGAAATAAAACTTTAGGTATTACTCTTGCTCTTGTCACCTGGAATCAATGCGTTGGTGCCCAACCGGACTTTTGCAGGAGAACCTTGTAAGTATGTGCTGTCTATTCGCCGGCCTGACTCATTATAACCAACATAGTGAAATGTCACCTGCCATACGATATGAGAGAGTCATTTGTAAGTCATTCTCACTAATGAGTAGAAAACATATGTACCGATTACACATTATACATATGCATTGATTTAGGATAAACGATTCTCATTCCAATTTGGATTTTGGTTCGTTCATGTCTTGTATGTCGATTATTTTGCATGCAAATTACTCCGTAATGTTCAATAGCTTATTGTTCTACCTCTTAAGAATAACTGTTAGCAATCATAGAAGACAAATTCAAAACAGTTAGCCTAAAGAGAAACCTGCTGACCATCCTTTGGACAATCACCTTGACCGACTTCAATGTCCCAAAGCACAAGGCCTGAATCACGTGTAACATAATTGTTTGAAGTCACTACTTTCACTGCAAAACCTGAACCAGATACTAAAGATTATTACTTCCTTCTCAGTTCTTAGAAAATTAACATACAAAGACAGGTATACTCAAGTTACCATTTATTAACAAAGTGGAGCAAGAACAGAACAAACCTTCTCTGACAAAATTAGGGAAATCATCAGGAACATTGTTTTCTCTTTGTATTCGTTTATTCTGCTCTAGCAGGCGTCTCTCGTCATATGGGCTTTGCTTCTTCGTCTTTGCAGAAGATGGAAATGCTGGAGATATGCCAGACCCAACCAGGACTGTGAGGAGAAGTCGCCGAGTCAGTTGGTTTTCAATGCACAAATTACCATTAGCCTGCTCTCTAGCCAGGTAAAGATATTTGTAAGCAATGTAACTCATTGAAATAAAATTAATCAATTCAAGTGGAATAATAATTTATATTTCTAGATCAAATAATCATTACCTATCCCTCTGCATATCATGGCACAAGCAAGATACAAGAAAGGGTCTTCTCTGAGCAGATAATGTCCCATTTGCTGGATATGTTGGACAAGGGAAACCTGATAAATTGACCGACAACAAAGATTTAAGAAGTTAACACATGTTAAACGTTCGCGAAATGAAACCAGGAATTAAGTCCCATGGCAGTACACAGGCGAATCAACATTAGTTTTTCTAAATGGAATTTCTTCACCATAGCAAAATTTGATCTTAAATAAATAAAATAGACCTCATCAAGCATATGATCCAAACAAAAAGTGTAAGGTTCTTCCACGCTCTATGTTAGTCCTATGTGTGGATAAGCCATAAATTACATTATGTGCATAGCCTTTAATTTCATGTAAAATACTCACATTCCTTAGGAATGTATATATGCTTACCTTTTCTGATTGTAGCATAATCCAAACAACAATGACAGGCAATGATCTATTTCATCTACTGGAATTGAATCACTTATCACTTAATTCAGTTAAATTGTAGCAAAATAATTCAAAGAAAACATGTTTTCAAATAATTTAACGCCTCAATTCCCCATCATAAACACACCCTTAAAGACTAAGTATATTTAAACTGGCCGTTCGTTTTGCTCAAGTATCCCAACAAATAAACAAAAATGGTGAAAAAAGAAGCCTACAGTCCTCCATACATCGACATAACATGATAAACAAAACGCATTTCAATAGCACAAAAAAAAAAAAAGTAAATCCTTCAAACAACATGAAATCAATCTCGCCAAAACTCCTTACACATGCCTAGCTGAACATTTCCAGATTCCCACAGCAAAAGAATTCAACTAATCGATAATAGCCTGCACAACAAAAACCGTGCATGTGCGCGTGCCGGAGAGAAACTTACGACATATATAATTTCGAGTAGCAAGATGCGTAGAAGATATCAAAAACATAATAGGTTCTCCTTCCGTTCTCCGATTACTTCCCTCGAATTTCACAGCAAGAATTGTAATGGCTGAAACCAACCAACCAGGCGACGCGGGCTGGACTGCTTTATCTTCTGCCTACTGGAAAACCATTTTTACCCCTCCTCCGACGTTTTGACGCTTTTCTCACTCCCGCGTAGAAACGCTAAATGTGAATAGCGATTTTAGTTAGCAACTTTAAGTATATTTTTTTGATTTTGTAGACGATTAAAAGATAATTGTATACTATTATTTAGTATAAATATATAAGAAATTTAAATATTTTTATTTTTGATTTATAATAATATATTTATAAATTAAATCTAAATTAATAATATTTTAATGTTGTTTTTGACATTTTTTATTCTTTTAACATGTATGAAATAATTTAAAATAATATGTTCATATCATTGAAGTATAAATTAAAAATATTTTGATAGTAATATATAATTATATATAAGATGAATGGAGTATTATTTTTTAATTTTGAAGGAAAATCAAATATTTAACCTTAATTGATAAATATAATATTTTTGTATATAATTTTAGTAAAAGAGGGGGTAATAATAAAACGGAATGTCAGTCAACAGAATCGATCAATTGGCGTCAAATCTTGAGGAAACAGTTATCATAATCAAAGCGAATCGTCCGCCAGATTTTGGCCCCGCGAAACCGTTAAATCTCGCCCCACCGCTGCGGCGGCGACGTCGGGTGCGTTCTAGGTAGGTATTGCGCCTTCGCCTTGAATTACTTTCTGGTTTTCAATTTTGATTCCTCGTGCCTGTTAAATTTGTCTAATTCAGTGTGTTGCGGTTACTGAGCCGATTGTGATTATGTAGGGCTTTATGTAGGTGAATGAGGATTATGTATTTCCTGATTCCTTTGGAGATGTTACGCTCTTTTTCTGAGGAATTTAAGTATGATGAATCCATAAATCGAGTGGTGTGCGTGTGTATGCACACATCCACGAGCGTTTTACTGAAGTTATGTACGTAGACGGGGCTGCTAATGGAACGAGGATGTGGAGAGTTAGTGGTGTTTTATGTGCTCAATGAATTAGTGTATGCTGTAGTTGAATGTGTTTTTTCTGTGCTGGAATGGGATATTTAGCATTAGTTTACCTTAATGGAAACAAAAATTGATTATGAAGATTTCACACGGTGGTAGTTCTGTAGTGAATCCCATCAGAATACTGATTGAATTGTCTATCATGATTCCTTGCATTCCTTAGATGTTACTTTTGATGCTCTGTGAGACTGTGAGTGCGACTGAGTATTGTCCATGTTGATTTAATTCGTATATTTGATGTTTTAAACGCTCGAGATTAGATTGGCTAGTGACAAGAACAAATGAGAACTGGCATCACCAATCGTTTTGATTTTTATTTTGATCAATAACCACCAAACTTTCTTGTATGTTTTATACATGCTTTCATATAAACATATTTGGTGTGTTATTTGGTAAGCATGAAAATTCTCGTCTGCTAGTTCAGTTAAAGCCAATGAAATTTGCTCATTTATAGTCTAATCCCAGGTTTTGATTTTTTGATTTTAATCAATAACCACCAAACTTTCTTGGATGTTAATGCTTTCTTTTATCTAAGCGTGCTTCAGCATGTTACGTGTGTGTTATTTAGTAAGCATGAAAATTCTCATCTGCTAGTCGGTCAAAAGCCACTAAAATTTTCTTATTTATAGTCTAATCCCAAGTCTTTCAAGATGAACCTTATACCTCTAGCCTTTGAGTTTATATCCATGAGATTTGCTGATTGCTTATGAAGTTTGTGGCTCTTATTTTTTGGGATGACATATGTATGACTCGATACTCACATCACTTCTATTTGACAAACCATTAATATGTAGAAGAGAAATTACCAAGCTTATATTCGAATTATCATTTTCATGGTTTGTATATGTCACCACTAAAGCAAAGTCTATTCCCTGAACAAGTAGTGAAGCAATTTCTCTTCTTCAGATCACCTTTCTGAGTCTTAATAATGTGATATCCACCATTGAGTTTATTATAAAATTTAACCTTACGATTAAGTGCTCAAGTTTCTCTTGTTTGTCACAGATATTCAAAGTGCTCACTGATTAGATTGTACTGCCTGAGGTCATGGGATGGATGTTCAAAATAGTTTCGAAATTAAGATGGAGCCATTGACCTACAACGTAAGCGGAATTCTTGAAAAAGAACTTGAAGATGAGCTCATGAAATTTACAAAGAAGGATGTGGACAGTAGAGTGGATGCACTCATGGTTGAGCAAATTGAGGGTGCTCGGAGCAACTCTGATATGGAGGTCAATATTACAGAATGTACAAAGTCCTTGGGAACTGAGCTGCTTCCTTCGGCAAACCAGGATACAACTGAGAGCTCTAGTTCATTTGAAGACACCAGTTTGGGAGTAGATAATATTTCACCCTTCGATGACTCCGAGGGCATATCAGATCTTCGTGATGATGCACCATTATCGCCTGATTTTGGTGGATCTGATGACAGGCTTAGAATGAGGTATCTTTTTTTTGCCTTTTCTCTTGCAATCATTACAGTTTTAGGTATTTATGGCTTGCTCCTCATTATCTATGTTCCAAATTTTAGAACTTTTTTTTTTATAAATATCATTGTGTGTTCCTATGAATAATAAATGTATTTGAAAACTATTGGCGATGATTATCATTAGTTAAACTTCCCTTAAGCTTGAGGCCATTGGGTTTAAGTGGCCTGTAGTAATCATGTAACTGTAATGATGCATCGTTTTTTTGAGTAGTACATTTATGAGATGTTCTGTGATGAAGAGGAAAGCACATATGGCGGGTATAAGCTGTTGTTATCATGATGTGGCATGTGATCATTATCTAACTCAGGAGGTTGAAAACATTTTAGCTTGTTTACTGATCATGCATGCCTCTACCTCCTTTTCGAAGTTTTCATTTGTGCTAACTTTATGTGCATTGATCCATAGGAAGAGGGGGCGGAGCTCCCACTGGAAGAACCTTATTCAACCTCTTATGTGGCGCTGTAAGTGGGTAGAATTGCAAATTAAAAAGTTGCAGAATCAAGCCCAACAATGTGATCAAGAACTCGAAGCATACTATAAGCGAAAGCAGACTCGATTTGAGAACCATGTGCCGGAATGTGGGGTTAAATCACTTCCATGGTCTCAAGAGAATGCTAGAAGTGACATAATGAGGAGAAAGAGAAGAAGGATGACCGAAGCAACTACTGATGTAGCTGCATATATGTCTCGCCATAACCTGTTTTCTTATTATGGTAGAAACTTCATTTCTTGCATGATGAAATTTTTGTCTTCTTTGCCGTCTGTCTATTAAAACTTTGATGCATGAAATTTTGCAGAGACTAAGAATTCCTCTGAGAGCGCTGCCCCATGCAACAGGATAAAGAATCCTGGTGAGAAATTATTTTTCGGTTGTTCATTTTCTTGACTTGGCCAAGGTAGCTCTTTTAAATGATGCATTTGTATCACACTTGCGACTTAGCTGCACGTGCGCGCACACACACGTATATATATATATTGGTGGTTCTTGTTTCTGAATCATGTTTTCTGCTGGTGCAGCTAACCTGAAAGTGAACAATGACGATGATTTTCTGGTTAATGAAGAACTGTTATCCACCAAACCTGGAGATGACGGTGCTTCTTTTGAGCAGTTGCTTTACAAGATTCACTTGTTAAATTATAAAGTTAGTAACATGAAGGACAGAGTCGACAAGGTAGTGACAGAAAATGCTGGAAGATTTCCATGCACCGATACCCTGCCCCTCACCATGCCATTTGATGATGCTTCGCCATCAAATAATGGGGAGAGAATTCCCCTGGGAACCTACATTGCTTCCCAGCTTTTGTCGGGGTATAATATGGCCGACGCCCTTGCCTCTGACAGTGCAGTTGCAAGTCATCGAGACACCCCTGATGTCAATGGGCACGTGAGTTCTCTACCCTTTGAATGCCTCAAGACTATTTATTTTCTGTTTTTGCATTTGTCTTGTGATGTTCTTTAGTGTGAATTCTATATAATCCACGGACTTATTGACCCGTATTTTTTTTTATGAGATCAGGTAGAGGATGGAGCTCTTATTGACAATCAAAGGGTGAAGGATGAGATCAATAGTTTCTCGGAAGTGAGGCCTAATGATAGGCTGGGAAATAATGAAGGGGTAAGAGCTTCGGAGGAAGGGACAAGTAGTCATTCTACTGTTCGTAGCCCCATGGGGGATGAGGCCGATCCCACATCTCTGCCACCTCAAAAAACACGGTCAATTGCAAAGCTTGCTGCCACCAAAGGCAAGAAGAAGAAAGGACGAAGAAGAGGCGGCAACCGGTGGAGTCGAAAACCTTCAGGTTAGCTTTGCTTCTTATGATCAATGGGGGCGGGAAAGATGAGTTAAGCTAAATTTCTTAGCTTAGAAGAGTAGTTTTTAGTTGGTTAAATATTTCTGTTGGAAAACACTTCCTTCCTTCTTCATCACCCAATAAAAAGGCTCTCGGATTGGCACAATAAACATTGTGTTTTTTCAAGTAATTTTTATTTTAAGAAGAATGAAAATATGTTCTTGAGGTTATGTTTTATTGGAATTGAGTTTTGTAAGTAAAGGTACTTGTAGAAACATATTAAAATGAGTGGAAAAAAGATGTTTGTTTGGTGAAAATACAGCACTAATTTGCCTTTAGTTTTCTACAATAGTGAGAGCTGTTTTTTTAATGTATGATAATCATTAATCAGGTGCGTATGATTTAAACAATATTGTATCCTAATTAGAGTTTTCCATGCGTTCAAAAAATGTATAATACGAAGACAAGAATCATTAAATTTAATATGCAATTCTACAAAACAATTATGATCCAATTCCATAGATTATTATTATTTACTAATCAAAAATCGATTTATTAGTTAGGATGAACCTTCTTACAAGAATCTATCAAAAACTTCAAACTTCATCTCTATCCTTAGCACAGTGATTTTACCTAAAATGAACCTAAGTTCGACACCTTAATAACCGACATTAGGAATCTTACATAACATTATGCACTTAAGTTAACTCACATCCATAATGTCAATAATTTCAAAATGCATCTGCAAATCAGAAGGCTTACCCGGAAAGTATAGCCTCTCGCGAATACGCAATTTCCCCATATTCTTATGGGCAGCTCGCTTGAGGAGTCGAAGAAGCGCATCCTTTTCTTTTCTAATCCAAACACGCCTCTCATCGAACCACTGTCTAGGCGTTCCATGTAAAAGAAATCTAATCCCGGACCGTCTTTGACATATGTTGTCGGAGATCCTGTCTATCACATCACTATCCGTGAGATAAGCTCCTTTGGTGTTTAACCCAACATCGACGTAATGAATTTCAGCTATGCTGTTGAACAGATCCTCTTTAGTCGTGGGAATGATCCAGTCGTCTATGTTGATTGATAATCCTTCATTTACCGTGCTATTGTTTGCTTTAACTGGGATTTCCATCGACTTAATTTCCGAGAAGGCGAACTCAGTTAGGAGCTGGTTCAGTACTGTGCCACCCTTGCTAAATCCAAGAAGTGCCATTTCTGGTTTGCCCGAAAAGGATGGAGAAGCTTCCGCTTGATATGGTTGTTTCTGTTTTCCGGGAATGACTGTTTTCGCCTGCATCACCAACACATGCCAATCTTAAGTTTATATCAAGTTCGAAACTAAAGAAATTTTGAGTGTTGAAAATCGCTCGACACTACAACTAACAGCACTCATAAGTTACCACATTATTTTATCTGATTTGAGTATTAGAAGATTTTCATGTGTTTTATTTTATCATTTTCATTTAAGATCGATCAAAAGTTTGACAATGTGATTATATACTAAGCAACAGAAAGACATCTAAAAGCAAGACAAGTTTGTAAGTTTTACCTCTGCAAGAAACTTTGACAAGAGCTGGACCAATGTCGTAGAAGCCGGGAACCCTGTAGCATCATATGATTTTGGATCTCCATATTCATTCACCGAAGGAATAAAATCTTTATAAACAGCAAACGGTCCATCGAAAATGGATGCCTCAACAACAAATGCATTGATAGACCCTCCAAATTTCGACACTAGAATTTCAGCAATCTTTTGAGGATCGGATAATCTTTCAATCACTGGATTTCCTGTCCCTTCCACTCGATCTCCATTAAAGAATATTGCATTTCCAGACGGCACCTGAATCACATTGTATAACAAATTTCATATCTAGATAGCAGTCTGAGAACAAACCAATTTTCTTCCAATCCTCAAATTCTACCATTAAATTATTAAACGATGAGACTTACAGAAAGGTTTCTGGAAGAAGAGAGGCAAAGGGATGCTGCAACTCTGTAGCAGGTAGTGCTGTTTGGATGAAGCTGAATTTTTAAAACACCGCTCCATCGATCCATGTTTTACTGAAACACTACCGTCAGGATAAAAATTCACAGCTCCCCAGGCACACAAGCAACGTAGCTAAAAGAAACTACATGAAGAACCAGCGGAAGTCTATGAAAATTTCTATACCAACTCCAACTCGCATAGATTGTCGTAACAACTCAAATAAATATTCCCACCTCCCTTTTCCTTAGCTATTCAATTAATGAGAAATGTTGTTATATCTTTCAACCAGATAACATTGACTTACAATGTTGTCTCGTTTGAGCTACTATTCACTCTTCTTGTTGTGATAAAGCTCCTACTTCCAACTGCAAAAACCTTCCTGCATCATAGATGATCAAATAACAAAATAAGAACACATTAGATCTTTCGTGATACTCACTCTATGTTAGTCTTGATTTCTCGACAGCATTATCAACAGAGTTCCTCACACATTGCTTCCATCAATTCGACCTCAATTTAGAACTAATGCAACCAAAAATCGAGCAAAACAACAGAACACAATTACAGTTAGTAATATATACATATATAGCACATATATAAACAAATCAGCTACAACAAGCTTCAAGCGATGAAAATCTAGTCGAAACACTAGCATTATTGTCGTTAGATGCCAGAACACACATACATAAACCCTAGTGCATACCAATCCTACTCCGATTCAGCCAAAAGTAAATAAATAAAAAAGCGAATACCAACTATCCGAGACATTATAACAAACAGCTGGCCGTAACATCCGAATAATTACGCATCAAAATATTCGAATTTGGCGTCGAAGGGGTTTTGATCATACGCACCTCAGAGGTCCTAGCCAAGCAGGTCGTAATCCATCCCGAGAGGAGAGAGAGAGAGAGAGAGAGACTGACACTGTATCGTAAAAGTGGGCTAATTGAGGGGTGATTTTGGCTTTGGAAATATAATAGTACTAATCATTGTAGACTTATGCAATGCGATTTTGTGAAACCAAAGCACGCTTTGATCAGATCACGAATGAAACATTCGACACATTCATATGGTAATCGTGTCTTCCATGTCACTTCATTTTGAATTTTAAGTTTCTTTTTTTTAATAAAAAAAAATTGAATTATAAATATATGAAAGTATAGTATAATTTTTGTTTTTTTTAATAACAGCAACATGAGCTCGTCGAGTGTGTTTTTGAATAAATCAACAAAATTAAGTCAAAACATATAAAATTCAATCAAATACATTGTTCAATTTTTTTAATTACATATATATTAAATTTATTTTAAAATTATACGATATTATTAATTATATAAAAAAACAATTAAATAATTTATTATTATTAATTAATTATAAACTAATTCTTTACAGATCGTATTTCAATTAAATGTATTTCAAATGTTCTGAAAGAATGAGTTTCGTTTTGTTCAATTTACAAATTTTAAAATATAAAAAAATCAAAGTATACCTCATTTCAAAATTCTAAAAATTCATACCCAAAACGGATTAATAGACCGGGTGTACAGATCTAAGATATCAAATTTTATAACTATTCTCAAATTTCACCAAAAATTCAGAACTTCCATCTTAAATTTACCTACTTAATTAGCATGCATAGCGTCAGTTCAACAAATATAAAGACTAGGCAACCAAAAAACATAGCAAGTAGGCAAAAAATCAGTACCAAAACATCGCCAACTGCATAGCAAAACGAACTTGTTCATACAAAATGACACCAAACCATTTCAAAACGATAAAAGAGAAACTGACCTCAGAAATTTAACACGCCAAAAGTAAATAAAAGATAGAGAAAAAGAAAGGTAGGTATACTAAGCATCACCAATTTAGTCGACTTCCTCCATCTTGCTGCCCTCAGCATCCACATCCACATCAGCATCAGTCTCCTCCAGCGCCGGCATATCAACATCGCCGTCAGCACCATCCTCGTCAATGCTCAGCCCGAGCTTCAACATCCTGTGAATCCTGTTGCCGAATGTGTTGGGGTCGTCGAGGCTGAACCCAGAGGTAAGCAGAGCAGTCTCGTACAGCAACATCACCAAGTCCTTCACCGACTTGTCATTCTTGTCAGCATCGGCCCTCTTTCTCAGCTCATCCATGATACGGTTCTCCGGGTTGATCTCCATCGTCTTCTTGCTCGACATGTACCCAGCCATGCTCGAGTCCCTCAAAGCCTGCGCCTTCATGATCCTCTCCATGTTAGCCGTCCACCCATATTCTCCAGTGACCAAACAGCACGGGGAGTCGACTACACGGTCAGAAACAATAACCTTCTCGACCTTGTCGCCAAGGACGTCTTTGATCACCTTGCACAGGCCCTCAAACTTTTCCTTCAACTCTTCCTTCTTTTTCTTCTCATCCTCGCTCTCGTCAAGCTTCAGACCTTCCTTGGTGGCGGAGACGAGCTTTTTCCCCTCGAATTCTTTCAACTGTCCGACGGCATATTCGTCGATGGCGTCAACCATGTAGAGGACTTCGTATCCTTTCTTCTTTAGCTTCTCGAGGAACGGAGAGTTCTCGACAGCCTTCTTGCTCTCGCCGGTGATGTAGTAGATGTCGGACTGGCCTTCCTTCATCCTCGTCACGTAGTCCTTCAAGCTCGTCAACTCGTCGCCGCTCTTGGTCGAGTGGTACCTGAGAAGTTCAGCAATCTTGCCCTTGTTCTGAGAATCCTCGTGGATCCCGAGCTTGAGATTCTTCGAGAAAGCTTCGTAGAATTTGTTGTAGTCTTCCTTGTTCTCAGCGATCTCGAAGAAGAGCTCGAGGCACTTCTTCACCAAGTTCTTGCGGATGACCTTGAGGATCTTGTTCTGCTGCAGCATCTCTCGGGAGATGTTGAGAGGCAAATCCTCAGAGTCGACAATGCCTTTCACAAATCCCAGATACTCAGGAATCAACTCCTCACAGTTGTCCATAATGAAGACACGACGAACATAGAGCTTGATATTGTTGGGCTTCTTTCGGGTGTCAAAGAGATCAAACGGGGCCCTCTTTGGAACAAATAGAATAGCCTTGAACTCGAGCTGGCCCTCGACTGAAAAGTGCTTCACAGCCAAATGCTCCTCCCAGTCATTAGTAAGGCTTTTGTAGAAAGCGGCGTATTCTTCCTTTGTGATCTCTTCAGGTTTCCTCATCCAGATTGGCTTCTGCTTGTTAACCAAATCCCACTCGTGAGACACTTCCTTGATTTTCTTCTTTTTCTTGTCGGCCTTCTCCTTGTCTTCATCGACTTCCTCCACTTTCCCCTCTTCATCCTTCTTTTCTTCCTCATCTTCGTCGTCAGAGATCTCCTTCTCTGTTGTCTTCTCGACCCAAAGAGAAATTGGGTAGCTGATGAACTCAGAGTGCTTCTTGACCAAATCTTTCAGCCTGCGTTCCTCAAGGTACTCAAGTTGATCCTCCTTGAGGAAGAGGGTGATCTTAGTACCCCTGCCAAGGTTTTCTCCAGATGTGTCACGTGTAACAGTGAACGAACCACCGGCTTGGGATTCCCACACATACTGTTCATCATCATTGTGCTTTGTTGTGACAACAACCTTCTCAGCAACCAGGTATGCAGAGTAGAAACCAACACCAAACTGCCCAATCATGCTCACATCAGCACCGGCAGCCAAGGCTTCCATGAATTCCTTGGTTCCAGACCTAGCAATTGTACCAAGATTGTTCACCAAATCTGTAATCAAAGGTGAGAAATGGAGTGAGTAGATATCAAGCAAAGAAATCACTAAGTGCAAATTGAAAATGATTATCTATACTAACCAGCCTTGGTCATCCCAATACCACTGTCGATAATTGTCAGGCTGTTATTGGTCTTGTCTGGTATAATGTGGATGAACAGCTCGGGCTGTCCATCAAGCTTGCTCTTGTCGGTCAAACTCTCAAAACGGATTTTGTCGAGAGCCTAAAAGGCAATGTTCATGTGAAATTTTTAATCAGCATATATACGAAACAAATCACTAGAGAAGGATCCAGCGCCTCATAGAAAAGGTGAACACAACACAATTAATTCCACATACAACATCATTAGCATCACAATTGCAGTTGCATAATTGTTGAAAACTCCGTCTAAGCAAAAACAGGGCACAGGAAACTACAGGAAACAAGGTAGTGAAAAGTAAGATCCAGGTTATACAACAATTATCCACTATGTGATGTGAATACATCTCCGAATCTGAAAAGTGCAGTTTAAGCAAACAAAACAGTTATTTGGAAGGTCTTTAATCCTCGATTGCATATACCAAAATAGCACAGCACTGAATAATTCTAAATAAATCTTCTAATATCCATCGGACAAACATCAATCTCGAGAAAGGTTTTCACAATCATTTCACACAGAATTGAAACACCGCTTTAAAAAAAATATCATGTGAAAGTCCTAGCCAACGACCACAGAGCCGCTCTCGCATATAAACAGAATCATTAATCGAACAAAATATATACGCCATTTTCAATCAGATCTACATCACATCAAATGAATCAGGATAACAGAAGCTTACATCGGAAGAGTTACTGATTAATTCACGGAGAAAGATCTCCTTGTTGCTGTAGAAGGTGTTGATAATCAGGCTCAGAAGCTGATTAATCTCGGCCTGGAATGCAAACGTCTCGGTCTCCGCCATCGATGCGATCTCCTCCACTCGAGCGATGCAGGAAAATGAGAATGAAGAGAGATGAGCGAGTAGGGTTTGCAAAATGCAAATCAGAAGAGGCAGAGGCTGCGAGCGAGGAAGCCGACTTAATATAGTGTGCTTTTTTAGGGTTTCTAGAATCTTCTCCAATTTCCTTTTTTTAAAAAAAAAAAATAAAATTCTGATATTATTTAAATAAACTCCACGTTTACTTTTTCTCCATTCTCTGATTGGGTGAAATAACGCCTGGGGCCCGCATCCAGAAAATTCGCGATTTATTTCGTCAATTAAAAATATTAAAATGACAACATAATAAATATTTTGACGTCTAATAATAAATGGTTGTAACAGAAGGATCTAGAAAATTGGAAGAAGAAATTATAATCCAAATTTTCATTTTGAATTTAGATTAAAGTATTTTATGACTTTTTTTTAAATACTGAAAATTATGTTAAAAAAGTAATAATAAAAACAAAGAAATTAAATCCCATTTGGACTTCGTAAAATACTTTTGATTTTTATTTCTAAAAGATATTTATTGTGGTTTTTAAAAGTACTTTTAATCTTATTACATATAAATATTTTTAAAAAAAATATATATTTTTATAAAATTCATTCAAATATAATATCAAATTATTTTTGCTTTCAACTTATGTTTTTATTTTTTATATTTATTTTTTTAAATCAATCTAATAATAAGCTATTGAAATGATTTGATTAAAATTTGAAATAGTTAAATAGTTAAAATAATTACTTAAATAAAAGGTGAGATTCATTTTGTTTAATCAAACTTAAAAGATATATTATGTTATCTCTACCGCAAGTTAAGAATAAGGAGAAAGTTATGGTACTGAATTTGAAATATCAGCATCATATTGATTCTCTAAATCAGTACATGTAAAATATAGAAACTCTAAATCAGTACATCTAAAATATAGAAAGTACAAGTCTTTATTATATACAACATGTATAGAACGCAGAAGAATTAATAAACGAACACTATGAATGTGTTTGGATCCAACTTGTAGCTTGAATAATTATTGAATCAAAATCAAATTCTCCAGCTATTGTAAGACTTTAGCACAAGTAAATAAAGATTTCTATGGCTTCCTCTCTCAGAAGCATCCACTCCTAATGATTCAGTAACATAATTGCAACCAAATGGAATGGAGTGTATCCAAAGAGATTTTAAAAAAAAAAAAAGGACAGCACATAAGTAAATAAATCCTACATAAATTCATCAAAAAAGATGCCGAAATGTCGCCGCATATCATTAACTTAACCATGTCACAAAATGGGATCATCAAGTTCTCACGAAATCCAAAAACAAAATGTATAAGTAACATGAGATATTGCTGTGAATATTTGAATCGAATTTTGGCCGACAAGGTTTAAAGGGAAAAGGATGTGCACCGCCTTCCATAGCAGCAATATTTGTTTCGAGCAGAACCACGATAGGGAAAAAAATGGAGAGCTACAAATCCACTCTATGATGTCTGTACGTTTCGCTTCAAGCTATAGGATGTCGTCTCCTGTACGTAAGGCAAGGAAATCATCACGATAGTAGTAAATTGCATTGCTAAGAAGATCATAGAACTGGAGATAAATGGTTTGTGGTGCAGTTTTGGTAAGGCTACCTCTTTGAGCGGCTACGATCTTCTTCAAAGTTCATCACTCCACCGTGTTCGGAAAAGATCTCTTCATGACCTCGTAACTCAAGATCGGCCTGCTTACAGTTTGTAACTTCTGCCAAAATGTAAGTAAGACACATCGACCAACAATAAAGTCCTAATAGACTACCATATAAGTATATAACAGCTGAACCTGGCATATGAAACTCACTAGAGTTTCTAAAGAGTTACTAAGAAAATCGAGAGTGATCTATGGTAGCATTACCAGTTACCACACTTTTGTGGGATTTCTTTTGGGACTTATATTGAATGTGTATTTAGCCATGTAAAAGTAGAGCAGCGGCATATGCAACAGAAAACAACATTCTATCACATGCAGTGACACAGCAAACAAGGATCAAAATCAAGAAGTTCGCTTCTAACTGACCTTTGTGGATAGTGTCTTCTTTACGTCTTCTACCCTTTCTTCATTTTCCTTTTTGTGTTTTTTGACTATTTCATTCATACTATCTGCCCATTTGATCTTCTCTTGGACTGAGACTAGAAGATCTTCGGATGTTGACAGCCTACCAAATTATCAAAACACAATACTTCTGTAGGCATTGGATATACCAATCAATTGAGAAGCAAACAGAATGATAACAGGATAATTGAAAATCCATGGTTAATAGGAAAAGAATAATCATGAAAAATCAAATTATAGTCACAGAAACAGCAAATAACTTCTTAGATCAATTTCTACAGGATTCTCTGATCACAGAATACAGTACTTCTTCCATTCACAATATAAAAGCAATTATGGAAAAAGATGGATTCAAGGATGCATGCTGAGACAATAGTGGTAAGTCTCAAGGGCAGAACAACATGAAGAAACTCAATAAAATGATCTTACAGTTTTCAGAGAAGCGAATAAATGTAAGCTAGAATAAAACTTGGGCAATTTGTTTGAATCTCTTTGTGTTGTTTTAGTATTTTAGAACAATTTGGAATTCCAAAATAAAAACAGATAGAAAAATAGCAGACAGCAACTTATTATATACAAGGTATTTCTATAATCATTAATCCAGCCACATGAAATGTACATGCAGTAAATACGGAAGTACAGAAAATATCAGTTTTATTCAGTTAGGAAAGGCATGTTACCAGGTAGCTAATGTTTGAATAAGACCACCCATTTGTCCAGGTCTAAGATCCCTCCCTGCTGCAAATTGAACCTACAAGTTCAGGCAATTCAATTGATGGTAAATTCAGTCAAGCAGCTAACCAACCGGAATAAATATTCAGTCGTATCATATGTTAGAACAAGACCTCAAAGCATCTTCGTAACTGATCCAGCTTTCCTCTGACTATACCCTGTTGACAACAGAGCAGCAAATTAATGGATTAACAAAAACAAAATTTCTGCAGGCCGCACTTCTGCACAACGGCTATACCAAATTTTAGAGCAAAAGAAAGCAGTAACTTACCACATACATACAGTCATTAATGAGGAAATCTTCCAACTCACGTACATTTGTTACATCCAGCTCCTGCATCAATGTATCATACGGCAATACCTGTGCCAATCCCAAGAAAATGCTTTAAGAGATCAAAGCAATTATTACTCAGCTAAAAGTGTATTCTCACTCAGATAAAAATGTTAACCCTCAAATTTCAGATGCCCCAGGTTGGGCCAGAGGTGGTCCTTGACAGGCCACTCACAGGCAAAGGTGGGTCAAGGCACAGGTGGAGACATCTTGGGGGCACCAAAAGGCATGACCTGGGGAGACAGAAGCAGTCCAGGAGACACAACCCAGATGATGTAGAAGGTATGGAGCCCCAAAAGATGTTGTGCTCGGAGCGGTCAAGGCCATGATTGAGTTGTTAGCCCACAATTGAGCAGTTAGAGAAAATGGGAAGTGGCAGCTAGAGAGCTAAGGCAGTGAGCAATCAATTCAAAAAAACATGCCAAGGTTTTTCCATTCAAAAGTAGCTCACGGCTCTGGGAAATTGAAGGTGAGAAGAATCAAGAAGTTCTGGGCAGTTAGGGGCAAGAAACCATGATAAAAGAGCTGGAGCTCTGAAGGAAGAAGATGAAGGTCATTAGGCAACTACCATTTTGAAACTTTAAGTAAACTTCGCATACAGATACATTATATTATCTTGCCATTCCACGTCTTGAACCCTTTCCCTCAAATAATGAGCGCATAAACTGGGCAAGCATCTCATGTGTTTAAAGAGAGATTCACAAGCACAGCAGAGAAAATACATGAAATTATAACCTTGCTTGTCTCAGCCAGAGTAAGCACAGACAACTGCTTCAATTTCAGGACTTGATCAGGAACCAACTTGGGAAGACGGTTAGCAATATCTGTACCACAACATAAGAAGTACAACTCACTGAAGGAGAATAAAATATACAGAAACAGGAAACACCATGAATTGATTTTCAATTGTCCATAGAAAGGTGCATTTAGGAGGAAATCATTGCAGATCATGTAACATGTCATTCCTGAAATCATAATGAATAACTTGAAGGAATGATGAAGAAATATATGAAAGATTACGTTTATATTCACTCCACGTCTCATGTGCAAACAAGCGAAGCAAATCAAGGAATATACTGTGTTCAGTTCCTTCGAGCTGCACAGAAATCCATAATTAATAAAACAGGAAATTTTTGTAAGATGGAATTAGCAGAATATACAAGAGATTATATCAAGTTACTACTATTTTTATACACAGAAAGAGAACTGCATCCATAACTTGATCAATACCACCATATACAGCAGTAATTAGTATGGTCCAAGGAACTTATGAATTAATGCAAACTGATGTTTTCACTTCAATGTTGTATCCAGTAACATATTTAAAATGCAATCTAAGGTTCAGAGCAGTAACCTGTGAGATGCATGAGTATTGACTAAAAAAAAAAAAACCCTTTAAACTATCAAGGACCATTGTTAATGCTATTTAAAATTTTCACGATTCAAATAAGTTTGGCTGTCTGACTTTCTGATATATGCCAATAATATATAGTATTAGGGTATTATCAATAGCAATCAGCAGCTTTTATATTATATTAGGGTATTCAACTACTAAGATAATTGATTGCTAATGTTTCCATTAGAACTCAAAAGCTGCGGACATAAACTTAGTAACTTACCATGCTCTATTAACAGCATATGCTCTTCACAATATAAAACTCAAAGAGTTTTGTGTCCATAAAAATTGATCTACTCAGAGCTTCTTAAATTATTATATAAAAGTATATCATATCAATTCAGTATATTTTTATTCGAAATACTATAACCAAATTTTATAACAAGCCAAGCATATTGGTGCAAACACTTTGGAACTTACAAGCAGCATATCTACATTATAACTCGCCAATCTAATCCGAAACGTGGAGCATATTTCTCAGTACCAGGAGAACCTAACCATGGAATTCGAACGGAATTTCAAAAGCATCACAGCTCAAAACCTTCCAAGCTCCAATGAAACAATTTCAGTAAAACGTCCATCACTTAACAAAATCTTTTAGCAGGAAAAAACAAGCATACAAACAAAATTTTGCATTTATATACCTCAAGGAAGTTAGGAACCGAAAGAATCTCGGAGAAAGCAAAGAGCGAAGGATGGGAAGTGGCTTCGACCACCAGGCTGGATAGCGCCGATCCCTTGAGTGCCGAAGCTTGCTTCACAAAGTAGTCAATGTGCTCCGCCTGCTTTTGCTCAATGTCCATGTTCCCGATTCCAAATTTCTATCGATCCGCCAACAAAATAAAACGGAATTGCGCGTATAGAGCTACCTGTGCTTACCGAGAAACGCATGCACCCATATAATTAGCGATCCCAAACCATTGAAATTCTAGGGTTTTAATGATCGCGCTTAGGGTTTATCTTTCAGAATCGCTTCCTTTGGAACAATGGGTAAGGACTTCTGTTTTAATTCGGTGCTCTGGTCTGGATATGGGTTTGTTTTAACCTTTATTTATTTTATTTTTAATTATAAATACTTTTACAATCATTTTTATTTGTTTTTTTATAACACGAAAACCTGAAAGTCCATGATCGATTTTTTTTTACCATTATTGTTATTTTGATATGATGTTTGATTTAAATAATTTTATTAAAGCTTGTAGTAATTGAATGGGTAGAATTAAATTTGAAAATCCAAAAAAATAAAATAAAATTAGGATGTACTTCCTCCGGTCCAAACACCCTGCAACATTTTTGTATGTCTCAAACACCCTGCAATATTTCCAAAATAAAAAATAATTAATCATACTTAATTTCTACTCTATATTTTATCCTCTCACATCATCCAAATAAAAAAAAATAAAATATACTTCTCTTTCCATCACATCAATTAATTTCTAAATTATCTTACTTAATACTACCTGCCTAAAAATTCGTGTCAAAAGTAAATATTGTACCTTGTTTGGGACAGAGAAAGTATTAGTGTGTAGCATTTTGATTTTAAATAATAAAATATTAAATTTTAATGTAATAAATAAAAATTAAATGTTATATATATATATGATGTTTTTGAAAAAAATAATAATAATAAAATCAAAACCAACATCTTACAAACAACACATTAAATAATTTCAATCAAAATATATTTAATTTGTACGTAATCTAATAATTTGTTAAAAGTAAAATGATATTTTGTATAAATAGCATGATATTCGTTTTTATTATAAATAGTACATAAAATATTTAGATGTACTTATTACGATTTTTAATTAAAATTAAAATTAATATATTAAACTTAAATCAAAATTTTTTGAAATAATTTTTTTGTTCAAACTCATTCTCAATTCACCATTGCCGCGCATATTATCATTCAAAGTAGCCCAAGCTTTGCCCAAATGCCTATGGGCCTATGGCAATAATGGCCTAATTTGATTTTTTTTTTTTTTTTGGGTAAAAAAAGTATGCCTTGCAAATAGTAGTTATATGATGTGAAATAAACAGGTATTAGTGTGATGTTTTGAATGTAAAATTAATTTTCAGTAAAATATCAAAATAAAAAATAAGTATTTAATTTGATATTTAAAAAAAAATTAAATAAATATAAAAAATCTTATAAAATCGTCCAAACAAACACACCCTAAGTCTTCAGCATTCAACCCTTTATAATTGCCCATGTTTTTCCACTTGTTTTAACTAGCAAATCATATGAATTCACTGTTAAGCGCTGTATATCATCAAATTGCCACTCCCCTATTTACTTTTCATTGTTTGAGGCATCTTTATCTTCACTTTCATTGCATTTTGATTGTTTCAATGACCAATGATATATATAACATAGCTCATTATTTTTGTGTGATCCATTTCGGGTGTGTTTTGTTTGGGAGATTGAATTTTAAATACACTGTTCATTCCATTTTTTTCCCTAAAAAATATCAAATTAAACACCTATTTTTTATTATTTATATTATATTTAAAATTCAATTATACTATCAAAACATCACTGTCAACACCTATTTATACCACATTATACAACTATTCAAATTCAAATTTTTTATTATTAAAATTCAAAATTTTTACTATTTAAATATCAATTCAAAATCCAAACTCTCAAACAAACGCGCCCTTCGTCTCAATGCAGGCAGGTAAGGTAGGATTAGATCCCTTCATTCCGATCCAGCTTGGTAACGTGGTAGGGACCCCTCTTCAGAGCACCAAAGTAATATTATTTTAGGGTGTGTTTTTTTGGTTGAGTTAGAAAAATAAATAAATAAATAAATAAATTTAATATTAAAATAATATTTAATGAATTATTTTGTAAAAAATATATATATTTTTTAAAAAAAAATAGAATCTAAATAATAAAATTTAAAGAAATTTAATTAAAGACATACAATCTTAGCGTTTGTGGAAAAGCACCATCAGTTACTCGCTCATTCAATTTCTCTCTCTCTTTTCTACAAAAGCATTGAGTTATTCCATGGGAACCATTCAATATTTAGTACTTCCTAAGTCCCAAATTCCGTGCATCATCTGTGTTTGGCACAAAAATTTAGGTGGAAAGTATTATGTATGGTAATTTAAGATAATTTAAATATTAAATTATATGATTTGAGAGAAAAATAATTATTTTATTTGAGTGATGTGACAGAATAAATGTGAAGTATAATTAATATATTTATATAAATATTATTAATTATTTTAAAATTTGAAAATATTACAGTGAGTTTGAGACAAATAAAAAAAAATATTGCGGAAAGAGTACTTTATTCGTCCGATAAAATTAGAGTAATTGATAAATTTAGCAAACAATTTGACGGACAGAAAGATTACTGTTAAGTCCCCACAGTTAAACTTTCAATGACATTACATACAGAAGCATTTGACGTTCTGCTGGGAGTAAGCTTGTTGTATGGGTTGTTCTTTACTGGACACAATTAAAGATATTTTTATTTTTTTTATAACGTAAGAATCTGTCGCCACTATTTTTCGAATGCTCTCTAAGTAAATTTCAGTCGAATTTAATAGTTTGCAAACTAAACATAAATCAAACAAGTTCATTCACACATTACCAAACCGTCCCTTGCGAGACAACAACTAAACAGACTTTTTTTTTTTTTTACAACATGATAATTCGCAATCACTACCCGAAAGTACACACGGGGTAAATCACCGGCCGAATCTAATACTTTATAAACTAGACCCGACAAGATAGGTGAACCGGGAGGCGTTGAGGTTTGAACTCATGAACCCAGATCACTTTGACAAACAAAGAGTTTGTTCACTTATTATTTTTAAATTATATACTCTCTTCGTCCCACATAATTTGTCTTTATTTTTTATTTTTGTCTTGTCCCACATAATTTGTCATTTCCATATAATTATACACTTTAATTACATTTTAAACTTTATATTTTATAATTTTTTTAATCTAAATTAAAGTATTTAGTTATTTTAATCTATAATTATTTTGAATAATTTTTTGTAATATTATTGAACAAATATAATATATACATATTAATAGACTATATAATATTAGTATATTTTATTTGCTTAAAAAAAATAAATAAAGTATACAACATAAAATATCAATTGCTAATAGTATTAATACATTTTTTTCATATTTAGTAGTCCCTTCGTCCCGCATAATTTGTCCATATTTTCTATCGTCTGTCCCATATAATTTGTCTTTTTTATATTTGAAAATATAATTATGTATTTTAATCGCATTTTAAATTTTAAATTTTAAAATTTATAATTTTTTAAATTTTAATTAAATTATTTACTTATTTTAATCTTAATTTATAATTATTTTTACTAAATAATAATTATTTTTACTAATACATTTCTTAATTACTTACTAATTATACTTTATCTAAATTCTCGTATCTACACTAATACATCCATGTTACATGGGACGGAGGGAGTAGTATAAAATATAAATTTATCAAAAAATACAAAATAAACACTCGTGATAATAATACAAATGACAATAGATAATGCAATCAATAGCCCTGACTTTATCTTCCACAGAGGTTATTTAGTTTTCGAGATGGGCCCATTTTGTGTAAAGAAGTCTACTAATTAGGGTTTGTACTTTTCTATTTATTTATTTTTGAATGGTAGAAAACTTTAAATTAAATAATTATTATATATATTATGTAAATGAGTTTTAATTTTAAGGTTTTGTTTACATGTTTTTAATTTCTTTTTGAGATTCTTTATATATATATATATATAATATTATCCAGCATATTGTAATATTACATAAAAATAATAATACTATTTTTTATATAAAATATTATCCAGCATCTTGTTATATTTAATTTTTTTATTATTTTGAAAAAATCTTCAAAAAATATGAAACAATTCTAATTATAAACAATATTTTTTATCATAATTTTGTTTTATTACTTTTAGGGGAAAAAAAAAATACTACTATTATAAACAGATAGGAACACGAACAAATTCACCTGTTTTCATGTGGGAAATGTAAGGGTGGAAAAAATAGTTCCATGTTATCACTGTTAGCGACAGCCATGGTAACAAGTACATTACTACCTCAATTTTTTTATTTACATAGTGTTTTGCTTCTTTAGTAACCAAATCTCAGTCATTTTACTATTTGAATTTTATGTTTTTCAAAAAAAATTATAGATTTTTTATTTATTTATAAAATATTTTATCATATATTGTTTTAATATCAAATTTAAATCAAAATTTTTTTCCAAATTTATACTCTCTCCGTCCCAACAGAGGTGTCTTGTTTTTCTATTTTCGTCTGTCTGAAAAAATTATCTTGTTTTTTTATTTAGTAAATGTGGTCCTCACTTTATAACAAAATTATTCATACTTTTTTCAAATTACTCGTAATTATTACTCTAACCTACTTTTCAAAATCATTCAAAAAAATAATAGTATTTTAGTTTTTTACCTTATATTTTATACTTATTTTCAATTAAATATTATTATTCTTTAATTTTCGTATCCACTTCCAATAAAACATTTTTTTTGGACGGACGGAGAATAAAAAAACATACTCTATATTTAAATATTTCAAAATTTTTATAACATATAGTAATTTTTTATTTACATGCAATTTTTTACATTTCTTTTTTTACCTTGTATCTTTTAAAGTGAAATTGTCATTGAATACAATATTTTATACAAAAATAAATATTGCATTTATATTGAAAAAAATAAAATACTGCACAATATACAGTTATTTATATATATATAGCTTAGAGCATTGGTTTGACTAAATTAATATATCAATTAATAACAATAAATATTTTATCAGAAGACAAATAATTGTCCTCGCTCCTTTTGATTTACTTTTAGGGTGTGTTTGTTTGAAGGATTTTGGAGGATTTCCACTATTCATCCAATTTTTTCTCCCAAAAATATCAAATCAAACACCTATTTTTCATTTTTTATATTATACTAAAAATCAATTTTACATTCAAAACATCACATCAAACCCTATTTATATCACATCATACAACTATTCAAATTCAAAATTTTTACTATTCAAATCCCAATCCAAAATCCAAACCCCCAAACAAACACACCCTAACTTCTCCTTGGTCTAGACCATGTGGACTATAGTGCCCTCACTCCACTTTTCATATTAAAATTCAATCCACCGACCACCAAACAATTACTTTTTAGTCCCTCTTTTTGTGCTCTTGGGTTTAGACCTCTATAATTTTTTATTTTTTATTTAGTGTTTGTTTCTTTTGTAAAATTTCTGTAAATTTTATTATTTGTATTTTTATTTTTAACATGATATCAAAATTATTTGAATATCAAATTTAAATAATTTTTTTTTTCTCAAATTCACCTAAAAGAAACACATTCGAGGGAAATAAACGCCTTAAAGATTCAAAACCATTATTGGACTATCAAAAGTTTTCAGAATAAATTCCTACCCTTCATTACTACTTTTATATACTCCATTCGTCTTGTTTACCATTTTTGTTCGTCTTAAAACAATAATTTTATTTTCATAAATAACCATATCATCATAAAATTACCTGTATTTTTCCATTTTTATTACACAATTGACACTACTTTACTTTTTAGACTAATACACTCATAAGGATAAAAAAATCTTTTATCCATGTTTTTTTTTACGTGGAAACCCACCGTCGTTACTCGAAAGGGCGCAATAGCAGATGACCTGAGTCAAAGATTTGAACCCGTAACTTCACGCTCACAAATTCAACTCTATACTACTAGTCCATCTCTTACTGAACCAATGTATATTTTTTAATTAATTATAAGAGGTACTACTATTTTATTTTTCTTTTATCTCTATTGAACATAGAAAAAAGAATATAACTATAAATGACCCACAGATCCCACTGGATGAAAACTTTTCTTCACCAACCAACTGTTTTTGTACCTTTTTTTAAAAAAAATTAAAAGTTTCTTTAAATGCAAGATTTGACATCATGATAATAATTTCAACATTTTGTTTTGCTGAACACTGCAAATTCATCTTTGTGGTGCAATTAATAGCAGTAAATGCATATATACACATGTTTTATTGATTTAAAATGTATTGGTAATTTGGTATAAAAATAAAAAAAGGAAATATTTACGGTAACGCCATAGCTAGCTACAAAAATCTTATCTAAAAACAAATGGCAGGGTAGCTAGCTAGGACCAGTTAAAATAATGCTCACAATTCCAATTCCTAATATTTAATAATATGGTTGAACATTTTTTTTTATACTATTATTCAGCATATTCTTTTAGCGGGTATTTTATTTAATAAATTAGATTTTATAATATTAATGAATTATTTTATTATTTTATGAGAAAATATCGAACATCTTTTTGAATATACAATTTTTATTAAAAATCGTGTGTTTTGTTTGCACCAAATTTGTAGTGTTTAATTTTGGATTCTTTGAAAAAATACATTTTTTTTTATCTCAAAAAACATCTTTTAAAATATTATTTTAGTATAAAAACTCAAATCAAATATTTTAAAATCAAATCAAATAAAAAAAAAAAAACACCCGAAATATATAATTTTATTTAAGAATAAAAATATAAAAAAAAAACACACATATATCGAATTATATTTTCAATTATTATAATAATACAATTATTTAAGATTCTCTGTATAAGATATTATCAGGCAAATCTTTGACAGCTCCCGGGTGCCCAGCACCATAATTTGATTGTTCCAATTTGGTTCTTAGGTCCAGGAGCTCCCAACAATCACTACATGCTTCAAAACCGGGATCAGACTGTAATAAATGAATGCGTTCAGACACACACTGATAATAATGAGTCAAAACAAAAGACGTATTTTTAAGATGTCACTCACGAAAATATCTGAGCCGGGGAGGTATTTATTAAAATAATAATAGTAATTCCAATTTAATTTAATTTAATCTTCTTTTTTTTCTCCCCTTCTTTAAGTATTGCAGGAATTGGGACATCGTAAAATGCAGTGTGCATTGCAGTGTCTTAACGACGACGGTGATGGCAGTTGAACCGCCGTCTGCCGCCGTTCTCCGCCCCCCAGCTCCGCCGCCCCGGTTTTTATCTGATTTATTATCATATTTTACCTTTATTGATTTTCTTGTATAGGAAAAGGGTAGCAGTTAGTCTCGAGAAATGGGATGCGCAGAGTCCAAGCTGGACAACGAGGACACGTTACGGCGGTGCAAGGAGCGGCGCCGCCTCATGAAGGAGGCTGTCTACGCCAGCCACCACCTGGCCGCCGCCCACTCCGACTACTGCCGCTCCCTCCGCACAACGGGCTCCGCCCTCGTCGCCTTTGCCTCCGGCGAACCCCTCGCCGTGTCCCACCACACCCCCGCCGTCCTCCTCCGCACTCCCCCGCCGTCCACCGCCGCCGCCGCCTCAGATCCCAAACCTCCTCCCGCCACCTCCCCCCACCCCCAACCACCGCCTCCAACCTCCACCGCCTCCAATCACCACCACCTCCAACCTCCTCGGCCGCCAATCCGCCGTAAGAAGCCAATGAAACTCCCCCACATCCTCTCCGACTCCAGCCTCGCCTCCTCTCCGCCGCCGCCTCCGCGGCGGCGCAACCAAATTGGCCGCACGAATTCAACCTACTCAACCACTCCTTCCCAAGCTTCCTCCGTCTGGAATTGGGACACTTTCTACCCTCCCCCCTCTCCCCCCAATTCCGAATACTTCGACAAACTCCACCGCCGCCGGACCACCGCCGCCGCCGCCAACAATTCCTCCTCCTCCTCCTCCTCCTCCGATGACAAATCCTCAATCCACACATCATCGGACAATCCAAATCTACGAGGAGAAGGATTTCAAAATCCTTTTGGCGCCAACAACAGCAAACAATTCCGAGATCGCGCATCGAATTACTCCTCACACTCACCGGAAACGATCTCCGACAACTGGCGAGGACCGAACAAACGGCCGATCAAAGACGACGACGACGATGAGTACGAGGAGACAGAGAGGGAGGAAGTGCAGTGCAGTGAATGGGGAGACCATGATCATTACAGTAGCACCACAACTTCCTCCGACGACGACGATTACGATGATTACAACGATGAAGACGAAACCGATGATCTCAAGTCGAGATCCGATTTTCAGACAAGGTCCACGAAAAATGAGGCTGGAAAGGCCTTTGCTGATACAGGGCAGACAAATGTGGATATGAATTTCAATCCATCTACTAAGAAATCGGAGAATCTAATCTCCGACAACAAGTTATCGGTTAGTCGCGATGGCGATAGGAGCAAGGAAACATCGAATTCAGACCAAAGGATAATGGTTAGACATGAGAATTTCTCCGAGATTGTTGCAGCCATTAACGAGTATTTCGTTAAGGCTGCATCGGCCGGAGATCAGGTGTCGGAGATTCTCGAGATCGGAAGGGCTCAGCTCCACCGGAGCTTGAAGAGTGAGTTCTAATGTTACCAAGTTTAAGTGTTGTAATTCAGATTCATTAGTTACAATTAACATTTGTTTTCGACGCGGTGTTTACAGAGACTGTATATCATTCTACTGGAATATTGAGTAAGTTGAGCTCGAGCTGGAGATCGAAGCCGCTGTTGGGAGTTAAATACAGGTTCGAGCAATTGAGTGATGCAAAGAGCCTTTGTTCGACCTTGGAACGCCTCTTCACGTGGGAGAAGAAGCTATATCAAGAAGTGAAGGTACTATACTCTGATCTAAACCTCGTGTTTTCGAGAATTCGAGCATTTGTCTATATATATGCCTTTATGGTTGATTCAACGAATATTGCCTCGAATGGTAGTTAGATGTGATGTATCGAACATGATGGGTAGGCCTAACTTGTAAAGAAGAACATGATTTCTTTACAAGAAGTTTTCGATTACCTAAGTTTTGTTGCAATCTTTAGTCATTGTTTCAATCTATAAACTCTTGTGTTGTGAAGCTTAAGCTTGGCGCCTGGAGAAGTACTGTACTTCTGGTTTGGCCACCCAGACATATATCATTCTGATTGAACTGGATCACCAAATCTTTAGATTTGTTTTTTTTGTGTATTTGAGTCTACCGGTTGTCTCAGTTTTGGATAAACGGTGTCGAATTGCTGTGACCGATGCAGGCTAGAGAAGGAGTGAGAATAGAGCATGAGAAGAAGCTATCGTCGCTACAGAGTCAAGAGTATCGCGGTGGACAAGACACGAAGATAGACAAGACAAAGGCATCTATAAATAAGCTTCAATCCCTTTTCGTTGTGACATCTCAGGCCGTGTCCACCACCTCCTCTGCTATCACTCGTCTCAGAGACTCCGACCTTGTCCCTCAGCTCGTCGAGCTTTGTCACGGGTATGTATATATATACTTGTCACATTACAAAATGTTCGATTTTTTGACAAGTTTTGAAGAGTTCAAACTTAATGCAGGTTCATGTACATGTGGAGATCGATGCACCGATTCCACGAAGTCCAGAATGATATAGTGCAGCAAGTTCGGGGCCTCGTCGTCGCAGCAAACAAAGGGGCGACGACAACCTCCGATCTGCACAAGCAGGCGACGCGTGACCTCGAGTCCGCCGTATCCGCATGGCATTCCAGTTTCTGCAGCTTGATCAAATTCCAACGCGACTTTTTCTGCTCGCTCCACGGATGGTTCAAACTCACCCTTCTCCCCGTCAACGCCGAGCCCGCTCCTGGAGGTCGCGACCTCTCGGAGGTTTTCACCTTCTGTGACGAGTGGAAACTCGCGCTCGAACGAATCCCCGACACAGTTGCATCGGAGGCTATCAAGAGTTTCATCAACGTCATCCACTCGATATCTTTGAAGCAAATGGAGGAACTGAAGATCAAGAAACGAACCGATACTGCATCCAAGGAGCTGGAGAAGAAGTCCTCTTCGCTAAGGCACATCGAGCGAAAGTATTACCAATCCTATTCTACAGTCGGGATAGGCCTCCCCTATACAGGGCCAGATATTAGCCACATCTTGGATGCGCGCGATCCACTGGCTGAGAAGAAGGCGGAGCTTGCGACATGTCAAAGACTTGTCGAGGACGAGATGCTTAAGCACTCGAAGGCAGTCGAGGTAACTCGGGCAATGACACTGAACAACATTCAGACAGGATTGCCGGGAGTTTTCCTAGCCATGACTAGTTTCTCGGCGCTAATGACCGAGGCCCTCGAGAAAGTTTGCACCAAATCATAAGCGATTTAGGAAACAAAAAGGCCTCGAAAAACCGGTACATTATTGTTTTTTCTTGCCCTGTGCTATAGAATTATATATATCATCATCATCTTCAAACGCAGTTTGAAACTACTAGAGAGATGGGAAGCAGATTGTCTTCAGAATGTTTTTGAATTCTTTTAGATTGGTGTTATTTCTCTTCTCATATTTTGTTTGTTTTGATATGTGAAAAATAATTGGAGTCTTGCAGAGATGGGAGTTATGAATAAACTTTAGCTGCCCTGCCATCTCTGCTCATATCTGTAATTTGTTTTGTTCTTTTTTGACTGCTGTGATGTTTCATCACAGCAGCAACAGGCACAGGTTCCCTCCCCACCCCACCCCACCCCACCACTATATTGTACTGCTACTACTACTACTACTATGTAATGCCTAGAGGTGATGTATTGTTGTCTAACCAAGGAAAGTGTCATTGGCTGGTTGGAAGATGTTGGTACAATGAAGAGGAAACATAGGGACCAACCATACAGGACTGGACACTGGACCTACTTTTTCTTTTTTAAATAAGAGAGGTAATAATTTGTACTGAAGAGAAAGACTAGAGTGCTTATTATAGAGTAATCAGTCCTATTGATACTCTAATGTTATAGTAGTATTGCATTAAGAGATGAATGATGGCACTACTGGATTATAGCCAAGTTGGCGTTGTCAATGTCAGGGTTAGCCATGGTGGCTTGATTTCCATCCCTGTCCTGTCTGCCTACATGTCTACATACTCGACTGGACTACTTACTGTTACTGCCTTGTCCCCACCCCAAGATTTTCATGTAAAATTGCTTTTATTATTCATTTAGTGTTGTACTTGCTACATTACACACATAAAGTAGGGGTTGCTGGATAGGGTAGATTGATAGATTCCGAGAATCCTATGGGCTGTCGACTACGGCAGTGAAGAAAAGAAACTAGCTAAGAAATAGTCGGGTGGGGTACGGTAAATTCATGATCTCGAATAATGTGTTCAACATTCTCACTAATTTTGAACAACTTTATCTACACTATAATTCAATAATTTCATTATCAACTTCACAACGTATATAAGCCATGATTCAAGAATATTTTCTTGCGTTCAAATATTAACAACAGTATTAAGACTATAAGAATATTCTATCTAATTTAATGTGATTTTAGTTTTTACATATTGTCGATACTACAATTCAAATAATAAAAATAAAATTAACAGATTCTCTGCCCTATGATTTTGTTCAACTATAATATTTCTAGATTATGCAGGCCAAACTATGGAATTACCACAAATAAAAACTCCATTTCAAAACTAAAAATGGCACAGTTATTTAGTAATAAAATAAATAAAGCACAAGAAACACTTAGATCACAAAATGCAGGGCAGGCAGTAACAACATATAGAGAGATAGATACTCATTCCTCAAAACTACTAATTAAAAGAACTCGAAGTCCAGAAACTTACCTCTGGATTGCCCGTGTGCTCTTGCTGCCATTTGTCCGCCAGCATCCGCTCCTACATTGTTGTCAGCTTGTCGGAATCTCCGGCCGAACTCAGCCTCGACAGGCCTCGGCACTCTCGGAGGAGTGCTGCACCGTATTAGAGCCCAATTAACGCCTTCGAAGAACGGGTGCTGCTTGATCTCAGAGGCTCCTCTCTTCGCTCCCAACCGGTTTTGTGGCTCCTTTACAAGCAATGCACGAACGAAGTCCCGGCTGGCAGAGCTGGTTGACGGCGAATCCGGGAATTTGAGCTGTTGGCCAACTACATTAAAAAGCGTAGCACGGTTTCCTGCACCTTTGAAAGGTGTTTTACCATACAGCAGCTCATGCAAGAATATGCCAAATGTCCACCAGTCCACGGCGCTGCCGTGACCTTCACCTTTAATAATTTCAGGGGCCAAGTATTCGTGTGTTCCGACAAATGACATTGATCGAGCAGCCGTAGGTTCTGCAACTAGCTCCGGTAAAGTGGTGGATGACACTACATGAGGATGCCAGGGCTTTCGAGATTTTACCTTACTTTTTATAGGGAAAATTCGCGGAAAGAAGCATGCCGATGATGGCTGCATACAAGCTGGCCGTGTGCAGAATGCAGCTCCTCGTTTCGAAAGATCAGAATTGAGCCCAGAGGATTTCATGAGGATTGGTGATACTGAACATTGAAGGGAAAGGTCGAAATCTGAAAGCATAATGTGGCCATCATCGCGAACCAGGACATTTTCGGGTTTTAGGTCTCTGAATACCACTCCCAGCATGTGGAGGTACTCAAGAGCTAATAGAACTTCAGCTGCATAAAACCTGCATCCATCAGAACAAATACCGGATGAGAACTGCCAACAAATATTAAGAAGTGAATAGCATTGTGGGGGTGATTTTAAGACAGAGAGCATACCGAACAGCATACTCCGGGAAGTATTTTCCGGGCTGTCGTTGCCTAAGGGCATGAAGATCTCCACCCGGGCAATATTCCATGACCAAGCAAGAGAAGCTGTCTGTCTCAAAATGGGTGTACAATGTTGGCAAGAATGGATGATCAAGAATCTGCAAGATTTCTCTCTCAGTCTCGGCTCGAGCTAATTTATTCCTGCTAGCAAGGGATGCCTTGTCCATTACTTTCATTGCAAAGAAGCAACGGGTTGTGCTTAGTTCAGACAAATACACGCTTCCAATATCCCCGCAACCAAGCCTTTTCAGTAGCCTGAAATGGCTCATACCCAAACAACCATCACGAGCTCGAATAGCAAGTATAGCTTTCCATCTGGGATCATTTCCTTTGTGAGGCTTTTTTGCACTAGTGAGGCTGCTACAATTACTTTCATCGCTAAGACCACTGCCGTCGCTAGTTTGGCTAATGCTAGTGTTGGTACTCTCAAGAGAATCCCCAGGAACTGCATGTTTGGTATTCTCATACTCCCTCTCCAAACTAAGCATGCCATCACTCGTCATGCTATCACTGTAGCAAGTGCTAGTTCGGCCATTGACATTGCTCAGAGCTTTGGAACCACCCATACTTTCAATACTGCTATGTGGACTAACAATGCCGGTTGGAGGAGATGAATCATCCGATATGCATTCTTTTGCATTAGAACCTGGCAGTGGACTTGCTTCCTTGTTTTGTGAGGGATGGGAAACAGGAAATGGGGATGAGAGAGTCACTGATGAGTCATTATGTTCTTTGATCAAGGTCCCAAACCGAGAAAGAAATGATTGGTTTGATTCAACACTCAGTGCCCTGTCCCTGATTGGATAATCCTCCAGAAAAGAGCCATTCACAGACAAGCTTGTAACTGAACATTTTCCCTCATCATTCTGGTCAATCGGCACGTAGACTGGGATCCTGTCTGAGTCAACAGGTTCAGGAGGGTGACTTATCCCATGAAAAGAGGTAGATCCAATTTCCTCAAAAGAATCACAGCTAAATTTAAAAGAAACAATGTCAGGGATGACTTGTTCATCCTCATTCAAATATTTCTTTTCGTTCAATACTTGGGTTCGGACAGGGGAAGGTGAATCCAAGTCTAAAGACTCCATTGAATTGGATGGTTTCCTGATCTGTTCTTTGGACCATGTCAGTTCAGTTGACATCTCAGCAGCAGCAAGGGGAAACTGCCCAAAAACCAGTTGCGAATTTAGGGATCTCTTCATTAAACTCAGTTAAACATGAAAAGTTACTCAAGTCTCAGTGTATCGATGTGAAGTGATTAATTTAAAACATGAACAACCATTTTAATGGATTGAAATAAACCCGACAAGAGTAGAAATTCAGAGATCTTTCATGAGGAGCATTGTGAAAGAAATGTACCACTTTATTATTCCCAAAAAATTCACACTCCGCAATATAATGCATGCAGTTTACCAGATCATGTCAACAGAAACTCGAGGTGCAGAACTCAGCCACATTCTCTGTACTCACTTACTGCTAATATACACCAGTACGAAAATCTAGGAGCATAATAGAGAAATCAATCTGAAAACAAACATTTCACTGCACTCAACTTCGTGTATTAACTATCACCTCCCATAACCAACACCAATTTTGCTCGTGACTGGAAATAACACAAGTTAAGTGAAACAATCTTCAAAAAACAACCTCAAGCACTATAAATGTCTAAAAATTGCAGGAAACAACACAATCCTTTTCTCATCAGTTTCAAAATCCAAGTACGCATTCCATGCATGTGTTTCAGTCCATTTTACGGGAAATAATGAAGAAAAACCATATACAGAAACTAGAAGAGATGCATTCAACTCCACGCAAGTTACCAAAAGATAGCCACAATAATGACATCTAAAGCGACATATCATCCACGATGGTAGAAAATCGTTCCAGAAGACCGATCACCCAACCATCAGCACTGAAAACAAGCGTGCGTCTGCATATACCTCTGTAAACATAGGCGATACGAGCTGAAACGAGCCGTCGACACGAGCTCCTCCCCCCAAGCAGCTACAGCATCAGGCTGAAATGCAACCGCGGCAAGCTCTAGCTCGCTTAATTCCTCAACACACCAACAAACAACCACCGCAACACAAAATGCTCCGCGTAGAACAGAGCAGACGTAGGATCACTGCGCAGCAGAGCAGCCTCCATATATAGCGCTAGACCTTCAGAAATCGAGGCTACAAATCGCTTTATTCATGTGTTCGCTGTGATAACTGCAGTGTGTGAGTGTGAGAGAGAGAAAGTTTGCATAGTGCGTGAGAGAGAAACAAAATAATATAACTGCTCTGTACGGATCAAAAACAGAGAGAGCGTGGCGCCATGGCTTCCCAAAAAGACGAAAACACCCTCCCCATTCTTCCCGCCTTTTAAAAACGTGTTTTGCTGCGCAAATGTTTCCTAATTTATTTATTTTTAAAAAACTAATTCATATTTATATAATAGGTTTAAAATAAATAAACCTTGTGAAATTATTTGATAAAATAACAAGGAATAACAGAGGCGAATTAATTATACAACAGCTACGATTTCATGGACAAGGAATTGCTTACCATAGTCCGATTAATTAATTTTAATTAACTGTTATGATTATTTGTCGCCTAGACCGCTTACATTGAGGGAGACAAATGGATTGGCAATGCCATAGATCGTACGGCGGAGGATGACCGCCGCGTTAATCGCCACCGTTGAAATGGCCGAGGATCGGGGCCCACATCTGCTGCTTCTTACAAGAACACTCTTTAACGACTTTTATAATTATAAATATTTCTCCCTCCAGTGTCTGGTACACTGTAGACAATATATATATTTTAGGAGATGTATAATTAGTAGATAGTTAAAAATATATTAGTAAAAATAATTATTATTTTATAATATAAATAATTATAAATTAAGATTAAGATAACTAATTAGTTTAATTAAAATTAAAAATTTTAAAATAAAATTAAAGTGTGTAATCATTTTCCAAAAAAGAAAAGTGACCTGGTATATGGGACGGACAGAAACGGCAACGTGGACATGGTATCTGGGACGGAGGGAGTATTATTGATGTTTTTATAAAAAAATCCTAACATTTGTGACAGTAAAACAATATACTCCCTTCGTCCCAGGGTTTTATTTGCTTTTTGCACGTATATTTTTTAATATTAGTATTATATTGGATTATAGTAAAAAAAGATAAAAATACTCAGTATGGTGTAATATAAAAGTAATAACATTTGTGTAAATATAATATAAATTGAAAGAGTACTTATGTTAAATAGTAGCACAATTACTAAATTAAGAAATTGTAACCTTATTTTGAGATAAACGAAAATATAAAATAGTAACTTTTTAATGGGACGGAATGAGCATCTATATATTAGTATAATTAAATTTTAATTAATAAATATGGTCTATACATATTAATAAAAATAAATAAATTTACATTTCAAAATATTATATAAATTAATTATTTTTAAAATTTTCAAAATTCTTATCAGAGCCTAATTTGATATTACATGATTGAGGTTGTAATGAAGTGTACAAGTAATTATTCTGATTAGGTATATTATTATGTTTCCTAAGAAAACTAATAATAATTTCCGTCCCTATAACTATAACTATAAGAAGATAAAGAGAAGGGGTGCAATTGAAGTGTAGACGCACGTTAGCTTATTAATTAAACTTAATTTGATTTAGGTGTGAGTAAGTGACATCTAACATCTAACACACAATTATTGTACCCTAATGCCACCATTTAGTGGCGAAGTTGCACTCAAGAGAAGACAAAGGATTTAGTCCCTCCGTCCCCTAATTATGGTTTTATTTGAGTTGGACACGTAATTTAAAAAATATTGATATTATATTGATAGTTGATAAAAAAAATACGAGTAAAAAAAATAGCGGCATTTGTGTAATAATAATGAAAATGTAGGGATTATTTTATGATGACACGAGTATTTATGGAAATAAGACTATTGTTTTGGGACAGACAAAAATAGTAAATAAGATTATTGTATGGGGACGGATGGAATATTTTTTTTCAATGTTTAGAATTTTTTGGATTTTTTTAAAAAATTTTTTAAAACCGCAAAAAATACTATTAAAATGTCTATTTTTATTATTTTTTAAAAAATATTTTGTAAAAAAAAATATATATTTTCTCAGTCCCAGTCCAATGAATTCATTTGTCTTTATAGTAAATTAGAAAATAATAATATTTTCTTGATTACTATAAAATTATTTTGATATTTTTACTTTTAAAAGTATAAATAAAATGAATATTTTTATAAAAATTATAGGTGTTTTGATATATAGATTGATAATTTTTACAATGAACGAACGAAAATAATAAAAATAATATTTTTAATTAAGACAGAAAAATATATATTTTTTTTTATAATATAGGACAAAAGTTTAAACTTATAAGCTTACTGTCGAAATTCACTTTACATATTAGGTCATCATTTGAATGTTGATACAATATGTTAAGTGTTTATTAAAATTGAAACAAATTCAAATTCTATCATTGAATAATTTTATGTAAATGTAATATTATTACATTTAGTACTTTTCATACAAACTATTATATAGATAAAATAATATTTTTATATTATTTCAAGATTCACCATATATTATAATAAAAACTTATTAAAAACTATAAATAGTAAAAAAACTCGATGTCACGGACAACTTTTACAACTATTTTTGAATTATATTTTATAAAATTGGTATTTGAACATCATCATTTTTAAAATCAATACGCAATCAAGAAGTAAATAAGACCTTCAGAATTAGATGTAGGTATTATATATTATACTCCCTTCGTCTACATACAATATATATATTTACTTTTGATACAGTGTTTAAGAAATAATAATATTTTAATTACAGTGGATAGTTAAACGTAGTATAATGATATTTTTGCTCTTGCTTTTTGGTATAAAAGTAATGATACGATGTAAAATAATGTAAAATAAGAGTATTTGTAAAAAAAAAAAAAGTATTTAATAAAATATTTACTTTGTAATTTCACATCATAAAATAAAAATATGTATAATTTTTGACAAGAGTAAAAAAAAAAAAAGAATTGTAGGTGCATGGGGAAGATTACGAAAAATTTCTAACTTCCATCCAATCAAAATTCTTCTATATATTATCTATTAACAAATATTTTTATTTAAATTTTTATATTTTTTATATAACTAATTGATGGTAATAATAGATAAATAAATATATTTTTACTTATAAATATATAAAATTTTATTTTTTTATAATATTTAAATTATATATTTTATCGAAATATAATATTAAAAATATTTAAATATATATATATATTTTTTAATTATTAATTAATTATTTTTATCATCTAAATAATTAATTTATAGTACTATTTAAATTTTTATGTTTAAAAGAAAAAAAATGACGAATAGGTACTTCAAACGAAAATGAGTCAGCGGGGTCAACGATCAGCGTTCAGCAAAAGGAGACTTGACTATCAAAAAGTACGGAAGAAATTATGCTACATCACACCGCGACTTCTTCACTTGCCGATCAGAAGCCGGCCGACATTCCCACTCGCCGTTGAAACGCCCCTTTCAATTCGCCGTCGCCGACACCTGCTGTGCATTGAAGAGCTTGATTGCAACTCACAGCACTATGGCCGCCGTCGACTCCGAGAAGATGGCGGGGCCAACTCCGACGCCTGCTCCTCCAGTTTCACAGTCGATGGAAAATCTCGATCCTTCCAAGAGCGTCTCTGGCGATTCGCCGTCTCGTTCGCCCGATCGCCTTCCCTTGTCCACTTCCCGCCCGCCCAAGGAGCTCGATTCTCAGGTATCGATCGATCGTTTTGGGTTTATTCAATTTTATTTGTACGAGGCATTCGGATATTCTTAGGGTTGTTTTTCTGGATGTTCCTTTCTCAATTCTTACTGTATTTGTACCTGTTTTTTTTTGCATAACTTGTTGTTGTTCTTCTTAGTTTGGTTTAAATCGTAGGAGTTTTGACTCAGCTTGAAACATTTTTGAGTTTGATACTGATGTAGGATGGCGTGCGATATCTCACGTTTAATTCTATCTAAATCCGTAATGTATTTTATAAATTGATACTTTAGTTTCTTAGATATCTGGAATGTCTAAGTTCGTTTGATACATGTCGAATTTGATTCTTCTTTTTTGTATTTCTTATGCTCGAATTGCTTTGTACTTGGTGATTGCATGGATTAACTTCCTCCTTTTTTTTTTCTCCATTTACCTGAAAATGAAAATCATTTATTCACTGAAAATATGCTGAAATAGATCCTTTTGTAAAGGGATTTGGTTTCTTCAATTTAACTTTCTTGATACATAATCTCCCACTTCACACTGCCTTCATATAGCATCACATAATTTCCTTATTTTGGAAGCAGGAGAGATTGCTATCACAACTTTCTGGAAATCATAAATCAAAGCAAGCTGAAGAGTTATTTAACTCTCTTCAGTTTCGAGTGTGTAGTTTATGTATCGAATTCGAAGCTGTTCTTGTAAGTTAGAAAATATGTAGCTCTAATTTAATTGTGCATCTGAGAGTGCTGGATAGATTGAAAATATATAACCATAGACAATGAAGCTTCCAAAAGAGGCTAAAAATGCTGTCAGAAACTTAAGCAATTGCAGTGATTAACCCTTTGAATTATGTATGGTTACTTATCCTTTCTTTCCACATTCATTTCCCTTTGGATTCTTGTAATGATCATTACGTCAAGTAAAACCAGTGGTTGTAGCATTACTATATTATGAGTGCATTTGCTAGCACCTAAGTACAAAGTCTTTCCTACAGAATCAATCACCTTCAAGAGTTGAAGAATATCGACAGCTTTTCCGTCTTCCACAGACTGAAGTAAGTAAATCACTTGTTATTACATTAAATTGATTATCTGATAGTTTTTGTTAATTTATTAATTGGCTTTGATTGGCCTGCTTCCTGGCATCTTTAATTTCTATATTTATACATTAGTTACACAAGTTGAAGGTGTTCAGAAAAAAAGTCACTGGTATAATCATGTAATGCAGGCATCAGTTAGTTATCATGTTACCAATTACCATACAAGTACTTGGAAATTAATGTTTTTTTCTTCTCTTGGTCTATTACACATTGAGTATGTATATCTCGTTTTGGGATTATATATATTTATCTTCTATAAATTTGTTTCCTATTATCAATGGAGCTGAATTTGGGTTTCCTTTTATGACGCTATCCTCAGGCATACACTTAAATTTCTTTTGCACTTCGCACGTGCTGTATTTCTTGTCAATCAAGCCATGAGTTAGTTTTTGACTTATTTATTCTGATTCCTCTGTCTAGTATATTTATTCAGGGAATTATATATTCATTATTTCCTCAAAACTTACAGGTGCTCATTCAGGATTTCAATTGTGCATTGCAAGAAAATTTCCTTATTCAGGTAATTTATTGTCTGCAAATGAGTTTGTGTGTTTTATGCTCTTTCTTAACATCTGCCAACATCAATCACATACCCCTAGTACATTTCATTTAGTTGAAACGTCAGCTTCTATTAATGTAGGCACACTACAAGGTTTAGAGCAAAGTTCAGTTTGAATTGTAGGGGTGGTTTTTAGCTTTCCCTGATATATTTTGTTTTAATTTCTTTGCAGGGGCACATGTATCTGTTTGTCCACCATATCTGCTTCTATTCCAATCTGTTTGGATTTGAGACAAAGGTCAAATTATGAGTTCATATTTTTCTATGTCTTGGGATTATGCTTAATTTAATTCTGGATTCACTGAAGCATCCTGATCAGCGACTTGTATTTTCAGAAAATTATTGCATTTGATGAAATCTCATATGTGCGAAGAGCAAAAGCAGTTGGTGTTTTCCCAACTGCTATAGAAATAATAGCTGGTGGGAAGAAGGTAATACCCTGCATTTGATGCACTTAGGTGGTTGTCATACACATTATATTCTACAAATTCCAAGCTTTCACAATTTTAGAGAAAAGCAGCGATGGTTTCATATCATTCTCTGTTTTAATTTTTATGCAGTATTTTTTCACCTCTTTTCTATTCCGGGATGAAGCTTTTAAGCTTATCAACGAAGGTTGGCTGCAGCACAGCAATGGGAATGTGGAAATTACAGATCAGCTAGAGGTATCTTGACAATGAAGTGAAAATTCTTTAATGTTTAAGCTAATAGAAGCATACACTTCGAACAAGAGCTTGATATACTGAATATATTAATATCTGACTCTCATTTATCTTTAGTTTTTTTTATGTCTTCATTATAGAGAATCGAATTGCATCATGTAAGATGTTATATTTTTCTATTGTTGTGCCATAATTCAGGAAGTCACTATTTTTTTTACAGTTGTGAGAAATGCTGAATGAATGAAGTTCGCTGGGATATTAAAATACCCCATGAAATTTCATATAATTACTTGTAAGATCACATATACATATAGTGATCGTTGCTTGTTATTGTCTTTCCATTTGCATAAATAACTGTTTTCGGGAGTCACCTAAAATTCCCTCAAATTCAGTAATATTTATCACTCACCGGTTCTCAAGACAAACATACTTTGTAGTCACTGTTATCAGGTTTTGTGAACTAAGCTTCCATTTAAAAAGTTATAAATGTCAGAGATTTCATTGACACTATCATTTGCTCACTTTAAGGCTTTCTCTGCTTCTGTTAAATTAGGATTCAAAGTCTGATATAAGCATCCAGGAGAATGGCAGCTCTATAGTTGAGGAATCAAGTGCTCTGAGACGATCAGTGGATGAGCTGGATATCATTGACAGGTACCTTGATTTTTCTTTCTATCTTCTTCTGATGTTTGACCTGTGTCCTATGCCACTGCATTTTCCGGTTCTTTCTTTTAAGTGCTTAGACCTGAAGTGATAGCTTCTAGTTCAGTGGATATATATGAATTTGGTGTGTGGCTGTGTCAAAGTAAATTTAGCAACAGTTGTTTCATGTGGCTGAGATTGAGAGAGATTTTGTAAGAGTCGATGGTTGGATAGAATTCAAACTCAGGAGATGTTTGATTATTTCCCTCCCTCTGTGCACTTATATTATTGGGTTATTTATGAGCAATCCAATAGGTTGCACATGGAAGTTAACAAAAAGATGGAAAAAAATGAGTGGGACTATTCGATGTTTTTGCTATGAGGAAGTTTGACATTAGTTGAAATGAATCTATGGCAAGTGAAGAAGATTTATGGGCATGTTTCTGATTTCCTAACATAATCTTTTCAACTAACAATATGCATATAGAAGTTTGGGGAATTCATTAGTACCGAACTTGGGAGTGCTATATGGCCTTGATTTTTTGGCTCCATTTGATTGTTCCAGCAGATATCATAAACACTTTAGAAAATGTGGTGGAACACATTATCACCATTTGACTATTCATTTTTTGTGATAGTAGGTTTCTGATTCCCTTTCAGTATCATTTTCTTATGGTCAATTGGGTATTCATTGTTCACATGCTGTTACTTCCTGAACAGTGATAAAAGTGGCCCCATATTAGAGGAATCTAAGTCCCTGGCTGATGGTGAACCTGAAATAGTCCCAGTATCTGCTGATGTTGAAGTCAGGGAAGAAGTAAAGGTTGAAGCTGTTAATGAGTGCTCATCATCTGATAAAATTTCAGATTGGGTGTCCACAAATGGTGATGCGCCTGGAGGTCTGCCATTATTTCGTTTTCCATGTTCTGAAATTTTTATCTAGCATTATGTTGTGTCTTCAATGAAACCGTGACTTATTAAATGTATGACAGGGTGAACTACATATAGATGTTTATTGCTTATCTGAATATTTACGTTAGCAAACACAATCAAATATCTTGCATTCCATCCACTGACCACTTTGCTTCTATGATGCAGTTCCTGAAGGCTTCACCAAAGTTGCAGAATCACAATTTCCGGTAGTATGATGCTTCGACTTGTGTGATAAGAAAGGAATGGTCATTATCTAAATTATGATTTTCCTGGCAGATAGGGGTAAAGGAATTTTTCAATCTGTTCTTCTCCGATGATGGTGTCAAATTCCATGAGTCATTCCATAGAAAATGTGGCGATAAAGGTATGTGGGGAGACTACCCTGTAGCTTGTAATGACCAAGTTCCTGAAATTGGAGCAGGATTATGTGTTCTGACCCATTTTTTGATGTGCTTTGTCATTGCTGTTTGTAGATTTCAAGTGCACCTCATGGGTTCGTAATGAAAATTTTGGGCACACCCGTAACGTATCATTTCAACATCCTATTAAACTCTATTTTGGTATGACTATCTCATATTATGTTATTTAAGAAGTTCCCTTTCATTCTGTAAGTGTTAAAACTGTAGTTTGTTCCATGACTTTTTTTTATTATTAGGTGCTAGATTTGGTAGCTGTCACGAGACCCAGAAATATTGTGTCTATAGGAACAGGCAAGTTTCTACATTATATTACGATAGGACTTTTTTGTAATTAATGTTCTGCTACCATTTTCTACAATGCTAATTATTATTATTATTATTATTATTATTTTTTATATGAATATGAATTTCATTTCTCATCATACTGTGTATGTCTCATGCTTGGTAGAATTAATACTTGGTATAAGATGACAATTTCAAAGTATCATCTTTAAAATTAGGTCCTGCAAATGTAAATTCCGTGTCAACTGCTATACTTGGTTGCTAATTTACCTGAGGTTTTCAAGAATCTAAGGCTCTGGGGATCTGGGGATGATTGCCTAAATTTTCTTCACCCTGTGAATGGAAGCATGTTCACTGTCTGCTTAGACTGCAGATATCAAGGGCCAAGTCGGGTTATAGATGCTCTGATGTTGTAACCTGTAAATTTTTTGTCTGCTACTTTTATGATTGGAGTTACCTCTAGTCCATCTGGGTTTGATAAAACAATATACCATGCATCTAAATCTATGGAGTTGACGATGTTTTTCTTTAGTATGTTTGGCACGAGAAAGACACTGAAGCAACATCGTAATTTAGTTAGAAATTAATTAATCAATGATTCTCACTCATGATATGCATTCTTCCTAGAAAGGATAATGCAGATTCTTCGGGGGATTAAATTTTGGCTAGTATTAGATCATATTGTATTAGAATGTCTCATGATCTACTGGGCAAAACCCAAGCAAACCTATTGACTAAAACATCTCAGTATTGTCTGTTCATTTATCCTGGAGTCTGATGTAGTTGGCTAGCATATCTATGCTACTTTAATGTCTTGATTGTCCTAAATCTGGAACATTTCTATATATTTGTATCTGAACATATACTACTCTCTCTTTCTCTCTCTCTCTCTGTGTTTCAGAATTCAAATATTACTTAGTTATTTAACCATTTCATTGAGCTTGTTGAAGTAAAATTAGAAAACTCCACCCCAAGAGCTTCATGGTATATGAAGTTCATCACCCTTCATTGTATGTTTTGCTCTTTGAGAGCACTGACATTTTGTATGCATGCTCATGCTCAATTTATCATGCAGTCATTTGGTTATTGAGACTTCACAAGATATAAGTGACGTGCCTTACTCAGACTACTTCAGTGTGGAGGTATTGATTTTGTAATGTGCCTTTTCATTTTGGAACTGACATATTAGTGTAATTGCTTGAAACACATTGTTGAACTTTTCTTCCTTTCCTTGGTGGCTCAACAATTTATCGCAACCCCCAGTGAAGAGATGTGATTCTTTTATTGATTTGGTTTCTTCTGGTCACTCAACAATTTACCTTTTTTCTCATATACATTTTCCTAGAATTTTAAGGTAAAACTTTAAAACTATCCTCCAAGTAACTGCCTGTGAGGAAAACCTCTACTACTATATCTATGAATCTATGCTTGGAGTTTTTTTTTTAAGATCCTATTTATTATTTTTTTGTTTATGATTAGCAATCAAAACTACTGTAATTGCACCATTTTTCTTTACATGAACACATCAAACATCCTTCTTTTGTTTTTTGCTTAAACTTTATTGATGGAACAACTATTAATTCTGTTTCTCATCAACTCTTTCAAGGTATTGATAGTTAGGTGGTGGTAATATGTTCTACCGAGTTTCCTTTGTGCTGTCTGCATTTTTCAGGGACGCTGGGATGTAGAGGAAGATGGCAATGATTCAAAGCCTGGCTGCATATTAAGAGTTTATACTAATGTGGCCTTTTCAAAGAAAACCATGTGGAAAGGTTTGTTACTTCAATTTCCTTGTATATCTTTTAGCATTTTGCTCAAAAGATGTGTTTTTTGTTTTCCTTTGTAAGTTAATGTTCAATCTTTCGTCTGGTTTTACTTCATTTGTAACACAATAAGCTCTCTCATAGCATATGGTGTATTTAATTGGTGGAAACTGTCTTGTGGCTATTTGCAGTGGTGAGTTAAAATTCTTTTTTAGGCATTCATTGTGTGCTGATTTTGCAGGGAAAATAGTGCAATCCACAATAGAAGAATGTCGCGAAGCTTATGCAACTTGGACAGAACTAGTATCTTTCTTCCATTGAACTTCATCTATCATCGGTACTATACTTTTCCGGCATTTAAAGATCGTTCTATAATGTTTCAGGCACATGAAGTATTAAAGCAGAAGAACCTAGAGAAGAGACAAGGTATTCCTTGTTTTTTTACATAAAATTTACGTACATAATTTCATATGGTAGTTATATTTATTGGTATGGGGCTTTATGTCTATGTCTTTATTTAGATGAGCAAGTTAGACTTGCAACACCAGAAAAAACTCCCGAGCATGTGGAACCCGAAACACTTAATGTTCAAACACAATCCGTACCAGATGTGGTTACAAACGAACAAGCCAATCACTATCCACAAGAAAGCTTAGGCAATGGATCAGTCGGATCTCTGTTAACAGGCGGCTTCTCAAAGATCACTGCGTCTCTGAAACGTCAGAATGCTCCAACCCTACTTCTGGTCATTTCCCTTGCTATAATTCTCCTCCTAATGCAGGTAAACTTTCCCATTAGCATCCGGCATTTCATCGACGCACATAATCATTCATCTACTTTGTTTATATTCCAATTCAAAAAAATCGACAGTATTATTATGCTTATTGTATCCCAAATAGAATATCTGCAACCGCACTGATCCGGCTTTTCTTCCATTGCTTCTAGATAAGCATCCTCACCCTACTAAGTAGACCTCAACGTATCGTGATGATCCCTCAGTCCTCCGACTACACAAGTGAGAACAGCCGCGAAACAGCCGCCTCATCACTGAACCGGCAAATAAAATATCTGAAGGAGGAGATGGAATTTGTCGAAACAATGCTGGATAGGCTGCAGAAGGAGCATGGCAGGCTGAAAGGGAAGCTGAGGGAATTGGAGGTATTCAGAAACTGACAAGAAACTTTCTATACACAATTCTTTGTGATAAAATGTGCTTAAATTCATTGTACCTTTGCAAAATTTCTGTGCTGTGCTGTCTTTATTTCTGGTCACCAAGTTGATGCATGCACTGTTGATCTGAGAGTTGCCTAATTTGATTTTATCCACACATGGCTATAAAATTAATGGGTATTTGTTTGTTTGTTTCATTTTTCATGCATTTCATGGGCTTTGGTTTTTTTGCAGTGTTTGCTTTTCCATAGATTTGCTCACTGACTGACTGACTGAGTGACATTTTTAGACTGTAGAATTGGCTACTTAATCACACACAGGTTTAATGTGGATCTAACAAGTTTTTATTTTCATCTTTCTATTTTGTCTCAAATGTATGAGTTTGTGAGAACCTTACATTGATATGCCCATGGAACACGTGCGGATGGAGTGGGTGGTATAGCCTGGTAGGGGTGGGGGAGGGTGGGGGTCCCAGATTGATCTACTACTTTTGTGCTTATTTTTAGATAAGGTTGCTTTGTTAATATTCCAGGTTGTGTTTATTTATGTTTGATTTATTTTGGATGAAAAATGTAATAGTACACTGCATATTATCTTCAGATCTTCATTACATACAGATAGATACATAAAAGAAGGAATATGAAGGCTAAGTTGAAGGGATTTGGAATATCTATAAGGTGAAGTGGAGTAAATATGCAACATTTATTAGCCTTCATGGGTCAATATATTTTAAATACACATTAATATTATTGAACCGACAAAATTTTCAATGAAATATATGTTTTAAGTCAAAATATGACATTAAAAAATACTACTATAAAAAATTCAATTTTAAATCAAAATCAATTCGAATATAATAATAATTAATAAAAAAAAAATATAATATATAAAGATTCTGTTTCACAACTTCCAAGTTTAGCCATAAAATATTCATGTTTGAAATAAAATTAGTAATTCATAATTATTCAACTCGGAAAATAAAGGAATGAGAAATAAAGCAGGAATCAACTGAATAGAAAGGAAAGACCAAACCAAATATGAGGCAGCTCTAGCATGGTTGTTTTTACTATTACTATTATTATTATTAGTCGTGCCAACACTTAAAAAAAGTATTTTTGCATAAATTTGAAAGGAATTTTTTCATCCAAGCTTGTCATCTTGCCAAGTTACATCATAAAAATTAATTCAAGTATAAAATCAACCTTCAAATTTTAGAATTGATTTATATTGTGAACTACTTAACATTGTTAAAAATAAATTCGAATTTTCTACTTAAACTAATTGGTATTAAGTGAAGAGACTCTTCACCTTTATAAGTTGAGGGAACTCTCACATTTTTTTTTTCAATATAGGACATATTCAACAAATATTATTAAAACAGGCGTTGAAGTATTGGGATTGTATACATTACTAAAACAAAAATAGATACTCTTTTTTCTTGGATAGATTTGGGCATGCAACTTACATATATGTCTGTACAATATTAGTAGAGAGTGGATATAATTCTCGTATGATACAATTTCAACCAATAAATAATACCCCTTCAGTCTAATTTGTTTGTCCATTTTACATTTGCCACAAACTATAGAAGGGGAAACACGTGTGTAAATAGATAAAGTAATATATACTTTAAAATATGTGCAAAACCTTTACAATATAAGTATTTGTTAAAATATAGTATAAGAAATGTTAAAATACCCAATTATGGAAAGACCCTTAGCTTGTTCGAGAAAATAAGTACATCCATGCATATATGGTACACTGACAATATTAATTAATGAAAAATGGGAGTAGAAGAAATCGTTGTATTGAAAAATAATGAATTATTTTTGGTAATGATGAATTAATATTATTATTACATCACCACTCTCGATCACTACAACTGCAGGCACTACTTTCAGATGGTAATCTTCTCTACCAAACCAAAGAATGCTGTCCTATCCTAATAACTAAAATCAATAATGTATCTATCTATCTTTACATGTAGAAACAGAAAGAATGAATCTTTTAATGAATGAATTAGCTCGAATAGCCTCTTCTTCAAAATTCGAATGAGGCCAAAATTGAACCTTGAAGCCAAATTAAGCTTCTTCAATGGAGGTGCAGGAGAGAGGGAGAGCTCTGTGTTCAAAAATCAGAACCCCACCCTTCAAAAAATACCTAAATTTGATTATCCACACAAAACCTGCTGCTGCTGCTGCTGATTCTCCGGCGGCGGAGCTCCGGCGAGAACCCTCTCCGCCGTCGCCCTCAACGGGCAATTGGAGCTCACGAAACTATCCACCAATTGCAAATACGTCTTCAGATCGTGACACGTGGCCACTCCTCCGCCGCTCAGATGGGGGCAGTCGCGGCTGCTCAGCCGCAGCTCCTCCCCGATCTCCGCGTACGCCCACTGAGTCTCCTCCACCATCCTCTCCACCCACCTCGCCAGCCCCGCCGCCACTCTCATTTCCCCGGCGGCGGCGCCGCCGCCGCCGTCGTTCAGGACGAATCCGGGGACCTTCGTGATTGGGTCGTCGGAATTCACGATTCGGAGGACCTTCGTGCCGCTCTCCTCCAATTGCCGCCGGAAATTTTTATTCCCCACCCTCGGCCCGCCGAATGACACCACCGTCACCAGCGGCGCGTGCGGAAACGACGCCGTTATGTCGTGCGCCGTCAGCGTCGCCAATGCCGCCCCCAGGCTGTGCCCCGTCACCGTTATACTTAACGGCTCGTCGGCGTACTTCTCCAGCACCGCTGCGATCTCCTCCCTGACGGCGTCCCTCAGGCTCTGCCTTGCGGCGCCGCCGCTCGATGTATACAGGCTCAAAAAACCGCTCTGCACCATCGACTTGTCGGCGGCGCCGCCTTCCGGGAGACACGTCAGCGTCGCCCGAAGATTCTCCATCCACTCCATACACGTGGCAGTCCCACGGTACGCGATCACCACGTCCCTCCTTCCCAGCCGTTGGATCTCATCCCTGTCCTCGCACACTGCCACGTAACCAATCCAGCTCGACTGCGCCGCCACCCACGCCGGCGCCCGGCCGCCCATCCACGCCGGCAGCGGCGGCACGCCGCACGTGGCGTGCAGGTGCTTAGTCACTTTGTACCCGGACCTCCCCAGCCCACAATCTTCCATCATCGTCTCCTCCGGGAACCGGCACGTGGCATATCCCGGCGATGAAGTGTCAAAATCGAAGCACTTGTACGCCGCCTCTACGAATTCTCCGTACCGTAGGATCTCCCGGCGTAGGTCGTCATCCAACGGGTCTAAAAGGCCGTCCCAGTTCTTGATCCCCTGGAACTCCATCCATTTCTCACGGAGCTCCCGGGCCTTCCACACCAGGGCGCCCGAATTCCCGATACTGCCCTTAGGGTTCCAAGAATTTGTTATTTTGAAATTCCGGCGGCGGCCGCCGGAATTGACGCATCGGACGGCTGCTGCGGAGGGTTTCGCCGCCGGCAATAAGTTCTGCAGATTGCAGGGATTTACAATTCTTGCAGCACCAAGCCTCATATAATCTTTTGTGTGTGTGTGTGTGTGTAATTCCAAATTATGGCAACACTGTAGATTTGCAGAGACAGGTGTGGATCAGTTTATTAAGGTTGTTGATGTTGTCGTCACACCTTATTTTGGATGTGTGTTGCTGATAAGTGTGTGTGCTTCTATATCTATATCTATATATATGTACATGATACCTGGGTTTCTCTCTCTATCTCTAGAAATGATCACAGTAAAGGGTGCGTGACGAAAGAGGAAGGAAAGTGGGGGATGCTTTATTATTTAGTTTTTTTTTTTGGGATGACTTTATTATTTAGTTTTGATTTGGATGAGCGTGGGGTAGAGCAGTAGGGGGTGGTTCTTGGGAGGTCCCGGACTGCGTTAGGCTTGAATTTTATTATTATTATTTGAGTGTTATCTCAATTTAATATACATATACATATATTATTTAAGAGTTTTTAAAAGAATAGTAATTGAATGATATATTTTAAATGGAATACATGTAACATTGAAAAGAGCAAACTCATTTTTAAATTTCACTAAAGCTTTTAATGAAATAATGCCTATATATTTTCTTTAGAAAAATACGATAAAGTGAGTTCAAATATTATTACTTACATGCAATATATATTCATTGAATTTTCATCAAAATGGATTGAGTCCAGTTTATTCAATTCAAAGATCATTTAAGTATATATTTTTATATTAAAATTTGAAGACCCTAATATTCTGAAGTTTGAATTGTGGGGTCATACAATTACACTTTCTCCCGTTCTACAATATTCATCTATTTTAAATTTAATATAGTGTAATTTTGATAACTTCTAATATTCTATTATAAATTTATTAAAATAGCAGATAGAAAGTTTATTGTAAATTAAATATATATATATATACAGAGAATTTTGAAATAATAATAACAAAACTATAATATAGAAAGTGTAGTTGCCTGGGGTAGAGTACGTAGAGTAGTAGTGTAACAGGTAGTGAAAGGTTAATTAGAATTGGCGGGAGTGGAGAGCCGGGAGCTCGCGGGTAGTTGGATTGGGTACTTGCTTTTATAACACTCGGGTGGGAGGACCCACCCAGTTTGTTGGAATTTTTAAATAATAATAATTCTAAAGTATGAAAAATGGAAAACGTTTTTAAGGCTTCTATCTAATTTTGGGCATCGACGCGTCAGTCAGTCTAGTCTACAGTCTAAATATTTCTTCTACTGGGGAACGTTGAAACCAATTTTTTATTTATTTATTATATATATATATTTTTCATAAAATAAAATTTAATCATATTTATGTATGTGAGCTTGAGTGTGTGTGAAATTAATTAATTAAATGTAGCCTGGCGAGTTGTGTAGATTTTTTATGGTTGTTGTGTTGCGGGACGATCCGTAAAGACAACATTGAGTAAATTTGTAATCGTGAAGTTATAAGTTCAAATTCGTATTAAGGTTCACCTGCCGTATTATTAAAAAAATAAAAAATAAAAAAATTATGATGATTTTATTATTATTATTATTAATGAATGAAATAATTGAGAAATAGAGACGTGGGTGTCAAATGAAGTCAGCATTAGAGTATCGAATAATTAATTAATTAATTAATAATAATAATAATTATTATTATTATTATAAATAAAACAAAAAAGGGTGGGCTCCGACCACCAAAATGGGAAAGATATTGAATTGAATTGAATTGGGTCACGTGCGCGTCACGGGACGCGTTCCCGAAGAACGAAGGATGCCGTTGCCGGTTGCCCTTGCCGTTTTTTCTGCCCAATAATATTAATCCGACTTCTGATTTTTTATTTTATTTAATCGGAAATCCCTATTCTGATTTTTGTTTGGTATGATGTGACGTGGATTCGTGGTCCCGACTTCCCTTAACTCCCATCCACTCCTCAATTTAATTTAAAATTTTATTGTTTTCGTTTTCTCTTTTGTCTGTTATTTAAAAAATATATATATATTTTTATAACGTGTGATTACAATCGGTATTCAACTAGTACTTTTGGATAAACCTCAGTCCAATTTAACTAATTCTTTCTTTCATAAATATAATCTTAATTGTATTAGACAATTTAAGAAATAATAATATTATATTGGTAATTGGTAAAAAAAAAATAGATAATTTTTTTTTTTTGCCCTTGTAAGTATATTAGTGTAAAAATTAGTAGTAATTGTGTAATAAAAATGAAAAAGTAGGGGTACTTTTATGGTGATATGATTATTTATGAAAATTAGACTATTATTTTGGGACGAACAAAAATAGTAAATAAAATTCTATTGGGACGGAGAGAGTAAAATATTACTCTGTTCAATTTAAAGATATGTAATTACTTTTAGGGTAGAGTTAAATAGTACTCTCTAAAAAATATTAATATTATATTTGATAGTTGATAAAAAAATATGGATAAAATACTTTTTTGCCTTTGTGACTGTATTAGTGTGATAATTGTGTAATAAAAATGAAAAAGTATGGGTAGTTTTATGGTGATATAATTATTTATATAAATAAGACTATTGTTTTGGGACGGACAAAATAGTAAACAAGACTATTGTATTGGGACAGAGGGAGTAATATTTTAATTTGTAGTGAGATGCAAAAGTAGTGTAGATATACTTTTGTTTTTATTTTTTGGTAGGGGTGATAAAAATTAACACGGTCTGAACACGACATAAAAAAATCGAGCTTGGGTCTAAATAAATAGACTAAAAATTAACCCGGTAAGCTAATGAACCAGGCCGTGCCCGGGCTTACGAGGGTCGGGTCGTGCCTGACTCCGTTCGACTTTTAGAATTAATATTTAAATTTTAATAAATTTTTATGTATATATATATATATTAATTTTTGAATAAAGACAAAAATTAAAAGATAGCTTAAGAGCATTTGTAATGACTTAATTATAGAAGACTTCTAAGTTGAAAATGAAGCTTTTTTTGAAAAATATCATGCAATGGCTCTCTGTCTTCTTTTTTTTTCTGCTGTTGTTTAATTTCTCTCTTTTTACCTATAAAAATATAGAATATTAATTGGACAAGTAAACTAAAAAGCTTTTTTCTCTCTATACCATTGCAATTGCTCTTAATGGTAAAGTAAATTGGTCGAATTGCCACCCTTGTAAACTGTAAAATAATAATGTGACAATAAAATAAAGGTATTTGTGAAAAAAAAAATGTAATATGAATATTATTTTTAAGGGTCTGTTTGTTTGGGGATTTGGATTTTGAATTGGAATTTGAATAGTAAAAATTTTGAATTTGAATAGTTGTATGATGTGATATAAATAGGTGTTGATGTAATGTTTTGAATGTAAAATTGATTTTAGTATAATATAAAAAATTAAAAATAAGTGTTTGATTTGATATTTTATGGGATAAAAAATATGATGAATAGTATATTCAAAATATAAAAGAATAAATTATGCTTAATTTTTATTCTCTACACTTTATCATATCACATTATCTACTTATCTCCATCATACTATTTAATTTTCAATTTAATCTATTTAATACTATCATCATAAATCTTGTGTGGAAATCAATATTGCATTTTGTTTGAAACGAAAATAATATTATATTAAAATAATATTTAAATAAAAATTAAAATGTACTCTCTCTGTCCTGCAGAAGATGAAGCCTTTTGTTAGGGATACGGTATTTTATTTATATTGATTTTTATATGTGTAGTGTTGTTGGTAATTAAATATTTTTACAATTATATTTTAATAAAATATATGCAATATGAACATTATTTTTTAGATAATAAAATTTTTTACTCCCTCCGTCTCATATCTATATATCTATTTTCTTTTTGCACGGAGTTTTAGAAATATTAGTATTATATTGGGATAAAGTAGAAATAAAGGTAAAATAACTAAATTAACCCTATTAGTATTGTATGATATAAAGATAATGATATTTGTGTAATATAGATAGTACAATTATTAAAAAAGAAACGAATACTTTGTTATGAGATAGACCAAAATAAAAAAATTGATAAATTGTTAAGGGACGGAGGGAGTATAATATAAATGAATAAAAAAGTATATTTATTTATTTATCATTATCATAAATTAGTTTTCTAAAAAATTATGAGTTCTAAACGTAGATAAAAATATTTGTTAATTGAGGAAAGATATAGAAATAAAAGGATTTTGAGTGGGTCCTGCGTGTAAAATGTTAGAAGTCTAATTAAATTGATTTATATTTGTTAAGGGTGTGTTTGTTTGGGGGTTTGAATAGTAAAAATTTTAAATTTGAATAGTTGTATGATGTGATATAAATAGGTGTTGATGTGATATTTTGAATGTAAAATTGATTTTTAGTATTATCTCCGTCCCACGTACCGTGTCTACAATCTGTAGACACGGTATTTTAGGAGGGGTGTAATTAGTAGATAATTAATAATGTATTAGTGAAAATAATTATCCTATAATATAAATAATTATAAAATAAGATTAAGATAAGTAATTAGTTTAATAAAAAATTAAAAAAATAATTAAAAACTTTAAAATGATATTAAAGTGTGTAATCATTTTCCAAAATAGGAAAGTGACATGGAATGTGTGACGACAGAAACGGCAACGTGGACATGGTACGTGGGACGGATGAAGTATAATATAAAAAAAAAAAAAATAGGTGTTTGATTTGATGTTTGAGGGGAATGGGATGAATAGTGAAAATTAAATCTAATCAAACATCACATTAACACCTATGTATACCACATTATACAAATATTTAAATTCAAAATTTTTACTATTCAAATTTCAATTCAAAATCCAAACCCCCAAATAAATACACCCTAAATATGTTTAAAATTGATAAATTTAAAAATGATCATCTTTTGTAAAACGTAAAATTGATAAACTAAAAAATGATCATCTTTTGTAAAACGTAAAAAAAAGAAAAAAAAAATGAGGTCAAGCGTGGGGGGACGGATAAATTATTTGACACAATAATCCAACAAATCCAATCGTACGTAATATAAATGAGCGCTTCTTCGGTGGGTCCCACCCATCACAGTCGAATCACTATCATGGATTCAATCATTATATTGCATGTACATGTGTATTTATATTGCATGTACACGTGTATTTAAATAAATTATATATTTTCATTCGTCCCCAATGCAAAGTTCGAGTTTTTTTTTATTTATTTATTTTTTATTTTTATAATATAGTAATAATAATAATATAATTTTTAATAATATAGTAATAATAATAATATTTTTTAT